ATAGATTTTCCTTTAGACTTGAACGTAATTGATAACGGGCATTTTCAATTTTTGTCATGTATTCTATATGTTCATGGGTCATTGTTTTGACTGATTGAAAAGTAACAATTAGATGCGAGCGAGAAACGAATGAAGATGGATAAGATAAAAAAAATGCAAACGATTCGAAAGAAAGGAAGGAAGGAGGAGAAGACGCTGAAGAAGAAAAAAAGACGTTGAACATATTCATTCAACACTCATCACTCACTTGGCCTTGACCGATTCTAGTTCATTGAAAAGTTCTCATTTCTTCTTCTTCTTCGTTCGATACGATTTATGAAATCGTAATACGTTTTTATTAACGTTTGGAAAAGATCATTCGAAAATGTCGGACTCATTCCCCTTATTCTTAATCGATCTGAATCAATTAATGATAGGTCTACGCTACAATCATCATCATTACCATGTCCGAGAACGTAACACTACTCAGCAGGCCATAGTCCGAAATACTGGTTAATAAGGCGTCCATCTCATGTTACATATACGTATAAATGTATATGTGCGTCCATTTACGCACGCAGCGCGATGCTATTTACCTTGAGTAAGGTGGTTAGATCGATTGATATATGCGACGTTTGAACAGCATAAATACTTGAACTGTCTTCGTTCTATCTGCTAATTGAAATGTTCACGTTGATCGAACATGTACAATACATTTCTATTCGCACCTCGTCATTCATGGTCAATTCGTAGATTGCTGACGTAAATTGTCCTCTGATATACACACAGCTGGCTCGTTTCTCTGTCCGAGCACATTCAATGAACATCGGAGAAGGAAGAAAGAAAGAAAGAAGAGAAAAACCTCGCGGTTCACTTCATTTTTTCTAGAGCACAAAGAAAGAAAGAAAGAAAGAGGAAGGAATTTAGTCCTGACAATGTTTATGAATCTAAAATAATTCTTAACTATTAGACGATCGAGACAGTTTTCATTGAAGCGTGTACCAGATGTGTTTAACAACGCCCGAGAGACCATGACACAAGTGCGGTTAGTTCTATTTATCAGCGAATGAGTTCAAAGTTGATGATTAATCTTCTCACGCATTGGAACCATCTGTCAAACAAAAAAAAGACAGAAGAAGAGGAACAAGAGAAGAAATTCATCGAGATCTTGATAAGAAACAATACAGACGAGCATGCGATTATCATGAGGAAATAGAAAATGGATAATGAGCATTATGATGATTATCATCAAGATCAAAAATCAAAGAAAGAATAGAATCAACGAAGATCAAAATCTTTCATTAATTTCCTTACGTTTATTATTAGGACGCCTATAACACATGGACATTTCCTGATCATCTTCGAGCGGATACGAAAGGTGACTTGAAAATCGATAGTAAACAACTTACTCTCACTGGCATGGCGCTTGGCTTAAACTCAGCTCTGACGATACCTGAATTCAAGAAAAAATTACCACCATGTCCAATGTTATTGCTGTCCAATAGCGAAGGTGTCCTGCTCGTTTATTACTTTCTTCATCAACAATTGCAATTCGCTTGCCATGCACCTGAAGTAATCAAGCCAATTCAAGCTGGAAACATTTTCGGAAGTGCAGCGCCAACATCATCGTTAGCGTTAACAGGAACATTTTCCTCATCACGTAAGGTTTCCTACTTACTTGTATAAATGGATAAAGAACATTCTTTCTCTCATTCTATATTTATATTGTTGCCCTATCTTTGTTAGTTTCGAGGGAATGTTGAGAAAATAACAACAACAATCTGTTGGCCGAACATGATCATCATTAAGGAAGAGGAAAGATATTACATCATATCTATTCGGCATGGATTTCTGTAGTGATGAGTCGAGTGTCAGATAACAATCATCTATAGAAGGAGAGGAAGAGAGGGAAAAAGCAAGAACATTATCTAATAATGAACAGAAAGTTCAAGTAACAACAACAATCATCTAAAAAGATTATATTAGTCTACTATACGAACAGATCATAATGTGAAACATTTGTTTAATAGAATCGATCATTTCTTTTGACAATAATAGCTCATTGAAAATAATGAAATGACTTGCTTACTGACCGTTTCATTTGTTGTTAACAATGACGAGCAACATCGCGAGAAGAAAATGAAGCAAAAACCGGAAATGTATACACACAGACATATATATATATAGTGATATTTTTCATTAGTTTCCTACAGATAACAAATTCCACTTGAGACCTGGAGAAACAATCGTAATACACAATTAATTAAATTTCGTATCCGTTGTTATTCGACCTTGAATAGTGTTGTTTTGTTTTTTTACATCTTTACACATGAGATTGGAACGAACGAGTTTTAATCAAAACAGATTTCACTTTTCAGAGCCCCCAACCAACGGTTTTCAAATGACTCAACTAAATTCAACAGCGGCACTTTCGCGCATTCCTATTGCTTCGCAAGGAAAAGAGAAGACTAACCTCACAAGTGCCTTTAACTTTACGCAAGCACCTCCACAAATTGCAAATGGCTCTCCATTCAGCGAGATTTCGAAAACACCGACTATGAATTTGGGAAGCGAACCAACTCGTACGCAAAAACAATCACCAATAAAAAGTATACTGGGTATTTTTCTTGGCATCCGTGAGTTTGATGTATTTAGGCACAGTCAGTCAGGAACAACCATCAACACCCAAAGTGGATACTAAGAATCTTTTTCAGACGGTAGGTGAGATTTTGTAAGAACTGATATTCTTCTACTTTGCGTAGATCGATCAATTTCAATCGAAATTGAATACTTTAACCAACTCTTTACCAAAAGCATCGACATCGTCCGGTGATTTCGATAAGTCCCTAGAGAATTTAACAAAAACTCTTCAGGATATGAACAATACATTTGAAGTAGGTCGTTCAATTTGAGGATAATTATTTCCGACTACGAAAAATCATTATTTCTAGAAATCTTCTCAATCAGTCAAAACAATGACCCATGAACATATAGAATACATGACAAAAATTGAAAATGCCCGTTATCAATTACGTTCAAGTCTAAAGGAAAATCTATATCATTCGTTGAAAGACCGTGAACTTGATCCATGGACACAAGCACGTCTGGATTCAATCAAAACTAAATATGATCAACTTAAACACGATTTGGATGTCTTACTGCAAGTAACACACGCAACCATTCGCGATAGATCAGCACCAGACACTTCCGAAGACGCAGAGAATGAGTATGCAAACGGAGGAGTGTGGACGAACGAAATTTTGCCTATAATCTTGTATTTATTTAGAGATTTTTTGCCAGATTTAGAAATATCATTGATTACGACGGGAACTATGAAACAACGATTACGCAATCGTATACGAGAACTTAGCCATAAAGTATCACAAACAGAAAGCGATCTGCAGCAAATCTGTGCCAAATTAAATACGGATATACTGAGTAGCAAAACCTTCGAGTAAGGATTCTATACAGAAATTAGTGTTAGAGATTATTCTTTCTTCCTTTGTTATTTCAGTAAGACGACGATGTCGTCTGAGCGACCATTTCATAATACAGATGCACAAATTTTAGCGCATTTACAAGCTACTCATAAAACAATCACTCAAGTTCGTGTACCATTAGCTGTTGGAATCAATCTCTCGTCAACTGTTGAATCGACGAAAAAACAACCAGTGAATGAAGCACCAAAAGTAACTACGCCATCAATTCAACCATCAACACCTCACCAATCGAGTTCGCCAACAGTTGATTCGGAAAGTTTCAAAAATATGCTTCGTCTCGTTCGAACCTCGATTGATTTATTTTCCGGTGTAACTAGTCCTGAACAATTACAAGAACTTTCAAACACTATTGCTACAAGTCCATTATCAGCAGCGCCAAAATCGAATACTACGCCCATTTCTAAAACTCCAACGACCGCTAAGGCAACGACTTTAACTAAAACAGCCACATTGCCCAAAACGTTACAAACAACAACTGCCTTACAAACACCTGCAAAATCGACGACATCAGCACCACCGGCTATTTCTGTAACCCCAGCTACACCAGCAACGCAAACTTTTGCTTCAAACGTACCACTTTCATTCTCGCAAGTCAAACCCACTATTGTTTCTGCCGCGACTGACCTAACCAAGCCACAGGTAGCAGCAACATCCGGCGATAACGCTATTCGTTCGTTACTTAATAGTACAGTATCACCTTCGTTAAATACAGCATCGGTCACTAAACCATTAGCCAATACCACTACACCTAATCAAGTTGCACTATCAAGTTCATTTGGTGTATCTTCACTTTTCAATCAACCTGGAACTTCATCTCCATCAACAACTACCATAACATCATTATCCTCAACGATCACAACATCAGTACAATCAACATCGCCAACAGTTAAACCATTGACGTCATCTGGAGCTGGCGCGTTTGGATCAAAGCCAGCACTCGGCGGTAGTTCTTCATTGAATTTAGGATCTCTATCAGCCAGTATTTCATTCGACAACAGCTCTTCTGTAACACCACTAGCAACAACAATATCCACGCCCAGTCCATCTGGTACCGTATTCGGTACACCATCTTCGACGGCGCCAACTTCAACTGCAACTACAGGCCCATTTGGTGGCTCTATAATGACACCTGTAACCACTTCAGCTTCTACCGGCAGCGCATTTGGAAGTTTATCTGGGCCATTCGGTGCTACAGTGGCAATAGCAACCACGGCTCCCACATCCGGTTTATTTTCCACTCCAACCACTGCATCAACCGGTATATTTGGTAGTACAATAACTACTACAGCGACAAGTCCATTTGGTACTACACCAGCAACTTCAGCCTCTGGAACGGGCATATTTGGCACTGCAGCACCTTCTACCGCGCCTTCCACTGGTATATTTGGTAGCACAACAACCTCAACTTCTAGTCCGTTTGGTGCTTCACTGCCAACAACATCAGCCGCTGGAACAGGCATATTCGGTGCTGCAACATCCACTGCAGCACCATCAACTACAACTACTAGCCCATTCGGTGCTGTTCCAGTAACTCCAAGTGGTAGTGGAACAGGTGTATTTGGTAGTGGGTTTGGTGCCACAGCACCATCAACTTCTACTGCTGGCCCATTTGGAAGTGTATTCGCATCGTCATCATCATCTTCAACAGCAGCAGCACCGTCAGGTTCAATCTTTGGCGGATTTGGTGGCTCTTCAACTGCATCAGCATCGTCTCCCACCACTGGTGGCTTCAGTGTGAATTTATCTGCTACGTCACCAACGAGCTCTACCGCTTTTGGTGCTAGCCCATCATTTGGAAGCGGCTTTTCTGGCTTTAATACACAGTCAAAACCGTCTGGAGCAACAACTGGATTCTCTTTCGGTGGATTTGCTGGACAAAGTTCGAGCTCAGGTGCTCCCGCGCCGACATTCGCTTCTTTTGGATCAGCCGCAACTGCAGCAGCGCAACCAACATCATCCCCATTTGGTGGTTCCATGTTCGGAAGCGCAGCGCCTACTCAACCGAGCGGCTTTGGTGGTAAGTTGTTTGCGTTTGGAGAAAGTTTCTTTTTGTCTACTTTGGAAAACTTTCTTACGATAGGTTCACCTTTCGGCGGTCCATCACCAGCTCAGTCGCCAACATCGAGTTCATTTACAAGCTATCGTGATCGTAAATAGAAATTGAAGACCTATACAGCTGCCCTTCTATTTTTCTTCACTCTCTGTAATTACTAACAAAAATTGTCATGCACACATTATATTCAGTTTGTTACATTTGTCCTCTTTTTTTCTTCTCTTTTCTGTGAAAGCGTATCTGTGTGATTACAATAAACAAGAATAAATACGTGTTATTAGCAAACAAATGAGCGCAAAAAAGATGTATGTCGGTAGAGAGTAGTCTGAATTGAGTTCTGATCACCGAAATGATCATCTCACTCATTGAACTTCATGTTGCTGGCCACAGGCTTTCACAACTTTCCCAATGATAAGAGCATCTCAACGAATGTTGATCTTGTACTCGATTATTACCATTGAGAAAGACACTTCACGCCGGAAGCTTTCTGATCACCTGCCATGCGTTAAACGCACGGAACCCTGCTAGAGTCTCGATTGGCCTCTATCTCAGACCTTCCCAAGGATAAAGACGGAAGAGCGACAATGCACTCGTTTGTAATCCCTGTGAGTAAGCTTCTATCTACATACACAAGCTTTATTCGTCCATATCTGCAACTTATATAGTGAAATGTATTTGTACAAAGAAAAAGAACGGTGAATGACGATGAGAAAAAAAGTTCGATAACGAGTGACACCTTTCTATTTCTACCGTGTCGCTCCGGACGAAAAACTATATGCCATTTGTTTGCTCGCTAAAAGCTGTTGAAACAATACAACATTAAAGAAGATTTTCATGCCATAGTATGTATGAAATACAAGATGTTTTGGTTGATAAGGAATTTTTTGTGTGGAAAAGTTAAATCCCATTGCGATGGGTAAAGCTAAATTACTCCTTTATGATTTATTGTGCTAGAAAATCAACTAGCTATTGATTTATGAGCATGAATGAATCAATATCATAGAGGTTACGCACATATTTAGAAACAGATACTTGATAACCATTTCTGAGTATACTATTCATCATCAGCGGAAGAAACATAACATCCGTTCAAAGACGATGAGATCGACTTTTTTCTTTTTTTTCTGACATTAACAGATAATATTGAAAAAATCGGCAATAATTTAAATTATTTATTCGCCAATCGAATCATCATTTCATTTCATAACTATCTGCTTTCGTTCCGATTCTAAGCTGGGCTTTGTTATCACGCTACTACTTGTTGGTGAGTCATGTATTGTCGGTTAGAGCCATCTGTCCACCAATCGTCAAGCTTTCATTTCATTTGTTCATATTGGCAAGTAATGGTAGACGTGCATGCAATGCATGCAGTTCGCTGAATGAGTAAGCTGCGTGGAGAACGAGTGAATCAATTAGATTGGAGTCAATTAAAGCAACTGGCATCTTCAATGTTTTACTCGTTTGGTTTTCATTCCACTAACAATTCGTAGTGTTTTTCTAGATGACCGAAGTTCATTCATTCGGCAATTTGCCTGTTATTGCTCATGCTTGGAATAAAGATCGAACACGTATGCACTTCTTTTTTTAAATATCTAATCGTTGTGAATTTTCTTACCGTTTACTATTCTTTAGAAATCGCCGTTTCGTTGGGCAAAAACGATGTTCGTATCTATCATAAACAAGCTGGAAAATGGAAACTAATGCATACGTTAACTGAGCATTTATCGCGTGTCCTAGCGATTGATTGGGCACCGAAAACGAATCGAATTGTCTCTGCTAGTGCTGTAAGTCTTCGTCTTCCAGCCTTTAGACCATTATAAATTTCTTGTTTTTTTTAGGATTACAATGCTTACGTTTGGACATATGAAAATGACACTTGGAAACCTCAAATGGTCGAGTTACAACGAACAAGTCGTGCTGTTTGTTGCGCCAAATGGTCGCCACAGGGTAATCGATAAGAAACACACTCTCTAAGTTAATACTCTTTCATTCTTAGAAAATAAATTCGCTATTGGTTCCAGTGATAAGAATGTTGCGATATGTTATTATGAAACAGAACAACGTTTCTGGGCTGCCGAAATGATCAAGAAAAAACCTAAATCAACTGTGACATGTCTTGCATGGCATCCGAATAATCAGCTTCTTGCTGTCGGTAGTTGCGATTATCGTGTACGAATCTACACGGCAGCGGTCAAAGCAGTTGGTGATCAACCCCAACCATCTAAATGGGGAAATATTGCAAATACGGGAGAACTTTTGCACGAATTTCAATCGGGTACGAACATGTTCTTGTCCTAACTTCTTCTATAATAAATTATTCATACATTTAGAATCCGGTTGGACACACGACGTGGCTTTTTCACCATCGGGTGAAAATTTGGCGTGGGTATCACATAATTCCATTATCTTTGCAGTTTCATCCAAGGATCCATCCCGGTTAGTTTTCATTCGTCACCAATGCTTTGCGAATGTCGAACGATGTTCATTGTTTTAGTATCACGATGGAAATTACAAATTATCTACCATTTCGTTGCATTCTCTTTGTTAGTGAATCAACTTTCATAGTTGGCGTAAGGAACGCAAATTTTCGCGAAAAGAAAAGAAGAAAATTTCTTTCGATTTCAGGGCCATGAATTTTCGCCATTGATTTATAACTATGATGATCGGCGAGGCGCTATTGAATTCGTCGAAAAACTCGATCAACAAGGTGCGAGCACTGGCCGACAAGCAATTGGGTGAGAAGCGTTCATTTTCCCATTTCTGTCTCTCGTTTCAAAACAATTTTTCTTCAGAGAAGAAGGCGAATTCTATACGCCATATCAGGCCTCGTACGAAACATAAAAGAATGTGTTTGCAGTGACATGTTTTTTTTTGCATGAGAATTAAGAATTGTTTGGAGTGTTTTTGATGAATGAGATTCAACCTATTCTTAAAAATTAATCTGATATTTTCTTTGTAGTCGTCTGTTCGATCAGCCATCAATGCAAACACAATCGCCGGAACCTGTCACTACACATCAAAGCATGATTACGTAAGACATTTGCGAGTATTCCGTGATAGGTATTTCATGTTGTTATTTTAGACAAATTGTACCTTATCAAACTGAGAATATGAATTTAAGTAAAATAAGTTCTGCTGACTTGTTCGGTCAAGTTGTCATTTGGAATTTAAGTGGCAAAGTAAGTTGATCTGTTCAAATATGTCATGGAAGTGTGTGGAATTTTTTGTTTAGAAAATAAAAACCTAAAACATTTTTAATCAATTTTGAACAACACTTTTTTTCTGCTTGAGCTTGATAGCGTGTGTGTGTGTTTTTCTTCATCCTAATTATTGTCCAAGATTCGCACTTAATCCGCTGATTGTGCAATCATTCGCTTGTGTTTGTATTTTTCTATGCACTTCATCTGTGTTCGTGAAAATTTTCATTCTTTCTCTCTTTAATCTGTTATCTTCGATTCGACTTTACTGTGTGTCATTTAACAATAATTCTTCCTTGAATACAAAAATAGAACCATGTTTAATGAATATTGAATAAAAAGGAAACAAACGTTTACGATTGAATGTCTTCATCTTTCTTCTTTGAGAAAAGAAAACAAACTGACACACAGAATCTATTGAGCGTAGCGATATGACTGAGACGAAATTGAGGTTACGAAGTTAATAATCATTTTTGTCACCTGTGCGCGTTCTCTCTACTGTAGTTATAATGCATTCATCGGAGTGTCGTTTTTCCTGTTCTGTCAATAGTTTTACTAGTACAGAGTAGTACAACTGGTTCGTGTGTCAAATTGTGTTCTATTTTCTCTTCCAATTGAAAATGAGAGGAAGAGAAAGAAAAGGAACTATGCAGCAGATTTGTAAATATTGAAAACTAATGTTGTTTATCGATTTCTAGATGATTATATTCTTTTTTTGTGTTAATTTTTTTCATATATCTACATAAAATTACTCGGAAGTAATAATCTTCTCAATCATGATGCCGTTTTTGACATCGGATGCGGCGTGTCGTGTGACATCACAGGAAATCGTCAAAATCTTGCAAACCGACGCGAAGGATGGTTTAGATGAAAACGAAATCCAACGACGACGAAAGTATTATGGCTACAATGATTTCGAAGTGGATGACGACGAACCTTTGTGGAAGAAGTACTTAGGTCAATTCAAAGAACCGATGATTTTACTTCTACTTGCATCAGCAGTTATATCTTTACTCATGCGACAATACGACGATGCACTGTCGATAACAATCGCAATCATTATCGTTGTTACAGTAGCGTTCATTCAAGAAAATCGTGCAGAAAAAGAAATTGAAGCATTGAGACGACTTGTCCCACCTAAATGTGTCTGTATACGTGATGGAAAGAGTCAACATATCTATGCGAGAGATCTAGTCCCTGGTGACTTGTGTATCTTGGAGATTGGTGATCGTGTTCCAGCTGATTTACGTTTAACAGAAGCGAATGAAATGTCTGTCGATGAATCATCGTTTACAGGTGAAACTAAACCATCAAATAAATCAGTGGAACCAATTTCATTCAATTCAAGGCAAACATCGATTAGTGATCGACGAAATATTACTTTTATGGGTACACATGTACTTAGTGGAAATGCTAAAGTAAGGCTAATTCAGTCATTGATTTGATGGAATTCTCATTAACATTGTCGCATTGAAAGGGCATCGTGATATGCACAGGCGAAAATTCAGAATTTGGAAAAGTATTTCAAATGATGCAACAGCAAGAAGTAAGACAATCTTTCGATTGAAATGAATCCAATTCTCATCGTATTCATTCAGGCACCAAAAACACCATTACAAAAAAGTATGGACGCATTGGGGAAACAACTATCGTTCTATTCATTGAGTATTATTGGCTTTATTGTGATTGTTGGATGGTTGCAAGGTCGGCATCTTCTGGAAATGTTTACTATCGGTGTTAGGTACGAATCATTTGACATTATAGAATAGCTAACCGTTATCATTTGGTGTGATTCTAGTTTAGCCGTTGCTGCTATACCAGAAGGTTTACCCATCGTGGTAACTGTTACATTGGCGTTAGGAGTGCAACGTATGGCTAAACGAGAAGCTATTGTGAAGAAATTACCTATTGTTGAAACACTCGGTTGAGTATTGTCTCATTTGGAGTGATTCATCATCTATAGTGAATCGATTTTGTTCGCAGGTTGTGTAACAGTTGTTTGTTCGGATAAAACTGGAACATTAACGAAAAACGAAATGACAGTGACGAATATTTTGACTTCAGGCGGAGAAATGGCTGAAGTATGCACTTTTGAATCTTATACCGAATGTCACTGGATTATCTATACTTTTTATCGAATAGGTTACTGGCTCAGGCTACAATGGTGAAGGCGATGTTTTGTGCAACCATGAACGAGTGACTTATGATTCCCATCCATTAATATCCAAAATAGTTGAAGTATATCATTAGTTTTTACCATACTAGTGAAGGAAATCATCTGATTGTATTACAGGTGGGTGCTGTTTGCAATAACGCAGAAATCATTAACTGTGAACTTCGCGGTCAACCAACCGAAGGAGCTCTAATTTGTGTGGCTATGAAAGTAAAATTAAAGTTATTTGAACGAACTTTTCATTGAATATCACGAATCTCCTAGATGAATCTTCCACACATTCGTGAACAATTTCACCGTGAACGTGAATGGCCATTTTCTCATGAAAACAAATGGATGGCAGTGCAATGTTCACCTAAATATAATCCTGTTTGTTTTGTTTATTTATTCTGTGTCTGTTGAAGAACTTTTCTCTTTAGAATGAAACACGCTTGTATCTGAAAGGATCGATTGAGCAAGTACTAAGATTATCCAAACGATATCTACATCATGGAGTAGCTGTGCAAATTACCGAAGAGAAAGTTCGTGAATTCATTGTAGATTCGAACCAACTAGCCGCAAAAGGACTACGAGGTACGAAAAGTGAAACTATGTGAGTCAACTTATTCAATTGAAATCGATTTCTATGTTTTCAGTTTTGGCAATGGCTACTGGATCATCTTTAGAAGATCTAACCTTTGTCGGCATGGTGGGAATCATTGATCCAGAACGTGCACAGGTAGAAGATGCTGTTGCTCAGTTGAAAGCTGGTGGGGTCATTGTCAAGATGATAACTGGCGATGCCGAAAAAACAGCAAAAGCAATCGGTAAACGTGGCTGTTTATCCAATATGATCTCCTTATGCATTCATCTTTCCATTTAGCTACTCGTTTAAAAATTTACAATGCGACGGATCTATCCATATCTGGTGAAGATCTCGACCATATGAGTGCTGCTGACATCCACCGACTTGTTTCTCAAGCATCAATCTTTTATCGTGTTAGCCCGAAACATAAATTAACAATTGTTAAAGTAAAAATATCGACTATATAGATTTAGTTACTTTGGACATTGTTTTCTAGGCTTTGCAAGCACAGGGACATATTGTAGGTATGACAGGCGATGGTGTGAACGATGCTGTTGCTCTCAAAGCAGCTGACATCGGTATCGCCATGGGACAAACAGGAACCGATGTTTGCAAAGAAGCAGCTGATATGATTCTTGTCAAAGATGACTTTTACACAATTATGTAAAGATAAATCGCGAAAATTCGAAGAGAAATCGTCTATTGTGGTTCTTTTAGGGCAGCAATCGAAGAAGGAAAAGCAATCTTTCACAATATTCGAAATTTTGTTCGATTTCAATTGAGCACGTAATGTTTTGATTGCATTCAATTAAGTTCACTTCTATTCTCATTTCACAGGAGTATTGCAGCCTTGAGTTTAATCACACTTTCAACAGTATTTCATTTTCCTAATCCATTGAATGCTATGCAAATTCTCTGGATTAATATTATCATGGATGGTCCGCCAGCGCAAAGGTTCGTTATTCTCATGTGTCAAAAGACAATTGGCAAGTTTCACTTTCAAAATTTAGTCTCGGCGTTGAACCTGTTGATCATGATGTATTAAAAAAGCCACCACGGCGAGTAACCGATCCAATGATCGATAGGAAACTAATTGCAAACATTCTCACCAGTGCAATAGTGATCGTTGTCGGAACTCTCTGCGTCTTCTATGCAGAAGTATGTGAACATATCTCATTCATTTGTTGACACGAATGTTGATCCTTTCATTTCAGATGAGAGACGGAAAAGTAACGCCAAGAGATACAACGATGACATTCACATGTTTCGTCTTTTTCGATATGTTCAACGCACTGAGCTGTCGATCTCAAGTAATAGAACAAACGTAGTCAATCTTGCAATTCAAGATTCTCGTTTTAGACAAAATTTATATTTGAAATTGGACTCTTTTCGAATCGATTCTTTGTCGTCGCTGTATTTCTTTCCATTGTCGGGCAATTAGCAGTGATCTATCTTCCACCATTACAATACGTTTTTCAAACAGAAGCATTGAGTATTGCAGGTAGATAACACGCATTCTTCGCATTTCTCTCCTCGAATTTCATCGTTACTTGCTTAGATTTGTTCTATTTGACATGTTTAACATCATCTGTGTTTCTGGTCAATGAATTTCGAAAATTAATCTCAAGAATTCTTCTGAAACGCCAGCATCATCGTCAAACTCGAACAATTAATCAATGGATGGTGTAACAAAAACAGATATCGAGTATTTCTTATTTTCTTTTTGATAGCAAAAGCAGCTATTTGTCTCACCGTATTCTATACATATCTGGTGACATTTTACAGATTGTAAGTTGTCCATTATTCGTCTTGTTTGTTTTCTTTTTCTTTAATTTATTTAAAACTTTTATTGTTACTTTTCTGTCCCATATCTGTTAAATCATTTTTTTTTGCATATAAAAATCAACGAAAACCATTTCGTCGCAATTATCTGACATTTATTCGGAATACTAGATTAGAGTACAAAGAAAACAATCGACTAATAAATGGAATGTTTAAAAGAATCGAATAAACATAAGAGAAATAAAAACATGGAATGCCGAATAGTGTGGAAAGAGTTTGTCACTCGAGGAGATTTGAGTGTAGATTCGTTTACATCCTTTGTTGTCTCGATGTGTGATAAATTGTTGACAATCAGGTGTTTCTAAAAGAGCGGAAAAATGTAGATCTATCGCAAGGGAACATGAGCTTACGGTAGAGTGTTATTCGTCCGTATTCGGGTGGAAAATTCGGTGAAGTCGCGTTAATGTAATAGTGTCCGAGATCGGCTTGTTCAACATTGATAATGGTTAAACGCGAGAGAATACAGTCGGTGCAAATCGACATCTCAGGAATGGTAGCTTCGATTAAATATTTTTGCGAATTCCAAATATCGGTGTCGTATTTCATGTTCGGAAGACCGGCACTTCGTTCTTTTCGCCACCTGATAGCAAAACAAAGAGAGAAATGAAACAAGAGAGGTCAAAAAGTAGTTTCGTCGTACGAAATTTTCGGAGCCGGATAACCATGCACATAGCACTCCATGTAAACATCGACTTGAAAATCCGTTGCTTGACCAACTTCATTTTGACAGTAAATAAATGGTCGAACTACAGATACAAAATCCTATACATGATCCAGAACTAATTCAAACTTACATCGCACTGAAAGCTTCAATGTCCATTCACTGCCAAAGCCAACCAAATTACTCGCTAGAAGAAAAATATCCTTAACATTTCTATTACGAACGCTTGACATACCAAGACATTTATAAATTCCTGTATCACGAGATGTTACACGATGTAGATGTAATTGTGAACCCTATTATTAGAAGTATGATTAGGCCTCTTGGAGAAATTTGCTTTTGTCACATACCACTTGACGAATGTAACCCGATGATAGAGGAGCCGCATCTGCCTTTTGCCATTCAATTTTCGGAACTGGATACCCTGAGAAAATAATCAATCGCTCATATACGTGAAATTGATGCTCTTTTGCAAAAACAAATACAATAACTTACCTTGAGTATTACAAATCAATGTGACAGAATCACCTTCATTGACTTCAATATCCTTTGTTGAAGATTCCAAGACCACGGGTTCACCTAGATGAAATTTTACTCGTATAATAATCATTTCTGCACTTCTCTACTTACTAATCACATTGAGAAAACGCGTTAAATACACATCACGCAAATTTGTGTCAGTCAACCGACCTATATAATCGAAACGATAGTCGAATGTTCCTGTTTCTTTAACGATTACTTACAGGTTAAATTTCCTATATCATCACGATCGAGCGGATCAAAAATGAGATACCAATCCGGTGAATCCGTGCCATGTATTGCTTGTAGTCGCGGGACCGGTTGGTTGAATTGCAGCACATCAGAATCTACAGCTAGTGTGAAATTTTTCCCATCATTAAATCTCTCCAATGACCATTCAACCTATGCGAAATGAAATATCATTCGTCTCTTTTGAGATCGATTAGATTCGACTAAAATGAGAATGCTATTTTTTTTTATTCACGTACGTGTCGTTTATCGCTTGGAGTTAAACCAACGAGTGTGCATTTGGCCACTAGCCTTTCTCCTGCGCGTGGTGCAATTGGATCGAAAATGATACCATCTTTATCTCGCATATCAAACCGTGGCGTCGTTTCAGCATAACTCGACGAGATTGATACGCAGATGAAATACGCTAATTACGAAGATAAGAATAAAAATTTAATTAGGCAAAGTGTTTCTTTTTTACCGAAAAAATCCCATGATGTTTTCATGTTTTCGTCGCAAAACAAGGTGAGATTTGCTCTCCTGTGATTAATTGTCCTCAAATATGGACAAAGGATGACCGATTGACTGACCAATGGCTTATCGGTCAGTTCCAGATTATACGAAAAAGAAATCGACTTTTATCTTTCTTTTTATCTAGATTAGCATATTCTAGAGAAAAATTCTTTTTTAAATGAATTTCATGCAAATTCAACGACATCTATGCATATATCCTATTGGTCAGCAGCAGCATCTTATGGAGTAGTACTAGTTCTCTGCAGTAAAAACACTTACCATTAGCAATTCTGAAATTTTGAACAAATGGCACTCTATCAGAAAACGTATGACTTGATTTTGATCAATTTTGAATTACTTTGTAGTGTCCATAGGCTTGAGCAGTTCGAATCGTTGTTAAAATGCGACATAATTGATATGAAAAAACTGAAAATTCTTGCATTTAACGGTAATTATTTCCTTCAAGAAAACACTTGACTATCTCCAATGATTTGACGTTTCTCATTAGGTTGTCCGGCAGAAAACGGTATTCGGAGTTTAACGTGGAAGGTAAAGTTCGCTGAATTCATTGTTTTGGAATAAATCTTTGTTTTTGATAATCAAGATTCTACTGAACTATCTCGTTCTCGATCGGACGAAATGGTCATCGCATCTGAGCAAACAGCGGTAGGAGAATTTGCTAGGATCAATTCCGATGATTCTTCATCGTTTCTTTTTTCATATTTAAAGGGAGTTGTATCGTGGCTATATTCGTGAAACGATTATTAAGCCAGGTTTAGCTCCAACAACAGAATCCGATGTTCTCGATCATGTAAAAATTCACACATGAATCTCGAAGGTTATGACACATGACTCTTTTCTAGCCGTTAAACTCTGCACCAGACAGTTCGTGGGCTGTTTACTTCAAAGAAAATGAAGTCTTACTACAAATTGATAAAGACGTTCGGTGAGTTAACTGTGTAATCTATTCGAGTTTAATATTCGAGTTCGTATGTATACAGGCGACTTTGTCCTGATTTATCTTTCTTTCAACGTGAAACTGATTATGCATGTGCTGAAATTTTAAACCAAGAAGCTGGATTTGAAAGTTTACGTAAGCGTATTGTTTCCACTGCGCTCAAAGTCGAATCTCAATCTCGTTCACGGCTGACCGGTCGACTAGAATTCGAATATCAGAACAAAGCCAGTCAATCGTCAACGACATTCGATGATAATGAGTATCAACTATTACCCGATGGTCACGAAGCACATTGGGAAGTTGTTGAACGGATTCTATTCGTTTTCTCCAAATTGAATTCCGGACAGAGTTATGTTCAAGGAATGAATGAAATCATCGGACCAATTTATTACACCTTTGCCACAGATCCCAATCCAGAATGGAGAGGTGAGAAGCAGCATTCTGTTCTAACCTGAATTTTCATATATGTTTAGAACATGCCGAGGCCGATGCGTTCTATTGTTTTACTAACTTAATGATTCACATTCGTGACAATTTTATGAAAATCTATGATCATTCCGAATTTGGTATTCTTGTTCGCATGCAAAGACTTCTGATGTTATTGAAAAGGACTGAATCGGACATTTATTATTTATTCGAAAAACAAAAAATTAAACCGGAATTCTATGCATTCCGTTGGTTGACATTGTTATTATCTCAAGAGTTTCGTTTGCCAGATGTCTTGCGTATTTGGGACTCGTTATTTGCTGATCAAGAAAGAAATTTTGAGTTTCTTCTCTATATCTGCTGTGCTATGATTGTGTATGGCGAACATTTTTTTCTCGTTTTCATATAGTATCTTCAATTTCTTCTCTTTTAGTCTTCAAAAAAATCGACTGTTAAGTGGATCGGAATCTCAGAATATCAAACTGTTACAAGTTCGATTCTGTTTTTCTTCTCAGTTATGTGTTTAACTCGATATTTGCTTTCGTTTAGAACTATCCACAAGATATTGACATCCATCATATCTTAGAAAAAGCTGTTGAATTGAAGCATCTGCATCGTCTCTAATAAAGCTTTTCGTTTCTTCGGTCACTGTTGTGATTGTCAAGTGTCTTTGTTCTGATAGAAATATTTGTTTCGTATTTTACTAATCAAAAAACGCGTATACTCATTTGTGACGTGCAATAGAAAACGTGAGTCTGTGTTGTTTTTCTCTCTCTTTGTGATTATCTCAAACATTCTTGAATTTTGTAAGTTTTATCAGATATGAATTCTAATAAAAGAAAATCTCGACAGTATTTGTAGACAGATTGACAATTCCCTTGGCGAATACATGACAGATGTTTATCAATATCAGCGAAGAACTTTTATGTAGAAATCGCGGTTTTAATTATGATTTTAGATGGCTTCCGTTGTGACAACAAATGAAAATGATTATATGATTGCGATCGATCAAATCAAGGCATGACATTTCATGAACGTGTGTACGTAATCGCTTCGTCGTTTTGTAATAGGGTCGACAGATCATTGCGAAACGAAACTATCAACAAGGGGAATTGATTTTCGAAGAACAACCGCTTGTTTTAGCACAATTCGAATGGAATAAATTATACAAATATTCGGTAGAAAGCCGATTACATGCAAACCTAGAAGATCTTCTCGTTTCAGGCGTGTGAATATTGTTTGTACCCGTTGGAATCATGTGAGCAGAATGTTCGTCGTCTTTGCCAGGATTCATCGATCGTTATTCCATATCCTGAATGTGATCCTAATCAAACAATCAGTCAGCGAGTTGTTCGATGTCCGAAATGCAATGTTAGGCATGAAACATGAGAAAAACGTTATGTAACGTTGACTATTTATAGGAAATGTACTGTTCGGTAGGCTGCTATCATCAAGCAATGAACAGCTACCATTCAACACTTTGTCAGTCTGATGAAACTGATAGTAAAGTCCACTTGATTCGACAGATTATCGATTTATGGAGGTAAAACGAGAATCTAAAGTTTGATGTATAAAGATCGAAATTAATTAGATCGGCACACCCTCCGCCCGAGACAACATCGATTTCACTCGTGCTTAAACTAATGGCTATGCTCAAACAGGCAAGTCGCAAACGAAAACTACTACTGAAAACAGGAAATAATGTCTTTATAGAGTAACAATCGACTATCACTTCTACAAGAGCTTCAGAAGTTTTCTCAGGGTGTCCAGAGTGAAAATCAGAGATTCTATCATAAATTACTGCGGAAAGAATTTCAAGTAAGTCCACATGACATCGTTATTTATGGACAACTTCGCTTTTCTTCTTCTTCCAGTCTCAAGTGGAACAGTTAAGACAAGCTTTGGGTAATTTCAACGAACAGTATATACAAATCGAAGAATTTCGGTGGTTTCTCACACCAGACGGCTTTCGACAACTATTAGCCTTACTTGGACGAAATCAACAAGGTGTTGGAACAAGTTCACTGGCGGTCTGGGTAAAAAATTGTGAGAATTTATCAACGGCCGAACAAGCTGTAGCCGGCGCAGCAGCAGCTGCTGCAAGTAGTGATATATCGCAACTCATTGATGCGATTTATACAAAGATTGATGACAGTAAGAAAGTACTCAATAAGACTTTGTTCTAAATTGTCTGTTTAGTTTCCGGTGAATTTATCGATTGTGAAGGAAGTGGATTATTCAAACTACAAAGCTGCTGTAAGTGTGACTAGAAAAACTAATCTATATTATATTTTGATGTTTCGTTTCAGTAAATCATAGTTGTGACGCGAATGCCGAGATACAATATCGGCATAATAATTCCACTCTGTCTGTTGTTGCTACTCGGTCGATATCGAGCAATGAAGTTTGTTAGACGTAAGATTATATATTTGAGATTCGTGATGTTTTTTTGCAGGAAATAACAATCAACTATTTGTCTGAATGTGACAGAAATCGATCAAGACATTCCAGACAGAAGCTTCTTCAGTACGTATAAAACAACAATTGATCAGGATAGTTTTGAAGAATGTTCATCCGCGACTTCATTCTAGGGAAAATTATTTGTTTTTGTGTCAGTGCAATCGATGTGTCTCGGAAGCAAGCGAACTTGATGAAACAAGCGAAGAAGACGACGACGACGACGATGAAATGGATGAGAACTAAATTGTCGTGTTATGCTTTTTTCTTGTTATGAAAAATTGAAATAAACACCGCAGAAACGTTTCTATTTTCACATTTGGATATCTTTCTATCCTACCATCAGAAAATTCAAATCTGTTTATACACCGACAACTTCTTGCTCATTCTGCTTTTTCTAGTTCAACTCACATTCAATGAATGAACTCTTGACCGCTGTATTTATCTACATCATGCGCCATCTATTTTGTCTCGCTTTCTCATTGGTTAACCTTGTGATTATTGTAGAATAAAGTGCGCAACCATCATTCGTTCGCTTCAGACAGAAAAAGCCCCAGAGCGCATACAGACAAGCGAAACACATTCTACATGAATAGTTGCATAAACTCTAATCAAACTCTGTCTATTTCTAGATCTTGTTTTCATATCATGCAGAAGTACCCAACAAAGTCTTGCAAGAACTGACGCCCAATCATGATGAATCAAACGATATTACCTTCACAACAAGCAACACTTTACATGTCAAGTTCTGGTGGAACAGATCCGAATTCTTCATCGTCAGTGGCGACAATGAACTCTACACAATTAAATCTATTTAATCATCAAATCCATGCATATAAATATCTCGCACGAAATCAAACTGTGCCTGAACAGCACATGAATGTCATCAAACGAAGTCAACAACCGCAAACACAATTCTATCCACCAAATGCTGTGATCTCCAAGCAAACATCCGACTCTCGGTTTAGTTCACCAACGATCAACACAATCAAACCGCCAGTCAATGGCACAACTCCACGTTTTCCCGGCGCATCAACGCACTATTCACCTGTACAAGTGAATGGTAATACAGCCACAACTAACATTTATCATCCATCGACAACTGTCCAAGCTTCAACAAATATTATCAGTCAAACTCCATCGGTAACTGAGAATGTTCTCACTAACGTATCAAGTATTTCCTTGAATAATAATTCGACTGTCACAACTCGTCCAACTAATCTTCGCATAACGCCAGTGCAGAAACCAACTGGTTTAGATATGCAAGAGGTTCTTGCTGAGCGTGATCTTCGTATTCAACATAATATCGTTGTTCGAATAAGTGAATTAGAAAACTATTTACCAACACTGATTCAAACTGATTTACGAATGAGAGCTATGATTGAACTCAAAGCATTGAAATTATTGAATTTCCAACGACAGGTTAGTCCAATCACACTCATACTATGATCTTCAAATACTCTTTGCCTGTTGTTCTCTTTCAGCTTCGCACAGAAGTCGTCACTTGTATGCGCTTAGACTCCAGTCTCGAAACAGGTAACAATCCCCGGTTATACAAACGTTCGAAACAATTCGGCATGCGCGAGGCACGTGCTACAGAAAAATTAGAGAAACAACAACGAGCTGAGATTGATCGCAAACGACGACAAAAGCATCAAGAGTATCTCAGCGCTGTTCTAACAGTTGCACGAGAGTTCAAAGAATTCCATAAGTCAGTTCAATTGAAAACCAATAAATTAGCACGCTCGATACTTTCTTGGCATCAAAATACAGAACGTGAGCAAAAGAAAGAACAGGAAAAACGTGATCGAGAACGTATGCGTCGTTTAATGAACGAAGACGAAGATGGTTATCGAAAACTGATCGATGAAAAGAAAGACAAACGTCTAGCTTATCTATTATCTCAAACCGATGCGTACATAATAAGTTTGGTGAATCTTGTCAAAGAACATCAAGATGATTTGAAAAAGAAGAAGATGGAGAAGAAACAGAATTATACCGAAGACGTTCAACAAACGACGGACGATGTGAACTGTCTACGCGTTAAAGTGAAAAATTCAACGACAGGTGAAATCAAAGAAGGACAAGATGCACCATTATCATCCGAACTAGATGCCTGGTTGGAGAAAAATCCAGGATGGCAACCGTTGCCGAGAGATGCCAGTGATGATGAAGACGATGATTCATCACGTTTACCTGAGACAACGACGACAGCAACACCTATCGCAGTTCCAACACCTGAAGAACAAGAGAAAGGTATTGTTGAGGATGATAATATAGTTAAGGAAGTTATAACAAAAGCCAAGCAAGCTACCGACGATGATGAATATCATACATCATCAACCGATTCGTATTATGCTGTTGCACATCGAGTTCGTGAGCGCGTAACGAAACAATCATCATTGCTCATTGGTGGAATTCTGAAACCATATCAAATTCAAGGCTTAGAATGGCTTGTTTCATTGTACAATAACCATCTGAATGGTATTCTAGCTGATGAAATGGGTCTCGGAAAAGTAAGTGAAGTAGTTCGTCGGATCTTTTGTCTTACCGTGTTGACCTTTGTAAATTGATAGGCATGAGTCAAAACGTATCTTTTGACATCTGTCAATTTCGTTTGTTCTTTAGCGAGAGTGAAATCGAGTACATCGTAGACACGCTTTGTTTCAAGGATGATGATCGTCACAGTTGATTCATATATATCTTTTCTGTTGTAGACAATTCAAACAATTGCTTTAATCACATATCTAATGGAAGTGAAAAAAGTTAACGGTCCTTATCTGATCATCGTACCTTTGTCGTAAGCGATGAAGAATGAAAACTGTCAGTTGTATTCTTTTTTTCGTCTTTAGAACATTGGCGAATTGGGTTAACGAATTCGGTAAATGGTCACCAGCTGTTTCGACTATTATTTTCAAAGGCAATCCTCAGACACGTAAAATCCTTGGTCAAACTCTTCGCAGTGGCAAATTCAATGTACTTCTAACGACCTATGAATACATTATTAAAGATAAAGCACTTCTGGCAAAAATAAAATGGCGTTACATGATTATCGAGTTCGTCATAAAAACTTTCTTCCTTTCTTTTTCTTCATTATGATTTTGTTTTTTAGCGAAGGTCATCGTATGAAAAATCATCACTGTAAATTAACTCAAGTTCTCAACACGTACTACATCGCTCCTCATCGTTTGCTGTTGACCGGTACACCATTGCAAAACAAATTACCTGAATTATGGGCTCTATTGAACTTTCTTTTACCATCGATCTTTAAATCTTGTACGACATTCGAACAATGGTTCAACGCACCGTTCGCAACGACATGCGAAAAAGTCGAATTGAATCCTGAAGAAACTCTCCTCATCATTCGACGTCTACACAAAGTCTTACGACCGTTTCTTCTACGTCGATTGAAAAAAGAAGTCGAATCTCAACTACCTGATAAAGTAAACTAAACAAAACTTTCCTTTCTGTCAAATATCAATGTCCTATTTAGGTTGAATATGTTATCAAATGTGATATGTCTGCGTTACAAAGAGTTATGTATAATCAAATGCAATCCACTGGCATGCTCTTAACCGAAGACAAAGTATGTTATAGCTATGGAGGTTTCTCGCTGACGCATTCTTGCTTGCTCGTTTAGAATGGTAAAGGAAGCAATCCAAAAGCTTTAATGAATACGATCATGCAGTTACGGAAAATCTGCAATCATCCATTTATGTTCAATGAAGTTGAGGAAAAGCTCAGTCAACATTTTAACTATTCAAGCAGTGTTTGTATGGGGTATGAGAAACTTGATCTCTTGACGAATCATTCCCAAATCAACGCAATACTTTTCCTTCTAGAGCTGATCTCTATCGTGCAGCTGGTAAATTCGAACTACTCGATCGTATACTACCAAAATTCAAAGCAACGAATCATCGTGTCCTACTCTTCTGTCAGATGACTTCGTTGATGACTATTATGGAAGATTACTTTGCTTACAAAAGTATGCGAATGGTCTGCTTTGGGGTATATTTTGCTTTCACTCGAGTCTTGTAGATTTCACCTATTTACGTCTGGATGGTCAGACAAAGTCGGAAGAGCGTGGGGATTTACTAGCAAAATTCAGCGAAGCTAATTCAGATATATTCATCTTTCTCTTGTCGACACGTGCCGGTGGTTTGGGCTTGAATTTGCAAAAGGCAGATACAGTTATTATCTTCGATTCGGATTGGAATCCACATCAAGTACGTTGATTGATCTTGGCACCGAGCTGTTGTCACCTTATGATATGCTTCATTGTAGGATTTACAAGCTCAAGATCGTGCACATCGTATCGGTCAAGTAAACGAAGTTCGTGTACTTCGTTTAATGACCATCAACAGTGTTGAAGAGAAGATCTTAGCTGCTGCGCGTTACAAATTGAACGTTGATGAGAAAGTTATTCAAGCAGGCATGTTCAACAACAAATCAACTGGTAACGAACGACGACAATTTTTACAACAGATCCTTTTACAAGAGACGGAAGAGGGTGATGAAGAAGAAGATGAAGCTCCTGATGACGAAGTTATCAATCAAATGATTGCACGATCTGAAGAAGAATACAATATTTTCAATGTGAGAGATGCAGAGCAATTTCATTTGTTGGAACTTCGTTTTGTTGATTTAGAAAATGGATCGCGAACGTCGACATGCTGAAGCTCGATTATCCAATAGAAAGTCACGATTGTTTGAATTATCCGAACTGCCATCATGGTTAACAAAAGATCCAAAAGAATTGGAAAGTGCATTGCTTGATCAGGAGACCCTCGATTTACTTGGACGAGGTTCACGGCAACGAAAAGAAGTTGACTATTCCGATTCATTAACCGAAAAGGAATGGCTGAAAGTGCGTTCGAGTTTTTCCAATCTCATCTCAATCAACTAATTTTCCGTTTCGTGATAGGCTGTAGAAGATGGTACATTAAATTCTCTAGAACATGATAGAAAACGTCGACGTAAACGACGTACGCTGAATGAGGATGCTGACGATGATGATGATGGTCAACACGACGATCTCGATGGACGACAGTTTGACCGTGACATTGATGGAGTTGATTCAAAGTCCGGTAAAAGAAGTGGAAAACGTAAACTAAAAGATTCACATAAACATTACCAAAATGAGCCAATTCCGACGAAATTGTATAAACAAATGCAAACATTATTAGAAGTTGTGATTAAATATCGTGACGAGTACGTACCGAGAACTTCATTACCGATATTCATCATTCGTTCGCTCATTTTCTAGTGAAGACAATCGGGTTTTGAGTAAACCATTCATGCGGTTGCCAACACCAAAAGAACTACCAGAATACTATGAATTGATAAAACATCCTGTTGATTTCAATAAGATTAAGGTTGGAATGTTGAACTTGATAATTAAGTAAACAAACAAGAAATTTGCTTTTTTAGAAAAAGCTTGGTGAATCTCGTTATCGTACTTTGGATGATCTCGAAGCGGATGTGATGCTGCTATGTAAAAATGCTCAAGAATTCAATGTAGAAAACTCCAGTGTAAGATTCAATGATGTTCTGTTTATGAAAACATTTCTTGCCCATTCAGATTCACGAGGATTCAATTATACTTCAATCAGTATTCACAAGCGCACGCGAACGTCTGGAAAAGGGTGAAATTGCAGTTAGTTCGAATTCCGAAGATGAATCCGACGATGATGGTAAGTCGAATGGAATGTCAAACTTAGCGAAACACTCGATTTAATTTAGAACCATTGAAAAAACGAGTCAAAAAAGAAGACAGTTCAAAGAAGGTAAGAAAACAAGACGACTATTTACAGATGATCATGTTTTCATTTGCTAGAAGTCTCACACTCAATCGCATACACCTGGCAGTGTTGGCAGTAATTCAAACAGTCGGCGTAAGAATCGTGTGATGAGTGATGATGAAGATATCACCATGGACGAAACAAATCAAGTAGGGGTGCTTTTTGTAACAATCTTCCGTTCAAATAAATATGTGATCTTTATAGTCGTTGCTCGGCGGTCTTGAAGGTGATGATGATGACGAAGAAACTCGCGGTTCTGGTTCACGTCACAAATGAAGATATCTTTCTGTTGTTTTCCCCCCTTTGACATTTCTGTTACTATATGCGTATTTTAGCTATACTGTCAAATGTACATGTGTGTGCGTGCGTGTATATTATATTCTAGAGAAATCAGCGTGAAACAAAAGAAGAATAGGCGTTATCGTGAAGACCGCTACGAGAACGAACAGTTTTTCTGTGCAATATTTGCATGAATCGAAAACTTTCTCTTTCGTTCTTTTTCTCTTTCACGCATTTATTATTTTCGGCTGTACATTTCATTGTCTCTTTCATTCATTCATTCTCATCAATGATGCGCTCGTGTGTCGTTTTTCTTTTTTTTCTTCCTTTTGTTCTTACGCTATTCTGATCCATTTCTTTGACACAAAGAATAAGAAAGCAAATCTTATGTTCATTCAAACAAACAAAAAAAATCGGACAAATAAATATCTAACAATCACGTGTCTAACACACACACCTAATGGACGTATCAGAATGTATTCAATTGTGTGAATTAAACAGAAGAAGATGAGGATTACTTATTCATATATTCTGTTGACAACTCGTTAGGATAAGCTTCGTCTGAGATCTATCTGTATGTCTGGTATTAGTTTGGATGAAACGTGCTTAATTTTTGTCTTGTCAAGTGTCTGGAGAGACAGATAAATTGACAACTCGTCACGAAAGAATTCATTTCGATTGCGAGACAATGTTAGGTCAGTCTTGTTTCTTTTGCAGTAAGATTCTTCTCGTTTCAAACAAGTCAATTTTCGTACTAATAGTACTGAGTTTCGGTACATTCATTGGTACTTCAAGTTCATTTGTCAATCAAACGACGGCAACGGCTTCATCTTGGATGCAAAATGCAACAAGTGACGTGAAAAAACTAGCTAACTGTATTGATGACTTGTAGAACTTCGCAAGATGTTTATTTTACTTTTAATAGATAAACTTCAAGATAAGTCCTTCGCCGTCAAGTATATGTCTGAAATCGGTTCACGTTGTACTGGTTAGATGATCGTCTTGACTATTACTTTGTATTAAAGGTTTTTTAAGAGGATGGATTCTTCCCTGATAAGGAGGATTGCCGGAAATTCCACGTTTGTTCCAATGGTATACAATCGATTCGGCGGTGTAAGGAAGGCATGTTATGGGACGAGACGAAGATTGGTTGCAATATGCAAAATAGTACGATGTGTACAGGCGGTCGAAAAAAATGGCTCACAGACGAAAGTATAAATTTTGAAATGATGATCAAACGAAAAGAGAAAGAGAGACACGAAATCTACATGTTATAGATGGTATATCGAAATCATTCAAAGGCAATTATACGTGTCGATCAGGTGCGAATGGTTTATTTGCTGATCCAAGTTCATGTTCGATTTATCATCGGTGTGTGCTTGGTATTCTACACTCAACGCATTTTTGTAATCCAGGTTTACACTTTTCTGCAAGTGCTAGTGGATGCGTTTTGCCAAAAGACGCGGAGTGTAAGTGATTTATAGATTGAGAGCTTTTATGACAATATTCCTTCTGGCGAATACTTTTCCTATTATGTATGAATAAAAGAGGTATTGAGAAGGAAGGTCTCAATTTCTGTAACGACAATGACAGTTGACATTTTCACCTTGGGCGAGTCATATGTATACCATATCAGCAGAAATTATCGAAAGGTAATATAGTACATGTATGTGAGTGCGGCTACAAACATACCCATACAGTAACTCGCGTATATTTTATCATCGTTTCTACGATTCTTTTGTGTAAAATCAAGAAGCCATTCGAGTGGCTATTTACAATTTTAGGCGAAGGGCAAATTGCTCCACCGTATTCATCTATTGAATGTGCTCTGGGTAGCTCAGGTTATTTTCCTGATCCGTACGATTGTTCGGTATTTCACTATTGCGATGGTAAAGTTCAATTGCATTTTAAAACTGTTTTAAGCAACCGTTACGTATACGAATATAGGTGTGAGAATTCAAAGTGAAGCATTGCTGTGTTCTGCTGGTCGTGTATGGAGCTCGCGTAAGTTGTCATCCGTCATGTGAAACAACTATTGACTTCTTCCTAATTTATATATAGGATTAGAAAACTGTGCTTGGCCACACGAGGTTCCTGAATGTATGTATCAGTATTCAGAATGAATTCCATCATCTATATCCATTGTCCTTAAGGTCACAATTCTTGTCCACCAAATTACTCTAGTCAAATGCGTTTTTCGGATCCCGTGGTATGTTCAAAATATATCCAATGTGTGGATGGAAGTTTACAGCCGCGAACGTGTTTAAATAACTTTCTCTTCGATCGTATTACGAAAACATGTAAACCGTATGAGCAAGCTGAATGTCATGGCGATAAGCCTGGTTCTCTTTCGACGGCTACGACTAGTGATCCATGTGAGTCCCTCGATGTGCAGATGTTCTTTATAATGAAATTGAAACGATCATTTAGACATTCCATTTGACATCTCAGATAGCAATCCGATTTCATCCGACGAAGTGAATAAGAAACAACGAGTGATTTCATTCAGCTGTATTGGTAAGGCAATTAAAACATGAAACTATTTCTTTCGTATTTCTATTGAAATTTGATCTCTAGTTGATGGTTATTTTGGCGATACACAGGATTGCCGTGTTTATCATGTTTGTATCGATGGACGCGATTATCGTTCGATTTGTGCGCCAGGTCTGCATTGGGAATCATTGTTACGTTTGTGTATGCCTGCACATCTTGTTGGCTGTCAAAATTCGAAATCGATTGATTCAACATCAGGCTCAGTAAAGAAAAACTGGTTCCAGCTATTTACACGTCCAATCATGAAATCCACAATAGTAACAACGACGACAACAGCACCCGTGCCAATCACATCAATGCTACCTTCGATGTTCACTTGTGCCAGTCGTGTTAACGGTTACTATCCCGATCCAGTTCATTGTCATAAATTTCATTACTGTGGCACAGGTACGTACGCGCACTTTATGACTCTGTGTCTGTTTTAATCACTATGAATATCTTCGTTATTCTTAGGTTGGCATAGCGTGATGGAATGTGATAAGGGTTTGGCCTATTCGGCTCGAGACAACGAATGTCTGCCTATCGAAATGGTTAACTGTAATGTTGACAGAGCAAAAGCTCGTTGATGGAACGAGATAATGCTTTGTTTTCGTCAGTTTGATTTTGTTTTAAACTACTCAATGATTGTCTAAATAATCAAATAAACGGAAAGCTACGATTTTATCGCTACTGACTGACCATATGCGTATTTTTCCCTCGATAATGAAGCGATTTTTCATTTTGATAAAAGTGTCTTGACTTGTTTTTATCCGTATGGTATTCTCTCTTTCAATCGTTGAAGAACACGAGAAAAAGAAAGAAAAGAACAGAAGAGAAAAATGTCTATCGGAAGCACAAATGTAAACGAGTAACGTAAGAAAAAACGAAGAAGGAGGGAAAAGAAATATACAAGGCGTATAAAACGATAAAGACAAAAATACATGCAAACATTATTCTTTTCATGTCTCTCTTCGAAAAGTACTCAGAAAACGTTTTTCTCTAACGATATCACAATTTTATCGTTAACTTTGTCTCAAAAAAATTTATTACCGTAAATTGGACTTCGTACTATTAATCTTCATATGATAATCTTTGAAATACGATGTCGACGATTGCCACGATTCTCCAGGATGAAATCTCAACAGCAACTTTGCAAAAAGGCCTGTATGCTATCGCAGCATGTACTTTAATCGGCGCAGCAGCCTATGCCGGCTATAAAGCGGCTGAACCCGAAGCAAAACACTTGCCATCACATCGTCATCCTGAATCAAACGAGCAGGTAAGAAGAAACATCAGAAACCGTCCTTTTGACTGTCTTTTCGATATACTAATCAAAGGAGATAACATGTCAGTGCCATTTTTCCTTTACGTCAACACTATGTAGAGCAAAATACAACAGGCCCCTAAAGAACAGACGATTCTTCGCCTAACAACATTTTCACAAAATGCGTCGAGCATTTTCAATAATATGAAACATTCTTCTGTTGTAAAGAATGTAAAAAAAAGGGGTGCTGTCGATAGGATATTCGTATTCATTTTATTACGATCATAAACATCAAGGGTGTTTTTATTCTAGTGAATAGAAATAAACAAACAAAACATTACAGGAGAGAATGATATATGATACTAATATTGTATTCGTCGCTCGTCGTTCGATCAGGACGAGTTGATAACGAGAATAAGCAAGCTGGATTTTTTTCTTTGATATTTGCGATTATTTCATCACGACAAGGCTTCCAGTCGAGATATTGATTATTTCCGTCGCTTGTTAATGCTTTGTAAATCTATTCTCCTTACTATTGAGTTCATAGCTTGCAAGTGCTTTACACAAATCCTTTCATTTTATCTCTAATATATTAGATTGAAAAAGTTCTTGAACTATTACGTCTCGATGACGAGGACAAACTTCGAATTATCATGCAATCACTCGAACGAGAAATGGAGCTTGGCCTATCCCCAGCCACACATCCAACAGCTGACGTCAAAATGTTCGCCACTTACGTTAGAAGCACAGCTGATGGTTCCGAAACTGGCCAAGTGCTTGCACTCGACTTAGGTGGAACAAACTTTCGTGTGCTACTGGTTGATTTATTGCCGCAGTCGAAAGTTGAATTGACTTCAAAAATTTTCGTTATACCTCAGTCGATCATGCTCGGCGAAGGCTCTTATGTAAAGTGACATTCGTTTTTCATGACTGTTCTCTTATCTCTTTGTGCTTTTAGCTATTTCGTCATCTTGCTGATTGTTTGATGGAATTCATGAACAAAGAAAATTTGAATAAGCCAGGTGTTCGTTATCCATTAGGCTTTACCTTTTCGTTTCCATGCAAACAGGAAGGTTTAGCATCGGCTCGTCTATCAACCTGGACAAAAGGTTTCACGTGCTCTGGCGTTGTGAATGAAGACGTTGTGAAAATGCTTCAAGCAGCTATTGATGAAAAAGTAGGCGATATCGCCAATTTACTCTGTTTATTAAAATTCAGTCAATCTAGAATATCAATGTACAGTGTGTCGCACTTGTTAACGATACAGTTGGCACATTAATGGCATGTGCATACAAAGACCCGAATACAGAAATCGGTTTGATCTTAGGAACAGGCACAAATGCGTGTTATATGGAAAAACTCGATCGAGTAGGCACATGGGATGGTGATTACAATGATCCGAAGCAAGTAATTATCAATATGGAATGGGGTGCATTTGGTAATAACCATCGTTTAAACCATATCCGAACAAAATACGACGAAGAAGTCGATCTTTCGTCTGTCAATCCGGGCAAACAGATGTATTATTCTTTTGCTTGCGCAATTCACTTTCTATTCTTCTCTTTCGGTTTAGTTTCGAGAAAATGATTAGCGGAATGTACATGGGTGAAATCGTTCGTTTGATTATGCTGGATCTAATACATCAAAACTTGTTATTTATCGGCAAATGTAATGGCTCAGAAGATTTCAAAACGCCGTTGTTCACACGTGGTGGGTTCTATACCAAGTACGTCAGTAGTGTGGAAATGGATGAAGGAATTGGATTTTCAAACACGAGACGTGTTTTGGAAGATATTGGAATAAGAAATCCCAGTTATGATGATTGTGCAATTGTTCAGCATATCTGTAAAATTGTGTCCAAACGTGCAGCACGATTAGCTGGAGCAGGTAACAAGCATTTTATTCTTCTGTTGAAATTATCTCTAGATGAAATTTATCGCTATAGGTCTTGCCGTTCTTATCAATCGTATCAATAAACCAAATGTAACGGTCGGTGTTGATGGTTCATTGTACCGTTATCATCCAAGATTTAAACGAAATATGGAGAAGTGTATGCAGAATTTAGTCAGTAAAAATATCAAGGTACGTAGAGTGATCGAATCTTGAGAAAATCCTGCTAGGACACGAAACGAATTATGAAAAGAGTACCGAAAATGGTTCATATTTCAGTTTCTACTACAATTATCCAATGATGGTTCGGGTATCGGTGCTGCATTGACTGTGGCAGCGGCAGAAGCTTTGTCTAACCAGGAAAAATCTAAACGATCTTATCCGTAAGATAGCTCAAAGTCACATGATTAATCACAGCTCCTAATGATTCATTTTTCTCCTTGATTTATTTCGGAATTTATCTCGTCTTTTCTCTCTTGTTTAGTTCAAACTAAGTTTATCCGACGATGGCAGTGGTAAAGGTGCAGGATTAATTGCTGTAGTTGCATCACGTTACTTACAACAACTATCACAATCGACCTCAACGCTCCATAATCATAACAATGAAAAAGTTCCGACTCAGTTTCAGAAACATTTATCTACTCTTCAATCTCCTATGTAGAAAATTTTGCTTTCTCCTCCTACTGTTTCTCTCGTCTCAACGCTCAATATTTATGAAAGAAAATGTGTCACATAAAATACTTGCAGAACATCTCTTTCTGCTTTCTTTTTTTCTGATAAAAAATTGTAAAACACCTGATTTTTGTTATTCTTGGTTGCTGATCCCGCCTCAAGATTAGATCTGGACATACATTGTACTTTTTTGTTTATCATTGATAATGAATAAAACTGAGATTTAGTCTAGCACACCTCAAATCGGTTGGTTCAGCTCGTTATCTATCAGAAAATAAGCACCTGATGTATATCTATCGAAGCGAGAGCACACTTGATAAAACGATGAGTCACTCACATACATCGCGATATTGCCATATATGGATATTATCCACAAGGAAGAAGAGAAACGGTCTAGTTTTCCATTGGATATGTTGCACACGTACTTGGCTACTCGGAGAAGGTATTACAGAATACGTTATGTGATTGCAATCATCATAATGTATGTAATTTCATGGTAAGATATGCCATTACAGACGACGAGGATGGTATGTTCTGATTCAGTGATGACTAATATCATGACGATAGATGTAATGATGATTCTGTTACGTCTTTTTCTCGTTGTTGACATTGTTTGTGCGATGTGGCATTTCAAGGGGGGAAAAGTGGAGTCTTTTTTCACTTTCTATTCCGACAGCACATGACAACCTACGCACTATTCTTTACAGCAAGGAGAATGTATTTAAACAGAAAAGAGAAAGAAAAACGACGAGTATTTTTCTCATTTTATAAGTAGACGTAAGTCGTAGCAAACTAAAAACGATATTCAATGTCGTCATTCTATGTACGATGAGTCGAAAAACACAACAACATGAAAGAAAATAGTGATGCATACAGTTGTTATGATTCGAAAAAACGTTTTTAGGCTTAGCGCGATGACTGAGTGTTGATGTACAACGAAAATATATGAAAAAGTAAATTAATGTCAACTACATAGCTGCCGATTCGATCATGTGATTTGGCAATGTTTATTTCACCATGTTATTTCGTTTTAGATGGCTGAACCAGATTCAATTCTGGAAAATAATATCGTGTCCGATCCGTGTGCATTGAGAGATCCGATTCCTTCGACTACAGAACTTGTAGAAGAACAAATTCCAATCACTACGACTGACAATGATCCTATACGAGTTCACCGAATGTTACTGGATTCGTTAATGTCAGCAACACCCACAGATGGCACTACTGATTATCATGGAATTATGAGAAATGTTCGATCGGAATTAATTTCGAGAGTTTCGTTCATTGATCATCGTCGTCGTCTCCGTGATACTGACGATGACTCATTCGATGATACTGACGATAACGAAACTATCACGCTCAAATCAGCTTGCTCATTAACCTCTGCTTCCGGATTAAATTATGCGATGAAACCTTGTCCAATATGCTTAGAATTAGCTGTGTTACAATCAACCTCATGTTGCACATTTCAATGCTGTGGCATATGCTGGCGTGCTCATGTATCAGCAACAATAAATGATGGTCGTATACAAGTGCCTTGCATCTCAAGTGACTGTAGCAAATATTTAACCAAAGAGTCAATAGTGAATTTTATTCGTTATGATGCGCCATCACATGAGCGTTATTTGAAACTCTATATAAATGCTAATCAAAATCCACGTGCTAAAACATGTAAAATCCAATATGGTTTATGATTCTGTTTGACTTTCTTCTGTTTGTTTAGGTCCACGCTGCTCACGTCTTTATTCTCTTGATGAAATCAATAGAAATCTTTCGAAAAAGTCCAATAAAAAGTCATCATCCAAAAAAGATGCGAACAAAAAGATCCCTAAACAAGTCCAATGTTCGGAATGTTCGTTAGTCTGGTGTTTTCGTTGTGCTGCGCCATGGCATGAAAATATGACATGTAAACAATTCGTTAAAGGTGATAAACTCCTGCTGAAATGGATCAAGCAGAAGAATGAAGATCAATGGAACGCAAGGAAATGTCCGAAATGTTCTTCATTCATACAACGTGCTGGTGGTTGTCCTCATATGACATGCTCGTCGTGCCAGTGCGAATTTTGCTATCTATGTGGGCGACGATATGTGAAAATTCCAGTTATTGGTAGTCATGGCAATAAATTCAGGTGATTAGATTTCTTTTAGCATTGAGAAAGTTTACAATAATTAGAAAAACGCTTTAGTGTCTTTGGATGTCCATATAATCTTCATCCGGAAAAGCCCTGGCTTCGACGAACAATACGTGGTTCAATAGCGACCGGTGCTGTGGTCGCTTCGCCCATAGTACTTGTCGGTGCTATAACGGCAGCTGTCACTGTTTTACCACCCTTTGGCATTTATAAGTTAGTTAGACACGTGCGAGAGCATCGCCGTGTAACTCGATCGCACCGAGACATTCTAGAACCAGAAGTACGCATCGACCCTGACCTTCGCCTACATGATGAGGATATATCCGCACACGCAGAAGGATTAACGATTGCACTGCACAATCGTTATGCATTCCAAAACTTTCTTCGAGAAATAAACGAATCAAGGCTTCCAGCAGAAACGAACAGTGATCCATCTTTACTATCAATCTTTGCCGAAATGGACGTTGAAAATTTATTCCAGGAACGTCAAGAATCATTATCATCGGATAATGCCACTGTGTCTGCGACATCTACGTACCAAGATCGAGAACTTACTCGATCCAATTCAGCTATTTCAATGATAAAATGTAATTCAGGTACGGATCCTGAATGTTAACACTAACTACCACCAATGATGGAATACATTTTCTTTGTCAAACAAAAAAATGTATGAATCAAATTCAAGAATATTTACCCGGTGTGTGTATGTCTTTTTGCTCTTTATTTATACGAATTGACTAACAACTCGCTTTTTGCTTTCGTTATTTCTCCTTTCTGAACAAACGTGTGTTAAGAATTGTATGAATTTTTTATATTTAAATTATTTTTTAATAACAAAACAAGAGTTCACTTGAATGCTTATGTGACCCTTTAAAAAAAACAGTTCCTTCAAGCCAGTACGATAAAAAAAAGCAACTCTAAGAAGTACGAGCACATCTTGTTTTCAACGACACCTTGGTGTTTAACTTCTTATCTAAAGATAAGTGAAATCAGTCAGATGCATCCATTGATCTTTTTACTCACGTTTTCGATCCTCGGTTGAGATGTTACTGATATACTGGACGTCGGAATTTCGACACAAAGTGCCAGCAACAGGACCTGTCGTGCATAAGGTGATCGCAAGACGCATATTGTGAACATCGTAAGCTTGTTTGAGTTTTGTAGTCTTTTTGAATTTATCTTTTATTGGCTCTTGCGCTATAAGGATAGAATCGTAAGATTTAGAAGAAATTTTGAAATGTGGGTTTTGTACGTACTAGTATCGTTATGTGAAACGGGAAAGATTTCAAATGGTTGGTTACATTGCATCAATTCCCGGGCTGTGAGAACAACTAGCGTAAGCTTCAATCTAGAATAAAAGATGCTACGATATATTACATACGTTCTTTTAACCCTTAACGACCGACAGAGTTTTTTTGAGAGTGTAAGACGAAAGCAAGCATGCTAGCACAAACGATGGGTCATCCATAGGCTCATACAACGGTCAATACTGCCGGGCGGAATCGAACAGGATTTCCAAGGAGATGAAATGAGTGAAATGTGATTTTTATAGTTTTTCGTTTGGGTGCCTCGGAAATGCGGCTTAGGCTCACAGTAAATTTATTCTGATAAGATTTTGACGTATTTTCAATTACTTATGAAAGGAAAAAGTCAGAATAACTGTTGTTACTATATTGAAAAATAATACTTTTTAAACAAGTTTAAAATATACAAAGTTATCTCATACTAAAGCTCAAGACTATTTCTAATGATGTCATTCAACACTTCTATTTAGTATGCAGAGAATAGTGACATATTGCGAGTGCATTGTGCTTGAAACTTTTATGTGATGTTTTTTAGAGTGGACAGTCAGTCGTCAATGGTGAGATCGAATGTTGATTACCTGAATTGATAGTACTGTGTATTCGAATAACGAGTTAATTCCTTTGGATTCTGAATGATGAAATAAAATGGATTGAACGCCTGTGATTGAGCATCGGCTGCATTTTCTTTGAACTTCATAAATGAATTGACATAGGAATATCCACCAATGTTTTTCGTAATAGAAGTAACTTCAAAATGCATTGGGAATGAGTACATCTTCAGAAGTCTGTCGTGGATCTGTAAGAGAAGTAGAAAGTGTTGATTGGCAGAACAAATTTGATAGAAACATACCAATAGAGTGAGACAACGATGGTTTTCTCGGTCCGACAAATAGCGTATCGATCTTACTTGTATCTGTTGATTATTTTTATTCGTTGACTTTTTTCGTACATATTCGCCTTTTGTACGACCGCGAAATCTATCTGGAAGATCAACAGCTAGTTTTATATACGGCATCTGATCCGTGTTTGCAGCGTCATTGTCTGCTGAATCAAAACTGCATTGCATTGACCCATTGAAGGAAGAAGATCCCTCTGGCATACATAATTCACTAGATAAAACCCCATTTTGTTCGCCCGAATTCAATTGATTTTGATTCCAATCTATCGTATTCCATTCAGTTTATATAACGTATCAAGTGATCCCCTTACCTGATGACAGTGTTCTGGATGTATTTTCGGTGGTAGCTTGCCCAACCTGCGATAAGTTTCCAAGGCCTGTTCAATGTAGGAAAAATTTTAAAAGATCAGTGGGAAGAGATTGTTGCATGCTATTACTTGACGATGGGTTCTGGACCGGCATGTCCGATGAGGATGCATTGTAAATCTTGTAAAACATACTTTCCATCTCTTCGATTTCTAAAGATAAACATATAAAATCGAAGACATGCAAGAAAATAAATCTACCGTCGGATTTTGCTCCTTGCGATGGAGCTTCACTATCGTCGCCCAGTTGCATGCAAGCAGCGTCTTAAAAAAAAGAAATGCTTTTGGATTTACACTTTCGATTTACTTGCCAGGAAATTCTTCTCGAATGAATTTACGAAGAGCTGTGATGATTGTTTTGTCATTCGCATCCACAATTGTCTTTTCTTCTAGTGGGGTTTCATGACAAATGACGTATAATGGTAGATAATGGTTGGTTTCCGCGTTGTGAAACATATGGACACATTTTTCATAAGGACACGGATCATCTTGACCAATACTATCGACGGTAATAGCGATTCGACCTTGAGCATCTTTGTTTAACGAAACTAGCCGAATAATTTTGCGACTCTGTCTTGACAAAGCTTTAAACGCAAGTTGGCCACCATCTAATCGGCCTTGTTTAATACTACTGCAAAATTGTTGAAGATTTTTGCCACCAGTGTAAGACGCAATATCGATTTGACGCATCTTTTCAGATTTTAGAATTCGATCAGCCACACTTATTCGTAAGTCTTTGTTTGTTACAGCTTTCCAGATGCCACTAACATGACGAAACGTAGAATACAAATCTACTGAAGAATCTTCGTTGGATCCATAATAAAATTTTATCATTGCGGTAGGTTCCGTATTAAGCAAAGTCAAATAATGAGTATTAATGTGGCAAAATCAAGTATTGTGGTAAGAAATGTTCCTGTTAAGAAAGAAAGAAAGAAAGAAAGAAAGAAAGAGAACAGTGAATAGCAGTGTTTTATATACCTGTCGATAAAACAAAAACAAGCCGTTTTTTTCCACTCTCTCTCCTATTTCTTTCTAGAATCTCAAAGAACTCACAAGGCGTCCGCTAATATGTATCAACTAGTATAAATTGAAGAATGTAGCCTTTATAGAGGGCTATTTTCGTCTACATTTTCTTTTTCCTTCCATTTCGGTCGGGATCAGTTGCGCAATTACTGTCGGATTTTTCCGTCGATGTTAAATACACATACGAGTCGGCGAGTACTCTGCAAGAGATTTTATTTCTCATAATTTTGGCAGAACCAAGAAAAGTCAATGGAATATTGATCGGTTCACGAGAATTTCGTGTTGCTTTCGTCTATTTGATGTTATTTATTGCATGTGCTTTTTCTTCGTTCGAAGGCAATGAAATTTCATCAATTTCTAAACTCAAAAATCAAGCCTATCACAATTGGTTTTCAGAAATAGTCATTGCATGAACATTGCCCGTTTGTATAGAAGTGATGAATTCGATTCGCGTCACGAACGATAATTTCACATTTTCGTATGGCAGCAATTAGTTTAGTAGCTCGATCTATGAAAAGAGACTAGAAGATCAATGATAGAAACGAGAATGATCACATACGACAGTCGCCACAAACGCGGAGATTTTTTGTTACTTGTATCCGTTTCGTATGAGGATTACCAACAAAATTCCAAGCTATTGCAAGTCTTTCACTGTGACCACAAAGGGCCGATTCAATCGTTTCATGTTCATTCAATGGTCGGGTAATCCAAGTTGAGTCATATTGAAAACCATGTTGAATAAGTTCATCGGATATTTTCTTGATTTCGGCATAGATTTCAGTCGATCGCGGATGAGATCGATCATGAGCACGGAATTGCTAAAAAAAATCATTTTACGGATTTTTCAATATATGTTTTAATTGCAAACTTACAAATAATTGTCCATTAACTGCAGTCCATGAAAGACCGACTTTTTTCTTAGCACCGGAACTTTGCAATTGATTCTGAATATCGGATGCTTTCCTCATATCACCTGATGATGCGTAAACATTCGTAAGCAGAACTGCAGCCGCTGTTAATGGGTCTGCGTTTTGAGGAAAAAGTTTCTTCATACGATTATAAATATCTTGTGCTAAATGACTATCGTTTACATTTCTTGCACCGGACAATAATGCCACTGAAATGAACAATATCCGATTATTATTTCGATAAACGAAAATAAGGTAATTAACATATATTTCTCTTTCAAACTGATCATTCTATTCGATCGGTCATAAGATATACTTACTGTACATTGTTAAGACAGGCGAATGATCACGTTCGTATTCATCAATCAATTGCTGTGCACGTTGGAAAAAGGAAGCCCGACTGAAACAATCAATCTAAATAATGAACGAGTCTTATCAGAATAACTCGAGTCGTTTTTGTGTACCATGGCTCCATAAATACATTCTGTCTTGTTTGGAATACGTTCGAATATTGTTTGAGCCTCATCAACAAGTCCCGAATGTGAGCATGCGTTCAAGACACAAATATGAGCTATTTCATCGCGAAAGTTCTCTGGTATCTGACGAAAAAGTTCAATGGCTTGAACACCCATTCCATTCAAACCAAGAGCATTCACTATTCAAAGGAAAGCATTGGTGAAGAATTTCTTTTCGAAAGAAGAAGCGAACCCATCGTTGTGTATGCAATATGATCAGGATGAGAAATTTTATCGAAGATTTCTTTCGCTTTATCAATCGATCCGGTTTTGCTCTAGAAGAACGAAGTTAAATCTTTCAACGGAAGAATATTTTCTGTTCGTTTACTTACCCACATGTCAATTAGTGCATTTCGAATTTGACTATCCGAAAGATACGATTGAGGAATCTGTTTGACGAATGCATCAGAGATGGAATAATCACCTATTTGTGCCAATGCTTTGATGAGGCAAAGGTAAATAATCACATTGCCTTCTATGTGATTAACTTTCATCTGATTGAATAAATCTAGCGTTTTCGATGGATTATTTTCTTTGTTAAAACCATTCATAAGATTTCCATAATTAATAACAGATTTTTTCATCGTTGAATACACATTTTCGGCGCTTGAACAATCTCCGCACCTAATCAACGCGTCAACTAATGAACTCATCAAATGCGAATGCGAACGAAACGATTTGGGCATCTCTTTTGAAACTTGTCTAACAGTTTCTAATGCTTCTGGTGTTTTCAGACGAGCACAGGCGTTAAACAAAACCATAGTATTGACTTCGCTTGGATTTTGTATTCGCTTGAAAAACTCGATGACTTTGCTTAACTCATTGTTTTCCATATAGCCTAAAACATATATTTCTACTACAATACTAATTTGTTCAGAGTTTACCTTTCATCATGGCTCCGTACATTGGCAAAACTTTCTTCGGCGATCCATCAAACAATGACTGAGCATAATGAACGTCTCCACATTTCATTGCTGCGTCAATTAGAGAAGTTAAGAGATAATGGTTTGACTGAAATGATTTGGGCATTGTTTCATATGATTGTTTGGCGAGATTCAACGCTTCAGGACTTCGTACTTCAGCACAAGCATTGAACAAGAGATTGAGAATGATCTCATTCGGATTCTTTATTTCGCGGAATAGTTCGAGTGCCTTATTTGCTTGATGGTTTTTAATATAGCCTACAACAGAGAATGTATTTTCATATAAAATGAAAACGAATTCACTATACCTTTAATCATCGCACCGTAAACTGACAAAGATTTCTTCGGAATACTTTCAAATAATGATTCCGCGCGTGATACATCTCCACATTGCACTAAATTGTAACATGAAAAAGAGCAAAATAAACAAATCTGCATTAGATTCTACTGTATAAATGAATGAATGATGTTGATATGTAAGAATCGTATTTAATCGATGGCGAAATATACTGATGAATGGATTGGCCACGTTGTAGATCTTCGAGATGAGTACACGCTTTCAAGGCTTGCGTAATGATTATTGTTGAAGTAGTTTTCAGATTCTTTTTCATGTGTACATCAAATAGCTGAAGCGTCTTGTCGAACCGTTTACTATCATTATGACATTTCATTTTCATTCCCAAATCGAAATCAGACTGTTTAGTGGTTAAACCTCTGGTAACAACCGCTGAACATAATGCACGCAAATTCAATACCTTGATCGACATCAATTTTTTTATTTTGACTTTGTCACTGAGTGTGGTATACATCAATAGCCAATCCAATGTATTTTTTCAACTCGGTAAAAAATGGACTACGGTGAGTCAAGTCAGACTTTTACGTATCGCAAGATATAATAAGCATTGTATGTATTAGTAGAGCTTCAGTGGAAAGAACTTTGGTTTATTGTTATTGATTGTTTAGAAAGAAAATGAACATCACGGAAGAGGAAATAGTAGAGCAATGATTAATAAAATTTTCGTCATTTTTGTATCTTGAATAAGAGCACTAAGAGAAGTAGAAGAGAAAAAATAAAAAACTTAACAAAAATGCTTGTTTCATCTTGTAACAATCCTCCATTGTTACTGAGTTTGATCACTTGTCGTCACATTCATCTGCGACAACGTCGACTTCTGCATCTGCATGAGGTTCGTTCGAGTATATCGGTTCCATGTTTACTGGTTCTTCTTGATTATTTGACGACCTATTGGCCAAGTATGAATATTGAATACTTTGTTCAATCATCATAGAGCCTCGTTCATCTTTATCTAACAAAACGAGAATTATTATATATTTCGATAAACATTTTTTCCGCAAATAGCTTACGACATTCTGTTTGTGTGTCGACACTGAGTTTGACACGCTTGTTACCTCCTATAAAGACATTGATATGAAGAAATAGTTTTTTTTAATCGAAAATCTACCATAATGTCGAGAAGATACGATTACTGGCAGCTTTTTGTTGTCATTTTGCGGCGATAGAATACCATCGATTTCTAAGATATGGACGATGATCGAAATCAGTATGAAATAGTTATGACCTTATTTACCTGAGATTCTTCGTTTATTTAAGGAACCGGTCGAGTTTTCGTTTGTACCAAAACCTACTATGAAAAAATAAAATCGCTGTCAAAGAAGATTTCACACTTACCATCCTGTATGTCTAACATTTCTTCATGGATGAATGGAATTGCATCTAAATTGACTCCAGCACTATCTGAAAAAAGAGAAACAATAGCTTGTTGTTATCGTCTGTAACCCATAATTAAACTTACAATGGAGCTTATCTTTGATAAATATTTGGAGAAGTGTGGGTGCTGTAAGATCATTTCGACGAAAGATCGTTTGCTTATCATTTATATCATTTTTATTCACCTTATATAACGGACTAAAATGTTTACCAATATCATCGTATAAGATAAAGATGGATTGTTTGGCGAGTTCATTAGTTTCTCCGTACGATGTAGCATAAACGTACGGTTGATCACGGTACTTTGTAGCAGTAATGATACAAATCATCGTATCAAGTAAATCAGATAGCACCTTGAGTTCCAAGTCACCAGCGAAGAGTTCAGCTCGAATAAGTAAATCACAGTAAGTAGGTATGGAATAAGGGTGATCAGTACAATTTGTGACCAGATTATGCAGATCTACCTCATCGCGAATAAAGTCAGCTACCCGTTTACGCATTTGTTGATTCAGCTTTTTGATATCATGGTTCTTGAAAAAGCTTATGTCGTGATGATTAGTTGATAGATTTCCGTTCATGAAAGTGCCATCTAGGATGGCTGAGAATGCATATTCAGGTAAGTCCTCAATCACCATATTTAATATATGCTGTTTGAGTAGAAGAATTATTGACCAAAAAAAACATGTTCGATCACCAGGCACAGATCCCTGACGAAATTCGTGTGTATTGGTGGAGCTCGAGCTCATATCGACAATTTGTAGAAGATTTTACTATTGAATATTCGTTTTTCACCGGCATTTATATTATATAAATTAGGGCTATGAGCCAAGCACGACAGACGCACCGGGAGAGACAGTGAGAGAAGAAGGAGAAACAATGACACATCAAAAGTAACCACAACGAGGAAAGCGAAGAGAAACACCGCCAAGAGAGATGGAAGCCAGCCAACATACAAAAAAAAGAGGGAGAGAGCAAGAGGAAAAAAAGAAAGAAAGAGGAAAAACACAGAATACATTCTTTCTTATTCTAATTCTCCTCTCAAGAAAAAATTATGAATTACGAACGACAAAACGCACCGAGAGAAAGGGCCACAACGGTAACGATAATCCGCGTTAGTGGTAAAACAGTTGTTTAACGGAAACACGACATCGTAAGAAAAAGAAAGCGAGTGCAAAAGGAAAGACAAGGACGAAGCTGAAAATAAAGAAGAGGTTCTTTTTATTCTTGTTTTTTTTCTTCTCATCGCAGAAAATAAAAAAACACATATGCACACTTCATGTGAATTGTAGGTGTGGTTATGCGCTAAAGTATCAGTGATTCAGTTATTTTCATTTTTCGAGTCGTGAAATGATAGTAAAAATAACTAAATTATGCTTTCGTGAAACATATTTTCTGTTCGATTTCTGTATTTACCTGAAATAAAAAGAGTTCTTTCGGTTAGACGCAGGATGAGTGAACACAATACATTCTTTCAGAAATGAAACGCGCTCATTATAGTTTAAACTTGTGTAGGAGACGATAACATGAAAAATCGATCAGTTGCAAAAAATACTAGGCATTGAAATACCTTCATGGTGTATTTTCTTTCAATTAATGACAGTTGAAGCAATACTGGTTTATTGTTTATTTTCCACAGTACAAGAAGATAACACAAATCTTTACTGTTCACTAAAACTTAGAAGAAGGCTAGTGTAATACAAAAGAAAAAAAAAGAGTGGGCAGAAGAAGAAGAAGAAGAAGAAGAAGAACGTACTGCATTCTGATTATTACGAACGACAACGAAACACACGGACAGTATAAATAAATAATAATGTATAGCTTAGATAATTTCATACAGTAGCAAAAATATATGAAAAGAATGGAACAGTGAAAAAAAACAGAAACCGGTGTTTGTCATTTCTACAGATGCGAAAAAGACACAAGAGAAATCTCATTATCATCATCAACAAAGGAGAGTTAAAGCTCAACAAAAGGAAAAAACACAGAACAAGAAATAAGAACGTTCTTAAAAGTCATCAGCAGATATTTCAAGACGAAAAGATGAATTCAATGATCGTGTTGGTGCAGTGGTCAAAAAGAAGTTTCCATTACTTTTCGATTGTCGTACGGGACTACTACTAGAAAATAATCGAGTTTGTGGTGAATCCCGAATAGTACTAATGAACGGACTATCCTTCCCCGTTCTTGACGGAAACGAATCGTGGATATAACGTGTTTCAAATGGTATAGTATATTCATCTGTCGACGACTGTAGAATAACATTCTCTGTGCCAATGTGAAGTACCGGTGAGCCAGGAATAGGCGTAGTTCGTTGTTGTTGGCCATGATGAAGTGAGAGTTCAAGAATATTTCCCGTATAATCAAGTCCGTCGCGCTTTGGACGTGTTGGAGAATAACGGGAACGTTGTGGGCGTGGTAGTGTATCAGGTTGGATAACAATTGGCTGTGGAATATAAGTAGAAGTACGACGTGGTAGTTGTCGAATATCTGAGTCGTTAGAGTATTCGTATGAATTGTAATGTTCATCGTCATCATTCGTTGGTGTCGTTTGAATATAACGATCAGCCATGAAAGGCTGAGCATCGCATTGTGTGTAATGATCAAAACTGACGGTAAGTTCGGCCATAGTTGATTTGTCGTGCATGACAGGTGGTTCTTCTTCTTCTTCTTCGTATTCGCGTTTATCTCGATAATGATCAATTCTTCTGCTAGGTTCAAGTTGAAAACTTTGAGGTGAATGATGTCTAGATGATGTTGGATATGGGCGTGGAGAGTAGAGTGTTGTATCGGGTGTGAGTGGACGATAGGGACTTGTTGGTTTCTTGGATCGCAAACTAGGTGTTGTACCTCTTTCATGCGTTGATCGAGGATCATACTGAACACCTGCATGTTGTTGATGTTTCATTGCATCTAGACTGGTATCGGTTTCTTGAGAGTGCATTTGTGGTCGTCGACGGCGAGTAGTTGATCGCGGCGGGCGTGGCGGAGTTGGTGTACGAGTTCGATAATGTGATGTTGTAGGACGATACGGTGAATGATGACGTGGTGAACGATCTCTGAACCGAGGATCGTAATAATAAGTCGTTGTTTGTGGTGGTGGTGTTGATGGCAACGGTGGTGGAGACGGAGATCTCCTTCTAGGACATTCGTAAGGTATTCTCTCATGCGAACGATAGGAATATTCTTCTCTATAAGGCTGCTGTTGTGGGCGAGGAGAGATTCGAGAACTTCGAGGAGGGTCATCGATTGATGGACGTCTATGTTCAGGTCGTTCTATGAAGGGTATTGGTGGTTTGGATGGTTTGTCTTTCAAAGAAAATGAAGTCTGCGTTGATGATGATTGTGGTTGGACTTCGTGACCAAAATTTCGTGTTTCAACTGATTCGTGCATAGTGCCCACATTTCGTGTGGACTTCTCTTCGGACTGAGTACTCTCGTCGATACCTTTTGGTCTTCGTGAATCACCTTTCGAGTCATAAGTGCTACGACTTGGTTGCATATCTTCTGAATCGTCGTCACCTGAATAATCGTGATAAGGTGGTCGTGGCGTTGGTCGAAAATGTTGAGACTTATCGAAATTGGTGGTAATGCGCATTAATTCATCGTTAAGACCCGTTGGCGATGTTGATACTGGTCGATGAATGTCGTGGTCTGTTGAAAAATCTGATGGAACACCTGGCTTCTGTGTTGATATTGTTGGTGGTTTAGGAACTATAGCAAAACAAAGAAAAAGATAATTCAGCTATTTTTCTATTCGACATTGATAAAAGCAAGCTTGTCCAAATAGAACTTTCAACGTTTTATCACCTATACTCTTTCTTCATGGTTGCCATTATTCAAAGTGGTTTGTTGTTTATGTACGATGGTTTATCATTAATATGCGACACGCAAAAGAAAACGAAAAGAAATGGTACGTAGAAAAAAAAACGGAATAGAAAATCTATCTAATCACAAGGGCAACAAAAAAAAATTTAGGATTATTTTTGGGATTTTTTCTTTTTCTCTTTCTTTGGTTTGCTGGTAGAGTCGTCTGGTTTTCGGCGGCGAAATCGATCGAATATGCTTGTGTGCGATTTCGTGCTCCTCGTTGAAATACTTGGTGTTCGCTGGTGGTTATTATTGTTCGTTTCATAGTTCGAACGTTGAACACCAGCGAGAGGATCATTGCGTACAACTTCACCGATACTTGGCGAAGGTTTTGGTGTCGATCGAAAGCGATCTTCTTCATCAGTATCGGAATCGTTGAATATGAATTTATTTCTATTGTCGTGTGCGTTTTGCGGGAGACTAGAACTGTTCACATCGGCATACAGCTCGCTATTCAGCATTCCACTAGTCGCAATACCCGTTGGATAATTAGCTGTTTTCCATGGTGCAGTCGTGACATCTTCGTTATCTTTTTCTTCGATATCCGGATGATCGACCCGGTATGTTTCACTTTCGCTACGAGGACTTTGGTTCGTAACCGAGGATAGCTGTTTGCTTAAAGTTGTTAGTCGTTTATTATCCGAAGTTGGTGCTGGCGCTGAATTGCGTAAATCTTCTTTCGTTGATGTTCCGATATCCATGACATGCTGGAAATCGTTGTTGATAGTAGTATAATTGCTTTCCTGTTCGTTTAGCGCATGCGCACGAGACGATTGTTGTTCACAAGGCCGTGGTATTGGAGGACGACTGAGTACCACACAATTTCGATACCCTCTCGTCCAGTCATCCTCATCGGACGAGGCACTTTCGGCTTTCTCGCCAAAATAGTATCGAGCAACATACGACGCCGGCACACATGCGCCAGGTCTTCGATCAGAAGTCGATGCTGAGCGTGGATAAATGGAGGGATACGATTGATTATAATTCGATTGGCCACCATCATTTGTCCCGCGTGGTGCCGAAAATACGTTGACATAGGCCAATCGATGCACAGAACTTTCCGATGATCTACGACTTCTTTGTTGCTGAGCAATATATTGCATCTCGTTGGCTGCACGCTGTTGAACTTCAGAAGGCTCAAGTGTACCTTTGTATATATAACTTGTATGTGTGTTCTTCGGTTTATAACTATAAATGCTCCTGCTTTCAGGTGGTCTTTTAGTTAATATGAAATCTCCAATAACGCGAGAGTGTTCATCGGGAGCTGGTTTATGATTTTCTGGATGAGTATTTTCTTGAGATTCTCTTCTGTAACGGTGATTGAAGTTTTCATAATCGGGGTCGAATGCAGCCTTCGGATTTTTTTTCAATCGATACTTCGATGGTGTTAATGTGTATTCTCCTTTGTGGAAAGGGATTTCAGTAGCAGCGGTATTAGCCAGTGGAAAAACATTGGGCAATTGTGCACGTTTTGTCACTCGAAATTTGCTTGGAGTTAAATGTCTAATCTTTCCACCGGATGGATAATCGAAACCGGAGCTATCATTGGCGAAATCATCATTCGAATCTGCATAGTTCTCTTTCAAAAACTTTAATCGAGACATGATTTTTCGGTAGAAAAGAATGATACGAATTGATCTTTGTTAAACCCAAGCAAGTATTGATATTGATTTACGTAACCCACTCACAGATCAATAGAATCAATCGAATAGTAACTGTCGTGATTACTGCCGATACAAAACTTACACGTTTGTAAAATAAAGAAAGAAGTCTACGTTTGGTAGAGGTAAGACAAATGTGTGTATAGTCTGATAACACAAAAAAAGAAGAATCTGTACGACAAGGATAGATAATAACAGGTAACACGAAAGACGTAAAAGAAAAACGAATATCGCATCGAGTAAATAAACTTACCAACAATGATGTCTTGCCATTGCGTTCTTATATCAGGAGATTCAATGTTAACAACTCGGACTTGATATCTTCCCGCTAGAAGAGGCGCAATTATAATAAATAAGAACATGATGGCGTTTATTAAGAATACGAACGATCTTGTATGGAATAATCTGGAAAATCAACCAATGAACGTCCTTGAATTGGCTCAAGATCTCTCAAAATTATTGTTCTGATATGTGAACTATCCTCCGCTAAAAGAAGAACTTGAAATGAGGTTCATTGAAAATGGAGAGAAACTATCTCGTACATTTTTCTTCTAGTCTAACACGTTCTGTGGCACCTTCATCACCCGCTGCACTAAATGTTTGCAATTTTTCACCGGCAACCACTGTCGATTGAGGCGCATTGAACCATTCCAAAAATGTTAATACCGGACCTAGGAATTCGTCGATTTCAAAGACAGAATTCGTTATTTTTACTATCGACTTACGTCGCAAAGAATCCATTAATCGAATAAATTGAAAATGGTCATTTATATCCAAATATTTATCCTTGAAACGAAGAAAAAAACAATGATGAAAACTTCTTCGGCGTATTCGTTATACAACTTACTGATGAATTTAAAATTTCGTCACGTTTTTCATCTAACGTTTCCAAATCATTGATATCCTATGGGAAAAAAATCGAATTGACTACAAGTATCTCATGCGATTACTTCTTACATTGGCTAATAACGTCTGAAGACTTCGTTCGAGTCCATGTTCACGCAATAAATTCACTAGACGCATATCTACTCCATAGAATCCAATTCCTTGGATACAAATATTATCACCACCATGATTATCCGTTATAAATACTCGAATGAAACGTGTTTTCAACGGTGCGAAAAAGATATCCGTCTTATTTCCTTCTACAGAAGCACAAATCGTCACTTTCAATACAAAAATCTCATCGAATACATACGAGACAATGAGCAAGTGAAATCTTTGACTTTCAGCCATGGACCATTGAAAGCATTGGAAACATCAAGATGGCCGCTCTTTGGTGTTGATTGATTTTCGCTAAATAAAATCAAACGAGCTAAACACAAATGAAATCAATCATCTTCTGTACCATCCAATAACTCTCATTCCACTAATATTGAATTGATGTTTTAAGTCAAACACCACCCAAGCATCTCTCGGTTGTGTGGAACACCAGTAGGTTCCGCTTGAGGCTAAAAGGATCAATTTCCAGTTGATTTCATCTGAGAAAAAAAATAGTCTACTTTTACCGTCAAGAAGGTTTTGAACGGATGAATTGATATCTGTTCGACTTCGAAATTCATCACTGTCTAGCGTCCAGTTCGGATGACTACGAAGTAACGGATGCACATATGGAATAATATTCGCTGAAAGTAAAGAATAAAAACAAATGAATTATGAGAAAAGTTTCTCAATAAGAAAACAAAACGTTCGGTGTGAGCCGAAATAATATGAGCAGCGATGGCAGTGAAAATTAACAAAAAACTACTGGTCAGTGCAAAGTATATGAAAACAAATATGACATGCTCATGCATTGGTGAGGGACACTTACTAGTGAAGAAGTCTTTTTATCAAGGCTAAAAGTCAGATATGTTAGTTGGATTCGATTTGACATACTCATATACACACAGACACACATAGTTTTCGTTGTTTTCGTTTTCATCAAAAATATCTACCTTGAATGGTACCGGTTGTGTATTTTCGAAATTCCGATGGACCCAATCGTGGTGTATCTAAATAGAATATTCGATGGAGAACTGAACAGATGAAGAATGGAATTGAAGATAGGAAAAATTTTCATTGATAAAGGAGAAGGATAAGATGATCATATGTACAAGTGTTGAAGAAATCAATGATAAAGGAGCAGAAGATCAAACAAGACGATGGATAGTTTGTTCACACCTCTGTAGATAGTTGAGATCGGTTCTGTAGTTGAATTGACATTTGGCATTGTCATCAATGAAGAGCGGGCTATGAATGCTGTAGATCCTCTCTTTATCTCTTCATTCATATCAGATGCTATAGACGATGAGGGAGATCGAGTTGCAATTACATTGACTTCCGAATAGAATCTCATCAAAGCGCGACTTACTTGTCAGAATGTTAATAAATAACTGTTGCTGTTCTGGCGGAAGATACTCTGCAATAGTTGTCGGTGTTTCACCTCGATTATTCACGAAATTTTGATCAGCACCATGTGATATTAGAAGACGTGCTGTTGATAGTTTCAATGAACGAATTCTAAACAATGCACGAGATAAAATACAGAAGAGTGCAAATCTCGATTATCACTTACGCTACGTGCAATGGAGTTGTACGACTTCGATCGCAGATATTTGGATCCATACCGTAATCGAGTAGTGTTTGCAAACATTTATCATGACCTAGGAATCGTTGAGATAGAAATGCGATTGGAGAGAAAGAACGTATTGTACCAAGACGTGCAGCGATAATCGCGGCTCGATAGGCTCGTTGTGTCAAAGTTCCATCATATGAGAGCAAGACACCGACAATTTCTAATTGAAATGGTATTCGTTAAAGAAAATACTCGAAAATATTGAGTTCAACCTGGTTTATTCGTAACAACGGCTTCGTCGAGAGGTATTCGCTGATTTCGATCTTCGATTGTCGGATCAGCACCAGCCTTAAAGATCAATTTTCGCTACTGAATGAATACAAGTACGTCACTCACATGAAGCAATACTCGTATGTGATTAGCATTCTCATCGACATATGAAACAACAGCACGATGCAGTGCTGTTTTACCCGATTGATTAGCAACGTTAGGGTTCGCGTGATACTTAGCTAATAAATCTGCAATATGATATTTCTGGCGATGAACGGCCAAATTCAAAGCTGTATCGCTGGAATACGAAAACAAGTCATTGATTAAAAAGGTATGAAAACATATTCTTTCACTAACCCTGTTGAACACTGTTGATTTGGATTGGCTCCATGTACAAGGAGAATCTTCGTTTTTTCATATGAACCTTTGCCTGCAGCGATAATCAATGGTGTGACATTATATTTCGTTCCCACGCAATCGATAAAATCAATTTGATCATCGATGACGCCTTCATATGAAATAACTTCTGCCATACTTCGAAATGGTCTTCGATGGAATTGCTGCAGGAAACTCTAAAAAAGACTTTGGCTCGTTTCCATTGAGAAAACACAGTAAGCTCAACCTACAAATAACTGTTCGGCAGTGCCTCGGTCCACGATGGTCAACAGTTGCTGCCGCCTCTGTTGATCCTCGTGCCGGATATCCATATCTACTTTATCTAGAACAAAAAATGAATGAAACAAGCAGCAAAATTTTATTTTGATTTGTGTAGAACAGAATGCATATGTCGAAATAAGATTTTTAACAGTGATACACGTGGAAGAAGTTTTGCAAAAAGTGGTAACATAGATTGATCACCATCATTAATCATCAATGTCAAATAATAAATCAAACGTTGCTAGAAAACAAAAGCAATTTCGTATGAATGTCAAAATGAAGAAAAACACGTACGGAAAGAAATCCTTCGTTGATCAGCACATCTTGGATTCGATCTGAGCTGATATAGACTGTTGTTTGCCTGCCGATGACATAAGTTGTTGTCAATTGCAAACCCGTCTGATTACCAATAATAACACACTCTAGAGAAAAATCATTTTTTCGAAGTAAATTCCTTCTGTAAAATCGAATATATTAACCTTCATCTCAAGTATTTTCTGCATCACTTCACATCAGAACACATGTATTGATTTCTAGTGAGCTGGAAGGGTATGCTGAGCTTTTTAGTCTAACGCTGACCTATTAAAGCGGAGTTCAGACTTACCACGTTTGACTTTTAGATAAGCCTTCAATAATACACCAATTAGGAACACAATGGATAGAAGCATCAAGAATTTACTATCCTAAAACATCGATTTGATTTTCAAAGTGGACTAATTATCACTAGATTACTGTTCTATGAACACCAACAAGCGCAGCTAGATAAGTGAAGATGAGCGTGTATATCAGCCATTTCTGTATAGGTATTGTTTGTCGTTCTAATCGACATTCCGTACAACGATTGTTTTCATGTTGAATTATTTCATATTTAAGCACTTCACCATAGATATTTTCACATATGCCACCAAGAAATTTCATCTAGAAAAGAAATCAATCAAACGAATGTAAGTAGAATTTTTCTGTCTTCTTTCCAGTTTATGGGCCACTCGGTTATTGTGAATACGAAAAAGAATCGAAATCCTATTTTCATCGATTTTGTTTGAAGAAGTTGATTGGGGTTAGAGAAATGACATGAGAAGTACCGGATTGTTCTACGCGAACATATGATCGTTTCGGATGAGAAGAAAAGCTTTCGTTACGAAGAAATAAAAACAAATATCAATAGTGAATCGTGTTGTTATTCACTATCCGATAATCATCAGCAATTTTTTAACACCTTCTCAATATTCAAGGACTTATTGATATTTCTTACACTTAATCATTAACACCTAAGGTTTCTCGACGTTGTAAGATTTAATTTTGAAAAAATCGACTTACCACAACGCTTCATCTCGTTAAAGACAGCAGATCAACACACATACACGTCAAGCTAAAGCCTATTTAGACAAGCAGACGACTTATTTGTATTGATTTTATATGAGGTCACATAATCTGCCACACCACACCTACGACTACATCCTACAAACGATGATTAAGAAAAAAAACGATATGTAAAGTCATACTCTAAACTGCGCAGGAGAAGAAAGAAACCGCAGGTTATTTGAGATACTTGAATTGATTTCACAAGTGTTAGAACGACTTTGAAAGAGTTCATACGAAGAGAAAGAAAGAAAGAAAGAAAGAAACGATGATCGACGTAACTCTTTCGAACTACCGCAATCTTCTTGTCAATTTGATTGAGTTTGACAACTATTGTGCTTTGACATACTGTTGTTTTTTTCTTTCCCACCGGCACTCAATTTACCTGACATTCCACTTGAAAAAAAATCACATAATCAATATAGAAAATCTCGGTAGACAACTTGTTGGTGATTCATCAGCAAGATTATTGGAAATATGTAAATACATAAGTGTTAGTGAACCGAACAAAATGGCAAGAAAAACGAAGGCAGAGAAAAAACAAGTTTTTGCCTCTTCGTAACGTATGCACTTACTGTTGACAAGATGAATATGTAATAATACACGAAAGAAAAAGAACAACAATAACAAACTGACCGTAGATTACATTGGAATAATTGTCGTAAATGGAATTTGCATTGTCACCAATGAAAAAATATGAAAATTGATATTTGTTATTTTCGAACGGGAATTTTTATTCTTTTGTATTTTCTTCACCTTGTAATGTAAGATCCTATTTTCAAGGTCGCTTATTTCTCGCTCTCTCTCTCTCTCATTCTCTTTCTTGCTTTCTAATATGTACAATTTTGCGGTTTGTTGTTGATCAACTCCCTTTCGTGCTTACATCGTTTCTTTATAGGAAAAAGAAATAACAAGTTGCCTTTACTTCTCTGCTTCCTTTCGATATTTTTCTTTCAAACAACACCGATGTCAATCGTCAAAGTGAAAGAAAGGAAGAGAAAGAGAAGAAAAAAGCTCGACTAAATATTTCAAATTGTGTCATTCAGTAACGAATGATTGACTGCTTTGTCGCGTCACGGCAACAGAATGATGACGGAGCGCTAAACAGCGAACGAAAGAGTTTGGCTGATACACAAAGTCAATACGTGTTGAAAGAAGAGGAGAAAACGAACGTACGAAGCAGATTTGTCAGTTTACTCGACGAAAGAAGAAAGATCTCACGATGGTTTCGTCTTACAACTAAATTTCCGTTTTCTTTACTCTCATTCATTGATGAAGGTGACAACTTTGGCTTTTTAGTTTGTCAAAACTAACGAAGAGAAAGGCTTCGTCATATGAAAGAACAAAAATATCCTCTTCTACATCTCTCACTCAGACCACCGACGGCATACATATTGCGCTCGGTTTTCATTTCGGCATCTTAAATAAAAGACACAGATCAATATTTGCATCTTTGTAAAATAGAGGTGTGAAGTAGAAAAAAAAGTTTTTTCTTTCATCAGATCGTTTTTTGAAATATTTCATATACAACAACAACAACAAGCAGAAAACTTCACACATAGAACGTATCAATTATGTGTTCAAGCCAAATTTTGCTTGTGTCTTCGCTAGTTTCTCTTTTTCTTTGTCCAAATTGATTTTATCAAACGCTTTGTTGGCTTGATAATACAAAACCACAAGATAACGATTGCAGACGTTAAAGCCCGATAGATGATCGCATGCGTTTTTTGCATCGAAGATATCTTCATACACAACGAACGCTGTGCCTAAATAAACAGAGATGAGAGGAGAAGTTAAGTCAAACTCGTTTCACTTACCTCTTGTGTCCGGTGTATTCCCAAGGCGAATTTGACGGATAGCACCGTATTTACCGAATATATCGTACATTTCTTCAGCAGTTATCTTGTAAGGCAAATTACGAATGTATAGAGTACGGTTGATTTCCGGTGGAAGACGAAGGTTTGCTCGTTTTTGCATTGCCATGTTAAGCAGTTATTTCGTAATCTAAAACATTCGGTCAAATAAATTTATGTACATATTTATAATCGGATTAAACTGACACATAAGGAACACTTCCACTCGGATTTCCATCAATCAGTCGTAAAGTCTATTGTAATTACAATCTCCTACACGAACGGTGGTACTGACCGATTTGCCTTGTTGCTATCTCTAAGTATCTTCTCTGTTGACCAATAGGAATCATTCGATGTGTCACGGCTGACATCTATCGCAGAGTTTTCTATACTAAAATATACTTAACTACGACAAAAATAGAAAACAGGTCGAAATAAACATTAAGCACAATTATTTGGATGAATTCCATAGTGTCGAACTTATTCGCGTATTCCCTTAACCAATTCTATCGAACAGAACAGAAAAAAGCAAACAATATGGCGATGTAATGTAAATGTATTCTTCTTACTTGCAAAAAATCCCGTCATAAACACCCCAATGTTTGATTTTAATTTTCATGAGTCTTTCGAATGAAGTTGACACCTTTTTTCAACCGATCGTTTATAAACATTCGTCGATTCCACGACGATCTTCATGGCTCGACCCGAACCATCAAACATTAATCATTGTGTCGCTCCATCGATAACTTCACGTGCAAGTAACTTTCCAAAAGATGATAATCAGCGCAGCGATGAAATCAAAACTGAATTTACTTCACGTGAGGGCACTTATAAAATCTCTTCGTTCATCGATAATATTGGTAAGATCGGCACCAACACATGTCTAAGCGAACCAGTTAAAATCACATTACTACCGCGTATACAAACAAACTTCGATATGACAAACAGTCAAACCAGTTCGAGACGATCATCATCTACGAATAATAACACTACAAGCAATTCTATTGATCATTCTAATGAACAGAAACAAATATCTGCAACGAATGGATACGATTCCAATGGAAATCTGATTCTAACCGATATTTTAGCATTTAATATTGGAAGAGAATTGATCATTTATGAATTTGCTGAAGCTACACAGGTAAATTTTCGAGATTCAAAGAATTTGATGGAGATTTTCGAGTCATTTCTAGTTTAATTTTGGTGAACCACTCGATCATCGTGTTTACAAACAAAACCATCATCCAACGTGCCATGATATTACTCAGCATCCTGATAACAAAAGTCTCCATGTCCTTGTCGGATTTTCTAAAGGACAAATACAATATATAAATATGCGAAGCAAAGAACAGAAAGTCTTCAATGAAGGCGTATGTCAAACTAAAGACAAAGTTGTGCATCGAATTCTTTTTTAATTATGATTAGAGTTATCTGGACAAAACCAAAGTGACATGTATCAAATGGTTAACAAACCCGAAAACTTATTTTATCGCGTCCTATTCCAGCGGATATCTGTATGTGTTTGATGAGCAATTGAACTATCAACGTGATACCAATATTCAACCTACTTATGCAACAATAAAAGACGATGAGAAGAATTTCTCTATATCGTACATCAAAGTAAGACGAATTTTGTCGTTTGTAAGGGAAATGAAAGATTGCTTTTAGAATAAATCTAAACAAGCAAGAAATCCAGTTGCACGATGGTCGATAGGTAGTGGGAGTATCAATGAATTCGCCTTTTCGCCTGATAATACTCTTCTTGCTATTGTCTCACAAGACGGATTTCTTCGGATATTTAACTATGAAAAAATGGAATTAGTAGCTTATATGAAAAGTTACTTCGGTGGTCTTCTCTGTGTAAGTTCATCCATTCTTTGCTTCTCAAAACATCTTATCCACTGTTATGTTGATTGTAAACAGGTTTGTTGGTCGCCTGATGGCAAATACATTGCTACTGGTGGTGAAGATGATTTCATAACATTATTTACTCTGATTCCTGACGAACATGTATCTCGTGTTATATGCCGTGGTCATGGTCATACATCATGGATAAGTGCAATATCGTTCGATCCATATATGAATGCAAAAACTTATTATTCGTCATTTGTACAAACCCCATTTGATTGCAACGATGATCATGCGCAGGATGGTTTTCAAAAATCGAAATCATGGTCGCGGAGTGATTCAACGTGTCTCGATGTAACGATTCCATCTATATTCTATCGAATCGCGTCAGTTGGACAGGATAATCGTCTGTGTCTATGGGATATCACCGAAGATATCTTGAAATTCAATCCTAATAGTAAACAAAATTCTTCATCATATCCATCAATACCCTCGCCGTCATCCTCCAATGGCCATGCATCATTATCATCCGACGCAACAGTGAACATTCAACCTACCCCAAGCAAAACATCGTTTTCATCCCTAACATCACGTCTTTCATTTGTACGGAATTCCAATAAAGTTAACAAATCTATTGATGATACTCCTGATATGTCCCTTATGACAATAGCCAATGGAACGTCGAAAAAATCTCGAAAGTCATCTCTACTATCCAGTACATTGACCGGATCGAAATCATCGTCGTCAAAACTACAAGCGAATACTGATGATTCGAATCATGGCTCATTGTCAACACTAACAAGCAATCACAATCATTCGTCATCGCGTCGAACGAATTTCGATTTAACTAAAAGTACTTTTGGAACTAATCTATGTCCGAAACTAGATGATATACAAGTAATTGAACCAGTTATAACTGAATTCATTGCTCACGAACGTTTAAATGGAATTTATTTCGGTGAAAACTACCTATTGACATCTTCACAAGATGGAATTATCGCTATTTGGGAGAAACCGCAGAAACTTCTAAGTAATAATATCGTACGTAGAACTTCTTCGTCTAATTTCATTTCGTTTGGTTGAATTTCTAGACTGATGATCGAACAACGAGTCCAACAGCATTCACTAACAGTAATACTCATCATTCGATAGTTTCTCAACGATTGTAATCCCTTTCCTTTCCTATATCAGCGCTAGGAGAAACTTCAACAATTTCATACTAAAATAACTGTTCTTTGTTAATCAATCTTTTTCTCTTCTTCTTCTTCGTTTTTTCCTAAACAAGTTCGGAGAAACAAGGTAACCGAAAAAAAAATCTATTCTTGTTATATACACACAGATATATCCGGTGACTTACTTTTTTGTCTGTTCTTCTATCTGTTTCTCTCGTTCCGTTCATAAAACTCGCCTGACTTTTTCGTTTCGAAGAACATCTGTGTGTTGATGTGTACGCGGATGCTTTTAGAATTGCTTTGTACTTGTGCTGTGTATCTGACTGGTCTTGCTAATTTTTCTGTCTTTTCCTTCTCTGTCCTTCTCTCTTTCTTACAATGTCCGTCTGTTCTCGTTGTTGAAAACAAAAGATAATATTCAAATATATCAATGTCCTATAACAAATTCTTTTCTCTGTTTGTGCTCTTTTTTCTTCTTTACAAGAAAAACCACGATGATGAAACTTTCTTCTAATATTTGATCGAGGAAACATGCCGAGGAATAGCACGGTTAGCTTGTGTTATCTCGCATGTCAACTCATTTCCATGATTATTTGATTAATCTTCTCTCTGAGTGGTTTTTGCGTAATTTTCAATAGTATTCAATGATTTACTTTCTAGATGAAAGCAATTAAAGCGATTCCACCAGTACTTTCGTGCCAAGCATTGAAAGATCTTTTACGATCATCTTCGCAGAAAGTTTCCGTGCTCGAAGCTGACATTGGCAAACAATTTCACAACGAATTCTTACAGTAAGACTCACCGAATCATGCTGAGCAGGTCATCTTTTTGTTTAGCGCTCACATTCCAAAGGCTCAGTTCTTCGATCAACTCGAATGTACACAACCAACAAAATTGATTCCACGCGGTCTACCTGATATCAAATGTTTCGAATCGTATCTCTCACGTCTGGGTGTATCAAACAAAGACCATATTGTTCTCTATGATCGTTCACCGATGGGGTTCTATGCAACAAGTCGAGCTTGGTGGTTATTGAAAGTAAATGGATTTGATTGACGCTGCACTAGTGATGATTGTTCTTACTTCGATTAGACATACGGCATGGATAGTTTATCTATTCTAAACGGCGGATTTCATAAATGGGCGAAGGAAGTCAACGATTTAGAACCATCCAATGATAATCAGCCTAAAGAGGTAATACAGGAAGCTTTCAATACGAAATAACAGTGTTTTGTATTCTTTAGACAGGAATATTTACCGTTCATCTTAATGAAAACATGGTAAAGGATTTTCAAACGATGTTAAACATTGTTTCTTCGAAAGACAAAAAACAACAGATTGTCGATGCTCGACCACGAAATCTTTTTAGTGGTGAGTTGTCTTTTGCCATCAACTATTTCTATATTCTACCGTTTCAGGTGAAAAAGGTGGGCATCTGCCAGATTCACTTAATGTTTCATACAATGACGTATTTGATCAAGACAATCAATGTTTGAAATCGAAGAAAGAACTTCAAAAACGTAAAATCACAGTACACTATCAGCTCTGCATTACTCGATTCTTTTCTTAGTTTTTGAAAAAGCTGGTGTTAATTTATCGAAACCAGCTATTTACACCTGTCAAACAGGTACAACAGCGAGTACATTAGCTTTTATTGCTCATATTCTCGGTCAGAAGTCGTACTCAGTTTATAACGTAAGATATACTTTCATTTTGTTAGTAAACAATGTAACATGCACATTTGTATCTCTCAGCATCAACGTCTGTGATGTTTGAGAGACGAAGACATTTTCGTGCGAAACTAAACATGGCTGAAAAGAATTTTTCGTCAAAACCTAAGGGCTGTTTGATGCTAAGTGTTTAGTCAATTGCAGCAGTATAGTTTTGAAACAAATTTGACTTGATGTTTTTATTTTAGGGTTCGTTTACTGAATGGCAACAACGCGCACCTAAGGAGTATATTATTCAAGAGCAAACTAGCTCACCTGCTGCTGGTGCTTAGCTGTTGGAGCCAAGGACAATTTCAATCATTTTAACACTTCCTTTTCTCTTTTCAAATTAGCTGATAGTAATTATTGATTACCACGATCTTTCAGTTTTAGATGATTTTACCCGGCAAAGCGGGTTATCAGTTATTGTCGCGGTGGCGACCACTCTTAACACAACCAGCTGTTCGTACCATCATTGCTGGTCGTTCACGTTCCGAAACACCACAGGGTGTTCCCGATGGTTTGTTTTTGCTTTCTCATGGATATATAATCGATTGCTTATACGAATAGATTGGGGTGTGGCAAAACCAATGGACAAAACGCCAGTATCGACACCATTGAAACGTGGCGAAAAGCGTGTTGGTGCGCCGGCTGAAGTTAACGGGAAAGAAATTGAAATTTTATGGCCCACAGAACGTGAGATACAAGAAGGCGAATACGTCAAACCACAATGGGAAAGAAAACAAGTTAATGTATGCAACTGATCAGCTTTTCCTAGTTCGAATCACACAGTCACTTTTGAAATTATTTTCTCCCTTTTAGCATATATGGTATGGCTATGATTTCAATGATAAATTTCGAGATGAAGCCAAAATGAAGCAACGAATGTTTTCTCTTGTTTCCGTTGGTATCTTTCTCTTTTGGTTTACCTATAGATATTTTCCCGATCGATTGTAAGTCACGATTGAAGCCTACTCATCATGAATAGCGTATCGTTTTAGATTAACTCACTGGTGTCAGCGTGAAGCTTATCTTCGCTTAGCTGCACGCGAAAGTCTTGGTCAGCCGGGTGTTAGTCCATGGTACGTCGATCCCGCCAAAGTAGCACCATTTTTACCAAATGACGAGGAGCTCGGCGACATGCCTATTGAAATTTAAACAAAAGAAAAGGAATAACAGTAGATTATTATTAACACTCACACGGTTTTTTTTTCATCCCTCTTTTTTTCAATCTTGCTCGCTCTACTTGTGTAAATGACTGTGGTCTTTTTTCTTTTGGATATTAAAAAGCATAAATATAACCGAAATATCACCACTCTATTCTCACTCAATTTTATTTGATTTAGTCATAACAAAAGTTCTCTTCGATCGCTTTCACTGAAATTCTTTTCAAACGAAGGTTAAATAACTTCGATTTGTTATTCATCGACATGTAGAAAATCCGTCTAGTATGAAACGGTCCGAACGACTACGAAATCCTTTGTTTTAACAATGAAATCCTAACAAAATGACAATTTCAATATAAACGTCCGCGAATACCGTCCATAGCCGCACAAAAGGAAAGTCTTTCTTCTTCGCTATAGAAAATCTATACAACATTAACGAATTGTTAGCGGACGATCGGTGTGTCGATGAATTCCTTACCAATAGGCATATGTGCACGAGTATTGTTATCATATCGAACAAAACACTGACATTGTTCTACTAATTTATGCACTCGCTCGATTCCTTTGTGTGCTACACAGCTGACATGACACAAAGACGGTTTGTACTTACTAAACACTGTCTTCACTCATTCTGTTCTCTGTGTACGCAGACATATATATACAGCCGGTTCATATATCTTCTCCTCCGTCATTTATCTGATTCGTCAACTGTACAGCAAGAGATTGTTTTGATCCGTATTGACCAAATCTGACGTCTTATATTTTACCTGGATTTTCTCGGATCAAAAAATAAAACAATGATGATCAACTCGTCAGGAATCTCTCGGAAACGAGCGTTCGGATCTGATAAGGAAAACGTATGGCCGACAATGTTAGGTATAGAAGCGTAAGTGGACGACGCACTAATTACTGCTCAATTTCCAATTAAATCAATTTCGTTTAGTAATGAAAATGGATTAGTCATAAAACAGCCACGTTTAGCGCTTGGTGCAGCAGCTGTTGATCACAATATCTTTAATTCAAGTTAGTATTGATTGTATAAATACGAGCTGACCTAGATTACTGAATACATCATATAACGGACTGTACTTCATTCTAGTTCCATATTCACCTCCAGACAATTTTTTCCTCACATCAGTAGATCGTAAGTGTAAAATGCATGCGAACGAGAACTTTGTTGTTGATGATTAATTGTCTATTTAAGCTTGGTCACCAATCAAATCCGAACCAATTCCACTCCTTTGTACACCCGATCATCGTACAGCTAGTGAGTAAACGAATCTGTCGCGATACGAGCGGGTGTTTGATGATCAATTCTTCTAGATCGGCCAGAAACTCGATTCAAAAATGGTGCGTCTCGGCAAATACTGAAATGGACTCGATCGATAGGCGAATATGGCGATGGTAACAATGCATTTCGCGAACCTAATAGTGTTGCATGGCTTGAATCGGGCAAAATTGCTGTTGTCGACACCAACGCCCATTGTATAAAGATCTTCGATAGTGAATCTGGCCAATTTCTCTATTCATTTGGACGTGGACGAACACTAGGCAGTCAAAATTTACTCTATCCATACCGTTTAGCGGTTGTACCGAATGGTAATGATCAATTGGTTGTTATTCAACGCCATCCGCGACCACAAATTCATGTCTTCAGTTGCCAAGGAGAATTTATTCGTCGATTTGGTCAACATCTAGAAAAGCCACGAGCATTGACTGTAGATAAATCTCAACGAATATTAGTCATTGAATCTCAAATCCAGAAATTACACATTTTCTCGCTCTATGGACAGATTCTTTGCGTATTTTCATTCAGTCAACAACTCCAATTCCCGACATCGATCTGTTCGAATAATTCTGAAATCTTTATCTCTGACAATCACCTTCATTCGATCAAAGTGTTCTCCTATACTGGCCAATTACTTCGTGAAATAAAAGATGACATTTACATACAGTTTCCAACAAATATCAAACTAAATTCCAGAGGACAACTGATCATTATTGATAACCATCAAGGTTTGAATATCACCGTTTACGATGAAAATCAACAGAAGAAACGCTTAGGTGCCTACACGGCTCGCATCTGTCATTCACAAATTCTCGATGTGGCAATCCAAACGAATACGAACATTCTTCATTTAGCTTCGAAAGATTATCGAGTTTATACTTATCAATTATTATTTTGAATAAATGTGTTTTTTTTTCTGTTTTCTGCTTCTGCCGTTCGAGATGTGCTCATAGACATTTTTTTATCAAGTTAACGTTCAGAGTTTTTCCTTCTCTTAAATATACATATATTTTATTTTTCTACATTTTGGAAACGAACTAAAGCGTCCTCTGTTGTTTGAAAGATCGATTCTTATTAGTCGAAGGCTTGGCTGCTCATGGTTGGCTGATATTTGCTCATTCAGCAAAGTACAGACAGATTAAATCAATGCGAGCTTTCCGCTGCTGACGAAAGCCATAAAATTCAGAGGTCTTATTGAAGTTGTTCTTTCCAGATGAATTTCTATTCAAGTAGTAAACGTTTTATATTCACTATTGTCATTTTATATAGTTTCATTGGACATATCACGCTGAGTAAGTCCGTTTTCGCTCTCGAAAGTTTTTTCGAATCTGAAAATGAATTTCATAGCATCCACAACCGACAAACCTAAACGATCTGACGAGAAGGACAACATAGAAACAATACAAGTACGATCGAACTCCATTGTAGGCGCCTCGGTGGATCTTTGACGTTTTGTTTTTTAGGCAGAACCTGCTGCACCTGAAGCACAGATTCATTTACATGTTGATGATAATACACAGCAAAGAAATCAGGAGACGCCGACTGAGAGCAAACCCGCCAAAGATTCCGATGATGATGTTGAAGAATTGAATAAATCATTACAAGATTTAATTATTGAATATCGTATTCAAGAACAACAGAAAAACGCTGCAGTGAATCAAGAGAATGATCAAGAGGAAGAGGAGGAGGAGGAGGACGACGACGATGTAAATCTTCAACGTATTTTAAAACAAATTGGGGTTAGTATACATAATAAATATCATCAAAAACGTCCACTTGACCAATCGTCAACAAAATTATCTGAAACAATTCAACAATTGTATCAAATGTTAAAGAAAACTCAACCGCAACTGTTTACTAAAACATTCGTGAATCCGCCCGGTGCAAATACAAATACAGATGAAGGTAATGAAGAAGTCGAAAGTGAAATAGCTGAAGAAGAAAAAGTGGAAGATGAACAAGAAGAACCGGCTGTTCCACTGACACCTGAAATGGAACATGCGAATACAATTTATAATCAAGCAATGAAGTTGATCAATGGAACGGGCAATCGACCATATGACACGTAAGAATTTCATCCTTTCGGCAACAATATACCGATAGAGAATGTCTAGAGCGTATAAGTTGTTGAAACAAGCAGCTGACTTGGGTCATATCGGAGCAAAAGAAGAATTGGCGTTCGCTCATCTGATTGGATTACATTTACCAATGAATTTTAATCAAGCAAGAAAATATTATGAAGAAGGTGCACGAATGGGTTCAGCTCAGTCTCATTTTGTATGATTGCTCTATTCATGCATACAGAATTCTGAAATACACTTTGGTATTTCTAGGGTCTCTACTTTCTAAACAGTGCTGGACTTATTCCAGATGCAAACATTCCAAGGGTAAGCTAATTCGACATATCCCTCATCTAGCTAGCCATTGTTCTTCAGGCACTCGTTCATTTAACATTCGCTGCTATGGATGGACATCATCCGGCGCAAATGGCTCTCGTAAGTATTTCATGAAAAGAAAATTCTTCAATACAAAAAATCGTTCTAGGGTTATCGATATTGGCGTACGGTTTCCGTCGCTCATAATTGTGAATCAGCCCTGATGTTTTACAAACAAGTTGCTACTTACGGTATGCGCCGTCTCTCTTTGAGTATTCAATGACTTTTCTGATGGAATTCGTTCTTTTTAGTTTCTTCGAAGATCACATCGGCCAGTGGACAACTGATTCAACGTATTCGTTTGTACGATGAAGAAGAGCATCCGACACAGAATAATATCATGGTCGATGAAGATCTTGTCCAATATTATCAATTATTAGCCGATCGAGGCGATGCACAAGCACAAGTAAAATCGAAATTTTGCTTTAGCAAAACTTTCGAGCTATCTGACGTGTTCTTTTTTTCAGTATGGCCTCGGTCAATTATACTATCTCCGTGACACTGCGTATGATAAAGCACTCTATTACTTTCGTTTGGCTGCAGAAAATGGCAATTCGAATGCGATGGCCTATTTAGGAAAGTTATATTCAGAGAAAAACGATTTTATTAAGCAAAATAACCAAACTGCTCTTCAATTCTTTCAACGTTCAGCAGAAAAAGGCAATCCCATGGGCCAAGCTGGCATCGGCACAGCATTTTACTACGGCGCTAGTGTAGAGCAAAGTTATGAGAAAGCGTTCAAATATTTTCAATTATCAGCTGATCAAGGTTATGTCGAAGGACAACTAATGATTGGCGTCATGTATTACAAAGGCGAAGGTGTTAAACGTGATTACAAAATGGCATTGAAATGGTTTCAAGCAGCATCACAATCAGGACATGCCCTAGGCTATTACAATCTTGGACAAATGCATGCAACAGGTACGGGTGTTTTACGATCGTGTGCAACGGCTGTGGAACTGTTCAAAAACGTTGCCGAACGCGGCAAGTGGTCAAGCATGTTTATTGAAGCATACAATCTTTATCGACAAGGTCATGTTGAACAAGCATTCATGAAATATCTGTATCTGGCGGAGCTTGGCTATGAAGTGGCTCAATCGAATGTTGCATATCTACTAGATCAAATGCCCAATCAACTAATGAATATTTATCATAAGACAGACGAACGATATCGACGAGCTTTAATTTATTGGAATCGTGCTGCAAATCAAGGTTTCCACTCAGCGCGTGTGAAACTGGGAGATTATTTCTATTAGTAAGTTCGAATTTCGAGGTTAAATAATGCTTGTGTTTCGTTTCTATTCTAGTGGTTTTGGTACCGAACAGAGTTACGAAACGGCCGCTACACACTATAAATACGCAAGTGATCAAAGTCAAAATCCTCAAGCAATGTTCAATCTAGCGTATATGCACGAGAAAGGTTTAGGTTTAAAAAAGGTCAGTTCAATCAGTATATAACACTCGACTTTGAAGATCTTGCACGATCTATTTTAGGATATACATTTAGCAAAACGTTTTTATGATATGGCTGCGGAGACCAGTGTCGAAGCTCACTTGCCTGTTAATATTGTTTTGTTTAAACTTCATTTCCAATTACTATGGGAAAAAATATATGCAAAATTCTTTTTGTCTTCGTCGGACTCAACCACAACAGATGCTCAAAGTAGTACATCATCGTCTACACCATTACAACCACCGCCCATCGTCACTGCTGATGAAGATCATCATTCGAGCTCGACAACATCAATCGAACTTGATTCATCGTGGGATTTGTATTTAATGGTACTTTTGCTTGGTCTCATAGGTGCTTTGTACACAATGCGTCGGCAACGAGCTGCCTTATTACAACAACAGCAGCAGCAGCAACAAGGTCAAGCTCCATTGCAATGATAACCACTTTCTTTTCGCCGCTCACTTCTTTTTTTATTTGTTTTGTTATTTATCACATGTCGTTTCTCGAGATATTTATCTGTACAGAGACAAGAAAAAAACCAGTTTGTTGATCGTCAGAGCCTATTGAAGCATATGCATGGCGAAATCAAAAGAATGAAATTTCAGTTAGCAGTTTTAAAATTATTATGTATAGTCATTTGTTAATATTCCAATTTCTTAAAAAGAAAACGCAGTTTGTAAATCATTTATTTATTATTCATAAAATTATGTGCTGACTCTTCTTGTGCATCAACGTGATTTCTTAAGCGCGTTCAACTTCGCTGTACAAGTATCTGTTGAGCAACGGAAAATGTGGCACTTATTGTTTGCACATTGAGCATTGCGTATACATGCTCCACAATGTTTCTTGGCACAATAATGTGATATTGTGCAATATTCTCTGTCCGTTGAGCACTCTTTGTCTTGACTACACGATTGTCGGCATAGTTTATCATGACATTTGTTGCTTGAGCATTCTTTGTCTTGACTGCATGTACTATTCAATGATAACTTCAATGAACAGATTCGAAGTTTTGTATTGCAAAAATGTGTTTTTGCGCATTGAGACTGTTTCGTACAGTTAGAAAGCGAAGATTTTATTGTTGTTTTTGTCACTGCTACTGCCGTTGTGTTTGTGACTGTTTTTGTGCCTGTCGCAGTTATTTTCGTGGAGTTTGTTACTGCCGCTGCTGTTGAGTTTAATGCAGATGTTTTCGCTGCGAAAATGAGTAGAGCGATTGCGAAGACAATTGAACGAAAGTCCATGGTCATGAGAAATTGTAATGAAAATTTTGCGAGTAATATATGTATATATACGCGAAATTACTGAGTAACATTTGGTATTAATGATACAGATGTGACTGGGTCAAGCTGTTCGGCATAACTATTGTAACTATAGTTATTTGTTTTTCATTTGAATGAATAATTTCATTGATATTCAGACATTCATTATCGATTATTTCAAACTATTAAAAACAATCAATGAATCACATAAGGACATAATGACGTTAAAACTCGGTGAAAGTATGTTTCCTCTACCCGCCACATTCAGTCAGTTTTCACAAAGAGCTGAGGATGCACAAAAACGTTTACAACGGCAAATACGAGCTCTGGCACAGCAACGACGATATGAAATTTCCAAAGGCATAGATAACCAATATAAGACAGCGACTTTCGAAAAAATATCATATATTTTCAATGCTAATTTTCAAAATGAATTGAATCAATTAGGATACAACATATCGAACGAGAGTATACGCGCGATGTTTCGTCATATTCGTGTGATACTCGATTCTTTTCAATTGTACAATGATATCATATCGATGAAAGGCTCTTCAAACATAACTTTTCGTTTAATACCGATATTACAAAATATCAGAAAACAAGTGAGAATAAATTTCATGCAACTCGTTGACTGACGGTTCTTTACTTAGTTATGTTGCCTATCGCGGATGATTCAACATATCCTTGATGAAAACGCGGAGACGATTAAAGGAAATTTAATTCAATTACAAGAAACACTATTGGCTTATGAAACTAATATGCAAAACAAATTTCAGACATACATGTTCCGTGATATTCGACCACCGGAACTTATTATCCCTTGTCCACCGCATCCAAACTCTCGAGATGTATTTGCCAAAATCAAATCAACATGAGTCAACTCGTAGCTAATTAAAAACTTTTATTTAATTGAAAAACAGACATGGAATTTCAGTTATTCGCTCATCTTTTTTCTTTTTCGTCGTTTATCTAGAAAGAAAACATAAGTTTCCGAATGGAACTACCGAATTTTCATTTACTTTCAATAGTCATTTGTGAAATACATCGATCTTCGATTCGATTACCAGTAATGAGAAGACAACCGAGATGAAAATTAGCAGAGGAAAGGTTCAAACTATTCGAAGTACATGACGACAATAAACGCGGATTCATATATATGTTTCGAGCGTGCACTTCCGGAAACTTCCGTAGTTTGCTGTGCTTGTGATCTGATAGATTATGAATGTTGCACACACGTAAACGGATTCTAAGTGACATTGAAAGAAATAGTTTTCTAAAGATGATTCACTTGTCTCTTACTCATATTGACCCCGCTGAATCTGATCTTTGTCTAATTCGACAACATATGGGTTTACAGCATTGGAGTTCAGAATTGGTCCGAATCGATCTTGAGGCTTGGTTTCATTGTCGTAGATACCTTTTGACGCATGGATATAATGCTGACCGTATTGATCACGCTCAGTTAGCACATAGAAGTGTAGATACCAGCGAAGATTTTGTTTGTCTTGCGGAAGTGTAAACTGAAACGGGAAAGAATAGAAAATACAACTCTATTTCTCCTTACATGGACGGTTGGATGTGATGAACTGTTATCTAAGTTGCGTCCTTGTAGGAAAACTCCGCCTACTGATGATCTATGGAATAAATTCAAGAAAATATTCAATATAGCTAAGATTATCATACTTATTTTTAGAGTTTCTTCTGCGTATCTCGCTTTCGTATTGATCTCGCTGACGGTCGGCAACATCAATGTCAAAATGAAGCTGTAATGGATTCGTTGAACGCGGAAGTCCATCTAAATAACAGGTGAGTGTCTCATTTCGACAAATGACGAAGGAATCACACTCACTCGATGTTTGCTGTTGATGGCCGTGTTCTACTTGCGAAGAGCTACTCGTCGAATGTGTATCGTCTGTGTCTTCCACTATGGAAACATGAAATTAATCGGTTTACTGAGTTTCAAATGGCAGAGAGATGATTTACTAGAATCCGGTGGTGCGCCATCGTCAATTGAATTATCTGTTTCAGATGTTGCTTGCTGTGTATATTTGTCGATATTATTCTTTAGCTGATGATTATTTTTGTCAACAGTTAATGGGTCACTGGACTTACGATCTACGAGGAAAAGACAATGTTAAACATCGAGATCTGACGAAAAACATACTGATTATTTCGATTTCATTCGGAACTATATTCAAACACCAAATTTGCTCCTTCTTCTTGGGATTATCCAGTTCTCGAAGTGTACGAAGAAGCGTCCGAAAATGATCAATTGTATCATCGCATAAATCAACAAATGATCCATAGCTTTCGTCGAAATATTGGATTTGGTACTCCGCGAAATTCGTTTTTCGCTTGATGCCATACGTTTGGATAACCTTTTCTTGGATATTATTCAAATGATCATTGATGTTCACATTTATGTTTCGCCGCTGTTTATTCCAACAAACAAGCATCGTTACATTTCCGATATTGCTCATTCTTTTTATCGCAATAATTAATATCGATAGTGAAATGTAGGTAGGTATTTACCTTTTTATATAGGCGAATGGGTTTATACACGAAAAGAGAAAATATCACGTTTTTCTCCCCATAACGCAAGGTTGGAAATAAAACTCGGTAACTGACTGACTGTACGTAAGAGTAATATTTCTACCCTGAATATGTTCATAAACGATGACGAATGATTCATTGAGTGAAGTATTCTATGCAAAACATGATGTAAAAATAGAATCTCATATCCGTCGTGCTTTCTTTCGAAATCTCGAGCAATGTTTGTACTCATAAATAACAAATCAAATACTTTTCAGACGATGAAGTTGATTCGTTGTCAATGATTAATCTCTATTTTATGATAATAATTAGTCTTCCACTTCGTCAACGTTTACAGTTCGAAATAGACTTCATTTTCGATTGGTAATTGCATTCTTTTGTCGCATACAATAAAAAATCATATGACAATCTTGTTTCTTAGGATTTCATTTCAGCCAGTCACATCTGGTTCTTATCAACTAAGTCGAATGACATATCCAGCTTTAATTTTTTTTTCAATAAGAGTTCTTTCTTGTTTGTTTTTCTTGATTATGGAAGACAATGACTCGTCGGTAAATACGAGCTTAGTTCTTTACAGCTGAATCGTTCCGTAATACAGTTTTTTTTTCGACATAAATAGCAAATGAAAAAATAATCAACATCGAGACTTTTTCCTCCTTTTCATATAGGCAGATACAGATATTTATGTATATAAACTTCTGTTGTTTGTCTTTATTGCATTTCGACAGATAGACATGGGACAAGCAGAAAGCCACGCCAAAATATTGTGCCATTACTAACAATCCAACATAGATCGTCTCGCTATTTAATACGACGATTAGGAAGTCAACAGTGTTGCTCGAAGTCTAGATTCGTTCTTGATGTGAGCTTATGATCGCAATTGAAAGGCGCAGATCTGAAGCATCGGAAGAACACATACAGCGAGACAGAGAGAGAGAGAAAAGAAAGGGAAAGTTGAGAATAGAAAGAAGAGGGAAAGCTTTGACTACTAATACCATTTCGATTAATCTAACCATAACAGAAAAATATCTTGTGAGATGATTATTTTTCGTTGGACGTCAACTTGCGCAGCAAGCACTACTGAATAGTTGCTGTCAGTTCTATCTCTTCCGGTGTGTCATATCATTCTGTTTTTGTATACTGACATTTGGTATAGATGAGACAAAAAAAAACAAGTTTACCAATCTATCGACAAGAAAAGCAACAAGAGTATTATTCTCATGGAAAGACATCAAGCAGTCAGCCGAACGATTAGAGACAATCAGCATAAGGAAACACCCTACTGCCATCATCTTACTTGTGTTATCGTGTTGAGAATGTACACATAACTGTCTCGCATTTCCTCGTCTGACTTGCCAGACTAAATATCTACTTATGTCACCTTCGATTATTTCCCATAGTCGCTAGCCGACATCGAAAGATCAGTCAGACATGAAGAGAAGAATAGTGAACCTAATTTGAAAATAAGCATACATTCATCACTCCCTCAAGTTTCTTCCTCCTTCTCTTCATTCTCTGTTCTATTATTTCTTTAGATAATTTCTAGCTATTGTCAGTTTGTCAATTGACAGAGTATCATACAAAGAATTCTTTCGACAAGTATGTATTTATTAGTAATATTATAACAATGACTAGTCATACAATTTTCAATGAAACGACAACATTGATGATGTTGAAAAACGAATCGACAACAACGGCATTGGTACTAACGAATGATTCAACATTAATCAATCAATCGTCATTAGATAATCTTTGTAAAAATTTTCATGTACGTATATTTAATTAGAAACATCTGCTCGTATTTATTTATCCCTTGAGATGTAAACTTTTTCTGCGTTGTCGAAATGCGAAATTAATCGGTCGCTTTTATTTTAGCTCATCGTATTTCTGTGTATTATATTTGTACTCATTATTACGGCTAACATATCTGTTATTCTTCAATTGAGCTGTTCAAAAAAAAGCCAAAGTCGCATGAGTTTCTTTCTGTTAAATCTGGCATATGCTGGTAAGTTTCTTCTCGCAGTTGTTGTTGTTGTTGTTGTTGTTATTATTATTATTATTATTATTGCCGGAAATCGTTCGTTCGTATGCTCGCACATCCGAACGATATTTGTCGACTAGTAGCACTTGATTTATTCAATCATGAATGTATAGTATGATGCGATGTTACGTGTAAACCCTCTCGAATATAGAATTAGAGCAAATGGTTATAATCAAGAAAATGTTTTTCTTTTCTCACAAAATATTACTTCGAGTGCATCAACGCTAATTTGATTTCAACAATTATTCAGATGAGTGAATTGTTAAGAAACTTTTTTTTAATCTCAAAATCAAATCGAGGAAAAAGTTGTTTGTCGCCGAACTTCTTCTTTGTTTAGATTTATTCGTTGGTATCATCATTGTCACACGTGATATTATTGAAAAAAGTTGTATACCATTTGGACTCGGCTCTCTCGGATGTCGACTGATCAGTTTCATACAAGTTCGTGTTTTTCTTCTCGCGAGAAAGAGAATAATTGATTCAATAAGGAAGATTTGTTTTAATAAACGATTGATCTCAGTAATCTCAATCGTATTTTTGTCGGAAAAAGAAATCTTTTATATTAAACTATTCAAATTCTACAGATGAGATTTGCAGGGAAAATACCGATTAGCATATTGTTGAAGCGACAAAGTCGAATGAAAAGTTCTGACTTTTCTTTTGTTTTTCTTTCAGGGAACAATTTCATATAATTCAAGGTAAACTGAATAATATTTGCGAAATTTGCGTTGTTTACAAACGACGGGTTTTAGTTATGTACTTGTCTGTGTATCAATTGATCGTCTCTACGCCATTATTCGTCCAATGGATGTTCGGATTGCATCTTCAGGTAGATTTTTCGATTGTTCTTCCTCCTTCCAAAACGAATTTATTTCTCATAGCATTTCGATATTCGTTAATCATCGGTAAGCCGAAGTTGTTTTCTCGTTCGTCAGAGCCTTCGTAATTAATTTTGTTGTTAAGCATCATGGATTATTTCAATGACCTTCGCGTCTGCTCAGTTATATCTCCGCGATATCAATACGATTGAAGGAATGCGTATATGTGGTAATCGATCGGATGTTCAAAATTGGAATGTAAGGTTGACAATGCATTGATGGCTATTGAATTCTATTTGGACGTTTCAGGCATATGTCTACTTCTTATTTATCTCATTATATCTTGTTCCATTGATTGTTATGACAGTGTCATATGTAATTATAATCATAATCATATGGAGAAAAGGTTCGATGAAAATCAAAGATGGATCAACAAGCGAACGGAGGGAGAGATCACGATTACGTCGATTCTTCTCATCGAAAAAGTCAACTTTAAGTGGTAAAGAAAAGCCTGCTCACAAACTTGGCTTTTACTCATGTCTTTCTTTCTGCGTACTAGATGATCAACAGATCGAAACGCGCATACGAGATGTTCGCTCACTTGGCGTTATACCTCGAGCAAAAATCAAAACCGTCAAAATGACCTTAGTCATTGTTATTGGTAAATTTCCTAACAGGCTGATGACAGGATATCCGAAATTGTCTTGATTGATGAAATACTAAATAGAGTTTGGCATAACATCGTAGTCAACCTTACAAGTCTGACCTTCATCAGTCAGCGTTTGAGTACATCGTTATAAACAAACTCGATTAGATGAAGACACTTATTCTTTGATTTTTCGAGATAATCACTGATGTTTTTCGTTTATTTTCTAGCTTTTACTGCGTGTTGGTCGCCTTATTTCATTCTCACAATAATGAATACGCTTGGCTTCATTCAAGATTTTGTACTTATACGTGTGACATCATCGTTATGTTATATGAATTCCTTAGCTAATCCACTTATATATTGGCTTTTTGCAACCAATTTCTGTCTACGATTCAGGTACATCATTCGATGCTGAATCTACGGGCAACGTAAATTATAATTTCATTTCAGTACAAAAACGACCAATGTTTCTCTCTCCTAGTAAAGCATACTCGAGTGATCACTTTTCTCTTTTCTTTCTCACGTTGCATGCGTCTCGTTCTCTGACCAGTGTGTTTGAGAAAAGCACCATCACTCCTGAATGACATGATCGGATTTGCATGATGAAGAGAAATTGTAGATATGCGCGAGGGTCTGTTTTCTATTCAATTACAAATCTCTTGGATTTGGATAGTAAAACATTGACGTCATCCCGCAGCGTTCAGAAAAACCGTTCATAATCTTCTTCTTCTCTTTGTAGAGGAAATCATGGTCGTCCACAAGTGACAAAAACGAAATCAACATCGAATGTCGAAAACGCTCGTCGTTCCTCCTTATCCGATCGTCGACAAAGTGTGAATAGTGTGAAATATCAACGACGACGTTCAGAGGACCATCATCGTGCACATCATCCACGCATACCAACACCTACAGCACCTTTACCTCATCATTCAAAATATCGTTTACCAACATTGAATCATGTACAAGGAACAACACGTCTTATTCAACAACAAAATCTACCAGCATCATCGATTCTCTACGGCCATCAACATCATTCACCGATTTAATATCTGAATTTGTCTTTGTCTTCTTCTCGTAGTTCTGAGAAATCATTTCTTCGATTTTGTTTGCCTTTGTTTTGTGTCATTTCGTATAATCTAAAAAAAAGATGATGTCAGTTTGTTATCTTAATTGATTGTCAATCACGTACGAAACTGTCTCTTGGTATTGTATCAAATATAATGCATAGATATGTATATATATATATTAATGATAGAACCGAAGAAGAAGTCTTCAAGATTTCTTGACTATGAGTAGCGAGAATAGAAGAACTTTTTTTTTTCAAGTGTTACTATCGTTTATGTAAGAACAAGTCCATCAACGCTTGTCTAAGTAATTCTACTGATGAACTGTTTTTATTCGAGTCAATATAGCACATCAGTTGCATCGTTCTATCCTTGACGATCGATGGGAGCCACCCATTGACGATAAAATAATAATTGATCCTTGTTGTGCCTTGCAGACTATAGAGTTTGGTTAAAGTATTTTGTTGACGTCGCTTTTAATATATTGTTTGACATTCTGAGTAATTAGTCTCTCTATCTCTATCTCTTGTCGTCTTGACGGACAAAAGAGATCACTGGGGTCCTCCAGCATTATTATTAATCTTTCATTACTGCCATTCGTGTGTGTTTCCATCCGCAAGACTAGAGATATTGTGAACCTTACAGCGACAATTATCTCTTTTCTTTTCTGCTATATAATTCTGTCGAATTTAATCAGAGAACAACGTTCTATTCTTTGATCTTCGTTCATTTCAGACATTTCAATGTATCACGGGATGTCGAAGACAGAAGAAACTCTACGTGAATGCGGTCGGTGGATATGCCATTCATTCGATATATTAAAAGCGATTATCATTCGAGTGATTTTTGCACTTCATGCGACGATTGCAATCGTGCGAATAGTTATCGCGAAAGGAGATTATTGGTATCTGTTAAACATGTGTGGAGTGAATTTTCTTCTTATTGAATTGATTGTTACTATTTTTAAACGAAAAGGTATGTTGAAACTCGCGAGTAGGATTTTCATGTTTGAATTTCGTCTGTTTTAGGCAAAGAACCGAAATGGTAAATATTCGTTGATGATTGATTGAACAAAGAAGTTATCCTTGTTTAGGTTTTCTCCATGTTTTTTTCTTTACATTTGCACGATGATTCCTCCGATATGGTTTCTCGAAATCAATCGAATCAATGTTAAACTTGGCCGTGAACCATTCAATCAAACTGAAGGCAGAGAATTGGAGCTATTAATCGAAAAAGGACTTATCTCCAAAGCAAATATCAGCGATAAAACGGTATGTTTCGTTTCGTTTCGTTTCATTTCATTTCATTTTCTTTGACATTTCTCTCTGCGTATAAAACCTTCTCTCGAAACATTAAATCTCAATCGAATTCAATTCTATAGAATTTAGTCTTGCAAAAGGTGAGACGTAAAAGGAAACAACAATCGCATGATGCATGATTATATATATTCCATTTTATATTCAATAGTACATAACAATAACAAACTGGAAAAATACAACAATTTTGTTAGCGAGCGCCAATTTTTGAAGGTTTGAGCTCGAGAGTGATATGCCGTTCAGGTATTCGCGGTCGAGCACCCCAAGCAGGATAGTATTGATGGTGACGGCGCATATAAAAAGCGAAGATACCACAGAGCACGGATGACAGGAATAGCGCTGGAAGAATAAAATTTCGAAAGATGATTTGAGCTTTTTTTTCTCGAGTACTTAAGATATATTGAGGAGGACGTGAAGATGAAGAAGAACTAATGATGGTGGCCGTAGTAGTTGTTTCTATTGGCTGTTTATTGAAGATAGTTTTCGGTTCCCAAAATGTTAATGTCGTTTCGTCGATCGTACGATTTGTTTTGAAACCGAAATACGTCGATAATGTACGAGTGATGCTATGTGTCCGAAGAATCGTATTGATTAATAAACCTGTTGCTAATATGCAAACAAGAGTGATCATAACAATAACCAAAATTGATATGATTGACGAGGATTTTAAATGAACAAATGCATCATCAGTTTCTCCTTCTCCATCTTCGACCGGCGTTTGATCACCTAAGATTTTAGCTATATCTTCATCGGTAGCTTTAGCTGGTAGAACTTGCTCATCGTCATTCTCTTCCATGCTTGTCAAGGACACATGCGTGTGCAACGTGGCGCTATGTTGATCTATATAATAACGTTATTTTTTTTCTACTCTTCGCTCTTTTTCTTCTCCCGTTCTTCGTTAGTCTATGACAGAACGTTAGTTTATGTTCTTTTTGTCTTCAACTCGAATATGGATATTACACAGAGCACAGAAATAGCCGGAAAAATGAATTCTTTCTCTTGAATATAAACTTCAGCATTTTCGATGCTCGATTGCATGTGCACGAAATGAGACAGTGGACCATCTTGGCATGTTTTAGAAAAAACCTCTAACCATTGACGATTGGGTTGTGGTAATCGAAGTGACATTTCTAATGATAATTATCATCGGACGATGGTTATTACCAAAAGGAAAGATTAGCCGATCTGCACTCTCTCAACTGTTACTTGTTTATCTTTCGTTAGCATCAGATATGATCGATCTTTTGTCAATATTCCAAGAAGAGAACGTGATTAAGAATCAAGAAATGATCTATTCGACATTAGCGGTCTTCTCTTGGTCAACATTTCAATTTAGTTTGAATCTCGTTGCGTCACGCGGTCGAACGTTTCGTTACGAATCCGATAGTATGACTTCTAGCAATCAATTGAACATTCTCAAACAGCAAAAACGTCGGCCGCCACATCGAGTCCTTTCCATCTGTCAGAAGCTTGCAAACAGTGAATTACCATCGATATTTCTGACAATTCTTATGCAAGATCTCCCATTTCTCATCATTCGTTTTATTGCTGTCGTTCATTTTAAAGTGCAATCTTATACCACGATATTTTTCACCTGTAAAAATTTAATTATCTTATGCTTACAAGTCTATCGTCTCTGGTCGATTTGCATTGAACACATGGATCAAGATGAACAAATCGATTTCGATAAACAATCAGCGCAGCGATTGCCATCACCTCTACCATTACCTGAATCCACAACAACTCAGTTTATCTTAGCATGAGACCGCATGATCCATCTAGCTTGAACTCGATCGATCGAACGATATACATATATATATATATATATACAATATTTAAGCATATTATGTACATTTCTTATTTGTATGAACAATTCTTCTGTCTGATTTAGATGAAAGAATGGGGCGTAGATGACGTAATGGTGGTTGAGTTGTCGTTTATGTTCATTATCATTCTTGGTCGATGGTTATTACCAAAAGGAAATATATCACATAGTGCATTGTCACAATTGCTGTTGGTTTACTTGTCGCTTGCATCGGATATTTTGGATTTACTAACATTATTCAGTGAAAAGGAGATTTATCTAAGTTCACCTATGGTTCATATTGTTCTTGTTATCTTTTCTTTGTGTATGTTTCAATTCGCATTGAACCTAACGGCTACACGTGGTCGATCATTTCATGCTGAGTTTGACGAAGCAGAATATGAAATTCGTCAATTGCCCCCACCGATACCAATACATCAAAAGGTACTGAATAAGCTCATGCCAAGTACGACACCATCGTCGTCTACAGCTCGTCCATTGACGACAACATCAGCAAATCAAACACCACGAATTAAACCTCGTGCAGCCTCGTTTTCAATCATGAATCCATCAGTTACCATTTTTGAAAATCCTATTCACAATGAAAACCTCGAAATGCAAGAAAGTAAGAATAGTTTAGGTAAGTTAACTTTGTCATTCCTACACGATATCCAACTTATTATTATTGATAGTCCTAAAGCCAACATTTCCGGAAGTCAATCTACTCTCAACTATTCCTCGTCCGATAATGCAGAATCGCCTATCCATTGGTTCTCTCAATTCATTACATTCGTCTTTATGGCATACTTCACGTTCGAAACAAATGTCGAGAAAGTCGATTGCAGAAAGTGTCAAGGTCTTCGTCAAGAAACGCTCAGCAAAGTTCCTTCGATCAGAAATTTGGTCGATCTTGGTAACATTATCGTTGCAGGATGGTCCGTTCTTTGCTGTTCGTCTCGTTGCCATTTTTGTTTATCGTGTACGATCGTTTCTAACGTATTTCTTTACATTTAAGAACTTTCTGATTCTACTCTTTCAAACGTATCGTATTACGTCGATATGTTTAGAACGGGACCAAGAAGAAGAAGAATTCGAAGAAAAAATGGATACAATAAGACGTATGAGTCTTGCAGCATCGCAACTTGGCGTTTCAGTAAATCGAAACTTCTAGTTCGGATGTGTTCTTCGTGCTTTAATGAGATCAAACATGATAAACAAATAAGTTCTTTTTTTTGTTCGATATTGTAATTCAAATACTGTATTGTCAATAAAAACTACTTATTTGACAATTTGAACGAGACATTTTTCGGCTGCTTAATCTCAGTCACAGCTAAGCAAGTGTTCTCTTAGGACATCTACTTCTCGCGTACTCTATCGTCGTCAAAATTAGTTGCCTAGCGCACCAATCGCCTTTTTTGTCTTGCTCTGTCAAGGAAGAAACTCAACCAGCTCGTTCACTTCGTTTTTATCTTTTGTGTTGTGTTTACTATCGATTATTCATATTAGTTTACGAATGAAGAATCAATTAACTCTTTTATGGCGATGTATTTTTGGTCCAAAACTGTACCAGACATATCCAGCAATACCACCGACTCCGATGCGAAATGATCAACAAGTAGAATTCAGTTTTCATCCATGTAAAAGTCTCATCTATTTGTACTTCTAGCCAGCGCACATTTACGAGAAAAATACAGCAGAGAGTCTCAGCGATACGGTGTTTTTCGCAGTAAGATGCTTGTTCTTCAGATCATTGTGCATAATCTATCGGTTTGTTAGTTGAAACTATCCTTCGGCATACTTAAAGTGACGTGGCCTATATGCCTGATATACTTTTATCGCAAAGGTTTTTTAACATACGATAATGGTATTGTCACATTGCGACTTGCAGGTTGTGTCGCCATTGTTTCAGCTTATTTTATGCTGTTACGTGGTATGTTCAATAGAAGCTTGTTGCCTAGATAAATTTCACGTTTCATTAGGTGTTGGTCGTTATGTTAATCCAAGTTATAAACTTTTTATTGATGAATTCTATCGGGTCAAAACGAATACATCCAAAGATGCCCGTCAAGTAAATATCTTCTCAATAGAACTTAGAGAATAAAGAAAACATGTTTTTGTGTATTTAGCACTTATTAGCTAAATTTGACTTTTCTCTTTCTCATTGGCAACCAGATTATGTTATTGACACATCCGCTGTGCGAAAAATACCGATGATATCCATAACTAAAGATGAACTTCTCAATCGTACTGAACCAACCCTTCTCGAACGGATCTTTCATTATCCAACATTATTTCTCGGATATATTTGTGTGAATGTATTCGGTCGTCGTCTAATGTTCCCAGGTAGCTTACAGTTACTTCGACAAATGATGGAACGTCCTTTACTTGACGGACGTACAAATCTAATTGTTCAACATCGCGCCAAACGATATGTTATACGTACAGCTGACGGAAATAACATCGATACAATATTCGTCGATCGACGACAATCAAATCAGACCAACAATGGACGAACGTTAGTAGTCACTTGCGAAGGAAATGCCGGATTTTATGAAATGGGTTGTATGGGAACACCCATTGATCGTGGATATTCAGTACTTGGATGGAATCGACCAGGATTTGGAGAAAGTTCGGTAAGATCGATAATGAATTGTTGTTATCAGATGAATAATCATTGTGGTGCATTGATTTCTGCAGGGCTATCCTGGTGCATTGTCGGAAATCAATTCTATCGATGCAGTGATGCGTTATGCAATTGAAGAACTACATTTTCTTGTTGACGATATTGTTATATTTGCATGGTCGATCGGTGGTTATTCGGCTTGTTGGACAGCCGTCAGTTATCAAGATATTCGCGGATTAGTTCTAGATGCCGTTTTCGATGACGTTCTCCCATTAGCACAACGTCAAATGCCAGCATTTGCGTCGAAGTTCGTTGAGAAAACAATACGTTATTATCTCGATTTGAATAATGTGCAATTGCTGAAGTTATTCAATGGACCATTCTATTTGATACGACGTACACAGGATGAAATTATCAGTCTTGTACCAGGTCGAGTCGAAACCAATCGAGGCAATGAATTGTTATTTAATGTTCTTCATTATCGTTATCCGCATATTTACAATGATGATCAGACATTAACACTTTTAAGACGGTATGTCTGTGCTAATCAAGTGCAAAGAATAGCTCTATACGATCAATACTGCTCGAATGAAACTGATTTACAAGCATTAACGAGAGAATATCGAATGGAACATCCAAAAGCAGCATATCCCTGCAAATTCGGTAAGAATTCTTTTCTATTTGTGTTCAATACTTCGATGAGTTTCCATTATAGGCGAAACTTTCTCTCTGATCGAACGACAACGCTTTGCTGTATATCTAATTGATCAATATTTAGTCAATTTCGATTCTCAACATTGCACACCTCTACCACAAACATTCTTTCGCATACCTGATCGATGCGTCTGACGCCCATTGGCTTCTATGTTTTTCTTTTCAAATATATACTTGTGATGTACGAGATGTAATCAGTATCAAAAGAAAATTATTCTAGACATGAACATGTCCATTGTCAGAGTGACATATCAGTGCAATTCAGAACTGTGCTACAATTTTTTCGGCTTCAAGCATAATGTATTCGAAAGCAGTTGACGAAGAGCGTTCATTCGTATGCGAAAATGAAATCAAGGCGTCATGCGCATGAGAAAGAAAAACAAAAATAAATGGTAGATTGCGAAGACACATGATTACATTTCCATTTATAACACAAATAACCCACATGAAAAGAACAGTCATTACTACTTATATTCCGAAGAAACGACGCTTGAAGGAGATTGAGATTCTGCAAGCAATTTTCGGCGAGTGACGACGAAAATGAAATCAAGTTCTATTCGGTGCAAACGCGAACAGAATTATCGGCGATCGAAATTTGCAGGATAAATGAGGAATGTTTGAAGTTTTCGTTACGATTTCTCATCGTCGAAGAAAAACATTGAAAAGAATCGATAGACTTAATTTCGACTATTTTCTCTATACGCGCTGACACGCTCGTATGTAGCTGCATATCACATCGATGAAAGAACTATAAGCGTTTTTTCTAGTTTGAATATCCGAAGAAAACCTTTGCATAATCTTTACTTTTGAGTTAAATTCATATCTGGTGGCTGATTTGCGATCATATACGTAGATTTCGTTTGTTAACGCAACCTCTTGACTACTCCACATATGAGAATAGAGTAAGATATTTTAGGGAATTAGTAAATGTTATATGGTAATCATATAACAACACTATTGACAAAATATCAGGTTTGCTCTTATCTGCGATACTCTTCTGTTGTTTTTTTCGTTTGGTTTTCGATAAAAAAATATGAGTAATGATGTAACTCAGTTCGTCGATGTATTAAATCAGCTGAAATCTGGCTCAAATTTTGTCAAACAAAAGTTCAACGGAAAGAAGTTCTCGCGTCGATTCTATCTCCATGAACGCGAAGGTTACATTTCCTACGAGAAATCACACAAATTGTTTGGCAAACCGCGGATTTGTAAGTCTATTCAAGTAAATTTCCAAGAAAAATGTTTCCCGATCGAGTTCAGATCATGTCAAAGACATCGATGAAATTCGACCAGGCATCCATGGACCGAGATTCGATCGATTGCTCCAAAAACGTGTTATCAATAATATGGATGTATAATTTCATTTGTTGTTGCAATCTTCTATTTTATAAACATCTCACGTCTAGGATCAACGCGTTTTTACAATACTGTACGACAATCATCGAAAAGAAGAACATATAATTACACCTGATTTCAGCACACGTGAGTTATGGATTCAAGGTCTGCGACATCTAATGGATCGACATGCGCAGAAGACTCAATATCATTTGATTCAAGAACAAAAGTAAGAGATAAAGATGGAAATGAGTTTTTATAAGCGTTTTTCTTTTAGATGGATTTTAGATTTCTTTCATGCCGCGGATAAGAATCGATCAAATACATTGAGTAAAAGTGAATGCCGAGAATTACTTGCCAATAAATTCAATGTTGAACTGCCACAGCATATATTCGAACAAATGTTTCATGTAAAACTTTGTTTTAGTGACGGATTTCTTACAAAATCTCTTTCTTTCTAGAACGCCGATAAATCGAAGGAAGGACTTTTAAATTCAGATGAATTCATCAATTTTTTCCAGTTACTAACTCGCCGAAAAGATCTCTATGCTATTCTAAAAGAGTAAACCAATGAGTTCCTTGGCAAAATCTTCTTCGTACTGTGTTTTTAGTCATGCCAATCTTAACTACACGCAACCGATCGAAACTGTGTCCATCAATGCTAATCAACTACTATCCTTTCTGCGATTACACTATAAGCAGACAATGAGATCGATCAGTCTCGAAGAAGTGCAACAGTTAATTCGTGAATTTGAGTTGAATAAAGAATTACGAGACAAAGACTTATTAGGCACCGATGGTAAGTCGACTTTCTATAGCAAGACAACGGAGGCATCTTCCTTATTCTCTAAGGTTTTCGTAATATGTTACTATCTGAATACTTTGACATCGTCAGTCCATTTCACACTCGTCAAATATATCAAGACATGACAAGGTATAGCTTGTCAAGTGAAAATTCATATCGAATGATAATGATGAATATATATTTGAATATTTTAGACCGTTGTGCGACTACTACATTAACACTTCGCATAATACGTATGAAAATTCAATGTTCAACTTCTTCGATGCTTGCTTGTTTTGTACTCTAGTTACTTGTTTTACAGTCAAATATCGGGTGACAGTAATCCAGAAGCTTATAATCGCGTTTTACTTATGGGCTGCCGAGCAGTTGAACTTGACTGCTACGATGGTGACAATGGTAGTCCAATTGTCACGCATGCTCATACATTAGTTAAGCCATGTTCGTTTGAATCGATCATTCGTTCAATCGAACCGAACCTCTTCAAAGCCTCACCGTAAATCTTCAGTATTCTTTTTCTTGTACCATTCTACTTTCGAAATTCAGATATCCAGTTATTTTAAATATTGAAAATCATTGCTCGTTAGAACAACAAAGGCAGATGGCATTGATTTTGAAAAGAATTCTCGGTGGTGAGTAGAAACTCATTGTACATCGCTGGTATCCTTTTTTTCAAAAATTTAGATCGCTTGATCACCAAACCATTGCCTAGCAAAAATCCATTGGTTCTTCCATCACCAGAAGACTTAAAACACAAAGTTCTTATTCGAGTTGGTAGACGTTCCTAAAAAATAGATCTTTTCTATGCATCCTTCTTCAGAGTAAGAAACTATCATCAGCAGTGAAGAAACGTCAAGATGATGATGACGACGACGAGGATAATGACACATTACTGAATCCATTGAGCAAAGTATATATATATACACTAATTCAAATTTTCCACCATACTTACATATCAACGACTGATGTAGGATGTTCAACCTGAATTAGCTGCACTATTTGTATATTTGCAAAATGTCCCATTTCGTGAATATGATTATGCCAGAGCGAATTGTAACTTCTTGATATTCTGACATGACCGTGTTGTGAAAATATTTGTTTTTAAAGATTCCTCATTTCAATCATCGTCATTAGCAGAAAATCGTTTCTATAAATTTGCACAGAGCGATCCCATTGGTCTAGTTCAGCAGACAACTTGGCGTCTTCTTCGATTATATCCAGGCGGTTTAAGACAAGATTCAAGTAATCCTGATCCAATCGTAGCATGGAACTTCGGTGTACAAATGGTTGCTTTAAACTATCAAAACGATGATGATATGATCGCACTTTGTCACGGTAAATTCCTTGATAATGGGGGTTGTGGTTATATCTTAAAACCGGACTATTTGCGTCATGCCGAAGACACAGAATTCGATCCATGGGATATCGGAATGAATTTCGATCATTCTCAAACTGTAACGATAACAATCATTAGTGGGCAATTTCTACCTCGATCAAATTTAAAATCATCTGATATACCCGATCCATTTGTTCGCTTATCAACACACGGTATGCGTTGCGATGAACATGTAGTAAAAACAAGACCTATCGATAATAATGGATTTGATCCAATTTGGAATGAACAGTTTCGTTTTCGTATCAAATTTCCTCAAATGTGCCTCATCTACTTTTGCGTTATGGACTATGACCTGATCACGAACAATGATCGATTGGCATATTTCTGTTCACCGATTACAATGCTTCAAACAGGTTATTGACCGCTAGCTATTCCGGAGAAGAGCATGAAATGTTTTGTTTTCTCCTAGGCTATCGACATATTCGTCTACGAGCGAATAATGGCGATCAAACTCATTCAACTCTATTCGTTCGCGTGGATATTCAACGTGATGGTGTTTACGACGACGACGATGACTATGATGGTGATAATATCATCAGTACAAGACTATAAAGACTCGTACTCCATCTGTGATTTATATTATAATAAATAAGACTAAGCATTTGGGATCATCTTAATTTATTTTTATATTCTTTGATCAAGATCTAGATAATAGAACGGAAATGCTCTACAATAACAAAAGCAAACGAACAACTAGGCGAAAATAGGAGTGGGCGTTTGGATATGTCCTAATTTTCTCTTCAGATGTTCCACTTCACCACCATATCTACAAACAGCAACTCGCATCATCGCTAGCATATTGTGTGCTGCAGTATTGTGATCATGTACACCACCGTAGAATGCGACAGTCGCATCCTTGCCAACGTAGCTTCGAATTAAAGCTCGACCACCGGGATGTGAATCAATAAAATTGCTAACATCGTGAATAAAACCGGCGATTAAGACTAGCACACGACCATCGTCCTTTTTTGCTAAATCTTGATATTCTTCATAAGAAATCAACGGTAATTCTTCATCACCTTTTGGCCAAGTGATAGTTCGTCCAAATTGATTTAATGCTTTACGTACCATTGTGTAACGACCTTTTTGAATTTCATTTTGAGGGAATTCTTTCAGATTACTAGCAAGTCCAATCCTTTTGAAGAATTGAATAAGATTTTTTGTTGGATCGTATTGGAACCATTTGAGTGCGTTACGGTAATCGGATGGAAATTCATGATGAAAGTTGTGATAGCCTTCGCCAAGAGTGACAAGAGCGGTTATAAAGTGGTCACGAGGTGTGTGTCGGTCATCGAATGGTGCATCACCTAGATAATGTGCTAATGAATTAACACAGAAGGTTGAATGATGAACGAATACGAGACGAAGAACACCGGCAAAAAAGTAACCACCACGGTAATCACCCCAAAGGAGACCGCAAAGAAGAGTGGGAAAAACAAATGCCATGAAGAAAGCCAATGTCAAATAATGACGATGTTGCCATTGAACAGTCTTATCGCGTGAAAGATCAGTTATGTCAGCTACGCCTGGTTTTCGACGTGGTTTGAAGATTAACCAACCAATATGAGAATAAAAAATGCCTTTGTGTGCACTGTATGGATCGAGATCCGTATCAGTATAACGATGGTGGGCTCGGTGGCCACGTGCCCACCATTGAGCAGAACCTTGAACTGAGCCTGCAGCTAAAACCAATAATAAATATTTCAATGGTGTTTTAGCTTCGTATGAACGATGAGCAAATAAACGATGATAACCAGCTGTAATACCAAAACCAGTGAGAAAGTACCAGATGATTGTAAAAACGACTGTCTGCCACATAAATGCTGTTGTGAATAGACCGTAGAGTGCGACGAAAGGTTCAAGACATAATAATGTTGCTTGAGGCCAGTTGACATGTTTATACCAGTTTGACCAGGTCACAGGCGGTAGTTGAGGTTCATTCAGTAATGTCCGTGCAACGTAATTATTCTTGATAAAATCTTCCTCTTCTTCTTTGGATGCTTGAAATCTACTTGCCATTTGTTCAGTTACTGGTGTTGTTTTACGTTCAATAACTGGAGTCGGCAAATCTAATGGTGTCGGAACATATGGCATAGATGTGCTCGACTTCTTGTTTTCGTCGATGATGTACACCATTGTTATATTATACTATAAACCGACTCTTGTCTATAATCTAAAATAGATTGATATTAAGAAAATGAAGGCAACTACGTCTTATAGACACAACAAAAATCAACTCGGAAGATAACATTTTTCAAATATTTTGATAGAGGAAAACGCTAGTTCCACTCAGAAACATCGAGTTTTATATTCTATTTGTAGTATATCGAATACAATCTCTGATAAGTGTAAGGGCATCCTATCGCACCATGATATTGTATCTAGTTAATAGAAGAAAAACAACTTTCTCATCATGACTGCTCGCCAAAAACCGATAATAAATCTTAAAATAAGATATATCTCCCGACCTAGCTGATGAAAATTTACTTCTTCGAAGTTATACGAACGAATTTTCTTTCTACGTAGTTCTTTTGTATACAGCGACTTCGAGGCGTCTTTATCGACGACTTGTATCTGTACCTTTAACTTTCATGACGAATTATCGAAATCTTTTGTTTCCCCATCGACATAATGACCTAGAATCGTCGATAAGAGTATCGCTGAAAAAGTAGAACGCAAATAGGAGAGTGCAAAATAAGTGAAGTATATTTAGCTCTTTCGCAGTATAAGGCAAACATCGAAAACATACACGTATTCTAAATCTAAGACAAAGATTTTCTTACGATGGAATTTCTATATATATGATGAAAACTTTCTCTGCTTTACCCTGATGTTTCTGTTCTCTTTTTTTCCCTTTGCCCTCATCTCCATTATGCTCTCCAGCCCTCCTTTAATCACCCTTTTTTTCTTCGTCGTACATAAACGACGAGACACACTACACTTTCTATTTTTTTTTCTTTTACGAACACAAATAATTTATGGATCGTGTATACGTCGTGGATTTTTTCTTTGCAGTCCAGCGTTTGTTTCGTTTATTCGAGAGGCATCTACTAGTGACTCAAAATAAATTTGCCCTCAGACAAACGAAATTAGTCAGACGAATGAATATTCCTTTGACGTCTGGTATAAAATTATTCACTATCGACTAGCGAAAATATTCGTGTAGGAACTACGAAATGATAATAATAATGGATGAAAGAACGCGCGCTAAGTATTGTTCTATATTATAATCTCATGCGAGAAGTACGTTGCGTTCAATCTTAAAATAGTCATCTGTTAACATTCGACAAAGAGAAGAAACTCTACTTATGACGCCGTGATCGTGTCAAATATATCGGTCGTTTGCAGACCGCAATAAAACGCCCCGAAATTCACGAGTTGAAAAGTATATCCGGTACTGTCACTGGGAGACATCTGCCGTACAAGGAAACGCGTTTCTATTGGAGTTGAGGTGCGATAATAAAAAACAAAGAAATTGCATTTATTATACGAAAAATCTTCTGAGTATTCAAGTTTCAATCCATTTCATCAACGTACAACTATGACCGATAATCTTTCTAAAAGTTTGAAATCAACCGAACATGAATTATCATGGGCTAATCGGGGTTTAAAAGGAAACAATGCAGATGATGGTAGTCTTATTGCTTTCATTTTCTTGATCTTGCACATTTAGTAAATCTTCTTCTTTCAGTCAAAGAATTATGTGATGAAATTGAGAAATGCCAACAATTAGTCGCTTTACGTCTCGAAGGAAACACAATCAATGAAGAAGCAGCTACAGCGATCGGCAAAGCATTAGAAAAACATAGTGAAATCGAAGTAAATAGAATCGATCGTTTGATGTTTTGTGATGAACTTCTCCTCTTAGCGTCTCATCTGGAATGACTTATTCACGACTCGATTAAAAACTGAAGTACCGCCGTCGTTGGTATGATTTATCTTCAATGACGTTCGATTTTGAAAAACTTACTGATCGTATTCTATTTTATAGATTAAGTTAACTCAGGGTTTAATTACAAATGGTTGTCATATCGTTGAAATCAATTTAAGTGACAATGCATTTGGTCCAATTGGAGTTGAAGGACTTAAAACATTTCTTTCATCATCGGCGTGCTATACATTAGAAGAACTTCGTTTGAACAATTGTGGTATGGGTATTGGCGGTGGAAAAGTATGTTGAAAAGATGTTTTCCTCGTTTGATTGAAAAACGATGTCGAATTGTTATTTTAGCTGCTAGCAGAAGCTTTGATTGCTCTTCATCAGAATAGCGGAGGTAAACTTGCTTTGAAGCAGTTTGTTGCCGGCCGAAATCGATTGGAAAACGAAGGCGCACAAGCGTTGTCAAAAGCTTTCGAAGTAAATTTCCTTCTCGAAAGCGATTTTCGCGCATGTTTTGCTTTTTCTCATGCATAGCTAATAGGCACATTGGAAGTCATTCGTATGCCACAAAATGGCATTCGTCCACCCGGCATCGAAGCATTGACAAGCGCATTTGTCAGTAACCAGAATTTACGCGTTATTGATTTAAATGACAATACAATCACACTGGCTGCTCCTAAATTAGCATCAGCTATTGAAAAATTACCCAAATTGGAAATCATTAATCTAGAATCGTCATTGATTCGTACACAAGGTGCAAATGCCATTGCTCGGGCGATATTTTCACACAAAAATCTGAAGGTAAAGGCATGTGTTGATCGAGTTCGCTGATGTGAGCTGAACCTTTTAGGAATTGTATCTCGGATGTAATGAAATAAATACCGAAGGTGCTATGGAAATAGCACATGCTGTGAAGAATATGCCATCGCTACGTTTTCTAGATTTGAATGGTTTGTAGATTCGAGAAATGTGCTCCTCTGAAGGGAAATGCAATTCATTGTAGGTAATTGTCTTGGTCCGGACGGAATCGATGAAGTTCGTAATGCGCTTGAAAACACGGACTTTGTGAATCAAATGGTTTTTGAGTAAGTGAACGAGCTTATGGCGAAGAGGTTCTTCGATTTTGATGTTCTTACAGTGATGACGAAGGTAGTGACGAAGAAGGCGAAGGTGACGGTGATGAGAACTATGAGGATGACGACGAGGAAAATGAAGAAGATTATGAAGATTACGAGGACGAAGAAGGTGAAGAGAACGACGAAGAAGATGTGGAATCTCCATCATTCTTTTTTGGCCAAAATGCTAATCAACCACCGGCATGGAACAATTTTCAATTTGGTTCCAATAAAACCACGCCCGCTCAACCAGAATCTGTCAGTGGTCTATCAAGTTTATTGGCAAATGTTAATGTGTGTTCACCATTCAGTTTCGGTTTACAAGCAACTACCGAACCAAAATTGGCATCATTTACTAATCTCGATAAAGTCAAGGAACATCTCAAAGTTCGTATAAACTCAGAGCAATCTTTCGACCACTTCCTTATCGATTTCTTTCAGAATGATGATCAATCCACAGAACGTGCTGTGAAATTACTTGACGAAGTTTGGAACGACAATGCTATTTCTCAAAACGATGCTAGCTCCATTGCCAGTAAGATTCTTTCGTCGTCATCCTTCTCAGACGAACATGCACGTTTTCTTTAGCAAATACTTTGAAAGCATTAACCTTCACACCGGATAGCGAACGTAATTTCAACGAACGTCTACTCGTTGCTTTGGGCTTTGTTAAAGTACGTATTCAATAATCGTTTTTACGTAAGACATAGGAACGTTGTTTGGATTCAGGATGAACAAACAGGACGTCAACGTCGAACAACGAATCAACGTGATCGAACCTTCCGCACCTTGATCGATGTGAATAAATGCTTACCGAAATCGACCAAAAATCTCCTGTCTGTTTTCCTACAAAATGCTCCGTAAGACAAGTTTTGTTTGGAAAGAATTGTCAAATGTTAATTGTATTCCTAGGAATGACAAAAATTCATCTCTGTCTCCCGAAATCAAACAACAATTATTATCAGCTTTGAAAGGATAATAAAACATTTCGTTTTTGTTCACTGTCTTGTACCTATTTTTGTTACGAACTTCAAACAAGAAATAGATGATTATACATGAATTCTTCTTGTCTTTCTTTCACCATTTTGTTTTTCTGTTATTGTATATTTCAAGATAAACATGTTCAGACGATTTTTGACAAATCAATTTATTGTTTCTACTCGCTTTCTCTCGCAATATTATTCAAAAAAGAAAATTCTCGTACCGACTAAACTTGGGTATGCTACATGAATACAGCCAATTGAGAAACCTACTTCACACGCGAACTTTAGCGAGAAATGACACCGGGAATATTAGAGTAGAGCTCATTCAGAGGAGATTTGTTGAGCAAGGTTTCTTTGTTTAAAAAGACAAACTTTCTTTCAGTTTCTTTTCCTTAGTGTTACACCAGGGAATCAACATTTGGAAGTGAATTTATTCGATGAAGAGAGTAAACAATCACTCGGTCGCATGCCATTAATCGAAGCTCAAAAATTAGCCAAATTTCGGGAGTTAATTCTTGTTCTTTTCGATGAATCAAACGATCCACCTGACGTCCGATTAATGACTGGTAAACGTTTAGCACAAGTGCGAGACGAAACACGGACGAATAAGAAACAAGAACTAGCCAATGAGAAAATCACTGATTTCGTTGTTCGACTTCGAGCAACTATTGCCGAAAACGATCTGTTAACAAAATTAGGACAAGCCAAGGCAGCGTATGCAAAAGGATCGAGCATTCGATTTTCATTAGACTTCGGACGCGCTATTGATGAAAAAGAAACTGAACGGTTGGTAAGTAGAACTGATTTGATATGCGGACAACAGTCCGTTTCTCTCTCTCTCTCTCTATAGGTCTTATATAACCTAAAATTATAGTTGTGACGAAAGCTGTCTCTCTATTAAATGAATTGTTCTTTTAGGCTGAACGTGCCAATGAACAAAAAGACTTTCTCGAGCGACTGAAACCTTTCTTAGAAGAGTTTCCTAAAGTCCATACAAATTCGAAAAGTACTCGTTCGATTATTCTGATTGTTCCATCAAAATTACAAGCGGACAAGCCAACGAAAAAGCCGGAATCAACCGCATCGACAGAAGATACGGACATCAAAACCGAGAATGATAAACGTTCTGCACCTTCTAAGCATAAACGTAAAAAATCTGCGTAACTCGTGTTCTTGTCATTAGTTTAGTTTAAACTTCCGTTTGCTCTGTTTGAAATGTTCTCTAAATTTTCTAGATGATCATTTTGAAACATCTTCTTCCTCGTCCATCGATTCGATACCTATTGCGTACGAATAGTACTAAACCACAGAAGAAATTCAATCCATTCAATATTGAATACGATCCAATCAATCGGACAGTCACTTATCCACCCGAGTTAGTGATTAACAATCAAAGTTATTCCACTGATTCTTGGACAAATGTCACGCCGCATATTCTTTCACGTATTGGTCAGAATTTACATAAACAAAAGTACCATCCACTCAGTCATTTGAGAAATCGACTTTGTCAGTATTTCTATCAACAATACGACCCGAGAAAACTATCCCCCAAGTTTTCGATCATTGACAATCTTTCGCCAATCGTGACCGTAGAGCAAAATTTCGATTCGATCTGTATTCCTAAAGACCATGTCAGTCGAACGAAATCTATGAATTATTACATCAATGCGAATACGCTTCTTCGAGCACACACATCCGCGCATCAAGTTGATCTTATCCGGTCAGGTTTGAATGCGTTTTTGTGCATTGGAGATGTCTACCGACGAGATAACATTGATCCAACGCATTATCCTGTCTTCCATCAATGTGAAGGTGTACAATTGTTCAATAAAGAACAATTATTCGTTGATAACAAGAACGTTCGTGGTGAAACAAAAGATCTACAGATCTTTGCAGCAAATGGTAAGAAAATGTCGAATGATGAGTTTTTAGTATTTGTTATGTTTAGAGCACCGAGATGCAACCAAGCAAGAAGGACATACACTCGAAGCAGTTAAATTAGTGGAAGCATCGTTAAAACAAACGATTACTGACCTATTCAAAACTCTCTTTCCCGATGTCTCAACGTTGAATTCTCGATGGGTCGATGCCACATTTCCTTTCACGCATCCATCGTGGGAATATGAAGTTGAAATCGATGGCAAATGGTACGAACTGCTCGGCTGCGGCATTATGGAAAATCGCGTCTTGGAAAATTCCGGACTGGGAAAAGATCATATCGGCTGGGCATTTGGCCTTGGTTTAGAACGTATCGCTATGGTAATGTACGGTATTCCTGATATTCGTTTGTTTTGGTCGAATGATTCAGGTTTTCTCTCGCAATTTGCATTCGACGATTCGACACGCTCAGTTCGATACAAACCGATTAGTATTTATCCTCAATGCATTAACGATCTGTCAATGTGGTTAGGCAAAGCTAAAATCGACCCGTTAGATTTCTACGACTTAGTTCGGTCAATTGGCGGTGATCTAATCGAACAAGTAATGTTAACCGATGAATTTTATCACAAGAAGAAAGATCGACATTCGCAAACGTATCGCATTATTTACCGTTCGCCAGATCGCACATTGACAAAAAATGAAATAAATATGATACATAAAGATATTGAAGATCATTGTATAACTCAATTTGGTGCCGAAATTCGCTAGGAGTAGATTTGTTTTCAATGGAATAAATATGAGTTTGACGTCATATCCTGTACGCAATAAACGCTTTTTCAGGGAAATTCATTGTTTTCTATTTAAGATGAGATCTTTGTCTGTACTACTGCTTCAGATTATCACCCCGTTATTTCATTCTAAAATGAGTAACATGAAAATTGACACGTTTTTTGTTCGCGATGATGGAAATTTCTTTCCTAATAACAATCAACTACCTGTCATTGTTTATCGGCAAGTATTTGACTCTAGATCAGTCTCAGCTTCGAACTGGGAACAACTGTTCAAACGGAATAATTTCGGTCAATCATGGCGGGACGGAATATTCACTTTTCATCACTACCATTCGACTGCGCATGAAGCATTGGGATGCTACGCTGGTCATGCGCAAGTACGATTAGGTGGAGATGATGAACAAGTGCGAAAAGATGTCGAGTTGAATGCTGGTGACTGCATTTTGATTCCTACCGGTGTAGCGCATAAAAATATTGGACAAGATTCCGCGTTCGCTGTAGTCGGAGCGTATGACTTAGATGGACGAAGTTACGATATGAACTATGGGAAAGATGCAGAAGAAAGACGGAAAGCTGAAGACAACATGAAAAAGGTAATTTAACATGCGAAATTTTGCGTTAGCTTTCTCCTTCATGTTTAGGATCCTGGATTTACACTTTCATCTTTATTTTCGTAGTTTCGTTGAGATTTACTTTATGCATGTACTCCGCTAGCGTTCGAAACATGCACCAGATGGTTTTTGTTCTATTTCATTGAGTTACATACACTAAAGGTTGATGATATTTCATTTGTAAACAGTCTGATGACTTCCAAATTGTGTTTTCTTCTTCTACTTCGATACATGTGCAATTACATGGTTCAAATTTTCTAATTAACAGGTCGAAGTTCCACGAATGGATCCAGTCGTAGGTGAAAGTGGTGGTCTAATTCAATATTGGAAGAAGAACACTCCTCATCAAGAAACATAATATATGTATTTTTTTCACAGGAAAAAAAGAATGTATCGATTTTTACACCTTTTTTTTCGCTCGTTCGTTCTCTTATTCTCGTCGCTTGTCAGACTGATTTGATATTACTATTTCTATGATACGAAAAAAAAATTGCTTCAGTTACTAATAAATATAAACGAGCATTCGGTGCACTGACTAAATTTCTCTCTGCAAAATTATGGACAAGACCAAGTGGCAAAGGTTTGCTTAGCGATGAACTCGAAAATCTTCTGATAAATTGATTATTTTAGATTGATGAGTATAGATCCCTTGGGTCTGACTGAATTGCAGAAACGCAATCTGGTTGACCGTCTCAAACGTCGAGTTACATTTATTAAACACAAATCTAATGGTCGAACTTATGCTCGCATCTATTATCTCAATTTATCCGAAGACGCGATTCATTACCAAGGATCATCACATCGTTCCAAACACGAAGCATGTATGAATATTACTCATCCTTTCTTGTGACGAATCATAATATTGGTTGGTTTTAGGTAAGATCAACGATATTAATCAGGTTCGATCCGGTTTCACTACGACTGTTTGGAAGAAACATTTACGTAAAGGAAGAATTACGAACGATAAGATTCACTTAGCATTTTCGATTCTCTATGACAATAATCGGCATTCGCTTGATCTACTTGCTGATTCGGAAGAAATTCGTTCACAATGGATTCAAGGCCTCGAATATCTGATTGGTCGTTATCGTTCTCATGTTCGTTCTCATTACGAAATAACTGATCGATGGCTTTGGTCGTTGTATTCGGAAGCCGATCATGATCATTCCGGCCATTTAAATCGACGCGAAGTTCGACGGCTTCTGTTCTTACTCAATATCGAATTGGACGAGCGAGAAATCGATCAGTACTTTAATCAAGCCAATATTCGTCGAGATAACTATGACGAATTAAGAAATTTAGACAAAGATGAGTTTATTTCATTCTATAAATTTGTTTCATATCGACCGGAATTAATTAAAATACTTTGTCAGTACGTATATATTTCTTCTTCTCTACAATCGCATTGGATTGGTCACCGATTTTTAGGTACAATGGCAGCACTCCGAAACAGTTGGCAGACTTTCTTGCTAAGTACGAAGTTCTCTCGACATTGTCGCATGCCAATCCACTTGGTCAACCGCCGGATGCGTTAGCAAATAGTTGTTGGAAATCCTCGTCGAAAAGTCAGCCATCTAATGCTCAGCCGCGATCGAAAGCACGAAAGAAAACTGACACGCGTCGCTCTCCATCATTGACGAAGACCGTTCACGACAATAATTACCTCACTGTTGAGCAATTTCAAGAATTCTTGCAGAAAGAACAACATATGCGAGATGTGACCATCGAAGATTGTTCGAAATTAATCGCGAAATTCGAACCATCCGACGAAGGACCGACCTGTGAAGAAATCGGTGTCGATGGTCTGCGGTTATTCTTACTTCATGACGAATTTTGTCTAATGAATGCTGATAAAGCGCATCGAGTTTATCAAGATATGACGCGACCAATCACCGATTATTTCATTGCTACATCGCATAATACGTAATGTGACACCTTTCAAATGCTATCTATCAATATAATGTTCGTTTTATTAGTTATATACGTGACAGTCAAGTGTATGGTGACTGTACACCCGAAACATATATTCATGCATTACGAACAGGCTGTCGTGCTGTAGAAAGTAAGCTGTGCTGTACATTTGTTGTGCTTTTACTTATTACGAGAGTTTCTAGTGGATTGTTATGATGGCGAAGATGGTGAACCGATTGTCTATCATGCAAATACCTGGACTAAAGCAATCACTCTGCATGAAATTCTTTTTGCTATTGAAACGCAAGCATTTGCGGTTTCACCGTAAGAAAACATCGCTATTAGTAAACTTCTGTCAATTTTTGTCTCTGTTAACAGGTATCCACTCTTTTTGAATATTGAAAATCATTGTTCATATGAGCAGCAAGGTGTGATGGCAAGACACTTAAAGCGTATATTTAAAGGTTATTCATTTCCATCGATTTGTACCAACTTGCTATCTTTTCTTTGCCGTAGATCGTCTGTTAAATGAACCGCTAAGGTCAAAAGTCGATCGATTACCATCTCCAGAGGATTTGAAATATAAAGTACTTATTCGGGTAATGGTCATAAACAATTTCTAACATATCACGAAAGATCTTTGATATACCAGAGTCGACGAAGTCCAAAAGGCAAAGTAGCAGCTGACCCGAAATCTAATCGAAGCGACGACGAAACCGAACCAAATCCTAAAGTATTCATCTCATTGTCTTATATTCATTTTCAAAACTAGCCGTACATGTTTAGAGTTATCATCCTGAATTTGCTAAGTTAATTATCTATGCCCAAATTGTCTCATTTACGAACATCGAGCATACAATATCGACACGTAAGGATTCATTCTGAACTTCAAATTTCATCAAATGAATTTTTGTTGCACTTAATAGAGAAATGTATCCATTCAATTTCGTTCAAAGAATCGAAAGCAGATGATTTAATCGAAGCCGATTCACCCGAACATTTAGATATGATCAAGCTAACAAGCAAACATCTAGTACGGGTTTATCCCGGAACCAAACGACAAAATTCAAGCAATATAAATCCGATGACTTACTGGGCTTATGGTAAAACGCTGTTCCTGTAAATCGAACTACAATGAAATATCTGAGTGTTGTTTTAGGGGTACAAATGGCTGCATTGAATTATCAAAAGAATGATGAATCAATGTGTCTTCAATATGGCTTTTTTAGTGATAATGGTGGATGTGGTTATTTACTCAAACCATCATTTCTACTTTCCGACAATCCAACATTCGATCCAAAAAATGCCGTCCAGAGAAAGGCGAAACGTTTCACAATACAGGTGATTAGCGGACAACATCTACCAAAGGAAAAAAATGCTCCGAGTGATTCGGATATCTCTGATCCGTATGTCGAAATCAGTACATATGGTATTGAAGTAGATTCAACCAAACATCGTACACCTGCTGTACGAAATAATGGCCTAAATCCGATTTGGAATTACAAATGTCATGTAGATATTTATTGTCCGGAGTTATGTTTACTCAAATTTCAAGTACGTGATGAGGATCGACATAGTGGCTCGTCATTTCTTGGCCAAGCTTGTTATCCATTTACTGCACTACAACTCGGCTATAGGCACATTAAATTGAAAGCCAAAGATGGTGATTACATTCATGGAACTATTTTCGTCCATATTAGTACAGAAGATTTATAAATTTGCTTTTTTGTTTTCGTGATTGTCGTCTATCGGTTGTCAGATGAATCTATTTTGTAATCTCTGTTGTGTGAAAATGTAATAGAATAAATATTTTTATGTTGCATATCCATTAAACAAGAAAATCCATTGCATTGAACAGGTAATTGATCTAATTTTCTCCTTCCAGAATGGTATTCTTGAAAATATCGTCTCGTTGTGTGTCATTATCTCAGCAAATACGATGTTTACATCGTTCAACATCCCTTTTGGCACGAAGTGTTCGACGCACTGCACCTCCTCAATCACGACAAACGCCGCCGATCAAGTTAGATCAAAGAATGTTTGCAAACGATGAGTACGATGACATGTCTACACAAGAACAATTCGCTCGTCTAGAGTTACGACGTCTCGAACAAGGATCAAGGACGTCGGTTGTTGATGATAATGCAACGGAAGAAGAATTCGATGAGCAAGATTCTCCGCGCCCATCGATTGATCCAAGCACGACGAGTATTATCCTATTTCCTGGACAAGGAACACAATTCGTAGGGATGGGGTAAGATTTCGATTGCACGATAGGTTTATCCTAGAAATGATGACGTTTATTCAGACAGAAAGTAATTGATTATCCAAATGTGAAAGAAATGTTTAATATTGCTCATCGAATACTGGGCTACGATCTATATTCCAAATGTATCAATGGACCAATTGAAGATTTGAATCAAACACTCTATGCTCAACCGGCTATTTATGTCACATCCTTAGCTGCTGTGCAGAAACTCAAAGCAGAAGATCAGAAAGTACGGAGCAATGAAATGTATGTTTTATCTATAGAATTTTTCTTAGGTTGTTGAGAACTGTGTTGTAGCAGCAGGATTTAGTGTCGGTGAAATAACTGCGCTAGTGTTTGCAGGCTGTATGACCTATGAAGATGGTCTTCGTCTAATAAAAGCACGTGCGGAAGCAATGCAATCGGCATCCAACGAAGTCAACAGTGGTATGATGACTGTTTTCATTGGTCGCGAAACAAAACTATCGTTGGCAATGGAAGCAGCCAGAGAATGGTGTAGCAAATACATGAAAATTGATGTGCCTTGCATCAGTATTGCTAATCACATGTATGCAGAATGTAAAGTACTCGCCGGACATAAAGAGGTTCGATTTATTTATAGTGTAATTTATATGTACACATCGTTTTCTCTAGGCTTTACAATTTATTGCACATAATTATAAAGTATTTGGTATCCGTCGAATCAAATATCTCCCTGTTAGCGGAGCATTTCATACGCCGTTGATGTCATCAGCAAAACTGAAATTAATCAAAGTATTGGATAAAATCGATATGCAACCACCATTAATTCAAGTCATGTCGAATGTAACAGGAAAACGTCATACAAGCGATATAGCAACCATCAAGCGATCGCTTAGTCAACAGTTAACAAAAAGCGTCCTTTGGGAGCAATCAATTCATAAAATGTATCAACGTTCTCAACACGAACCATTTCCGAATACATATGAATGTGGTCCTGGACGTCAGTTGGGTTATCTCTTGCGATTGAATAATAACAAAGCGTATCAGCAATATAAACACATTGATGTTTAGGAGATTTTTGTATTGTGAAATAAAATGATAAAAAGAAGTCTTTCAATATGCAGCGTTTGTTGGACACTGGGATCGACAGAAAGATTTGTTTAGAGTAATGGAGCTTCGTCTAGATTCGGTTCTCGTTTATTGTATCGAATAAAAAATAGATTTAGATTCGTCTTTTGCCCGTTATTGACGAAAAAGTCGAAGTTTATAAAAACCAGCAACGATATATTTGGTCTTTTTTTTCTATTCGATTTTCAATACAAAAAAAGACAAGAAAACAAAGCAAAAACGGTCCATGGAACATTGTCTTATTTCTTTCAACACACACACGTACATTGAACTGAGAAAAGAAAACGTATGCACACACGCACAAATATAAATAAGAGTATTAGAAAGGAAAAGGAAAAGGCACTAGAAATCATTAAGATTTATGGTGAATCCGAGGATGCTGCTGTTGCTCGTGTGTCGCGTGCTTCTTGCCATAGTTCGCCCATTTTCAGTAGAGCGATACATCGGCGTCGTCGTGTATCGCGATGGCATGTCGAGTCATTGAGTACTCGGTCGCAAACATCGCGTTCGATACTTTCGATCTCAAGTTTCGTGGCACGCCAGAGTGCTTCCATTGATTTGGCAGCCGTGTCTGCTTCGAGTTTACGTTTTTCTTCTTCAGTTAATGGGACAGGTGGTTGTGCTGATGCAGATTTACCTTGGCGGTGTTGTTTCACTGATGCAGATGTAGTCGACGCTGATGCCGATGCTGTTGGACTTGCATTTGCTTGTTGCGATGATGCTGACGCCGAAGTTGACGCAGTCGATGTTGAAGGAACAAAACCTTCATATTCTAAATGACCCGAATGATGTGTGAACGGGTATTGAGAGTTTTGCGCTTCTTCACTCGCTGCTGCTTCTTCATCGGCAATTTGTGCTAATTTTGACATCGACTGTCCCCATTCGACGGCACACTTCACTGTCTTAACTGTTTCCTTAACTACATGTACACGTTCTTTCCATGACGATTGAAAATGTTTACCAAAACCCAAAACACGTTTACCAATGTGACCTTCTTGAGAATCGAGCTTATTCAACCATAATTTTGCTTTCGAAGCATAGATATATCCGATGGCATGTAGTAAGTGTTCACCATAAGGTGCACTCAATAAATTTGGAATGTCCATGCGAGTTACTTCAGTGAAATTATGCATTGCTTCCTTCTGTTGTTGTTCGCTAGCGTTCGGCGGGATCGATTCCGTAAAAACGGACAGTTTATACGTCAAATTTTGTGCTAATTGTTTGATTCGTTCTTCACGCGCTTGAGAGCGTTCTTCAGCATAAGCCAGACGTTTGCGCATTTTTTCTTCTTTTTGCTCGCGGGTCTCTTCGGTACCTTTGTTCTCAGCATCTTTGATCACTTCGCCGATCGCATGTTTAAATGATTTAGCTAATTCGAAGTCACCGATTATTTTCGTGAACTGTTCACCACCGAACATCAGTCGAAAGAATTCTTCAGCGTCGAAATCTTCCAGATTGAATCCTGCCGAACCATTGTTAACTAGACGTTCATCTTTACCGTACCTAAACGAAGTCAATTTTCGCATATTTCGATCTTTTGCTCTCTCTCTTACCTGTTGTAAAGTTTTCGCTTTTCAGGATCACTGAGAATACCTACAAATGTCAAAGATAAATGCATAAAAGTGCAAGTTTTTCTTTACTGTAAGCCTGAGAAATCAGTTTGAATCTTTCTGCATATTCTCGGCGCGTGAGATCATTGAGATTTTGTGTTCGATCGGGATGATACTGTAATGAAAGTGAGTAATAAGCTTTTTTAATTTCTGATGCGGTAGCTGTTGGCGACACGTTGAGAATATTGTAATAAGTTTTATCTAGTGGTGCCTCGTCTGTACCAGTTTTGCCGAGAAAGCCGGAGCGTACACCGCCAGTCGATTTCTTTTTATCATCATTATCACCGGATGATGCTGATGCCATTATCAAAAAAATAAAATCTTTAACTCAATTTATCTAGAAAAAAAAAGATTTATGTATAAAAATAAATTCCACAGAAAATGAAAACATTTTCAATTTTCATCTATTCGTCTTTTGTAAGTATCGATTAGTTCACTGTACTGAATTAACTGACGGAGAAAAGCAGCATTCGGTCGAATGATATGACGCCGTGATCGAAGGTGAATGAGTGCTTCCTCAACAGACATCGAATGGTGTCTGATTAAATATGCACAACAGATCGTCGACGAACGGGATACTCCACAAGCACAATGAACAAGTACACGACCGCCAGCCTGTCGCGCTTCGTCTATAAACTGACAAGTTTGCTCGAAATACGGAGACATATCGAATGAAGTACAATCATCCGCTTTGATGAAAAGGTGTTTCATAGTTGACGTGATGCAAGCCGCTCTCGGTTGAATCCAAACAACTGATATTATATGAGTGATGTTTAAACGTGTGAGATAATCCTAATGAGCAAAAAAGATATATTCGTTATCGATCGAGAATAGTCGGATGGCGTACTTTGTCATTTAAGGATTTCAATCCACCTAAAAACAGAAATCTCTGGAAGACAAGCGTCGGTTCTGCAGGTATAACATGCCGTGGAGCTTTTCCGCTTAATAGATGCATGTTAATCTGATTAATACGTTGTTCGACTGGATCAATTACGTCTTCAACTGTCTTTGTTTTTGTTATTGCCGTGCTTTTTTTCGATCTATCTGTCGATAATAATCTATACGAAGACGTTGCATTTGCCTTTGAGGATCTCGAAGGTGGACCGAATGCTGCCGCCATGTATTAGTATTATGTGTGATTAATGGATAGATTTTTCGTTTTCTCTTCCGTTCGTTGCATCAATTCATACACATCCAGAAATAGTCGATGAGTCAAGGTCGATATTTTGATTGACTCATTAGAGACATCTCTCAATGGTAGATTTCAGATTCGACGCGAGATTTCTTGGATAGATGTCTATATAAGTCACGAGATTTTCTTCGAGCTAAAATTTTTTTTCCTGAAAAAGCGAGAAAAAAAACTAAGAATTACAGCAACAACAACAACAACAACAACGATGATGATTTAAAAAGTACTGTCCTATCGACGTTGGATGGTTGGCATATTGTGAAATGTACAAGTTACTTGTGACGGCTGTTTTTTCGTTTCGGATTGATCCGCTGAGAGATAAATCTCGTCCACGTCATTGTCTCGTCGATTAGGATTCTTCAATTGTGCAACATTGTTTGTTAAACATTTCAATTGTTGATAGATAAAACGAAGATCACTTGTCTGTTCGTAATCAAAATTATATCGATAACCGGATCGTTTGGCTGGAATCGGTGGCTGTTTCATTATTGGCCGATCGTATAATAAAATCGATGAATGCTGTTCACTGTTCCGCTGTTTTTCATCTGGCGAATTGCCAGTCACAACAACAGCGGCTGCTGTCGTCGACGATACTAAACCTGCGCCGTTGGTCGCAACTAACAGTGCATGCTTTCGAAGAAATTTCAAGTATTCATTACGAACTAGTGTATAACAAAGCTGCCATTTGAACCGAGCGAGATGCACTCGTGTATGTGTGATACTATCATACACTAATTTATTGGTCTTCGACTGTTGATTGATGCGACGTTTCCGTTCGATCTCATGCCAAACAATATCACAAAAAGTTACTGAAAAATTCAAAGCAAAAAAATGAGTACCGAATTGATCCCAGTTCATGATCAAACCACCCCAACCATCGAGGATAGATTTTAACGATCGTATCATCAAGCTTTTGTCTCTTAAGATAAGTTTCGAACCGAGATCGTGGCTCATGTTCTTCTATACTGCTCATTCTCATCTATCAACTATCCTTTACAACGAATGGTGAAATATTAAAAGGTAGTATGAATCCCATGTCTTACCCATCAGTGGATGTCCGTGAATAATTTCCATATGAATAAAAGTAACATATGTTGCGTAGCCTTGATCTAACCGTTCGAGATTTCTTCCCATAAATGAGTAATCTAATCTTCCCATGAATAAAAACGAAGCTAAAACTGCTTTGGATACCCGTATAAAACATGATAAAATGCCAAGAAAGCAATCGAAGAAAAAGTTAAAATAACTAAATATGAAATAGATTCGTCGATTGTTTAAAGATGGTGTTCGACCAAAATTTTGCAGAAAAACAAATTCGGATAATATAGATATGAGAATATGTTTCAATAAGTAGATCAATACGATTGGTAAACATAGAGCCAACATATTCTGAAACCATCGAGAATCATAACGAATCCATAAACGGAGAAGAAGACAGAAAACAAAGGAAATTTTATAAAATATAATAAAACCCCATGCTGTATAGCCGCACAGATAACCAGAGAAGTGTAAGCATTTCGACATGAGCTCATTATTGGAAAAGTTATGACGAGGAGGAATATCGAGATACTTTCCGGCATACGCAGCGACGAGGTGCTGTTGAATTTTGATTAGGCCATTGAAAATTTGCGAACAATAAATAAGAACCGAGATAATTGAACAGAGAAAAAGATCATTAACAAAGGTTGTACCCCAATCGATATCCCAGTTTAGTTGATGGAGCACCAATAAATGGATACGATCGAGATAAGTTTTCACGGTATTAATACCGTAGAAGGTTAATAAACATGTGAGATTATGAATTACAATTAGCACAACTGTGTAAGTCGCAAGAATTTGATTGGAAAATGTGAAATAACGATGCCAACGATAGATTTTCGCAAATGGACGTGTGAGAACATTGTTATAATACATGTCAGAAGGTGTTTTGCTTCTCAATAAACCTAGAGTTTCATTCAAATTTTCATTAGACTCGAATCTATGTGGACAATTTACCTTGTGTGTAGAAAAATTCTGGTTTTGTTTGATAATCAGGCACTGATAAGTCGACAGAAAGGGTTGATGAAACCAATGAGACTTGATGAACCTTTCCATCGATCATAGTTGCTTGTTGACAACACCGACATTTCAATTGTTGCATTAATAAGAAGACAAACTTGACGAATACAAATGATATCAATAGAAAATGTGGAAAGTTTCGAACAACAATGTAAATTATATCTGCCTGAGTTAATTCATCAGCGGATTTTTGTAAGAGTAACGTTCGCCCAAAACGGAATAACGAAAAACGCGAACAATAACTTGTGTATACTAACGAATAAGCACCATCAAGAAATGTATAGATCAATCCAAGAGCGTAGGAGAGTGGATGCGCAATATTTATACTGAAAAAATAATCAAAATTTCGCTTTTCTTCCATTGATGAAAATAACTTACGTCACTAGTACTGGAAAGTATCTCATTCCAATGAGTAATACTACCCCAATTCGTTTTAATAGTTCAACGATGATTCCATCATTATCGACGCTGTAATTCGCATTCAGTCGGACTAGAAGTTCTTCTAAGATTTTCAAGACTTCGTTCGCCGATATGCCGAAGATGGCTGCGATGACATGACGTTGTCGTTTATCGAACAGATTAAACGGTATTGGTATCGATGGGCGTCCATTGCAGAATTGCAGACAGAATGTATCGCGTTTTCTCAAACACGAACATATGAATGTGACCAGAACAGCGAATGGTAATGAAACAAAGTTTTGCCAAACGTAATTATCAAATTGTTGACATTGATAGAGTCGACGGATAGTTGAATTGAGTTTTTGTGTTAACGTCACATTACTACTGTGATTTGATATGGCTGGAAGTGAAAGACGATATTGAACGAATGGTATAGTTATGAGACAAAATGCGGCGATCAGCAATGTACTGATGATGAGCAGAAAAGTGGATGAATTGCAGAAATTTGTGTAGGAAAGAGTGGAGATTAATTTGAAAAGACTGTCGAGACTTTTGTCTTGTCTTCTTTCATGGCGAAGTTTATGTTTCGGTGGACCAAAAATGCTAAAACCAGATGAAGTTCGTTAATTATTTGCACGTGAAATTGTTCTCGAGCGCAAAGAACAATAGAGAATAGATTGCCTGATGATGTAATCTCTCAATCGAGTGACACTATCAATATTGACATGAAATCTGCTCTTACCTGTTATCTAAACAATGAAGTTTACCATAGATGGCTGAAGAACGATCTAATTTCTTTTTCAATATTCTATAGATTGATCGTAGTAGGATCGGAGTTATGCATGCAAGAATAACAAATGTTGCTGCCATGATGACTTGTCCACCTTCTTGACTAACTAAACAGAATAGAAAAGTTAAACGAGGCTCCTTTCTTTTTCCCTTCTCCTCATACTTGATCGACATCGATTTCCTCCGTAGAGAAAATGACATTCACAGCGAAATTGACCATCATCGGTATTCACACACCGACCATGTTTACCACAGATATCATTCAACGAACTGCACCGATCGACCACTAAGAAAATAATAACAATTCGTATTGAGACTACAAAGTGAACAGAGAAGATGAGAAACGTACCTTTTTCGCAGATAAAATTCAATTTTCGATCACACACATCAACGTTCATACATAATCGTCCTCGACGAGCACGATCAAGAATACCGCACGAACGATGACGAGGTTCGCTTGGCAATCGATTCTCACATAGATCATCTTCGGTATAATATGTATAATCTGATAAAGCTCGACCATTAATCCACGACCATGATTCTAAAAATGCGATGATTTTTATGTGAAATGCAAAACTCGTGAGTCTTTACCGTTGAAATAGTGAAACCCCACATAGAAATCTTCTCGTAGGTCCGTTAAATTTCTGGCGATATAATCGAATTCATTATCACTATCGATGACAACAAGATCTGCGCGAAATCTTCCACATTCGTGACGTGCATCACTCCATGAACGTTTAATTGGGAACTTCCAATAGCACGAGGCAGCGAAATATTGCCATGCGATTGGACATTGAGCTACGAAAGAAAAAAAATCGAGTAGATACGATAATTGATACTGTCCATTAAACGGAACAGTTACAATTACTAATTGATTAGTTGACACCCTTCGTGATTCTCTTATAAAATCTTTCAATAATTTTCAATGAATCGACTCGAATTTCAAGACATAGTAAAACATGATCGGATTGGTTCTGTCATTGTTGAATTTTTCAATAGCATTGAAAAATGAACAACGCTTTTTCGTTTATCCAGTACATAACAATAATAGTCTCCATTAGAGTTATTTAGTACTCGATCAAGGTACACGAAAGCGTGTCTGATGATCTCTTTCACGTGTATAATTGTTCAGACAAGTGTCTGTATATATGTAATACATTACAGTGGTCCTCTTAATGTATGTATGTGTATATACTAGACATAAAATATTTTGACCATCATCTTCTCGTCGTATGAACGATAATTGACTTTGAAAATGCATTGTGTCGCGGGTCGGAGGACACACACAGCGTTTGTCGCGTGTATATCTCAAGATCGACTATCTTTGTCTTCTATTCTTTATATACATGTATATAAACGTTTCTATATAGACGATACTTGGAGATTAATGATTGAGATGAAAGAGAAATCAAAGTGAATACACACAACATGAAACATTATTTATGAGTGATTATTGACTTAAAAGATTTCTTCGATTGACACTTACATTTTTCATGGATTTTCTCCGTGATTTTATCTTTGGCTTTGGTTTTATATTTGCGAAACTTCGATCTCCAGTTGCCAAACAATGTACTCGACGAGATCACGGTTAGAAATACCAAAAGAAGCAAAATTGATCGTATCAACATTTCGAACGAATCGTATATCTAAAAAAGGTCAAAATTGGAAACAACTGTAAAGAAAAGGGCATACATCATGTCTTGATAAGCAAGTGACGACATCACATGACAGCAGAAGAACATGCATTGAATCTGAAGATGACTTCGGAGGAAAGAGAGATGTGCACCTACCTTTCAACCAAGTGTCTCGTCGAATAATGATGAGCTCATAATCGTAATCGTAATTTATGACGCGCTCGATATGTCCCTTGTCTTCTCCTTCTCTCTTCTCTGTCTGTCTCGCATCTGGTTTCAGTTTTGTGATATCACCTATTTCTTTTTTTTTTCTCTCTCTCTCTCGCGTTGTATATTCAACGATCTACACATATCCGATTAATTAGAAAAAGTTCACTCTGTATGTATATGTATGCATCCACTTACATAAATCAATGCGGCTACTGCACATAGATATATCCAGGTGAGAAAAAGACCTTTTAGCAAGTAGCAACAGTGAGTAATTCACTCATCATTTACACGCTTAATTCGAGCTATTTTGTCAAGGCAAAAAAACTCCAAACGGAAATATGCTACTTACTTGTTTGCGAATGAAGATATCTAATAAAAGGCTCTATTGAACATGGTTATGATGAGATATCTAACACGTTTTGATGGACAGCACAAACAGTGTCTGGTCTGTAGCGGTATCCTCGAGGCTAAATGCACCTTAATTGGCTGTGCCATCATCAATCGTACCATCGAGAAAACGAAAGCGAGAGAGAGAGAGAAAGAAAAAAGGGAGAGAAAAAGATATTCAATTGGACAGAAGAGAACGAGAACAAGTGTGTACGTATGTGTGATAATGATAATAGAGTTTGACAACAGCATGTTCATTCAAGTAACATAACTGATTGATCAGGAAAAAAATACATGTGATAGATCATTTTTACTTGTCTCTTATGCTTTTAAAAATGAATATAAAATCTTCTTCATAACAGATAAGTCAATCTATGAATGCATATATGAGCAAAGAGGCCGCTCTCATTAATCTTATTCATCATTTAGTAAGAAAGATTCCAGACTTGGTAATATACATCTAAGCACTTGTTTGGTATTTGCGAGAAGATAAGAGGGAGAGGGAGAAAGACGCGCTCATGTACACAAACTGATTGTGCTCATTGACCATGAATGACGTTCGACACAGGGTCAAATCTTCTATCAAATATCGATCAATCGATCGATCCAATTAAATTCTTGTTCATCTTACTTTATGACGATGATCATCTCTTGAAAAACAAGTGTCTCGACAAGACATGTGGTTATAAACAATTTCGAGATCATATCTTCTTTTTTTCTATCAGATAAAAATCACTGCAAAAGGCACAAATCTGTTTACTCAACATTTCTCCTGTGGTTACTTACTTTTCCCTTTAATATGGAAATCAAAGTTAGCAAGAACAAAAGGAAAAAAAGGAAGAAGAAACATAACTTTTCTTTTTTAGGCTATGTAACAGATGCCGAGCCTCTCTCGTCCGATGTCTCAATTATATAAATATTGAACAATAAAAATTGAATGAAGAAAACGAGAGAAAGAGAAAGTAAGGTACTTGAACATAGTTCAATTTTGATTCGATTGTAATGAAGCGCATCGAATGATCAAGCTGGTGCCTTGACTAAGTTGCACAACTGGATACCTTACAAGAAGAACTACATGAACACCTGGTGATTAATGAACTCGACAAGTACTGTGCTTTACTTTTACTATCATGGATCTGATTTTCTTCTTCTGGATATGAGTGAGAGGGTGATGATGAGGTCCCTCGACACAAGCCACTAAGTTAGAGATAGCGTTCCATTGACATTGAGTAAAGTGCCAGCCCTCTTCTCTTCGACAATTGAGCGCTATTAAGATATCAGCAAACTATACACATGATGAGTTGAAGATAAGACCAATTGGACATTTCGTCTTATTTCACGGTCAGAATAAGTGTGACGAACAAATCGTTTTGTCTCTTGTTCTTCTCGTTTTTACTCTATAATCATATATTGATCAGCTCAGTGAATCGTTTCACAACATGTGTGTATGTATGTATGTATGTTATAGGCAATTAACAACAGGCCAAGAAACAATAAAAACAACAACACGGATATTTACATATTCGATTCAAGTGATGATTATCATCAAATATGATTGAACGTTGACAAAGAAAATTGGATATTTCACTTCATTTTCTTCTTAATCAAATAGGAGAGAATGATTTGTTCATTTCATTTTTCTCGTTGTGAAAATCTGAGATTGTCAATGGTAAATTACATCATGCAAATATGTTTCTATTCATGCTCGGTTTAGTTCAAATTGGTTCATTTGCTGTCATTGAAAAGAAAGAACATCGGAAATGACTAAACTTCAAAGGAGTCGATATCGACTTTTGAACAAAAAAGACATATCAACTTGATGATACTCAGTCGAATGAAACTCTATTAGACGAGAAATATTCTTTTTGACTGATTTTTATTCTGTATTTGATTACCGTGAACAGGGCGTTCTGTTTGAGAAAAAAAATAAGAACAATAGGTTGTGAAGCAAAAGAAAACAAGAACACACGCACACGAAAACGTACACAAACATTATATGAACAAAAGAACCAAATGAAGGATGATAACAATCTGCTTTGTCAGTCTCTCGATAACGGATGATGTATGGCTAATTTTTTTTTTGGTTGCAAACTATGCAATTATTGAGCGAGTTAAATAAGAAAAAACAAAACAAAAACAAAGAATGAGAAATGAATCAAAGAAGACTAGATGATAAATATTTTGTTCGAATCGTACGCGTGTGTATGTTTTGATGTCAGAGAGAAATCCTACAAATAGAAATATCGATTTTCATTATTGAGAGGCCGTTGCTGTTTCTCTCGGACGATCGTGATAGACGTTTAAATTCGTAGACGAAGATAAACTGAAATGGAAAAGGAAATGCTCAGTAAATGTTGCTCCGTTCTCGATGAAGCACGTACTGTAGATCACCATGACCGTTGGTGTTTGTGCTAATTCTAGAATTTTCATGATGATCATCGTTGGAAAGATTGGTTAGTGTAGTCGATTTTCCCAGTGGCACGGATTCTTCGATCAAACTTTCAGTCATGATCTGTGATGCTGTCATACTGGTTTGCACGAGATTATCTGTTGATCGAGTATTGCGGGCTTTATTGAGAAGACTTTGTATCAACGGCGATTTGAATCTAGAAAGGATTAACGATGATATGAAAGGTTTCTTCACGATAGGAAATTACTTGGGTGTATCAGTGATACTGGTGGTGAAACTTGGAGACACTACTGAGTCATGGGTGAGTATGAAACTGTCGGTGGATGTAGACATATGAAAATGAGTATCTGATATCGAATGTGGTAATGAAGATTTGATTATGTTGGTTGGAGATGAAGTATGATTCGTTTGATCGTGTCCATTGAATTGTTCAACGGCTGGTTTGTTCGTATCGTTTTCCTGCTAAATGAAGGAGAAAAGAATGAATTTTAAATGGAGAAGATTTCCTTGGCAGAATTCAGCTAATTATGAGTTAGATTTTATTATCAAACAAGGTTACATCTTTGAACCTCGTTCAAGGATGAGAAAAGCAAATCTGTCTATTCATTTTTATCTAAATTCCTGATCCTTTGTAGAAACTCAATATAATCCTAGTTCATCCTATTTTTAATCTAGAAGAATTACTTTAGAATTCGGTGAAATCTGCCTTGTGCGTCTCATAATTAAATCGAGACGTTTTTTTCGTTCGTTTCTTTCTTCTTCTTCTTTCTTGGCTCGTTCTTGTCGTTCGCGAGTGAGACGTTCGGTTTCTTCGGCTTGCTTCCTTTCTAATTCTTCGCGTTGCTGTTGTAGACGTTGCTCTTCTTGTCGTTTTAATTCATTTTCACGTTCTCGTTCTTCAATAGCACGCTGTAAACGTTCTTGTTCAGCACGGCGTTGTTCTTCAACTAATCGTATTTGTTCTTGTTCACGTTCAAATTCTTCTAATTCCAGCTGACGTTTTTGTTCTTCTTCACGTTGACGTTCTAATTCTAAGCGTTGTTGAGCTTCACGAATCTTCTGATTCAATTTACGTTGATATTCCTGTTCATCCACAGTTGGCTGTTCTCGTTTGACAGGATTTATTGGTTCGGAAGTTACATCAGGTTCGACGGATTCAGATGGAGTTTCTTCATTCACCGGTTGCACGTTTTCGTCAGGATTAGTTGGAGCGACTGGGCTTTCAGATGTTGATTTTGATTTCGACGATGACGTTGCTTGTGTGGTACTACTAGTAGTAGCAGTAGCCGCTGCTGCTAGTCGACGTTTATTCATTGTTGCTGTTGAAGATGACAACGAAGACGATGAATGTGATGTAGTCATAAGAGATCTTTGAGTGGGAGCATGAGATTGAGATGCAGCATTAGGAAGAGTTTTGGTTAACGTAGGTGGCAGCTTGGCTTGAGCTGCAGAGCGATTTGAAATTGACTTGTGTGTTGATGCTTGATCAGATCGAGGAATATCATCTGTCGTCGGAGAAGTTCGAGATTCATTAGTGGAAGCTGGTACAGTTGCTGGACGAGAAGGTTGCCGCTACAAACGAGCAGAAAGAATGCGTTTTCTTTTCATCAATTTTGACATTGAGCATAGAAACATACCTTTCGAATAGTTGTGGCAGTCGTTGACGTAGTTAAACGTAATTGATGGCTAGATCTTGACAATGGCATTCCATTAGTCGATTCTAGTCCTGTTGTGGCGCCAATATGAATGGATTGTGTCATGGGATTACTTTTGGGTTTGGCTAAACGACGTATAGTTTCATTTAGATGTTGACGAGTTGTATTCATCGGCCGACGTTGAGATTCACCATTGGTTGCTGTACTGGGGTGAAGAAGTTCTTCTCGAGCTAAATGAGAATGAAATTAATTTAGAAAATGATGCAAGAGAACATTGCGAAGCGTTGCCATTTATGAAATATTGAAAGCCAAGCAGATAGAAACAAATGAGAGAAACATTGATTGCAACACGAACATGCCTACACCCGATTCAAACGGAGGAAGGGATAGAAATTATACCTCGACCGTCTCGAGGACATCGCTCCACACTGTGGCTGATACGTGATCGACATGTGGCTGTAAATGTCGCACGCATAAAATTTGAGCTAGTATGGTTATGATTATCACCGGTATTTAACCAATAAGCGTGAGATGTTGGCAAGAGTCGTTTTTGACGACGTGCCGATAAAAGAGATGTACCTGAACTCTCGTCATTTGACGATTGAGTTTGATGTTCATCAATCGGATTCAGTTGATGCGAACTGATCACAGCTACAAGAGGAGAGAGTAAGAAACAAAACAAGAAAACGAAACAGGTGTTCTATAAACAAACAGACTCTACACGAAAGATGACTAACAGCGTTCTTGCAGAGAAAAAGACACGCTAAATTTCCACTTACTAGCAGAGTTATCGTCAGAATGTTCATGCAAACCTCGTCGATTGGTCACATCTATACGAAGAAGCAAAAAAGAAAAAGAGATGTTCTTTCTCGTTTCAAATCAATCAAATGACATACCCTGATGATTTGTACGTGAACGCGACGCTGAAGTAGCACGTCGAGTGGAGAGTACATCTGTCGACATGCTCATGACAGAATCAGGTTTTTGTGGCGCAGTTATTGTTCTAGAATGAATAGAAGAAAGTGTTCTTAAATGACTATTTAGTGACCAGATGGTCGTTGTCATACTTGAGATTCTGATGGACACGCTGTTCTCGTTCTTTTTCTCGACGGATTAATTCATCTATTTTTGCCTGAAACAACAAATATAAACATAAAGTAACTCCCGTTCTAGGTCAGAGTTCACTATTCATACTTTCGCTTCTTCTTCACGCTTTTTTCGTCGCTCTTCCACTTGTGACCGATGATCAGTATCACGATTACGTAATTGTAGCCATTTTTTTACTCGTTCTAATTGTTGTTGTTGCCTACAAATAATAAGCATGACATATCAACATAGCAAAGATGTCTCCGGTTTTTCTTTTTTTTCCCTCATTTGCATATATAGCAATTTCTCGTAATGTTGTTCTTCCTATTCAATACGCATCAATCACGGAAAATGAGAAGAAACAATGGATTTTCTTCGCTTCATAGCTAATCCAACAGAAGAATAGGGAGGGGAAATCTTTTCGTTCTGTGATCGAGAAAACTTGTTTTGTCGATTGGAAAGGAGAAAGAGGAAAAAGACGTGTTTTCGTCGCATTGTTCTAAGACAACGTTGTCAAATGCGTCCTAACGTCGATAATAACTAATGATGGAGCCTGCAGCTATCTAGAACAACTTGTAAACAATCAATTGTTTGATCAATACAAATCAAAGTAAGATCTGCAGAAAATCCAATCGAACATCTAACGAATCGTTGAGATCATTCGAGTAGAAAGACAACTTTGACAATATGTCAAAAATTGAAGATTAACAGAGAGATTCTTTCTACAACATACTATTAAGTTTCTACTCATTCTTCAATTGTCGACGTCGGAATAATGAAAGACGCATGATGAAATTTTATTTCAAGGCATTAGAAAAGAGAATCTGAGGATGATGTAATCGAGACTATCAGTAGAGAATCTCATTAATAATCACTTACCACTTTTGTTCCTTTTTTCGCAGCTGTTCTTGAAATTTTTGTAAACGTAATACTTCAGCTTCTTCTTTCTTTTGTTTTACTAGTTTAATATGCTCATCAAGAGCAAGAGATCGAAGACCTAACAAAATGAAATTTGGTTCTCCTGTGCAAAGAGTTCTTCATGTCAAAGAAAATTTTTACCATTTGTTGTCGACTTTATTGTCGACATCTTACTGCTGACTTTTGACGTTGCTGCTGATGTTGGCCGTTCAATTTTAATCGGACTATTCTGATTGCTATTGTTCTTATTGTGATCTTGTTCACCGTTAGTCAACGAATCCTGAGATATACTGTCTATAAATAGAAGAAAGCAAAAAGAAATATTTTATTATTAATTACATATTGTTATTCTTGTGCTGATTTTATTTCCGATGCTAATCGCACACTTAGGAACATATATATTCTTTTTTTTCGCGTCTACGTATACAATAAAAACACGAGCATTCTCAAGACACACTCTACTCGTTCTAAACGATCAAAAAAGGAAAAGGTGAGAATGGAAAAGGCAATGAAAATCTCGCTGATTCTGCTTAACAACTGCCGGCGTCATTATTATGTCGACCGTATTTTGTCGTATATTCAGTTTCTTCTTCATCATAATCAATACTATAGATTGATTTTTCACCGCCACCATCATAGATACTTTGTGTTGTACGACAATTATTTCCTGTTTCATCCATATAGTATTCACTTGATTGATAATCAGGCACGGATGGTGAAGGTCGATGGTGTCGACGGCGATGTCGACGGTTCCCAATTGTACTTGTTGGTGAATTTGATGTCGTCTGAGATCGTTGAGGCGAATCGTTTGGTGAACAAAACAATAGTTTACTCGCTTCACAACAGAAAAGAAAGGCGACATTCGCATTCGTTCTCAAACGTTCAAGACAATTGGGTTTTTTGATTCTCAAGCAATAGATAATTAGGACGAGAAATGTTAAAGAGATAATAATGAGAAGAACAATGACGAGAGTATTTGGTTTCGATGAGGATGAACGAATTTTTGGATCGGATACGATAACTGCTGCTTGAGCTGCAGTTACATATGTTCGATTATTGATTGATAATATTTGTTTTGCATGTGCTTGAGAATCAATATTAGCTAGAGATAATATACGTAACCATTCCTCATCATCAGATGACGAAGCTGAAACACTAGTTGTTTTGGTGGTGTCGGGAATTGTCGTCGTTTTGGCTGTAGTCGAGCTTTTTGTTCGTTTGAGTTTTTTAATTCTTGATGTTCGAACTGGAAGTGTTGTTGTCAACGGTTCTTCCTCTGATTCTTGTTCCACCTGTAGTGATGATGGTTCTTCTCCTTCTTCTCCTTCTCCTTCTCCTTCTCCTTCTTCGGTACCCCCTTCCGATGGTGTTTCTTCTTCGTTTTTGTACATATTCGTTGTATCTTCTACTTCAATATGACCGTCCTGATTGTCTTGCGGTTGATGTCGAATGAGATCTAATCGGCTTAGTTTTCCTCCACGTTGCATATTCACCGTTGTTGCTTTTCGTTTTTTTGTCAATCGTGGCATTGTCGTACTAATAATCGCTGTCGTCAATGCTGGTTCTATCGTTGTCGTTGTTGTTACTTTTGTTTGTCGTCGTCCCCAATTGCAAATAATTTGTACATTATGATCCTTTTTTATTGGACTCGCTTTTAACTCGAAATAAAAGAATAATTCCGAGAAAGGATCGTTTCGTACGTAAGTTAAAGTAAAATTATGCGAACCAGAACCAAACAGAGCTATGTTATTTGTCGGTAACATGTCCATACATTTCCTTTCCGAACGCGATATGGCAATTTCTAGATAGGTCATTTTCTTACACTCAAGATCGAAAGATTTTGGGTAGATTAAAGATCTCAACAGTGTATGCTGCCGGTTGATCTCGCGTGCCTGAAGTAAAACTTGTCCATTCGGCATCGACGAACGAACTTTGCAATGACAACGATTGAACGATCGATCTTTTGAATAAGTATGACTCAAATGTATAATTGGTCCTTCATCTTTCCACGTATCACAAATGTCTTTCGAGTCCGGTATGCAACCGAAGTTGACTTGAACGTAATTAAAATCCGGACAGCTCGGTACACCTGGTGTTGTGATTGATGATGAAAGCATTTCATTCTTGGTTAGATTGATTACACACGTTTGTTGCCCGTTACAGGCGAGAATATTATGACTGGTACCTTCTTGTATACAATCGTAGATACTGAACTGACATTCTTGCAGTAGAGTTTGTTTGGTATAACCGTAGATGACGCGAACGATTTGTATGTGTTCGTATTGTGAACAACGTAGATTTAAATGAACGGCATTCGTTTGTTGTAGACAGGCACTTTCGAAATGTAATGTTTCAACATTGGCATGTATAACAAGGAAAGGTGAAAACGAAAGGAAATGGAATACGATGAGTTGAAAGATCATGATTGAAGTTTAGATAGGTTTATGCAAGTTATGAGAGACAACGACAGCAAGTAGTGTTTGTCATTTTGTCGACAATCGACGACGGGACGAGGTCGGTGTGTTGACAAATAGATGAACATCAGAAGAGATAGACAAGAGAGAGGAGAAATAGTTAATCTCGAGCAAAAAAAAACGAATAAGATGAAACACTTTCACGTACTACAGTGATTGTGATGCTTATGCAACATTACAGTCAGTGGAATGCCGCATTTCGAGAAGATACATTTAATTGAAGGTCTTATTTCTCTCCTGCTTCTTCAACAAGAAAGCTGAACGTAGTGTCAAAAAGTAAATCCTCCGAACGTGTGTTACTTACGATTTAATTCATCTTGTTCGTCATTAGTTTGTGGTAATTTACCAATGTTCGTGTCGATTATATACATTGAATCTGTTGCTGAATCATTATCTGAGATCGGATAGGTATCTATATATGTACAAAGAAAAAAAAACGAGTGTAGGAGGTCTATGCAAGGTGAACAAGAATATTTCTTTTCATTTTACCCCCTTCAATTATTCTTGTCATTGACAAAGCAAGTCCTTCGACACAATCATTCGATGAAATTTCTATTAAAAAACGATGAAATTGTAACTATTGAAATTTTGATTTCTTTACCATGATGATCATTAGTTGGTATGTTTATTGAATTTTCTCCTGTGGAGGAAAGAAAGAAAGAGAGAGAAAGAAATGAAAATTGATAATTGAACAAAATTGAGATTTGCGATTTACCTTGATTTTCCATAGTTTGTTTTCTGTATGTATTTAAATCACTAGATAATGAAAGAAAAACATATTCTCAGAGTTCATATTCATTAGTGAAGCAAAAGATATGATTACTCTTACTTTTTTCCTTCGTCTTTATGCTTCGCTCGCTTACTCGCCGTCGTCTGTTCAGAGAGAGAGAGAGGGAGAGAGGGGGGAGCGTGTGTGTGTCTCTTTACCTATATATAATCTAGAAAAAGGAGAGGAGAAGGAGAAGAAGAAGAACGAATGAGGAGGAAACGAACAACGACTCACACACAATGTGCTTCCTTTCTTCATCGTCTTTTGTATGTTGCTGTGCTGAGAAAAGAGAAATGTTTCCATCCCAATGGCTCTCGCACTCTAGCAAGTATATGTGGAATCACGCGGGGAGAAAGGAAAGAAGAACAGCAACAACAGAAAAAAGTGCCAACGATGCCGGTGAGGCCAAACATTACAAAAGCTCCGTCTTAACGTGCGCTCAGTCAAATAACATTTGTGTCATTGTCAACGGCAACAAAAAAAATCAATTAGACTGCACTATTTTCACAATGCACGTGTCACTCATTGCCTAGTGATTAGAATGTCTGTCTATTGTCTAGTAAAATTTTCTAATGCATTTGAAAACGCTGCTCATGAAGGTAAATTAAAGATCATTAACGATAGATTCAACTATAATGAGAGTCGAAAAAGAAACCCATTGATCAAATACATATATACGCACATATATGATGTTCAATTTGAGCGAGATGAAAGTCACACTAATCCTTCATTTTTCATTTAACTTCACCTTTGACATCAATACAAAACATAGCGTTCACAAGACCAAGCGTTCAATTTCATGTATATGATCTAAAAAAAACAAAAAAAAACATTTTTTAACATTTTTTCTCATACATCACGGAAGCAATGTTTCATTTTTTTTCGTTTTTATTCTTTTAACTTAAATATACGACATAAACCTTGCGTATACGCGCAAAGTATATGCCGCTTATCTTTCGTAATGACCATATCCATTATTCCACAGTCTTGACCACCACCACTTTTCCATTCTTTTAATGGTTCACCATTTCTGATGTCCATCAAACGAATATGACCATCAAGGCATGCTGTGTAGAGAAGATAACCTTCATTTAATAAACATTTAACAATACCACTTTGCAAATTCAGTGTAGAACGTAGCTGTTTAGTATTTATATCCCAAATGTAAATATAACCAGAAAGAGTACCACATATAAGTAAATGACTTGTTCCGAATATCACACTTTCAACGCTTCTTGCTGTTTCATCTTCATTACTACCAGCGTCTTCATCATCTTCACCACCATCATCGTCATCGGCCCCGTCACCTCTGGTCGATGGTTTTGTTAATGATGGTTGAAAGCAAGCAAACGACGAGAGTAGTTTGCCGTTGTTTAAATTAAGCACTCGACAGTTTCCATCAGCTGAACCACAAGCTATTAATGTCTGTTCATCGTTTAAACACATTGAAATACACTTATTATTATTGTTGTTAGCGGCAGCAGCGTCACCTTCACCACTGTTGTCATACTGCCAAACAATTGAACACTGTTTTAAATCCCACAGTTTGATATGACCATTGCCATAACCACTGATACATTGTTTACCTAAAAGAATTTTCAAGATAATCATGGTACGAAGAAAAACTGCATAATTTGATTCTGTAGATGATTGATGACATTGTTAATCGAATACATCAAGTGTTCGATCAACTCGAACTACGCCGCTAATGATGTAACAAGAATTCTATTAAACACGGAATCGTGTAGGTTCTAGAGAACAATGCTTGTCGGATTTGTCTATTGCGACATGCATATATATATCTTGAATGTCTGTTAATACAAGGTCAACACTGATGGCGTTAAGTAGTTGCTCTGGTACTTTTGTTTTCTTTTTTTTGTGTGTGTGTATGTATGTATTTCATCTCAGACTACTTCCTTAAGGGAACAAATATGATTAAGCGAGTTTTTCTTGCAATATCTTAAACACATGTTCTAGGCGGACTTTTCTCGTTTTTAAACTACTTCAAAACTAACGCGTGTCGAGAGTATCAAGGAAAGATGCACTTGTTGATGTCCAGAATGTCCCCGTCGAGAAGACCCCCATGCGAAGCAAGCGCGAGCGAGTAGGAGAAAAAGGTTATGAAAACATTGTACATATGTTGACTTCGGAGACGTTATGATATCGAAAGCGGCTACCGAGGGAGAAAAAGATAACATATTCAAACTTGTTCGACGATTAATCTAGACATTTTCTGGTTCATAGAGCGTCGACTCATTTTTCAACAGAACCAAATCGAATGGTTATCTAACCTTGGAATGTATTAGATTTTCATTCATATTTATTAGTATTTACAAATGCAAAAGAAGACATAACAAACGTATATCCAGCGAATAGCTAATCAAAGCACAGAACAAATACGTCATACGTAGTTTCTCTGAAGTTTTCTATTTGTCGATTGTTAGATAGTCGGAAAAGCGTTGCTGTCATTAAACAGAACTCTTTCATCATCAGTAGAAAACAGATAAGATTATTGACGAAGTAAGATATTCAGAAGAGCACAGTAAGGTCTGTATTTGAAAGGCAACGAGTGTGTATATTTACAATTCGACTAATAAATATCTCCTTGTTCAATTATTGATTCCTCCCGAGATTCGAGTGAAGATTATCCTTGAGGAGTAGACACATTCTTAATCATCTGTATATTAGTCGTAACGAGAGAAGGAAAAAAAGTGAAATAAGTATCGTTTCGTCTTACCATTTGAAAGGACTTCTAATGTCGTAATTTCTGTATCACCACCACCATGCATAATTTTGTATTCTCCTGATGGAATTTTAAATAACCATAATTGAGAATCATTAGTTCCAACAAATAGAACATGTGCCGAGGGATGAAAACGCATTAATTCAATATCGTTACCCGTATGGAAGGACCAAACTTCAGTTGTCGGAATGCCGTCAGCATTATCAGTCCAACAACGGATTTGACCACGCATGTCGCATGCACATAAGTATTTACCATCGAAACTCCAGCATACTTGATGTACACTGTCATCAAATGGCGGATATTCATGTATTAGTTCACCGGTATCTAAACGCCAAACGAGACAACGATCATCTTCACCACCGGAACAAACACGAGCTTGTGTTCGAGGATCAATTGATACTGTAAAGACTGAACTGTCTGGTTTATGATGAGAAAGTTTCAATAACGAATCATCTTCTTCTTCTTCTTGTTCATGTTCGTCTTCCATAGGTTCGTCGATATCCAACGCATCCAAGTGATTTTCTGCTGATGGATCAACATCGATGATTTCGAAAGCATCGTTGGCATCGATATGAATATTTTCATCGTCGTCTGAATCAGCATGTGCATGACGTTCAGGAGAATTTTTATCCTTCATCGTTTTTCTGCAAAAAAAAAGAAAACAATACTGTCTTAATCAACAATCAAACAGATGATGATGATGATGATGATGCTGCAAACATATATATACAGAAGAATAGAATGATCTGATTGGTGCGTGACAATAGACTAATAGGAATTGATATTCGTTAGTTCGTTTATAATGGCCAAAGAAAGAATGATAGGTGATTCTTATTTCACAGTCAAATGATTTCGAATATATGAAGGAGAACTCTCGAAAAACCAATCATTCATTGATTAAAGATAAACATTCCGACCATTGATAGACACTTACTTGTTTCATCGCCGAAAATTCTCGAAATATATAAATTGAATCATTAACATTCGAGAATAGTTGAAAGGGAAAGTCATCATCAGATAAAAGTTTTCATTTATAACGCCCAAAACAACATGACATCGTTCGATTCTAAGGATTGAATTCCGATATGCTCGAATGATTTCTTCTCATATTTTTTGTTTTTTTTTAATGTCATTCACGGTTTTTTAGGTAAAATTACCTCTGTCTATGCACATGTTTTCGTTTCTCACTATCCTTCTATACTTCATTCACGCTGTACCAATCGCTGGATCTCCTCCGATAGTCTTATGGCATGGCATGGGCGATAGCTGTTGTAATCCATTAAGTCTAGGCTCGATAATCAAACTACTCAAGCAGCAACTATCCGATCCATATGTTCTATCCTTACGAATCGGTTCGAATATTGTCGAAGACACTTCGAATGGATTCTTTATGAATGCTAATCATCAAATTGATTATGCTTGTAAATTATTAAATGCTGATAAGAATCTTACGCAAGGTTATCATGCGATTGGGTAAGTAAAAATATTGATTTTCTGTGAAAAAATATCGAGGATTTTATCCGGAAAGGTTTTCTCAAGGTGGACAATTCCTTCGAGCCGTTGCGCAACGTTGTCCAGAACCACCGATGCTTAATTTAATTTCAATCGGTGGTCAACATCAAGGCGTCTTTGGCTTCCCTCGGTGTCCTGGTGATAATGAAACGATCTGTAATTATATTCGTGATCTGTTACGTTTCGGTGCTTATGAATCGTTCGTTCAAAATCATCTTGTACAAGCTGAATACTGGCACGATCGTATGTCGAGATTCTACCTCCATTCTTCTGTTAGCCTTTTTCGTTTAGCCCATAAAGAGACAACCTATCGTAAAGCAAGTGTATTCTTAGCTGACATTAATCAAGAGCGAACGTTTAACGAACAATACAAAACGAATTTATTGAAAATACGTAATTTAATTCTGGTGAAATTTCTACGTGATACAATGGTGACACCACACGAAAGTGAACATTTCGGTTTTTACGAAGAAAACGATACATCAAAAATTATTCCATTACGGGAAAGTTCTCTTTATTCCAAAGATTTATTAGGTCTAAAGACGATGGACGAGCAATCGCGTATCAAATTTCTTGAATCAGATACTGATCATTTACAGTTTACGGATCAATGGTTCATTGACAACATAATCTCATATCTCAAAGACTGAAAAGATCTGTTTATTGTCGTCGTTCTTTTTTTAATTACTGTAGAACATATATCCTGAAAATGTTGTATAAGAATATCCGTAAATTTGCGAAGTAAAGTCTTCATTAGAACCGATCACCGATACTTGATCACCAATGTGACAATAGATAAAACAATCAATCGAGCCACTTGCCCAACCCCAGCCAATTGTTTTATCGTTGGCTGTTATCGTTGAGTCTATTCTAATCGGACAGATGTATTGACCATTTTTTGCAATATTGACCAAGGCCTTTACATATATGAAAATAGCTTTAGTGGGAGAAAAAAAGCAAATGATTTCTTACTTTCGATCGGGAAACAGCAATTGTAAGAAAGAATTGGTAGAGACCATCGGCAGGTGCTGTAAAAATCCCTGTCTCGGCTGAGAAATAATTTGGAACAGCACGAAAATTATAGGATTGGTACAACCTCCATGGGCGAACTGTACTATTAGCAGTTTCGATGACAGATAACCGTGATAACTCAGCGTAGAATGACACCGGTCGTTCGCTAAACCCATCACGACCTGCACATAACGTGAAAAACGATAGTTCGGATGTTTTCACGTACAGTTATACATACCAGGAGGACCACTTATCCCTTGCGGACCTTGAGGGCCACGAGAACCTAACAAGAATAGATAGAATATATAAAGAAGTTCAATTTTATGATTACCCATCACGCCTGGTGTACCAGGTGAGCCAGAAAGGCTGAGAACAGTGAATGGAATGTATTCTGACCAATCTAGACACGACATTTGATTACCGTCCTTTCAGGGTCGGTCTTACCTCGACATACGAATTCCATAAAGCAATCTTCAACCTCGCGGCTCTGAATGACTAAGTCAAATCGACAAGAACGAGCAAATATCGATACAATAAACATCACCCTCCACGTCATGTTCATGTGATACAATCTGTGCTTTAGAGATTCTTGTAATGAATACAATTATCATTGAAAAGATCTTCTCTATCGTCTTTGAAACCTATCGAACTGCAAAAGTAATTAAGATTACAGTCATTTTCTCATACGCATGCATACATGCATGAATGAAATATTCAATTTTATTATACAAAACAATAAATGGATATATATAGAAACAGGAAAAGATTCATTTTGTCTCGTCATCTTCAGATGAGCGATAGTTCTTGCGTTGCTCTCCCTGAACTAAATATGAAAACCTGAAGAATTTAATTACAAAATTTCATAACTAACCTTCATCGCCATCGTCTTCCTCGTCATCGTCAACTTCGGGAAAGAGACTGTTGACATACTGTTCTGTTGGATCAGGTCTTTTCTGTTTCGAAGTTTTTGTCGGTCGATATTTTGATACTTCAGATTTAGCGTACTCAAGTGCCTTTTAGATAAATTGCATATAGATCGTTTCGAAGAAAGATGTATTGAGAATAGAATTTACTCGATTTCTTTTTGATGCTCCGTCCGAACCACGTGACTGTCCGAACGATTTTCTAGAATTGATATCTCGCGGAGATCGATAGTCTTCACTCATATCGACTACAGGTCGTTCAATTTTTGAAGCATATTGCATACGTTTTCGGGCCAGTTCTTTCTACAAAAGGATAGTACAGATGAATAAGGTGAATAGCAGCAAGTGGATCAGTGTACATACACGGTCAACATTTTCGGCTTTATAGGGGCCATATGGATTGAATTGAGATTCCGTCTTTTGCAAATCTTTGTAATCTTTGAGCGTGTATTTTTTATAAGGGAAATAATAACCTTGAGATTCACGTACTGCCCGACGACGTTGGTTTTCTAGGTAGCTATCTAAAAGATCGAGCAGATCAAAGTAAGAGTTTGATAGGATGGATTAACAAACCGGTGGATATCGATTGTTGAAGATAGAGAGGTTCATGAACACGTGGATGAGACCTCTGCTTCGGTAAATCATTTCTTTCATGCTGAGCGTGTTCGTACATGTCACGATCATTATAATGTTGAGTGCTGTCTTCGTAATCTTTTTTGTTTCTGTTGGATCCTTTACGATCATTCGAACTTTCGTTGTACGATGAATGCTGATCCGATGCATAGCCATCATTTGGAAGAAACTTTCGTCGGAACGGATGGCCAGGTGCTAATGAATGACCGAAGTTAGGTCCATTGGAAGCTGGTCCTTGTCCTCTTCGAACAGGTGGTAACGATGAATTATTCTTCCGACTCGCTCGATATGTTCGATTCTGACTCTGAATATCATTGGTATTTTCATCTATTGAACTTGTGTTATCTTCAATTTCTAAATCATCACGACGACCTCGATAATAATTTGGTACCAGTAGTGACTGTGTCATATTTCGTCGTGTTTTACCACCAATATCATTGTCTCTCGTATCCAATGAAGTTTGTGTTATTTGAGCTAACGGCTGTTTTTTGTTCATAGGATAGGATCCATTAGTTGATTGCATTGCTGTCGCACGCATTGGAACCGATTTGTTTTTTTGCTTATTCATAGTTGGATTATTTAATTCATGACTATTGTTACCATCTAACAACGAATGATGGTGACCTGATAAGACTTGATTCTCAGAATCAAGAAATTTAACTTGAGACGCTGATAGTAAATGATACGCTGTGGCAGTTTGTTCCATCATTGGATTTGTAGACGATGTCTACAAACAATGAAGACTCATTTTTCATCTCGAACTTCAGCAACCCTGCGAAAGGTCTTTCGTTCTCAAATTATGACTTACCGTGCTGCTAGAAAAATATTATTGGCTTTTCTCAGAAAAACAAATGCAACAGAGATCTCCAGTTTTAAGAAAAATGAATTTCTAAGAGCACTTCTCTTCTAGTTTTCTCTACTTCATTTGACATGATAATTACAAATATAACGAGTCATTTCCTTCCTACATTCGATATTGCGTTCTTTTTCAATAAGTATCTCACGTACTTCATATAGATTGTTACCAACAGCGTAATACTCCTCATTTCGATGCGGTCCTGTTGTTCTTTGGATATAAGCATTCAAATAACTATTTTGAGTGTTCAGTACTTGATTGTCGTATTTATCTCTGAGATAATATTTCGGCTGTTGTTGAATATTATAAATTTCATCTGAATTCGATGCTGGGTGTTGTCTAGAGGTTAGGTGTGTTGTCAATGGTCCAAAGCCCAAATTATGTGCGCCTAAAAAATCGAAGTGCAATACAATTCAATCGAAAAATCAATCCGAATTTCACCTCGGTTAACTTGCGATCCGAGGTTGTTGTAATGTGTATTTGATGGCGGTGCTGTTTTGTAATATGCTGTAGTCATTGGAATGGCAATCGCCTTATGAGTAACAAATGAAAATTGTATGACAATAGCACTTCGTTAGAAAAACAGAATTGGTAATAGATGAAACCAAAAAAGCACACTATATTCTATGCAAATAAAAGAACGAAGAGAGAAGAATGGAGGGCTTTTTTTCTCGGCTTAGTTATAAATTTGATTGTCCATCGGTGAACAACGATAGGCGTGTGGAAGGAAGGTAGAAAAACAAGCGATCAAAAGAATTCAAGTTTCATTCTTCAATCATTTTGATTTTTTTTTCTTCTCTTCTAGCGATGTGTTTTATTTAAAAATAAAAAATCTAGTTCACGAAGAAGAATATAATCTTTTAAATGCTTATTCAAACAGATTCCTTTTAATTTACAATGAATACCCAGGGAAAGTGATTTACGAATTGAACGACGACAGTAAAATTTCAATTTTTCGGGTTTTTCCGTAGATTTCGAGATGAGTTTTTCTAAAATGCACCGCCGAGAGTAATCCAGTGGTACATTCAAATGTTCACTCATCGATTGAACTAGTGTTAAACCATGGTCAACATGGTTTGTGTATAAAAGTAGACAAAACCGGTTTGGTTTAGCATCGACTGTCACTCGTTCGAGGTAATTTGAGAAAAACAACAAATAATTTACAATATGAAACCGTTGAGTTAGGTAAACCACATGTGAAAAATAATGACTGTAGATAAATGTATGTTGGATGGAACTTTCAAGTGTACACGTTAATTGTTTTGTCCAATGAAGATTTAGAAATATATTCCAAGCAAAATCTTCTAAATCAGTTCGTTGCCGAATCAGTGAATAGGAAAGAAAATCGAATAATGGGAAAAGATGAACATGACCGTGACTTTTGCCAATAATTGCATAAGATAAACATGACCCGATCGAGTATTGACTTACTAATAAATCAACTATTAATAAACGATTGGCGTATTGAGCATGTTCGAAGGGAGATGTATACGATAAACATGAAAGAGCATAGCGAACTGGAAATGATTGATTAGCAAGAATATAGATGCGATTAGACTTACGAATATTATAGCCAATGGAATTTTCAATTGAGGTGTCCGCTTGATGTTCAACTAATAACTTCATGGATTGATAATCAGCTCGATAGCATGCGTAATGCAGCGGAGTGAGCTATCAGAATCATTCGAAGTTTATCAGAGAGAAATGAGTTGAACTTACTCCATGTTCATCTCGATGGTTGATATCTGCACCGTGCTCAATAAGATACGAAATCAAGTCGAATGTATGCTGTGACGAAGGATACTCCAATGCGTAGATCAACGGCGTTTTCCCATGTCGATCTGATATGTTAACACAACCACCACATTCAATAAGAATCTCCGTTAATGTTCGATCGCCCAGTGAACATGCACGATGCAGATCAGAACATAGAATCTCCCCTGAACGTGTATTCGGATCTGCGCCGAGCTGAACGAGCGAAATCTTTCGACATCTAGACAACGCATTTTCATGCTAGACTTTACTTGTAACAGCGTAAACAATGTATCAAGATGTTCATGAAAGTAAGATGTCCACACGGCTGTATTTCCGTATGTATCACTGTCGTTGATGTCAACACCAAGTCGAATAAGATCTTCACATTCCGCTGTTTCTCCATTTCGAGCCGCATCGATCAGTGTTCGACAATTGAACGTCCATGGCAATAATTCATCGAATAAACGAACTATATCATTTTCTTTCGTGTGAAACGAACGCAACGATTCAAAACTATTCGAAATGGTGGGACTATTCATCAATCAATCAAAAACTCATCGAATAAGAAAACAGTCATGTACGAGAGTAATGCAAAGGTAGAAGTGAGTAGTTTGAGAAGAGAATGCAGAAATATTATATTTATAAAGTTGTAACTATGCAATCAAATTCAAATTGGCTTAATACAAAAATATGCGTGAATATTGATAGGATACGATTTGTGTTTTTTATTTAGAAAAATAAAAACTCTGATATCTCTGTGTAACATTTCACAAATGCTCGAGAACTACGATTGTAATTGTGACCATTCGTCTGGAGATTTTGTGCTATTACCAAAGCGTTTTGGTTTAGCTAAATATTCTTTCGATTGCATTTCAATTAGACGCGATAAAGTCCGATCGAATGAATGAAATTCATCCATAGTTAAGAGATCTTCACGTTTCAGCTGTGGATTATCTTTCAACGGATTGAAGATATCTTTCACTGTATCCACAGACATAGATAGAATCAATTTTGTATGATTATTGTATAGCTCGTCAACGAGAATAATAAACCGTCGAATGCGATCACGTTGTTCCAGACTTAACTTGGGTATATCAGTAAGAATCAAAGTATGATATGTAGAAGCAATTGCAATGTAATCCGCTGAGTAAAATTCATGGCCACACAATTGTTCAAATGAAAATTTGGCAACGCCACGTGCTTGCCATGGCACCGTAATGTCTCGACCATTGACATCAAGTGTACCAGGCTGCGGTTCATGTGGTGCAATTAGACGTGAACTGAGTGCATCGATTTCCGATGCGGTTTCTGGTCGACGAGCATCGAACACCGTTTGCACATGTCCCTGAAAGTCAGTCAAATGAATTTCCAATACAAATAAGATGACGACATACCTGAGTACCAATCAAACGATAGTCAGTTGATGAATCCATGTTATGCACGGTACACATTTGGTGCAGAAATGGGATAAACGGTACGAAATATTCTCTATTCAATCCTCGATAATATAAATCGTCTGGCGGCCGATTTGATGTTGCAACCATGACCATACCTTTAGCGAACAAATGTTCAAACAACCGTTTGATAATCATTGCATCACCAATATCCAAAACCATGAATTCATCGAAACATAAGAGCCAGATTTCGTTCAACAATTCTTCAACTACACTACCAAGAAGATTATCAGATACTGCTGCGTTGTTACTTCGAACGCGATGCATACCTCAAAAGTTAAATGCAGGTATTTTTCATGAGTGAAAAGATGGTGCAAAGACATACGATTATGAAACTCCAACATGAAACTATTGAAATGAATTCGCCGTTTTTCTTTAATCGGCATACATTCATAGAAAATATCCATCAGTAAACTCTACGATTACACATACAGGTTGATAAATATCGATGGGTATAGTTCGCGATTACCTTCCCACATCCGGCACCACCGTATATATACAATGATTTAGGTCTGTCAACGAAATCACTTGTGTTCGTCGATGTTTTAAATACATTCGTTAATTTCGATAATATGTTTTTCTTTTTATCTGGCAGACTCGCTGTTTCGACCTGCCGCGTTTCAGGCTCATACGCTTGAAGATCATAATATAACTTATTCAGCATAGTCATCAACTGTTCTTGACGTGGATCAGCACGTAACTAAATGATTTTCTTAGATTGAGAAATAAACTTTGCAGAATTGAAGGCAAACCTCGTACGCTTGGATTTTATTTCGATAGATTTGAAGTGGAGATGATTCTGCTTGAGCTGTATACACTGTCCGAACATGATTCAATGAGAACCGCAGTCGACGAAATGAACATGAAAGAATTGTGCTATTCAGATGCATTCAAGATTAAATACTATATTATTGCGTTCCGCAAAATCATCCGAAGGTTACTTGCTAACCGAGGGAATATCAACTAATCAAAAGAAATTTTCGAGTGAGGTCGCTAGATCATTGGAAAACTTAATTCTTTTCTAATAAATCGGTATTGAGTGTTTTCTCCTGAATAGAATGACAAGATAGTTGATAGCGTTGATTACATTTTTTCTACTTGGCTACTTGACAAAAGAGAACGAGAGAGAAAGAAATGAATAGATAAGAAAATTAATACTGGAAGACGAGTGGTAAAGAGTGATTGTAATAAGGGAGAAATAATAGATGTGTGGCATGTTTGCACAGTCCTGAAGAACGGCAAAAAGGAGTGAGTGAGAAGAAAACTTTTCTTTAGAATGATTTTACACGAGATCCTATTGTGCTCGGTAATGGAACTTTCCCATCATCTTCCTCGTCATTTATCTTTTTACGACTCGCAATGATTGAATGTAAACTATATGAATAGAAATCTTACTCTCTTCATCTTTTTCATCAGTGTTTTGTCTGTTGGTAAGACTAATAGGTTGTTTTAAACGATTTGAATTGAAACTCGATGCATATTTTAGCTGGAATAATGGAACAGCAATTGATACGAAAATTATTAACATATTATGAACCGTCGGTTCGACCAGTATTCCATGCTCAATCCGTAGTCAATGTGCTATTTAGAATGGAAATTACGCAGTTATTTGAATTAGTAAGAGTCAAAACAGTTGGTAAGTTGGTTAAGTCGAGATGACCTCTGTTTAGGACGAAAAAACCCAGATTTTAATAACAAGCGTTCGAGTCGAACAGAAATGGTTCGACGAGAATCTTTCATGGAATCTAACAGAATATGGTGGGATTCGAGGTATTCGTTTACCGTCGAATCGGATATGGTTGCCTGACAGCTACGTCTACAATGCTGCATTTGATTTAACAGGTCATGCACCGGCACAGGCTATTGTTCATGGTATGATGAGGCGACGACGACGACAAGTCTTTAGTCAAAGTTGTATCAATTTTTTTCAGGTCCGTATGTGATGATTTATTACACGGGTGAAGTTGTCTTTCCTGTCCTGATGAAACTACGCACAACATGCAAAGTGAATATACAATATTTTCCATTCGATCGACAAGTTTGTGGTTTGAAATTCGCATCGTGGATCTATGATACTTCATCGGTTCAATATGAACTTGTTACTAATCCAAACGATCCACAACAAACGGAAAATCTGCGCAATAGTGGCGGATGGGAGATACTTGATGTCAAACAAGGTCTCGTTTGGCTGTAAGTATTTGATTAAATCGGCAAGATAGTTTGTGTTAATGAGACTATTATCGACGTATAGAGATAGAGAATTACTGATTCTTTTTTTGTCGATTGAACTTGAACGATAGTTTTCCATTTCTATTGAATAATACATGTCTGTATTCAACCTCGATTTATTACGTTTTCTATCTGAATCATTGGATGTCGGATCGTAGAAAGGATTCTCAGCATGTTTTATGCAAAGAAAATCTCATTTATCTTTTTTAGTGTTAAAAATAATAAAACCTATGCGGAACTGGTGTATGGTGTGCATATTAGGCGTCGTCCATTATATTATATCTTTAATGTAATCATTCCATGTGCGATGCTTTCATGTTTAACTTGCATGTCATTTTGGTAAGAAGAAAACAGCACAGTGGTAGTCTAATGTGTTAAAATGTAAAACACTAGGTTGCCGACGTCATCAGGTGAAAAAGTCACTCTTGGTCTAACGTGTTTCGTGGCCTTCTCTGTATTTATGCTGATGGTAGCAGAAAAAGTTCCAGCTACGTCGGACACCATACCCACTATCGGTAACGACTCTCTCATACTTTGCTCTTTTATCTGAAATGTCGTATATTCAGGAATCTATCTAATGATTGTTATGAGTTTAACAGTAAGATCTTGTTTCTTGAGAGAATGTCTGACGTTCGCTGTCGTTCATCGTAGTCCGTGTCAGTCATCATGGCAGTTATTGTGGCAAATGTGTATCAATACGCAGCAATGTGTACATCCGAAAAACATCGTGCACCTCGATGGTTGATTAAATTCGCACTTATCTATATGTCTCCTCTTCTTCGTATGCAGAACAAGGTCAAAGCAATATTGAGTCAAAAGGTAAGCGAATAGTTGCCTTGTTTTTTGTCATTGTTTGAAAATATCAAATGAAAGTTCATCTATTCGATTGGATGAGAATGAAAAGGGGAAAGAGAGAAAGAGCGTTGGTGCGTAACGGTTAATAAAATTCAGTTCGAGAGACATATCTATTCTTGTCTGTACTCCATTCACTGGTTATACATATCTAAAAATGTATCCAAATATGAGACTTCGCCGCAATTATTCATGGGACAACTGGGGTTCTCACGGATATACATTTGGTGTTATACTTCTAATCATTGGCATTCTCACACAAGTTCTCGAATATCCACGTATTTACAATGGGCCAACGAATGAAGATTACGGTTTGAATTTGGTGACAGAATATTACAATCACTGGTGGCCATGGACATATGCAGCTAGTATTTTTGGTTTACTAACATTTGTAGCTGGTTTGATGGGAATCATCGCTGGATATCGACGAAGCTATGGTTCAATTTTAACATTTTTCGTCATGTGTCTGTGTTCAACCTTGCTTGCTGTGTATCTTATCGTTTATTTTGCATTTATTATTGCATTCTATCGTTCGATGAACAAGGATCAAGCAAGTCAACGCACATCATCGGAATCGGTCGCCTATGGTCTCGCTAGTACCCAATTAGCGATCGCTTGTGTCAATGTTCTAGCAAGTCTGTTGGCCGCAGTATTCTCTGCACGTGCTATTGCACTTTGTGTGCCAAAAGGTGTTCTCTATGACGATGTTCGGCCAACACCAAGACAAGTTCCATACGGAATGCCTCCCAATCGTTTTTAATTCGATTATGATTTCATGTTTATTGATCTCATTCGTTTTTTCGTTGCATCTTCGTTTCTAGTAGTTCGAATCTTATTTATTAGACTTGAAATTTTTTCTCGATTTTTGTCGAATAGAAAAAAAAAAGATAAATAAACTTTGTCGCCACAGAAGCCATTCACTCTAATCGCCTTAGAACTGCACGCTCTAAATCTTCATGTATTGTTTCAGGCAGGATCAACAACGAGTCAGAATTTATCATGCGAGCCTGATGCTTTACCAGCTGCGTCCACAAAGAGCGGACTTGATGCCAACTATGAGAATATGATCGAAAACTTATTACTGCAACAGGTTTTACTCTACACAAGGCAACGATCGAAAACATCACCACAGGCACATACACTATCGCCAACATCAAACTCCTTATTCGTGCGACAACCTGTCATAGCACAAAACGACCAAGCTATATCTACATCACCGGGCAATTCTTCGAGCTGCACGCATGTTAACAGTGAAGAAAACGACGAAGAGCCAACGCTGTGTTTGATAGAATCACATGAAAAGAACTCGAGTGATCTTATTCAAGATATTCTGAAGCAATACAATCGACGTAGTAATAAAAATTCCCGTTTCGATCGAGATTTAATGGAATTAATTGTCGAACGAAATCGCAAACGTCGAAGTATTGCTTGTAACCCAAACAATACATTCTACTCTCGTCTTCAATGGTTAGCTATTGGTTTAGTTATTGACCGATTATTTTTCTATGTTTATTTTACCGCAACCATCCTTTCATACTTTGTTACTCTATGGCTAATACCTTTTTCTCATCCGAAGTTAACTATCGATATCAATAAATTATAAATAAAAGAAGTTTATGCCGATAAAAAAGAAATTTATTCGAAATATTGCATACAGATAAATACACGCCCACCGGCATTGAATTTGTAAAGATATAAACAAAATAGAATTGCTTAATTTTGCTTCGAGTTCTTGGTAAAACGATCTAGAAATGCTCGTGTAATGCTACCTGGGCGTCGTTGATGAGTTTCGATCATTTTTTCAATTCGAGTTTTCACCTAGAGTAAAACGCACACAATACAGGCTGAACATGTAGGAGAACTTGATTTACTTGTTGAGCAAGTACATCTGGTGTAACTTCAGGATCATATGGAATAGGTTCGCCAAGGTATGTACTGAATTTAAACAAGAGATTTCAAAGAGAAAATATCAAGCATTGGCTTACATCATTTTTACTGGAAATATTCCATAGATAGGCACTAGTGGTAGACGAGTTTTTTCATAGATGTAACTGAGAAAGCCTAAAGATGATCATGAAAGAAAGAAATGAGATCATTCAGCTGAAGGGTGAACTTACGGCGACCGATTGTCATCGCTCGTACCACCTCTCGACAATTTTTTGTAAACATTGGGATGATAGGCTAAATTGAAATATGTTCGATGACAATCAATGATTTCGAATTCATTTACATACAGCTTTCGCATCGATTGCAACTTTGGCAAATCCTTTTCTTTCTTTCCATATCAGTTGGTAATTTTGATCACCAAAAAGAGCTTCTCTGACACCGCCTAAAACCAACTCAATCACCGAGATATTTATTGATCGATATATTTACCAGGTGACACAGCAAGTATGTGTCCTTCTTCGAGCATTAATTTACACATCGCAGATGTTGCTGGTTGAATTTCAAGCGCTTCCAAGAGCGTAGCCAGACCTTCACAGAAATCAACAGTTAAGTTTTTCATATTACAAGTCTAGTGACAAACCAGGTATTTTGAAAACAAACTTATCAGCCACTACTCGGACTCGCCGATTACGATACAGCCAAATCTTTGCAAAAACGTAGTAGAAATCCAATGGAAGAGTAGCATGATAGAAAACAATGAGAGCTGGGCCTTCACTTGGAATATTCTCCAAGCCTTCGACTTCATAACCTACAAAATCAAAATGCAATCTCTCGCTGAAGAAATCTCATTGATATTGCCACTCACCATGCCATATAGTCGCCTGTAACTCCCAAAACACAGCCAATGTTTTTATAGCTCCATACCAAAGATCTTCCGAGTATGCAGCCTAGAGAAAACATGTCACTTTTCTTTCCTCGTATGTTCAATCTCGGATGATTTACTTTCAATCGGTTCCAATGTTTGTAAATTAAACAAAATAATGACGAACCGTACATAAATAAAAGGATAATAGCTGGTAGAAGGAATAACGTTAATAGAGCAATGCATAGTGGTTTAAATAACGTCCATAACCATGCCAAATAGATTATATCGAAATTTGAGCGTTCAAGTAATGCTACGAAATAAGAAATAATTTTGCTAAAAACCATTTTAGTCGCTGCTATCGGACCTGAGAAAAATATACAATTGAATATCTAAAACAAGGCGCCAGGAAAATGTATGTTTATCCGTAAACAAAATGAACAATTCCAACTTTCACTTTCGTTTGGGAAATGCAACGTTCTAAATTATTCATTGCTTTCGTCCCAGATAAATCTGTTCCAGTCTTATTGACTCGATGAAATCAAATCTTAATTTCGAATTTAATGGAAGAATCTGTAAGATACGCGATATCTGACTGAGCTTCTCTGTTCGATATCAGATTCCAAAGTGATATTCGATATTCAACAGCCAATTACAATATGATATTTGATATCAGAATTTTTTAGTATAACTAACAGCTGTTATTTGATCTTAACATGATATTCGATCATCTATAGTAACTGTAGAAATTGAAATTAAACAGTTGAGTACTGTTGATTACTATCGGATGATGAAAAGCACCCTGTTATGAAATGAATAGAAGGAAAAACGAGAGGAGGTATGTGTGAACCTAACTTACGCGAAACAACGAATCAGTCGCAATGAGTAGTTCTTAAGCTATTCAATGCTAACACATATCAACTGACTGTCTTACATGTGTTTACATAAGAAAAGACAAACAAGATGAAAAATAAAACGACAATTTATTTGTTATTGATATGATCACAAAAAAAAACACGGAACAAAACGAAGAAAAATATCACAAAATAGGTATTGATTACTTTTGCCTTTCAGTTTAATTAATTATCCAGATGTTTAGCTGTTTGCATTGCGGCATTGATACGAAATTGGAGACGAGATTCAAGCTGATAATCTTTGTAGTCATTTCTGAAATTGACAATCACAAACAGAAACGCAATGCAACATCTTGCAAGCGCTTTCAGAGGAACTTACAGTGACTTTTGTAGGTATTCCAATGCTTTTTGCTTTTGTTTTAAATTCAAGTAGATCAAGCCTTTTTCCAGCGCGGCATTCGCTGCCAGAAATGATTTCTCGTCAAATTGTTTTGCCCTTGAAGAAGATTTCAATAAGATAAAGTGAAGCAAAATCAAACGAACATTTCGATTATTTCATCAAATGCTTGGTGTGCTTCGTCATATCGATGAAGGAAGTGAAGAAGTACACCACGGAGTAACAATCCCGAACCATAACTATCCGCGTAGAATTGATCATCTGTAAACAAGGACAATCGTGTACATATTGATTTCAACGACAAAATCAATTACTTTGATGATGATGCTCCAACTCATCCAAAGCATTATCAACAACATCGAGTGTTTCTTTCAATTTTTGATGATCATGCGCAAGAATGTAAAAACCATTGAGAAGGTAGATGAATTCCTAGAATAAAACATCTGGGCTCATCTCATATGATCTTGGTTCATCGTCATTAACGTCAAATCGAATCCTTCTCACGAAAAAATTCTCTCGTGTCACGAAGTGCAAAAAATTTGCGCAGTTATTGTTTTCTATGTTAATATCTAACAACAAAATCAATTTGAGAATCGACAATAGATGTCGATAGTTACCAATGCGGGTAGGAATAACCATCGTTGGGCGAGAAAATGATCACATTGTCTCATGGCATATTTCTCCAAAGGAATCGATTTGCCCGCAAGACGAATCTTCAATTCAGGAACTCGTCTGGAACAAAAGAAAAAAATGATTTGCGTTGAATTGGATTACTCCGTACGTACTTATACAATTTGATAACTTCATCTGTAGCAATTCGATTATTATCTTCGAAAAGAAACGTCGATAATAGATAACAGTACGTTGCTTTACTCCAATTGTTTTCATTAAGCAAAATTCTGCATATGTCTACTGCACGTTTCCAGTCTTTTTGCAGTCTAACAGGAAAAAATTCAGCGGTTCATAGCGTTTTCAAGCGATCAAACTTACGCATGACAGAATAAAATCTCCCAATATGCGATCTACAAAGATACGAAGTCGAATGTTCGATTTCCTTATTGACTTCTTACATGATGAAGATGTTTCCAATCATTTTGACATCGCATTGCATATTCGTATGTTCGAACAGCCTGAATACAAACAATGTCATACAAATCATTCTTTTTCTTAATCAATTACTTCATTCAGTTGATAATGTAAAGTATGAAGTCGTGCACGAAAGAATAGGAATAAGTAAGACTAAAACAGATAAATAAGAACAGGTTATCATTTGACTTTGTCTAATCGAAATTCGAGAGCGACTTTTCTAATCAGCTTTTACATTTGATACCGAATACAAAGAAATAAAAGCGAAGCAGCTCGCAATATACATCGATGAATATGATATACGTAGATCCAAATTCAAACAATTACTTTCGAGTGAATAGTCGGAATAACTGAAGAGAAATACTTGAAATCAAAATAAGTAATCACATCAAAACATAACATAACTGTATAACCTTCAATCACAATATATCTATATAATTCTCAATGCTCTTTTCCTCAAAATATCATTGCAGCAATCGGATATGGGTGTGGATTGAAATCTGATCTGATTTCCCTCTCTCTCTCTCTCCCTCCCTTACATACTCTCGTTATAACCAAAGTTAATGAAGATGCTCCATTCTCTTTTTTTTCTCTGTTCGAAAGCAGAAGGGTAAAGAAAATGTTCATCTCTTTCTCGTTCTCTTCCACATACATATATACATACACATACAGACGAAATCGATCTGTGATTCTTTTGATAAAAAAAAGTGTAAAAAATCAAAGGTAATTCGAGTATAATTCAATATAGGAAAAATAATCAGCAGCAGTCTAATCTAAGAGTACGATGACCAATAAGCATCACTACTATGACGACTACTCTTGGACTTTATCGAATAGATGAATATAAAGAGTAATTCGATAGGACGACATAGCGAACGTGAGGAAGAAATCAGATATCGACACCAACGCTGCTGAAATCTAATTCCATTCTGATCTCTCTTTCTCTTCTCTTCTCTTTTACCCTCGTCTCATTCATGTTACTTCTGCTTGACAGATAGACGACGACAACGACAATAGCGAACTGAATACTCGAACTGTTTCAATCATGAAAACAAGCGTTCATATCAAAGATGAACCGGTTGAATTGCAAGTTAATGAACTACTTCGTTTGTATGGATATAATCTAACTGATGCGCCAAAGATAAAGCCTTCACGAACGAAATCAACTGTTACTCAAGATCAACAAGAGGGTATGTTTGGAGGAGTGAATTAACTTTCGCGTCACTTAATAATGCTTGTTTAGCGTCAACATGCGCTTGGTGTCAGAAGTTAGGCGGACAGTCATTCACATTACGAACAGATAACGGAGATTCTAAGACGCTGTGCAGTGAAGTTTGCTTTAATCAATATCGGCGTGCTTCATTCAAAAAGAATCGAGTATGTACTGTGAAAAGCCATGTTTTGTTCAAAATTCCGATGCTCTTTCCTTTCGAAGGTTGCAGAAAATGAAACTGATCATATCTCATCGTCTATTATCTCCGCTAACAAATCTAAAGTATGAGTTCATACGAAAAGCATATTGATTAATAGGAAAAAAATGACTATTTCTAGTCACCAGAAAAGAAGAATGGACTGAGCAAATCGGATCAGCAGCTGCTTGATGCTAATCGACGAAAACTATTATTACCCCTTCGTCGTCTAACTCCAATCATGTCAAAAACGAAGTTAAATCGATTTACTCGAAAATCCACTCCTTCACCCTTCTCAAAACGTCATCGATCATCCTCTTCACCGCATTCAAATGAAAAAATTCTTCGCACTGAACAACCATCAACTACTCCGTCAAATCTACCTGTTAATCTCGCGTGGCAACCATCACTTTATTTACCATCGAACATGCCTTGGGCATCTCCGATTGATATCAATCGTTTTCAATACCACTCATTATTTGCTCCTCCACCTCTCCCTCCTGTTTCCGCTCCACTGCCACCACCACCACCACCACCACCTCCACTACCACCACCAATACTACCAGTACCGTCACACCCAGTCACTTCATCGAACCTATTTTCAACTCTAGCAAAAGGCGCTCTGTCGAACTACACTTGTATTCTACCATCTTTCATCCCACTGCCTATTCCAATACCTATCCCACTGTGTTTTCCTGTTCGCGTGCCATGTACGAAGTGCTCAGTCGAAGTCAATCATCAACAAAGTCAAACGACAACAGAAAATGATGCTGAACAAAAACGATTACGAAGGACGTCGATTTGATCTGCAGAATAAAAGCTGTTTTTCTTCACATAGTATGCTCAGTAGTCTATTACATCTATTAAACATAAAAACTTACATCAGGATATAGTTTCAAGTAACGTTGAACTAGCATATGACAAGTGCGAAGATCACCATCGCTATTTCCTTAAAAGAAACCAAACACCTGTTATCGTTTCGCTCGAAGAAATTCATTTACCAAAAACTGAGGTCACGAATGTATGATAGCCAAGTAGAAACAGAGCAGAGAATGCTGCTCGTAGCCCATAACTATTGGCACTTAGCTCGAGTTGCTCTATACCAAAGTCCTAAGAGAGTAGTGTTTTGTTTTCTTTCTCAGCTTCTATCAAAAGTAATGGATCATACTTTATCACCGGAAAATCCAACAAATTCAAGATATCTGATTACACGTTGTGGAAGATTTGAGATCATCTAAATAATCATCTTATCCCTGAAATATCCAACAACAAAAGCAATTCGATTTCATACCAAATTAAATGCACCATTGCCCATTCGAACACCGCTATCGAAGTGTTCGTAGGAGAAAGTCGATGAAAATTTCGATCGATCATTCTGTTTGGCTAATTTCCTACAAGCAAACAACACACTCATCTCATTGTGGCAATCGTAGCATACGAACACGAATATATCATGGCATTCTTTGATTTTTATTGCACCACTGATGAAACTAAATAGACCTTGATCTTGTATGAATGTTAAGAGAGCTCGGAGCAGTTGTGCTTCAGCATACGCCAATTTCGCATGGAGTTCATCTAGAACAGACATAACTATACAGCTTATTTTGAAAGACAAGGCCTTACATTCATTAGGTGCTGATTTCGCTGAAAGACTAAATGGTATCCACGGCTTGTATGGCTCATATTTTTTTGCTAAAGTACTAGTTTGTTTCAATGATTGAACGGCGACTTCAACATCATCCTAATGAATAATCATTCGATGAGAAACTTTTCAAAATAGAAAGTATTGGTTGCACGTTACATTGTTGAATGTCATCACGGCTTGAGTGTAGGTAATTGTGCTATGGCATAAGCTGTGATAGAGCGAACGATGTTCTCTGTTGAAAAACAAAAAATACATGCAAGAAGATGTTGACAGTTGTATCGTAGAACGTACTGTGCTTTCGCTTTTCTCAAAGCTTCATTGAGATGATTTTGCAAAAATAATTTATTGATTTGATCACATTCTTTCAATGCTTGTATTATATCCAGCGTCGGATCGTCAGATACTTTGGCAGCTGATCGCCGTCTGAATTCGAAATCAAAAGATATATTCCGAACGACACATGTTTTGGTATACAAACCGATTAGGCGTGTCTTTTCGTTTGTCGTCGTCGTCAAGACTTTCAACTGCATCTTCAAAATTCTAGAAGAGAATATTTTATCAATGTCAAATGTCAAGAAGCAAAATATTTATTTTCCTTTGCCTATTTCCTTGCGATCCGAGCAGTGATTTTCTTTCCCTTCTCCTCAGTTTAAAGTTTTAGTGCAAATCAATACCTCGCTATTATCGTCTCTGTCAGTGTTACATTCCAGAAGATCATTCAATGATCTGGTTGTTGACAACTCCGACGTCGATAAAAATCCGTTTTGACTGTTGGTTAAATTAAGAGATAAATGGTGATTTTCTTGATTTGCTACTGTTGATATTTCATGCGCCGAACTCGACGTTGTGATATGATCAGGAACTCGTAATGGATGCGTGCCATAGAAAAAATAACTATTAGTTAATCTGTTTGTTGAAGTTGGTTGATTCGAAGATGATGAAGTCATGTGCGCTGCTAGCAAAAGTAATTCATCTAAAAGAAATACAGTCTTGTTTCTTCCTCTCAGTCGCTTCGGCATGTTTTTTTTTTATTTCTTGTTCTGCTCGGATTTGGCCGTTGTTGATATATTTACACGAGCTTGAATGTTCTTAAATGTCGAAAAAAAGTCATTCTGCTTTTCTCTCTACAGTAAGTCATTTTGCAAGTTGATTAACTTGAATCATCGATTTGGATACTCGTACTTACCTGCAAAAGCAAAGAGTGGCAATGTTTTTCTCTTCTCAAATCAATCAAGTCGAGTTTCCAGGATACGTAAAGTTTCAATAAGATTCCGCCTCCTTTTTTTCCTCTCATTCCTTTTGGCACATGTTTGTTTTTTGAATAAGCAGTAGAAAAAAAAGCGAGAAAAAGAGTGCAAGAAAAATAATCTTGCGTCTTTTTTTCTCTTCGTACCGCTTTTTCTGTTTCCTCTTTTGGAAATCATAAAGTATGTCAATGGGACGTGAAATTCTATTTTGTTTTTCAACACTACACTTTAGTTTACAGCAGAAAACAGATTCATACAGATGCTCGAATGCAATTTACAATGTGAAATACACGTTTTATTATGAGAAAAAGAAAAGAGGCACGAGCAGAAAGAGTAATGAAACTTTTTATTCTATTTAAATAACTAACATTCGTCGTTAGTATATATATAGAGAGAGAGAAAAGGATTTCAACGTTGGCAAGAGAGAAAAACGAGTTGTTATGCACGCTGTCGATATTTCTACGAGAATAGCTAGCTTTTATTTCTTATCTACGCAGTCTCCGCGTCTCGGTATTATGAAATCTCATAAATACGTCGCTCTACTGGCAACTACTCGAGGAAAAAAAAGCGCAGAAATGACAATTAATTCGATCTAATTTCATATGCAGAATTTTTGAGTCGCCATCACTCACGTGTCTTTGACAGTTCTTACATTTCTTCATCTCTTTTCTCCGTTACGGAAGTATACATTTGTCAAAGAAGATAAACATGTGTGCGCAGCTGTTCACAGAAACGTATAGAACAACAAATCAGCAGTAGGGTGACTTTGCAAAGAATAGTTTGTTCGCGAGCATGATTTCCTATACCTCGATGAATTCAATGATTGATATGAATCTTTGTACTTATTTGTTTGATCTTGTCAATAATACATTTCTAATTTCCGGTATGTTTTCTTAAACAGCATTGAGTAAAAGAAGCAAGGATTACATTCAGTTATGAATGCTGAAAAACAAACGGAAATACATTGAAAGTATTAATATTCAGATTTTTCCGAACGAGTTTTGTCCTTCAAGTGAAAAGATTGAGACTTGACTTATCGAATCAAGTAGAGAAGAGGAGTAAGAAAGGCATCATCCTAATTCGTAATTGTATTTCTAATCAAAATCTGCACGCAAATCTGCATCAAAGAAAAACACCATCTAGATCATGTTCAATTCTTCCTCGTCATTCGTTGTTGACGAGCAATATTTCGTGATATGGGTGGTTTGCGAGAGAAGTGTTGTTCACAATTAGGATAATAGTGTGTATGTTGTACTTGAGACGTGTTCGAATGTGTACGATGCAATTGATGTCGATGCGCTGGATGCAAGCGTTCATTCGAATGATGAGTAGTATTTCGACGAGTGACGTCGTGGGATGTTCGCGGCCGAGAAGCATGATGTCGACGAGATTCCTATAAAGAAAACATTTGAGAAGAAAATTGAAATTCATTTCATATTTACATGATATGGATGCTTGTGTCGCGTAGTATGATTCGGTGACATAGTCATAGTTTCGAGAACGAGTCGGGAACGAAAATCGTGAAAACTCTTTTGTAATTGTCGTTTAACTGCAGAAATAAAACTTATTATTCGATGAGCTGTAGAAGGCGTCGATGGTAATGGACGACGACGAAATCGATAGTCATCATTGATTGAATACGTGTCTTCGTCATCGTAATCATAATCATCGTCGTCGTCATCGTCATCGTCATCAGAATCATAGCGAAATATGTTCCGACGATGAATCGGTAGTTCATCGTATCTCTCCAATTCGTCACGAATTTTCGATGTGACCAATGAACGTTTCAATGCCACAGGTTTTCTCGCCCGATTCTCAAGATCCATTGAAGCAAGAGGCTTGCTCTTAACTATGTCATTCTGTTGTTTGACTGCTGCGCGCACATAAGCTTCTCGAAGAGCGGTAATTCTATTGGAGACACGTTGTTCACCGTGTGTACGTTGAATAATATTATGAATAAAATCTACATCGTTCTTATCTAATCCAAGAGCAATACCCGAAGAGCGACGAACAATCGCTGGAGGTCGTTGTGGTTTTATAACGGAAGTAGCAGTACTAGTGCTGCTTGTCGAAGGTGAACAGGATGATTTTCGTGGACGCCGAAGAAGAAAATCTTCGAATGTATCATGTGGATGAAATCCTTCTTCTTCTTCTTCTTCATCTGATCTCTTGTCTTCGAATAATTCTTTGTTTTGTCTATCTTCATCTTTTTTCGATATTATTTCGGTCTAAAAAAAGTGTTCCAATTTTATCAAACGAAAATAAGTCTCTTTACCTGGTGATTCGATTCACCATTTTCTGACGCTGACAGAACGGGTGGGATGAGATCATCTTCGTTGTAAGTTACTGTTGGATACCATGCAAAAATATGATTTTGTAAAGCTCCATGGAACTGCACTGGATACTCAACGGCTTGTGCTTCTTCATCGGAATAGACGCTATCGAATGAATGATTATCCAATGGAATGGATTGCTGAACACCATTGTACAAGCGATTGGATACTGATTTTACGATCGGTTTGTGTCGAACATGAGCGTGTTTTGTCTGTGGTACACTTGAAATCATATCTGACTGGCGTTTTTGTCGTCGTCGTACTGCATTCGAACTAGTTGAACGGAAAGGTGTTATACTTCGTCGACGGTGTCGTTTGGAACGATGTGATGTGTGTCGTTGACGAAGTGTTGGATGAATTTGTGCGATGGGATGATGTATTTTTGTTCGATATAAACCACTTTTATCGCCACAGTTCGGGGCCATGTTGACTTCAAGTTTTTTTCTCGTCTAAAAATGTTGAATAGATTAACATTCTTTTTGACTAACAAGAAAGACAAAGATTAAGCTCACTTTGGTAGTACTCGCATTGGAGTTTGTCTCAAGTACATTCGTCTCAATGTCAGATGACTTCGTTTCGCCGCAATGTATTGGTGAATAAGCATCGTCGATATCCTTTTCCTTGTTGGCAGTCGATGGTAATGAGACAATTTGCGATGTGTCTTCTCGAAATTCGAAGTTGATATACGTGCGGATAGATGATGATGACGAACTTGGATTTGACAATGTTTGATGGATTTTAGTCGATGCGAACGAGCTCGAATAGGTTTTCATGTTCTCATAGATTCGATGGTTGTTATATTCATCCGCTGTGTGCACCTTTTTTGATAGAGGAACAGTCGAGGTTGTATTCAGTAGTTTTCCATAGCTTGCGTCAGTCTGCTGATTCGTTTGTTTGGATGAAAGCATTGAAATATTGAAATAGTTGTTCGTTTGATATACAGCTGACGTTTGCATGGCTGGCGCAATGGTATTTTGTGTTTGAACGGAAGCATACGTGTGAATATTAGCATACGGCCCTGTATGCGATGAGCTTTCCACTGAAGATGATATTTTTGGTATTGAACATTGCCGTATTTTCTTCGATATGGATGAAAGATTAGCATATATCGGAAGGTCAGCATTGGATGATATCGATGGGAATTCCTTACAATTGTTCACTTCTCTTGAGTAGTATTTCAGTCCCATCAGCGTTTTTCTCGTTCAATGAAAAGATCTCTAATGACGTCGTGAACGTTCGCTCATCGATGAGGTGTATGTATGCTTATTTGCCGATATGTCTACATTTGTTTAGCTCAAATCAGTAGTTATTTTCGTTCTTTTGTTTGTTTGTTTGTTGGTTGTCATTAGAACCGAATGAACATCGGTCTATTGATTTTGACTTAGCTAGATATAAATATGTCGACTTTCGACTATTCAAATGTTTTGCTTATCATAAGAACAAAGACAGCAAAACTGAAAGACGTCACTTCTTTATCTCGAACATTCTTACGTTGTCCATGAAAGAGGATGAAACAAATGTTACCAACTCGCGCAATTTTTTGGAGAAAAAAGCGTTTGCATTTCACTATAGCCGAGCTATCGGACATGAAATCTGTAACCTTTGACCGCTGCAGTAGATAACATTGACCTCTTCACTTCTCCTTATCATCTGACAGTTTACATATTGTTCATAGGTAGAAAGCGGATGAGAACCGTACTAGCATTATCTGGTTATATATTACGTTCATATGAATTTGGATGCCTAAGAACATTTGTGGACCATTGTCTTATCAGTAAAAAGTCACTTTGAAGTGATGTTTGACTTTGCTCTTTAGTTATCTTTATTCTGCATGTAAACAATGGTGAAACAAAAAAGATAAATACAGGTATCACAAAGACGATACTAATCGGTAGAAGAAAGCGCTTATCAGATAAGTAAGACTCGAGGTAGAATATGTTCCAGAGACAGAGTTTACAAAATTCTGTGACGTCAATGCAGATAAACATGTTCTATATAAGACGCATTGATGCGTATGAGAATAGTCTATTTAGTTTCTAAGTTTTGGGCATACGAAAGATACATTCCACAATGAAACTGCTTTTCGTAGCATTACTCTTTTTGTGCGGTAGGTTGCATTCATATATTAGAGTGTACATGCATTCACTCGATGTTAAATCTATGTAGTCGCTTGGTTCGCCTATGCTTATGAATGTTACATATGCAATAATCTAATGATTGGTGCTTGCGGTGATCCGTTTGACAACTCGAAAATTAGCAACAGTTCCATAGTGGAAATCGAATCTTACGAACGCTGTGCGGTAGGCACCTTCGTAATTTTTTAAAATCTCCATTTCATATTGTTTTTATTTCATAGAAATCTAAAATTGGTACTGCTATCAGAAGAACCAAAGTTAACTCCACGGAGTGTCCAGGCACTAAAAATGGATGTGAACCTAGAATGGATGATGGTGTGAAAGCTATGGTTTGTTGTTGCGATTCCGACCTATGTAATCAAACTTCATCTCTCCGGCAACCAATTTGGCTTCTTCTAATTGCACTAGTCATATATGATCTCATCGTTCAAAGCTGGATTTAAATTCAATGCATTCGGTTATAAACAAGACTTATTTTCAAATGTGAAATCCTTTCTCTTGATTATTTCTGTGATTATATTTCCAAATAAAGCTTCTTTCGCAAAAAATTTGATCTATTCTTAAAGCGAACTTTGCCTTGTATTCTGGTGATATCTTTCATTGTGTGGACTTCACCATTGTCCTTCTTCTTTCATTGGACATGCGTGACACAGGTATAAGCAACGGTCAATCGGTCACCGCATGTCCAATCGAAGCGAAGCGATAAAGGTCAACTGTATGCTACAATCAACAAAATATTTTCTGCATAATTTCTATCGTACTAGTATCTCATGAACCAATATTATTTCTGAAAATTATTCAAAGCTCACGTGTAGAACGATAGCAAGAGTAAGTTTTCGAACTGTGCTATGTGCTGATAAGGTGTCCACGAATTGAGTACATCACAAGAGAATGCGTCGTTACTAGAGATTACTTAGATTAATTTCATTCACTTGTACATATGTCTCCGTGCGTAGCAGTTTCATATAAGATGTTACGTCAGAAATGCCATCATACTTTCTTCCTATATTTGTGTGATGCTTAACACTGCGAACAACTTATTTGAGTTCGTGCTGTGTTCTTATCTTTCATCATAGATACTCGAAAGATAAGCATTTGCTATTAGTAAGCAAATAAAACTACTAGTTGAAACCCTCTTTAGTTCATCGTTTTTCTAGTTTATCTCCCGAATGTTTAATTTCTACATTCCGACTGTACTCATTGGTTGTATTTCAATAATTATTTGTGATCCTAATTGCGTATACAAAGTCGACGATGGATTGACCTTAGACACTCGAACATTGGGCTTTACAGATGGGAAAGGTCCGAAATATAATCATATTTCGAATGCAGCTACTACAGCAAATACTTTCAGTTGGAATGGATGTTTTTCGTATTCTACCAATGATCAAGGCAACTGTTCAGATGCTGCAGCATGCTATTGTAAATTTACCAGCTATATTCTGCACTCGAATGAATATTTATTCTTTTCAGTTGATGCAACGCAGAATAAATCAATTCTCATCGCTAAGCAAGATTCAGCTGAATTTAAACATAACCAAGGCTCATTCGTTCTTTCCTACCAGTCTTCACATGGATATCTAACAGTATTCTTAAACTGTCGAGATGAAGACGAAGACTCAGCCATCGGCCAACAACACGATGCGTCAACTTACAGTATTCATATTCAATCTCGCTGCTGCTGTCCAGGAATGTGTCACTATCCCACTCATTATGTCAATCCTATCATCATTGCAATTATTATAATTAGTATTTTCATCCTCGGACACATAGTTGGCGGTATCCTCTTCGTCAAACATCGACCAGATTCGCTGAATCGTTTTTCATTTGCGAATGTGATATCTTATCTCCGACATCGAAATAGCAATTATCAACAAGTGTAAAGCAGAACAAGTTTCATACTTTTATTCTAATAAAACATCTTGTCTAACTTACAAAAGATCAATGTGTATCGCTATTTCGGGTACAATGATCAGATTGCTTCGCTCGAAAGATCCGATAAATTCTGTGAAAAACTCGCACATGACTATTGATCATTAAGAAGTCCAGAGAGAGAAAGAAAAGCATACAACAACGTTAGTTTCGTGTTATTCAAATGATGAATGATCTCTTCGAACTGCTACGTAAATACGATTAGCAAAGCGAAGGAAGAGCGAGAGAGAGGAAAAAGATTTGCATGAATGATGAGTGTCTCGAAGATAAGTGCTAACATTAGACATGAGCAAACGAATGATGATATTTTTTTTAACGGAGATCACCGCTGATTGTGTAAGTTGATTTCCATAATGAGAGCAATTTTGTTAGCGCACAAGTTAGTTTATAAGTATCCATGTGAAATTGACTGGTGGTTTCTTTTCTTTTTTTCAATCATCGAGATGAATGTTCATGCTTGTCAATTTTGTCTTGTTCTCCTAACTGAATTTCTTTTTGAAAGTTCACAAATGAAATTATTTCCTGATCAATTTCAATTCTCTCGTGGCGAAAGCATCGACGACATTTTCTTTGCTATTATTATTACCTCTAGTAAAAAACTCACTTTCTACTCCATTCTACGAAATCAAATAACTGCAGTGTCAAAGACAAGAACTTTTACTTGCCTGATGTTGACATGTTCGATCAAAAATCAATTTTTCTCCATAAGAAAGAAAATATTCTCTCATGCTTTGGGAACGAGAGACTTATAATTTTCTTGTTTTTTTCATTACATTATTGTTATACATGCACAGATAGTTTTAGATTCTATCAAACCAAACTGACATTTCATGTCCTCGACGTTGTCTAATACAATCTGGTCAAATTTTCATTCTCAACAAGTTATCAACAATAATAACACATTCATTCCACATCCATCAACTATCACTCATCGAATCATTTTTCTTCTATCGACTGTAAGTAATTTCATCAGATGAAGGTAATCTATTCAGGAACAAGTTAAGATAAAGAAATTACCTAAGGGGATAAGTACTAGTCTGAGCAATCGACCTTGTCGAGCTCCTTTGCTGCTACTACACTCAATTAAATAGAGGCTGAACCATTAACAGTATGTAATCAATGGTTCTACTAACACGTAACTCAATTTCGAACCATTCTCATACGAAATAATTGCTTTGACCTACCCTCATTGATTTTTTTCCTTAGGTTGTTCTATTCTGGACCTGCTTCGTTATAGTTTATTTTCTCAGTCGTGTCATTGTTCGATTAATTTCATTGTTAAAACGTTATTACTTCAATCGATCGCTGACTTCAACGAAAAACGTTTGTCAAGCATTCGTTATTTCGTCGAATCAATACGGATCATTTCAAACCAAACATACATTACATCGTACGGATAGTTTCTTCTCAAATAACTATCTGGTAGTCGCTCACGAACCCATGCCAAACAGATCGAACTATGACACAATTAAGCTAACGATGAATCAATATTCGAATATGCTCGAAAATCGGCAATATCAACAGTCGAGAGCAAATCTATTAGAGCATTACCTGAAGACTTACAATCCATTGCAAATCGATCTGAGTAATTCAAGTCAAGAAACGATTACAACATCGGAGATTAGGATTACGGCTGCTGAAGAGATACCGAGTGAAACGGATACTCAACCGTTAGATAATTGTTATTCACTTCAATGTGCAAATAAACAACGATTACATCGTAAAGGACGCTACGTTCGATTGAAAGAATCGGAACATTCCGCAACATTGGCAAGTGTTGCCGAAGATCATCTTTCAGAATGCAGTACGAAATTAACAACGACGACGCTACCGATTGTCATGGTAACAGATTGTTCTGATAGTCAACGACTTCATACGGATATAATCGAATTGAATGAGGAAGAATAAGCAAAAGTTTCTATTTGCTGAACTTCGATTTGATTAAAATGTCAAAAAGAAAACGATCATGGGATATTTGACACTGATGTGATAAAGAGATTTCTATACATCGAACCGAATTTCAGGTCTCAATGTCGGATCATAATACGATCATAAAAGAATCGAGCAATTCACTTTTCTATGTACATTTTTATGTATTCATTTCAATTGACTCTTCGAACAAGGTTGATGATCTTTTGATACACGCCTTGGAAGCGATGATGTTTTTCCTCACTTCTCTTTTTTTTGTATCACTGCTTATTTATTACAAGTAATAACTTTTCTCTTTTATATCCTCTTTTCCTCGCTACATTCACGACTGACGAGCGTAGCAGTCGACAGCATTATTGAACATGAAGTGATCGATTTCTCTTCTCTCTCTTCGTTCTCTCGTTCACCCTAATTTTGGGTTACTGTTTCTCTCATTCGTCGCTTGACTGGATTATATATATATATATATCTACGTGTATAATATAAGTACGAACGTGTATGTCTTCTTCTCATCCATTGAACACACATATTCTAACGAGACGGGCAGACGATTGTGAGAATAAACTGACGAGACTGGTCAGTGAACACGACCCACAACTCTCTACCATCGGCATTTTGTCTTTTCTTCTCGTTTTCTCTTCTCTCTTCGTGTTGTTCTATAATTGAACACATCGACCTTCTATCCGACGTATATACGCATTCGTGTTCGCATACGAAAAGAGAGAGAGGGAAAGGGAGAGAAAGAAACTTCCGCTTGAATATGCTCACCGTCGACACAATGATATGAATATTGTTGCTTCCCACACATTCATTCATTCATTCACTCATTCATTTCATTCATATCGACGTGAACATCTATAACATATAGGAGTGCTTTATTTTATTCATTGATCAGTTTTTCTTCAGTACGTGCGAAAACGAACATTAGCATTTGTCTTACCACGAGCTGATCATTAACATGACTCGTTTCGAAGAAAAACTTTATTTACAAAGTGTGTTCGACGCAATCGATCAAGTTTACAATATGAAGAAATCTCAAAAACATTCAACCTATGAAGAGCGCTTGCGTGCTTCATTTAATAAATTACTTATACCTGATTGGTATAATCACGAATACACATCAACTAATGGTTTACGAAAAACAAAGTCTCATGGACATGTGCCTCGTGCCAAACGCAGTAACAACAATCACAATAGCAATAATAATAATAACAATCACATTAATAATAATGACGATACACCAGAGACATCGATTTCATCTTCAGTTAACTCACCTCATCTGTCGAATGGTACAAATCATCAATCTTATCGTCATCGTTCGACAAGTCGTTCGTGGTCAGAAAGAGCTCCCCTTCGACGTGATTCCACAACATCTAGTTATGATCCAAATGGGTGTGTCATTAACGGTCGACGATCGGCAACTTCGAATGGTTCATCAACATATGCACCAGGTGTCCAACGTGTCGCTCAATCATCAACATGGTATAAACCACGCATCTTTTCATCGAAAACAGCCAATGGCAGTGCTAATGGCCATACAGTTGAAGCACCTAAACCTCTGCCAAGATGCTCGAAAATTGGTAAGTGAGATTTAATTATTTATATATCTTGAGTGGCAATAATGTTGATTATGTGAACTTTCGATATTGACATCATATACGTATACATATAACAATTATGTAATGATACTGATAAGATATAGTTTGTATGGACATCACACTCTCATCAACTTTTTTCTTTCTTCTTCTAACGATCATAAATTTCAAATTTAACGCAATAGTTATCAATGAAAGTGTCCTGTTAGTTATATTATGTACATTCGATTATAATTATTATATCAGTTTAGACATCGATCTCACGGCTGTATATGATCTGTTCGAAATAGATCAAAGGAAAACGTGATAGACGCTTGTGTGTCGTGTCATTTATAGATGTGGTACATTAACATTGACAAGGCATATGCAGTTACTCGTCAGTCTATCTATCTTTCTCTTCGCTTTTCGCTATTTTTTGCTTGATAAATTCTCGATTTATTATATGGTGCATCATGCGTATTCGACCGATAGTTAATTCATTTTTTCTTCTTCTTCTTTCCTATACATATTCATAAGGGCACAGATTTTGTGGCGCATATTTTGAAAACAAATATATTACAACAAGAGGATGAAAATGTCTTAATAATGAATTCGCGTCGAAGTGAATCACTTAGTATGTGTGTGTGTATATACATAAATGTTTATGTGTCTCTGATTGATTGCCTATGAAAATAAAATGTGTGATTATTGTGATTGCCAGTGAACTGTTGAGTATATAAGGAGAAAAACAACAACAACAACAACAACAACATTCCAAGCTAATTTCATTCATATTGAAGTGAATATTTTATTTTTACGAGAAGTAGGAAATAATGGAAATCAGACAAGTCTTCAGGCCACATTATACCAATTCTGGTTACAAGCCCTTGTTTATGTAGGATGTACTCAACGGAGAGAGAGAGCGCAAAAGCAGGCTTAGATTAAAATCAAAGTAAAATGTTCGTTCGTGATGTTTTACATAATTTCAATCGATCGTTTTCGTCGGTGTTAGATAATATGTTAAGGTGAAGGTTATGCATGTGTTAATGTTTTGGTAAAAAAGCAATGTAAATGGTAGAATAAGTCATTTCACGGTAATCAATCCGTGATGTCAACGCAATCAGAATGAAGATCTTTTGTATAATTGAACTTTTCGAATCAAGCGAGATGTATTGAAATTGATCGGTATGCGACAAGCAGATAGACTCAAATGAAGCTCATTCCGCCGACGTTCTTGTTTGAATAAGGCCTAACGATTGGAACTGCACTCGTCGCGTGGCTGTCTTTTTTCCTTTACCAAATAAAAGGACGACATAGAGTGTGTATGGCGCATGCAGAACGAGTTTTACGTATATATATTTCAAAGAAAATATGTATACTCACAAACAAGAAAGAATGAGAAAAGGCAAAAAATCATGCGAGCAAGAATGTCAATGTAGACAAATGTGCATATGTGTGAGTCTGTATGCTTAGCGGGTAACCCACACCAAAACGGAGGAAAAAAGACAACGAGAGGAGTAAAAAAAGTTCTTAGTTTTTTTTTCTCTTTCTTTTTTTCATTCGAATCAATCAACAAGTTATTGTTAATGAAGATTTATGTGAGCAAAGAATGGACGAGTACCCTAGGAATGCGATCGGATTTATACCACTGATTAAACGCTACGCCGTTGTACTCGATTCTGTTCTCCTTTCTGTGGATTAGAGTTTCTCTTCATTCTTTTTTTGTTTTTTAAATGTGTTTTGCAAAGCAAACATAAAAAATACATTCACCTGTTGACAGTCACTTTTTCGTTCCCATCATTCGATCATTAAGTTAAAAGTAGAGAAAAAATTTAAAAAAATTATCCCACTTGTCTTTTTATTCGTGACTAATTTATCATTTTGTTTTCTTCTTGCACGTACTTTCGTGTTTTTACTACTGACTTGAAGTATACTTTCGAAGCGCGTATAATGAAAGGATTAGTTGCTTCGTATTCTTTATCTTAACCTTCAAGTCGTGTCTACGCATGCGTTGGCATCTATCGATTTCTATCTTCCTTTTGGTCACAATACCAAATGAATGACTGTGTACGTACGCGTACTTATACACACGAGAATTTGTCTTCGAAGTTTTCTTCCCTTTTTTTGATTACATGCGTGTGTGCGTGCCCGAGGCTGCGGTAGTCGTAATATCATTAAAATCACCTCCTTTTTCTTCCTCAATTCTCACACGTCTATCTCTTTTGCTTTCTTTAGATCAAGAACGTTTACAATCATCGAATGCTGCTTCTTCTCCAAAGATTGATCATGTTCGACATCCGATAAAGCCGCGCACAATGGCTCAAGCACAAATACCCGTTGAAGACGAGTCACTACTTGATGTTTCATCTGATGCTGACATTACCATTGTTCAAAAATGTATGAAATTGCTTTGCCACTAATGAAAGGGTAGAGAAAAAAATTGAAATTTGATATGTTTAGCACCTTCGACTCCAGCAGATAAAAAGCCAATCGCAAATATTACTCGTGCAGACTCAATAAGAAGCGTCTCATCAGAAACCGAGTCATATCGATCGGCGATCTTACCTTCAGTAGATAAAAATCTCATTGCAACAGATTCATCATCTTATGCGAGCGTCAGTGAAAGATGTTTGTCACCATCAACAGCTTCGTATCACACAGCGCGGGCAGGTGATACATCATCAGCGTCATCAATCACAGGATACGAAACACCAACACCACAATTCGATGATGACAATGTCACATTATCAGTTCACAGTTCACTTTCGGATTTAAGCCATGCTGAAACGTTGGAACCAAACGCCGAAGGTAATTAGAATATACGCTTTAGATTCATTGAATGCGATCAACATTTTCCTTCGCCTTCAAAATATAATAAGAAACATTACGATGAGTGAATTGAATAGAAGTGCGTGGTATATATGCATGTATGTATATGTGTATACATACATACATACATGCCGGCATGCATACATACATACGAGCAAAGCTCTGAATAGATGAAAAAAAGAAAAGGTAAGTCAGATTTGAAGTGGGTGTCAATGGAGAAAGAAAAAAGTAATGTTCGATGACGAGAAATACAACTGTTGCAGTAGAGAGTAATGAAAAAAGCGTTTTTTGGTCGTTTTCGCCGCATGTATTCAGACACAAAATAAGGCGTCATTTGCATTTGCATTGAAGGTAGCTGTATGAAAGTAACAGCCACTATTTCTTGCTTGAATAATTACTGTAGGAGACAGCTTAGACATATTTACAGCTTACATCATGTCTGCTTAGGTCTTAACTGTTAATGACTGCGAGTTGAAAATGTTTGTTAGTTTTTTATTCTCTTGAGACACTCGACATGGCATGTCAGTGAACACTTAAGTTATGTTAGTCCATTGAAATTGTGAGTTAATTGTTCATTTCGACATCGATTCATCGACAATTAATGAAATACATACGTGTGTTATTTTGACGTTGTTTTTGACTTCTTTTATTCGAGAATGAATGTATATATATATGTAGTCAATGTTCACAGTCTTTACTAGGACGAAAAAAGAAGAATAGAAAGGATGACGTATGTGGGCATACACATGCACATACATTGAGGACCCTTTTTTTCTTATCACTATTTATTTCTTCCCTCTTCTTCGTTCTATTTCAATAGATCTCGACATCGCTGCCGTTTCGATAGCAGAACACAACACTACCCTTATTCCATCAGTTGCCATTGGTATGGAACATTCACCATTGCCAACAATTACATCCACTCAAGCAAATGTTGACAATGCAACAACTATCAAATCTCATTCAATTGAAAAGAAAGATCCCAACGATGATGCCATTCAGCATACCACTTCGATGCAAAGTGAATCCTCCGATGTTCGTGAAATATTCAACGATGAAATCTTACGTGAAATCGATCTGAATGCTGTCGGTGACGAATTTTTCCTATTTTCACCTCGTGACACGGCCAATAATCAACCATCATCAAATGACAATCATCGAATTCAACAAGTTGAAAGTCCAACACACACATCCAAACGGATCTTCACAATGGAAGATAACAACGATTCATCGAATGGTTTTCATTTATCTTCAACTAACAATCCATTTGGTTATGATGATGATAATAACAATAATAATAATCAATCTTCAATTATGATAACTAATTTAGATGATATATTGATCGAAAATGACGATGACGAAAATCAATATTTAAATGGAAGTTATCGTCGTCCTATTCAAGAAGATATTCTCTACGAAGTCGAGCATGAAAACAGTCTTTCTGATCATAGTCAAAACACATCATCAATTATCGCCGCAAACGACGATAAAGTAAAGCTTTATTTCTGATTAATTCCATCGATAAATACTCTTCTATTTATAGGTATCAAATAAATACGATGCAAATATTGATTATTTGACACTAGCTGACAATCATATTCCGACGAACATTCACGAACAGACGCCAACAAGTCCTAATGAAAAACAAAATTCACCAAGCAGAACAACGGAGAACCATAATATTCTGCCAATTTATATTTTACCACCATTGTTTACAACATCGAAATCTGAAGAACATCCCACATCACTTCACATCGACACCAGCGATCAATTTGACAAATGGGACTCAGTTATTAATAAATATTCCGATCTTACAAGTCCATCGTCCTACACATCAAAAATTCGTCATCGACACTATTCGGTTGGATCCTATTACGATCATAAGACACCAGCGGTGACAGTACGTCCGAATCATTCCATGTATTTTCTTGGCAGTGCACCCGTTAGTCCATTAAGTCGAACTTCAACAACAAGTAGTGAATCATATTATCATGCTCATCATTATCCTAGTCCAATTTCCTATGACAATGCTCCAATAAGTGCATTAAGACGTGTAAATCCATTTCTTGACTCGAATACATATGCCCCATTCACATTCAATTATAATTATCGACGAACAACAGAATATCGTTCGTCGTCCTTGAATCGAGAAGAGAAATCTCGTACAATTACATACACATCTCCGAAGATGACATCCAAGTCCGTGGAACGGACAATTCCTGTAAGTCGTTGTTTTTTTTTCTCCTGTTCAGAATCGATTTCGTGAAAGTCGATTGAAAGGTTCTTTTGACAGAGAATGAGAGGCAAAAAAAAGAGTCGCTTGCTGACGTCGCCCGCAGCTGTCAACTCTAGAACTATGCGATCGATTTCAAAAGAATTGCTCAGGACACTAAAGTTATTAAAACTTGTTTTTCTGTTGACTCAAACACTTGTTACGCTGTTGATGTTAGAAATTGAATGATGTTTGCCATAAACAAGTTAAAAGCTTTGCAATCAATTTGACATGAAAAGAAATCTAACAAATCAAAGTCCACCTTTTTGTACGAGAAGATTTTGAGAAAGATCTCATACATATTCGTACAGCAGCGGCTTACATTTAAAGTTTATCCTATAGAGTGGATTAAAACTTATACTTGAACTTTTCATGTAAACATATATTCTTTGATCAAAGCAAATTTTAAATATGATGCGCGTTCTTGACATATAGTAATATGGCTAGAAGAAATAGATACCTTGTGTCAATAGTCGGCCTTTGCAAATTAAGGTAAAATCAATCTTGTTCATGTATGTTTAGATAATCAAAACTGAACGCATACCATCTGCAACTCAATCCGTCACGTCACCTCCGCCGTCAACATCGATACGTACGAGCTCTATCCCATTTCAACAATATGAAATTCCTATCATGCGCCCAAAAGCAACTCGACACATTTCTATGTCACCATCGCCCCCACCTCCTCCACCTCGGCCTGCTATATTTGAACAGGAGTCTTCATTTATCCGACGAACGATAATTCAGAAAAGCCCAGCAACATCATCATCACCTCGATCATCTCTGTTCGATCGAGAATTATCACCACCTTCGCCTTCACCTCCACCTCTGCCAGTTCGTCCTAAAACCAGTCGAGGACGAGTTCGAACACCCTCACCTCCACCAATTCGATCGAAACCTAAAGACAAAGAACACTCATATAATATCTATCAGGAAATCGATTCGGCATCGATAGACGACGACCATTTACGAACGACGAATCCTGATTTACAATTTATACGTGGTGCTATTGAACGTGTGTTTCATTTTAATGGCGATTCGACAACAGACACGACGAGTGAATCAAGTACGTACTATGATGAAGCAGCCGAGAGACATCGAAAGGAACCCACAAAAGTTTCAAATCAATATCCAGCCGTCGAAGCTATTCAACGCTTTTACAATCATAAACCATCACCGCAGTCAGACAAACGTCTACCAGCTGAGCAAATAACGAATCTTGATGATGTCATTGTTAGTAATTCATCAGTATCGAAAAAAACTAGTAGTCGTTCCGTACCAGTTGCCGCTCAAAAAATGAACTATTCGAAGACGAAATCAAAATCGACGAATCAAGAACGTGTCAGTTCAGATGAAATCGATGATACATTGAACGATATTGAAGATGTCGATTCGCATGATGAACGATTGAAACGGCCGACCATCAATCATTCCGATTCTCATACGAGTAATGAAAATTCACCCATACATTCATCAATTCTTCCATTCAAAACCAAGGCTGCATCGCAGCAAACGCAAACAACCGGACAAGTATGAATACTTTGAAAAATTGAACCGTTATAAAAGTGTTTCAGGCAAATGAGTTTTATGAAATTTGACACGATAGATGATTTCCTTCCTGTTCTGTTTTTAGATGCAGCTAGAGAGAGAAAGTGACAAACAATGAGTAGCATCGAGTTCTCTTTTCGTTACAAACAGAAATTATCTTGAGAATTGTGAAAAGGAAATAACTGCGAGAGAAAGACTTCTCTTCTTCTCTAGTTGAAGACTAACGATGGTAGACAATTCAGTTGGCAGAAGAAAGAGAGAAAAGCTTGATCGAATCAATATTCAGATAATTAAAAGCTTGTTTGCGTTTTATTTGAACAAACAGTCCTTTCTTAAAAACTTGTCATAATTAATTTCTTTCATCGCGAACTTGAGAAAAAGAAAATTCAATTATTCTATTCGATGTCCTTGACCTTATCGAACTTCATTAGGAGAAGTGCTGTGACATCCTAGCTAGCCAGAGAATTACTCAGACAAGTAGACATCGAGAGAGTTTTTCTTCATCGGAAAAGAAAATAAGAGAATCTGTAAGTTTTATCATCTAGTTTCAAATCTATATGAATTCAATTTTGTTTAGTCGAAAGCAACAAACGTATCTCTCCCAATGATTCGAACAACAGTTTCTCCGATTGAAATTGTTACTGACATGGTCATTGAAGGAGATGACACTATCGATGGTCTGAACGGCGAAATTCATCAGGTCTCAGATGATATGGTGATATTCTATGACGACATTGAAATTGTGGAAAATTTGACAAGTTCGTGCTCATCAGAATGCGAATCAGGATCGGCATCATCTATATCCTCATCATCCCATCATTATTCCAAACCAGCGAATACTTCCATTGCAGAACCACCACCAATACCAGCACGTACATTGAAGCCCATTCATTTAGTTAATAACAATAATCAACAACAGCAGCAGGAACAACAACAGGAACTACAACGGCAGTCTCCAGCAGTGATCACAAATCGAACGTACGAATTGGAAAAAGCAGTTATTCGAAAGAAATTTGATGTCAATACTGTCAATGATATGATCAATCGTACTGACTACAATATAGGTCCATCCGCAGCACATCGTCATCCATCGGCGAGACACTTCGTTGGTAAATTGAATAGCGATGATTCGTCAATACAATCTGCGACTACCAATGGACATAAACGATCATCAACAAAAATAACGCCATCAGCTACACCAGTTCGTTCAGCATCGGCATTGCCGAGTATCGAAAAGCCCCGCTCGGTCGTTGCCGACACAAATGCTTTAGTCAAACAAATACAAACATCTTTAAGTCGCAATTCCTTGCATGATTCGCAAGTTCAACCGAAACCTCTCTCAACATCGTCAAAAGACTTACGTGCATTCGTCTCATCGACCTACTCTCCAACAGGCGAAAATACGATTGATGACGACGGTACTGTTCATAAACGACCACCAACGACTAATAACGACGAACAAGTTTTCAAAAGACAAGCACGTCTATCGAAAAGTTTCCACAATGTATCTGAATACAACAGTGCAGATCAATCTCCTGCGAATGATCATAGTGCAACACTAAAACCACAACCATCAAAATCTGTGGAGAATAACCTTGATCAGGTGACTCATACTCAAACAAAACAAAAACACGTACCACTAAATTTGACATCCGTGGTGACAAGTACTTCATTTTCAGCATTACCCAATGGCGATGAGAATGCTCGATTATTGGTAAGTGATAGCACTTAGTATTATTTATAGTTGATTGATAGTAAGAGTATTCGACATCTCGACGAAGTATTTTCTTATCATAGCACAAAGGAATGTTTTCTTTCCTCTTTCATTATTCCTCCTATTTCTCGGAAAATAACATTCACTTTTGAATTTCTAGTCCATGAAATGGTATACGGGACAAGTGAGTGAAAATTCCGAGATCTGTTATAATCACACAAATCACTCGGATGGTCATGATCTACTTGCTGGCTATATATCTGCACATAGTAATCAGGAGACAAAAAAACTGTTTGCTCGTCTTCAAGCATCGAATGATGCTCGTATACATGCCGCACTTGATGATATTCGATCCCGTGTTGCTCAATTTGACGCATCGAAAACTCAAGGAGATGTTCAAGTATTTATGCGTTATCTTGAATCTCGACTACGTGATTTAAACACAAAAAAAACTCTGCACAAGTCAATAGTGAACGGCGCTGTTATCAATGGTCAACCTTTAGATAATATTTCAACGAAAAGTCGAACTAGTTCAACAAGTACCAATGTTAACAAAGATAATTCAACGTCACGGCAACTCGGTCGACAGCACATTCGATCATCTAGTAGCATGGGAGGAGGTAGTAATACAAGAATGAATGGTCATCAAACTACTCCTCCACGACGATTGAGCCAGTCAAGTACTACTCCAGGTAAAAACGACAAATACAATTGAATACGAGTTTTTCAATGTTTTCTTTCGATCTTTAGAAAGTCCAGCAGTTCTTGATGAGATGCTGAATACAGTCTTAGGCCTTCCGAAAAAAGGAGTATCAGCCTTGCCTCAAACGTTTCCGACGAAACGAGAAAAACCTACTCCTTTGATTCAACCGCAAATCACAGCATGCACAACAACAACGAATAAAAATGGACGAGACATAGGCAAACGTTTATTCGAAAGCGGAACATACAAAGATCCTCGTCTGCTCTATGATGTACGTATTTCCACATCATCAATAAAGTATTTTCAATATTAGAATTCTTCTACTTTTAGGGACCGAAACGAAAAGAGAAAGAGGAAGAACCTCTTGAAACATCCGTGTGATAGATGGAAACGATCATCTGTGTAATTCAACTGTTTCTCTTTCTCTACTGTGATACGAAAAAAAAAGCATAAGAAGCAAACATTCTTGCCGACAACATTTGAGATTCTATTCACAGAGAATGACTCTGTGTACGTTTTAACTCGGTGTTTTTACTTTCTGTATAGACATGATGTTCTTCGAAATCCGAGCCAACTTAGAGTTCTTCACTGGCTAATTATTTTTTCTCCTTAATGCATCATTCGTTTTTCTTCTTCTTTTTCTTTCTCTTCTTTTTAGTATCGAAGTTCAATATGCAAATTCCACAATCTTAATTTGTACAATTTCTTGCTTTCTTTTTGCTTATTCTTTTCCGCGCGAGCGCTTGTGCATGCTTTATTCTGATGATCTGTTAGCTATTATATTTGTCTTGAAAGCTTTATTGCTGTTTGTGTACAATTTTAGTGTTCATGTGGAGAATCTTGTCTTTTTTCTCTTTTGTCTCTTTTTTTTTCTTTTGCTACAAATCAAAAATATCATGTTGAATTTCAATAAGCAGAATTGATGACCTCTTCCAAACAAATTTCGTTACAATAGACCTCGATTCGATTGATTGATAATGACAAACGCATTTTCTCTCTGGATTTATAATCGACATGCAGACGGGCTTTGCTCTAGGCTATTCAAGTACATCAAAGTTTATGTAGATCAAATGGAGAACTAAAACTGTTTTCGAGAATGTCAATAACATTTCATGGTCTTGTATAAATCAATTATCGAGTCTAAAGTTCACTTAACTTGCTGATCAAACGAGCTCAGAATCCATTTGCATATGTAATCAGTGTCGAAGAGTCTCAGTATGAATTAGTTTTGTACACAAATTTGTTTCTTTATTACATTGATTGAACTAACAATTAGTTATGATAAGAATAAATAAATAAATAAAGAGAATTTTAATGCGTAGGTGGCATGGGGTTTTGTCGTAAGAGATCCATGACTGTTCCTGGCGTGATATGAATGACTGAGTCGTCCGATACAGGTATCGATGCTGCGTTCTGTCGTCCATAGACACGCGTTTTTGACAATTCATCTAAAAGAATGCTCAAGTCGAAAGTGTTGGAAAGGCAATGTCTCATTCGACATACCTTCGTGTTGTGCTTGTTTTCGTTCTTCTTCAGTTAAATTTTCTTCGTCGCGATGAATTAACAGTGAATCGTGTTCACGGTATGAAACAATCAGCTCAGCATATTCATCCATCAGCTTTCTCAGAACTTTGTCTTTTACCCTCTCAGCGTCGTATTTGTCTAGAGGATCGTTATCCACATCTGTTTCAAATCGATAGAGTTGAGCAAGTTCATCGTTGGTAAAATGTCGATCGAGCTGTTTAGCGTCAACAACTCGCTGTGACATTGCTTGTTTCGTTATTTGCCGTTTGTAGATCTTCTCTTCCATCGTACCTTTACCAATGATACCTACCATGATACAAAGACCAGGCGTTTCATTGTTTCCAAAAAATTATCGTTCGACACTTACGATAGACATAAACAGGTTTCTTCTGTCCAAGCCGATATGATCGAAACATTGCTTGAAGATCATGAGCTAAACAAGCGATTTTCTAAATAACCGATAGATAAATCTAAGTTGTACCTGGATTCCAGCTAACATCGAAAATAATAACGCGATTAGCTGAATAGAGATTGATACCAATGCCACCAGCCATTGTAGAGATAAGAAATAGACGAGCACGACTATTCTCAGGTTCATTGAACAATTTAATCTCAGCTGATCGTTGTTTAATTGGTACTTTGCCTAGAGTTCACTTATGTGCTCTTCAATCATGATTAGAGTAAACGTTCTTACCATCCATGCGGAAGTAATCCACACCTTTGACCCATTTAGGTGATGGTGCTCGGGAACTCCATCGTTCAAGCCATTGTTCAATGTAATCAAGTGCAAGAATACTTCGAGTAAATACCAATAATTTATCACCGATAGCTTCACATTCATGAAGAATTGCACGAAACAATTCAAATTTGCCTGATAATTCGATCTAAATAAAAACCAAACTCGAGAGAGAAACTCTTTCATCATGATGGAACTCACATCGAATTGCGATTTATTGACATCAAACATATCGTACCACCATTCCTTTTTCATTGCCTTTTCGACCACCTCCGCTCTATTCAAACTCTTGGAATCATCATCGTCGCTATCTCCATTTTGAAAATATTTGCTAATTTTCTGTTGGGGAATCGTGGCAGCCATACCCTAAAACGAACTTTGTTTCGCTTTCTATCATGAGAGAATGACTTACACGTGGTAACATTTTAGTTGTATTTCTTGGTTTGATGCGCTTCGGCGTTTTCGTTCCTCCTTCATCATCGATCTCATCGGGATCATCATTAAAAAACTGATCCGTCTCGACTTGGTCTTGCCCTTTTAAATATTTATAAAAGCCATCAATATAATGCGGCTTCAATAGCCATGGATGCTGTCAAATCGAGTTGCAATAAGTGAAAAACGCTATGATACAAAGGTAAATGACTTACTGTCCAGATCTTCATTAGATATTGATAATCACCGAGCAGTTTAGCCATGTCTAAACATAGATTGATTTCTATGAGGTTTTGTTGGTAAACATAATAGACTTACTGAGTCGAGCTGTTGGATCAATATCTTGAATTAACAAATATGTTCGATATAGTTCTTGCTGTATTGGCGTACATTTGATTTTTACAGCTGAATAAAGTCCAAAACATGTATATGACCTTACATACTACACACTCTTCCATACCGTATTCAAATTTTGGAGGTAAAAACGATCGTAGGACATCGAAATCACGTCGATGAAGTACATTCATTAAACGTTGATTTAGAGCGTATGCTCGACGTCTCATGTAAGCAACATCACCTGGAGAACTATCTTTGTGTTGACCGGCTTCGATTGGTATACGAAAATTACGAGAAAATTCATGTTCACTACCTGAAGAAAGAGATTTCAATCTTAGCTGAACGTGTAAAACAAACCTAACCAAGATAATTTGGTTTACAAAAATTGATCATTGCATAGTATTCTTTGAGATTGTTTTGCATCGGTGTACCAGTCAACACTATACGACGTAATGTACGCACTTCATTCACAACACGAGTTACAGCACTCTTGGGATTTTTACTAGTGATGAACAAGTCAGGTAATTGTTGATTGCAGGAAGATACTCACATCATATGACCTTCATCACAGACGATCAAATCTGGTCCAGGCGATCGAAGATATTTCCCTGAACAAAGAGAAGACAATCGTAATAAGGATAGATTTCCAGAAGATGTCCAACGTACGATATTTTTCAATATTAGCTAAATCAGCTTTTGCTTTAGTGGTTTTTCTCATCCAGCCCTGATCGTCACTATCACTTGACGAGTCGTTGCCGCTATTGTCAGTTGATTTTGGTTTTTTCTTTGTCTTTTTGCGTGGTGTTTTAGCTGTAGCATCTGACGCATAACTCAATAAACGATACATTTCATAGCCCATAATCAAAATACCACCGCCTTCATGCCACTAAACATTGGAAAAAAAGTCAATCACCATTAGTTAATAAATATCGACATACACGACGAAGAAAAGAAAGGCGATCCTTTTTCGCGATATCATCAGCACTGAACAAATAAACATCGATACGCGGTTCTAAACTTCCGATCCATTGTCGAAATTCATTTCTCCAACTACAATAGAGACGTTGTTTTTAGTCAAACAGAATATTCCAATTTGAATTCATACTTGTTCGCTGTATTTAATGGGCATAGAATCAACACACGATGAATATGTGTCAATTGTTTGTAACGAAATAATGTATGAATCAATGTAATTGTAGTGAATGTTTTACCCAAACCCATACAATGTGCGAGAATAGCTCCGGAGCCTCCTCGATCTACTTTTGTTTCTTTATCAATACTGGCAGCAATACTAGCTGTTGATTCAAACACTTGACTCCACAGAAATCGAACACCTTCCACTGAAAAGTAAACACATCAATCCTTATCACATTGGATACGATCTCATTGATTACCCTGATGTTTCTTCATATATTGAACAAGCATTAGATCGACTTCGATCACAATTTCGTTTGTACTTGGATCGGTTTCTAAAACTAATTCGAATGCGACTGGCCGTTGTTTTTGTTCGTGTGCAGCAAGAATAGTTCCATTATATTCCTTTTGCTTCTGTAGACGTTCTAAACTTGCTGCTGCTTCACGCTCTTGTTGGTCTTTGATACGTTTATCCCGTTCAGTTTGTTCTCGCATCGCTCTTTTGGTTTCTTCATCCAAATCATGATCGGCTATTTCAGCTGCGAGAACAATAATAACTCATTATAATTGAAATATTCACGTGCATAGCAAACTTACGTCGATGGACAACTTTCTTTTTGACGAGTTCCACTGGTTTTTTAGCCTCTTTCTTCTTCTTCTTCTCCTTTCTATCTTTCACTTCTTCTTCGTCTTCTTCTTCATCTTCATCTTCGATAATAATTGTATCGTCAGAATCGGTTGAAACAACTGTTTTAGCTGGTTTCCTTCGTAATGTCCGTTTGAGAGGTACGATGAGTTCATCATCAGTGTCGGTCATCTTTGCCTTTCTATTCAACGATTGATTTGATGCTGATGACGATGGTGTTGCGGACGTTGTCAAGCGTGTTCGCTTCTTTACTGTATTATGAATTGTATACCTAAATGATCGGTATAGATAGACGCTCAGACAGTACCAGATAGTCTTTACCAAGGTGTATCAGACTCGTTACCCGTGTCCGGATTGATATCAGAATGTTTTCTAAAACAAAAATGAAGACATGTCCATTAATAGCATTTTCTTCTCACCGCTTTTTGGCAAGTTTTTTTAGTCTAGAATCATCGATGGGAGTGCGAGGTGATAGATGTCTTTGAAGACGTTCTGGAGAGTGTAGCGGCATAATGACAACGGAATTTATTTAAAAAAAGAATAATTAACAAATCATTCGCTGTACGTAGCTTTTGTACGAACAGTGACGCACTGGCGATTTGAAAGAAAACAAATGTTTACATTCGGTAGTGTCTTTTCCTTTCTTCTTTGTTCGTTCTTTTGTTAAATCTTCATATGTAGATAGACAGAATAGAGACATCGCAATGGATATACTTGTGATCTTTTTCAAACAATCATGAAATTACGTTACAATTTTTCTTTTATTAAATGTACTACAGTTATAAAATAAAACAAAGTGCATTATGAATCTTTGGTTTTGATCCACCAAAGAATTTTATTATTCGCAGGCATATCGAATGTCCGTTTCAATTCCATATGATGTTCGTGAGCAATAGCCACCAATTCGTCTATACTTCTTAAGCCCAATCTCGAATCTTTTGCTTGTAAGTGAGCATGAAAGCGTCGATTACTTTCAGGTGTAATTCTTCCGTCGCCAGCCAGTGCATAGGGTCCATAAGTGATGAGACTACCGTTCGGTTTCAATGCTTTATCTGCTACTGAAAACAAACCCTTGGTACATTCAATTGGTGTGATATGAATAAGATTGCAACAGTAAACAAAATCGTACGAATGATCCTTGATTGGATTTGTTGATGAAAGAACGTCGACAGTTAAAGGTGGAAGAATGTTTTTTGTAAATGCATTTACATCATATTCATCAATATGAGCTCGAATGCTTTTAAAGTATGATGAATCGACGTCGGATGGCTGAAATGTCGCTAACGGAAAATGAGCAGCAAAATGTACGATGTGTTGTCCAGCGCCTGATGCGATTTCGAGAACAGAAATAGGTGTTGAATCAGGAATAATATGATTGAGCAAAACTTCTAAGATCGGTTGTTTGTTATTTTCAGCAGCTGGAAAAACAAGTTTATCAGGAAAGGGTTGTTGAGCCTGATCGTTTTCATTGCCACTATTCATTATGTAAACAGTTAGATCTATAAATAGCTTTTGATGGAACAATCACAAGTCAAGAAGTGAGAGAAACACATTTCAAGAAATATGTCCATATTGACTACTAACAAGGACATGTGAAAATTTTCTATTGGTTAACAAATGAGACGTATATGCAGATAGATGATGCTGTTGATTTGATTCAAAGTAAACGAAAAGCGGCGCGGATAAATTTGCTACAGAATTACGAAGTACAGGAAATATTTTGAATAATCTGTAAAGATTAATAATCAAAATGAATGGGATAGCCAAATGCAATGTTTCCAAAAGTGTAACTTATATATTGATTAGATATATATCCGTTGTCATTATGTAAAATGAGTTAGTGCTAATATTGTTGATAAGATTTTTTCTTTTACTTTTATTCTAACGCCACTATTCGACTTCCGTCGCACTGTCAAGGTAAAGTAAATTGTTGCTACGAGATAGAATCTAACCTATATTGTATGTGTGTGTGTGTTCATTCATCTTACATCATTCCGTTTAAGAATAGAAAACATGATCTTCTTCATCGTCAGCGTAATTTTTTGGGCGACGAGGAAAAGAATTGTCGTCTTCGTTGGAAAGAATGAGCACACCGGTTTTGGGGAAGAAGATGAAGTGACGGAAAAGTTATATGAGTAGTAGCAGTGTAGAATGCCTTGTCGTTCGTCTTCATTATCAATTTCTTTGTTAGACGAGCGGAATAAGCATACTCACTGCTACATTCTCTTTCTGTTTTTAATAGTTTACCGACATCGAACATATAAAGACGTTTACCGGCTTTCACCCTCGTTGATTACAGTGACGACATGTCTTTTAGTCAAAAAGAAAGAGCAAGACTTTTTTAGGGAGGGAGAGAACAAGGCAGGAAGATAGTCTTCCGTCCTTTCTACGAAGCTTTCCTCTCCTATATAGCTCAAAATTTTTTCTCTGAAATTGATTCAAGCATCGTTCTATTAGTACGACAGGTCGACGAACATGTCAACCTAAACATGCGGTAAAGCGTCAACAGATTAATAGCGAGAAAAACGAGAGAAAAGTATAGAACGTACCAGGTTTATTCACTCATCACTACGTATTTTCATAGATAATGACAGAGGAACTCCAAGAAATATATGATGATGATGACAAAGAAAGAAAGAGAGAAGAAGAACAGAAAAGGAAAACGTCAAAGAGACTTTTCTTTCTTGCTTCTTTTTTATTATTTCATGCCGAGATTTGTCTTTAGAACTTATGTCGAGTAGATGATCATACATTCTATTTAGAAATGCTTGCTCATTCGTCAAGAGATCGTTCTCGATCACCACACAATACAAGTGAAACGCTAACGATTAAATCAATACAAGAACCAGACCAAGATGATACACCAAATCCAGTTGAATCAAACAACAATAGCAATAGCAATAAAGTCAAGCGAGAAAATGAATCCCAACAACGTATGCGAAGTCTTAAAGTAAGTCTAAGGAAATCTACAAATTGTTTAAATTTGTGTCTTTCCCTTCCCTTAATTAAGACATTCATTCAAACATCAATCAATGAATCAACCTCACTTGGCTCCACGTACGATGAACAAGTGAAAGCATTAGAAACAGCTTGTATCGAAGAATATCGTGATTTATCGCTTGATCGCATTCGACGAATAATTCGCGGTGTGTTAAAAGCACGTAAATCTCATCAACCATCTTCACTGCATCCTCACACAACCAGCCCATTCTTACATCAAGTAGAAACATTTCTTATTACATAAAAACGTCGTATATTTACGTGGATAGGATCATACAAGTGCACTATCTACGACTAACGATCGCTTTAACACAAATGAGAATACTAGCAAAAAGAATCGATCAAATTCAACTTCCAATAATTCAACATCAAAAACAGTAATTGTCTGGGAAAATATTTAAAAAAACTTCATAAATTATATATATTGATAGTCTGATTTGGTTACATCACCAACATCGACGTTATCAGCATTTGATGCTGACTTTCTTCGACATGCTTTTTCGCAACAGTTTCGTCCATCACTTGATCTATCTGCATACTTTTCAGCAGCTGCTGCTTCAAATGGCCCAAATCCGGCATCATCATTGTTCCGTCCAAATTTTTCTCCGTCGAATTTCTTACAATCTTTAACTAACACAACACCATTAGCACCACCACCACCTCCGCTTCCGCCAACGCTTGTTACACCCCATACGCATACGAATGGTTGCTATATCATCAGTTTCTTTGCATACGTTCGATCTAATTGTATGTTTTCGGTTTCATTCTAGGAACAAGTGACTCATTAGTGAATAAATCAGCGAAGCAAATGAAATTATCTGGTTCTGAATCCAATTCTATTAAACTTCTTGTTAATGCCTACCGTGAAGCAGCATCATATCTTTCTCGTTCAGCTGACGAACTTGAACAATTAATCTAATTCAAATATCTCCTATATATATATATACATGTGCATGTATTTCGTTGTCTTTTCATTAAAATACAAACCACAGTTAATATAGTCTGAAATAAAGTTAAATATGATTATTATATATTCACATTACAAAGTTTACGAGCAGGTAAATGTAATGTCGCAATTAATTACGAAACATAGACAAGTTCTTAAAAACGTTAGTCTAGTGATTAAAATTCTCCACAATTTCAATAATAAGGAGAACATGCTCAAGAGATGCATCTATAAACAAAACTGTTGCAGTGTCATACAAGTACGCATGTTTCACTATTGACGAAGTCTCAATTAAACATGTCCACAACTTAGCTCAGTGTTCTAACAGATGGCTGCCTTTATTTTCAGGGATACGATTTCATTCATATGTAGAAAATAAACTACGATTTAATCGATTAGCAAAGTATTCTAATAGCACAATCGTAGCGTCCCATGAGACATAGAAAATGTTTGAAGCTATATAAACTGAGTTAATCGTGTGGTGAACCGAGTAAATCCACACTGATGATAAAGACAATATGAGATCACTTAGAATCTCCTCTTATTGGGACATGAGTACATGGGCCACATCAGAAAGAATTAATCTAATACAAGTGGAACTGTATTTTTATATTTAATCATGTTCCAGTACCTGCGTCTGACTTTTTAATTTGTCATCATGATCTAGTTGATTCATTGTTCTCAGAAGAAGAAGAAGAAGAATCATATATTCCGCATTCTAGCGAGCCTAGCATTAGAAAACCAAAAATGACACAAAAATTTATGGTCAAATGAATTCTGGTACAAGAAACAGAGCTCTATCGATGCGGAGTTCGATTCTGAATTAGATGATGATATTTTTATTGATGAGAAACCGATTAAGAAAATTTGATTTGGATTTTATTCGGCGCAGAGTTTAATTTTGCATCGAATAAGCTGATTTTTATAACATTCTTCTTAAACTTCCAGCTAGAAAGTTTTTTTTTCTAGGGAACCGATTACTCCCTCTAGCTGATACGCCTGTATTTTTGCAAATTTTATTAAAATCCATAATTGATTTTTTGTATGCAGCAAGTTCCATGAATGAAAGGCTTTTTAAACCATCGCCAGCGTATTAGCGAGATTTAAGGTTCTATCAGTAGATTCTGGCATAGTGTATCCTGGTGGTGAGGGTGGTCTACATTAATATGACTCTGTTTTATAACACCGTATTAATATTGACCTGTTTTCATATTCAATAATAGTAAATCCGCAGCTCTGTATTGCATTTTGTTATTCAAGCAACACGTTCATCTAAAAGGAAACTGGTAATAAAATATTTTATAAAAGAGTACCATTATACTTCTTCACTGGCGTGTCTAACCAAAACACAGTTTTGTGTCAAACATCAGTAGAGAGCTGAAAGCAACTTACTGTCATAGGTATATTTCCTCATGGTAGTGTATCAAAGTTGCAAAAGCTGAGAAAGGCTTTACTTATTTTGTACAAAAAAAAGATAAAATTGTTTTCTGTTTTGATTCGAAGAATAAATCAAGTTCAAGGCACGCACGGTTACATTTGATAAATCTACAAATAACCATTTTAAGTCGGATAGATTATATGCCTCGATGCTATATTTCTTCTTTTCGATATCCATGAGCATAGGCTTTTTGCGTGTTTTTCTTTACTCGAAAACATCGAAAAGTGCCACTTTTATATTGCATTTTCACTCACATATTGCTTGCGTGTTGCTTTTTCCTCGGTCTTCGCTTGGTTGTGGAGGCTAGCGTAAAAATGGATGAGAATTGAATAAACCTAGAATCACACGCTGATCCGTACTTTTCGCCCTCACGGTCAAGAGACAATCTCCAGTTAAAACTGTGCCTTCAAGATGAAGAATTACTGTCAAAAGATCATCGTATTGAACTCAACAGATGTCAGACTACTGCGAGAAAAGCTTTGTCTAATATCCATATCCATAGTTTAATCAACCAATCAGAACTTTCTTTCTCTTAAACTATATTCTTACTAAAATCTATTTTTATTTTTTATTCAACTCGATTTCATTTGGTACTTGTTTATTTTGTCCATATTGATATAGTTGATAAAAACTAGCATGGCTATGATTCAACGTCGATTATTGAAAGTAATTTCAAGAAGGAAAACAATCAAGATATAGACTTATCTTGCCTTTTTCTATAGGAATTCAACGCTGCAAAAGAAAATTCCGCACAAATTAATAAACTAGAACCAAAAGGCAGCGATAGTAAGTGTAACGGACACTTTCCACCATTTCTTGTTTCGACTATCAATCATCTATTTCAGTATTACAGTTGGAAGCTAAAATTGTTGGGCCAGTCAGTAGAATAAATCTCATCGTAGTTTCTATATATTAACTATCTGTTTTTATTTTCTTCCTATAGGATAATTCGCCATATGCTAATCATATTTTCACGCTTGATATTACTATGCCGACAGATTTTCCATTTAAACCGCCTAAAGTACTTTGTTCTCTACTGGCGAATGATTCATTCGAATGGACTTTGCTATCTTTAGGTTAAATTCGCGACACCGGTGTATCATCCATCAATCAAAGATGATGGAAGCATCTGTAAGCGTTGAGAAAAAGAAAAGGATCTATACGATTAGTACTGTTCATCTTGTAGGTCTTGATGTTCTTGGTGAAAAATGGACACCAAATCTGTCGATCGTTACAAGTAAAATGAATTCGATTGAAAAAGATTTCTATGCGTTCGATTTTCATTTATAGTTTTACTTCAAATAATCGAGTTACTGGCGGACCCAAGTACTGAAAGCCCCGTTGTGCCAGTCATAGCGCAACAGATTTTGAAGGATCCTCAAGAATTCTACGAAACAGCACGCAAATACACGGCCGCGCACGCTCAACCTATAACGACCTAAGTTGAGACGAACACTTAGAAAACACGTTCCATCTTTGTTTTGAACATGTTTTCCCAATACAAACTTTATATATACATGTCTATATATTATATATATATATATATATAGAGCACTGTTTCTAGCTATTGAAGTACAATAATACACATGGATGATGACGGGCGTAACCTGATATCGTCTGATGCGATGTGAGCGAAGTAACTATATAGAATCAAGATTTATTATATGATAATCAGCATTATATAAAATACGAGAAATGCGAAGGCTGCTGTTGACAAAGATTCATGACACAAATAAGATCGGTTCAACTTTTATATCATAAACAAATAGAAGAGAGGACTCGGAAAAATAAACTTCAAAAGGCACATCACGGAGAAACCGAGAGATTCAAATTTCGTACGTGTGTTTTCATCAGTTTCATTTAATACATCTTTCATCTACAACTACAATGTTCAGAATTGGTGGCCTCTTCGAAAAAAAAGGGCAAGTAGAGTGTAAGCGCCTTCAGAACGAGCACCATCTATCGGACGACTATCAAACGCATAGAGATAGGTTCTCCTGTTGCAGCGTATTCTCCAATTGTTCGTCTCGGTTTGAGAATCCAGAATTTTTCGCTGATTGTTTTCAACCCAGCTATTTTCTTTTGAATAAATATCTACTACAAATTCAGATTATTCAATGTCGTTAACGACGCGTCTACCTCAGACGTTGAAACAGGTTCGACCAGTTCTATCGGCAGATCATGGGGAAGCAAAAAGACGTGTTTTAAATCTGTATAAAATTTGGCTTCGTCAAATTCCTTACATTCGCGTTGATTACATCAAAAACAACTGGACAGAAACGCGCTTACGTGATGCGATTAAGGTTTATGAGAAGTTTAACATTGAAATTCAAACTATTTCTTCGTTGTTTTTTTCTTTCAGGAAAATTTCATGCGAAACAAACATGTAACCGATTTGCGTGTTATTGATTTACTTGTCGTTCGTGGCCAAATGGATTTTGTTGAGACGGCTGAAATTTGGCGACAACAACATAATACAGCTACTATGGACCGCAAAAAGGACACATATAAGAAAAAGCCCGTTGGTTTTCTCGAACGTTTTTATGAAGGCCATTGAAATTCGGAATAAATCTTTTTCTTCTCCTCCCTCCCCATCTGTATTTACCATATGATTAGTTCCTTTTCTTCGGAGTTTTAGATGCCATCATTTGAAGAAACATTAACATGCCCTGTTTGTCTGGATCTTTTCGATGATCCACGTTTATTACCATGTTCGCATACATTTTGTTGTAAATGTCTTCGTTCAACAGTAAATAATCATTCATTTGTCACCTGTCCTCTCTGTCGATCACGTTTCCTTGGACAAATTCTACCTGTTAATCGTATCGTATCAACACTTGTCGAACAAATTCGACAAGACAAATCAGATGCCAATCGATCGTTTCAGATCAGCGCTAAATGTTACGATTGTAAATCGTATCAAAAATTGGATGTTTGCTATCATTGCGACACATTACTATGCAACAAATGTCATCATAAACATGAAATCGATTGGAAAAATCGTGACTACAGAACAAATAACTTGCTTTTATCAAAAGGTAAGTCTGTTATTTTGACATAATTGAAGTTGAACGATACTCTTTTAGTGACTTGGTTGAAATTTCAAATTAACTTCAAATTGCGTCATGAGAAACATTGTCATCTGAACGAAAAATTAACTGAACTTGAATGTCAAATCAAGAGTCATCGGCATCCTTTGAATCGTCAGCAATATCAAGAGAATAAACATCGATCAAAAGCAATTGTCGATGAGTTACACCATATTGATAAGCAATTAAAAGAAAGAATTCTTCAACGTGTCACTGTTCAATCACCAATCTGTACTACACCACTTTCGGCTGCTAGTAGTGGCTACAGCTCAGATATGAATTAGATATGAATGATACTTTTTGATTTCTTTCTCTCTGTGCACATATTTCAATGTTCATACTTGTTTGTGACTATTTTTTACATGTCAGATATTGTTTATACTCTCTGTCGTGAAGACAAAAGCATCTGTTTGCCTTGCACTCAGTTTTTTTATTATTGAACAAAAAAATAGAACATTTGAGGAAGTTGAAGTTTCTGTTGGCCAGTTGAATATTACTAGAAGAGCCACGAATATGAAATGATTTACGAACTAAGAAGATGAAACTTACAGGTTGATCGATATCATTGATTTTCGAAATGAGCTCAGCCTTTTCTCTACCCCATGCAGCTGCATTTTCTTGAAACTGAAAAGAAAGTATTATTCAGGTGGTATCAATGGATTTTCACTACTTACTCGAGCCTTGAGATTAGCCAGCTCTTGTTGATAAGTTAAGTTTTGTCGAACAAGATCCTCGCGTTGTTTTAGCAAAGCTTCGCGCTGTCGAGTGGCTTCATCTCGTTGTCGAGCAAGTTCTTCTCGTCGTCTGGCATCGTCAACTTGTGTTGTTGTTGTTGTTGTGACTTCAGTTGTTTTTTTTCCTGCGACAGTACCAACTTTACGGTCTTTCTACAAGAGAAAGGTAAGAATTTTCTTTTGAAAACCATTAATTTCTGAGAGATTATTGTTAGTTGCAAACACGTTAGGCTAAGTCAAACTCTTACGTGAATTGGGCATCGGTGATCATGAACGTGATGATGATGACCATGTGTATGCAAAGACTGGTCATTAGATTGAGTCTTATCGTCAACTATCACACGAGTTTCTACTACAGGCCTCTCGACTACGACAGGCCGTTCGACTACGACTGGCCGTTCGACTACTACTTGACGCTCAATGATTCGTGCCTGATCGTCAGTGCGATATTGCCTATTCTCTGAACTAATCGTTGCATGTTCTGTCAAGAAAAGCTTATCGGTATCATTCAGTAGACCTAAATATAGACAAGAAGTCTATCGTTACAAAACTTCTCATGATTATCGATGCACCTCTTGCACGTCTTTGATTCATATAATTGGTAATCATTGATTCCAATTTTTCGATGACAATTTCTTGATGTCGAACCGTTTCTTCGAGTCCATCAGCTTTACCTAATCGTTCCCTCATCAATCGTAATTCAATTTCACGTGCTTGCATGGTTTTCACTAAGACCTCATATTGATCACGTAATTCGCCTTTCTAAAAGAAAATTGTACGACTTTTTCACCAACGATACATTTCGTTTTAAACTTACTCGAGCGATTTCTTTTTCGTAACTACTAATTTTACCATAATTCTCCTTTAATTCAAGCTGTTGCGCAGATATTTTCGCTGATAAACGATCTGCAAGAAAAACAAATTCAACCACTGTCAAGAAAGAATAACTTGAAGTGATACTCACTAAAGATATCTCGTATTTTCTCTTTGTCCAACTTATCCCCTTCGAAAATTTCATACAAAACTTTTTTCTTTTTATCAAAATTTTCGATTCGCATTTTTAAATCTTGATTCGCTGCGTTAATCAGTCCTAACTGTTGTCGTAGCTGTGTTACATCTTGAATAACACGTCGAATAGCTTGTTGATAATTCGCAACTTCACGTTGAAAATAATCGAACCAGCCATCAACATCGTCATCACGACGTGGAGGATAATTGGTTGGGATCATCGCACGATATTCGGTTGGGATATCGTTCATATCGTAGATGTTGATGCGTGGCACATGAAAACGACCACCCTGTAAAAGTTCAACCATACATTGAAGGAATAAATTACTAAAAATAGTTTACTTCTCCTTTGTCAATAAGTTGCATCGATGGCAGAACCTATTATGAGAAAGAAATGGTTGTATTAGCATCCTATTTCAGTGGAAAACATCTTACTTCAATATGAGTTGGATGATACATTTGAGGAGCAAGCATTGTTTGTGGAACTACCTAAAATTTAAAGGAAAATTATTGTTCAATTATCGATTAGCTCAAGAGATGAACACAAAGCTCCACTCACCGGCGAGATTGTCGGCACACCTTGTGGCACTACTTGTTGAGGCATTGTTTGTGGTAAAATGGCTCTATCAGGTACAGTCACTTGCATATAGACAGGTGGAGCACCACCATGTCGAATACCTTCAACATAATATGATGGCAGGATGGGTAAATTACTACCTGTATATGCGACAAGATTCTTTCCCGGATGTCTCTCTGAGACAAGACGAAGCAGCACTTCAGCTGTTAGATACTTAGCAGACTCAGGAGTGAGTTCGCCGTCACTCTCGACCAGCAAACCTTGAAAACAAACAAAATTAAATAAAGATAAATTTATGTTGAGTGAATTATTCACCATCTGTTCGCATTCCTTCTAATGAAGCGGAAGTTGTAAGTGCATCATATGCTCGCGTATCTAAACGAATTCCTACCCATCCAACCAATCCTCGGATTGACCAGTTTGGATTATTGGAAATGGTTCGAAAACCATAGAATTCGATGACAAGTGCAGCATGATTCGAAAACATATTATCTTTTTCTTGTTCATGGGAAAACAAATAATTATGCATCCATGTTGGCAATTTTGACTAAAATTTTGATGAATAGAGAAATTCTAATCCTGAATAATGAATGTGTTCCCATACTTCTTTACACGCTAATGATACTTGAGGATAACCGGCATATGAATAATTCGCAACATTAAAATCTTGTGCAGATGGCAAAGTGACTCTTCGAAAATTGACGCCCAACTGTGGATTATCTGGATTCTTTAGGAAATCATGTCTGGAAAGAAGTAGGTCAATGATTTTATTTATTTATTCAGTGATAACGAATAAGAATACAATAGAACGCTTACTTGTACGTTTCATAGTCAGGCACAATCCTTCCAACAGCATAGAGAACTTCAGATTTGGTTAATATTGCTTCGAATCGATTGAGTAAAACTTCCAAGCCGAAATATCGTATATCTTCTTTTGATAATGAACTTTGTTTACGCATTAGAGACACAAATAGACTAGTGGTTTGAGCAGTTTGTTTCAATGTATGTTGCAGATTAAGATGATATTGATAGAATGGTTCCAGCCAACGCCACGGAAAACGATGTTCAGCGATGGTTCTTTGGCGTGGCTCGTCAATAATCAGTATGATAACCTCTGCAGATGCGAAAGAGTTCCATAGTTTTTTCCTATCGTATTTATAAATCTTCAATCTTAATTTTACCTTCAGTATGATTTGAGTCTTCTGATATGTCAGCATAGATCATTTCGTTCCAATGGGGTGAAACGCCTTCGACAACATTCGTAGCATTAATCGTTTCCCCAATATCCTGTGTGGCCATCGTTGATCGACTTTGTCTGAACAGACAAAGCATTAACGTATAAAGAAAGTGAAAGATTTTATTTGAAATTCATTACGCGGTCACGTAACATCGTGGTTGACGACCATCGATCATAGGTAAATTAGCAGCTCCATGAACTAATATATGCAGAAGATCTTTACCACGTTGTGCAACATGTGGAAACAATGCGCCATATTTTGCTACAGCCATCACGGGCGGTAAATCGTGCTGAAAAATTTGTAAAAAAAAAACTTCTCTCGATGTTTGACGTCTTACTTCACAACCGATCAACAGTCAGCAACAATCAACAAAATACACACAATCATCATCTTTTTTCTCCTTTTTTCCCTCATGCATCACGACTTTTTTCTTCTTTTACACTTCTCATGTATTTTTTCTTCCTACTCTTCTCTGATGTTTACTCACGAAACGAAAGAAAAATTTGAAGTTTAAAGTTCCTAACAATTAACCTACGTCAGTTGGAGCTGGTACCGCTACTGGTTCCACTAGAAATTCAACATTTCAATCGATATTCTTATGCGATACTGCTTCTCTACCTGCTATAGACACATTCCGAAAGCTGTAATCCGTTCTATCAGTAGGATGAACGTTCACATTGATTTCACCTGGATCACGAATAGGTAGCATCCTTATTGGATTGAATGTTGGCGTCCGTACTGCCGCTGAGTTCTGATCATAATGAAATATTCAGAAGTTCAAACTCAACAAGCATGGAATTCATTGGCTTCCTCCTTTCTTTTTCGTCTTAATTAAAATTCGGTCATTTCGATAATCAAGAGAAAGAGAACTACTCGTAACACGTTGATCATTACTCTTGAAACTGACTGACTTGTCAATAGCCGAGGTATATTTGTTTTTACTAAATCAATTATTCATACTTCGACAAAAATACGTATTAATTCATCAAAAGTAAATACCAATGTCAAAATTGTTGCCGATTCTTTTTCTGACTATTGATTTGTAAGTGAACAACCGCTTGACGAGGGAATAAATTAGTTTTGTTGTCATATTCATATGAAAAACAGTCTTTAATGTTGATAACAAACGTCTTCTTTCTCGTTGTTTCCTTGATACACATAGAATGAAGAGAAGATAGAGAAAAAAACAAACAAAAGACAAGAAATGAATTTGAAGATCTTATCGCTTCAAGAAAAAAGAGGGGAAAACAAGATGATCGGTGTAGCGCATAAACACATACACAAATAATAAGACGAAAGAAGAAGAAACCATCTATGAGTAAACATAATCGCAAGGGAAAAAAGACACATTTTCATAGTTGTTGCTTTTTTTTTCATAGAAAAAACAAATGAATACAGAAGCTTGACTACACACTTTCTCATTTCATTGAGATTCACTCGTATACCTAAACAAGAAACGGCAATGACACCTGGAAAAACGTTCATTTTGTCCATTACTTTTTCAACTAATCATGTGCATAACCAGGACTTCGACGTCGGCGTTCACCACGTCGAGATCTTGATCGACTGCGAGAACGTGATCTAAATCGATACAGTTGCTAGGAAGAAATGTGTCCCAAAGTCAAAAACAAACCTGGATGAATGATCGTGACGGCGGTGATGATGGCGTCGATGGTAAGATCTTCTATCAGGTGATGGAGAGCGGCGATAACTATGTCCATTAGAACGATGGTAGGAATTCGTACGGACGCCCATATAAATTCCAGGTGCTTGAAACAGAGGAGAAGAAGAAAGATACTTTTAACAGGATAGAATTTTCACAATGTGTTACTTGGTGTATGTGCACGTTTCGTTACCGAATAATCAATACGTAGACGGTGATGATCGAGTTCGACTGCATTCAAAGCTTCTTTTGCCTAAATAAATCTCGTGTGTGTACATTCAGAACGGAGACATCGGGTTTTCGTACGTACTCGTGTAGCACTTTCGACTTCTTCGAAATAGACAAAACCGAATCCTCTGGATTTATTCGTTTTTTTATCAATCACAATCTGAACATCTTTTATGCGGCCAAATTTATGGAAAAGATCTAGAAAAGTAATAAAAGATCTCTGTAGAATTTCGTTTCCTCATGAAACTAACATACCTTTAAGATCGCGCTCCTTTGTGTATTGTGACAGGCCGAATACACCGAGAACAGGGCTTGGAATTGGATTCTCTCGATGGACTTCATTTGGTGGTGGACGACGATCACCAGGTGGACTGCGTTTTGATCGATGATTTGATGGTGAACGAGAACTATTTTAAATAAGGAAAATCTCGAAAATAGTTCGAAAACATCATCTGTCTTTGTCATCGCCCGAACTACTCAATCTACACTCACGAATATAAATGTGCAAAGATGAACTTACTATCTTCTGGGTGAGGGTGATCGACTTGAAGGTGATCGTCGTCGAGATCGACCGCTATCTCGTTCTCGTGAATACTAAATAGGAATCCAAAATAGATTTCTCTTTCCACAAATATCATTTTTCACTTACTCCTCGATCGCTCATGTTGCGCCTATAGAATTCTAATGAGATACGAAAAAGAAAAACAACAAGAAACAAACAAAGACATGTCATTGTAGCGACATGCTGCAATCTGATTGGTCGATTTATTTGAACCTATGAGAAAACGATCATGTGAATTCATTGTGCCCTGACTCATTTAAACAAGAGGCAAAGCAAAAGAGCGCTATCTAGCTTAGCAAAAAAAAAGAGGAGAAAGTTTCATCACGTTCTTCCTGTTTGTTTATTTAGTTTGAAATAATGAAATTTCGCTTGAAATTTCATACATCAACGTATTTAATCAGTCCAGATGATATTAACGACGACTTATCGATCGTGGAGTTGAAAACTAAAATTAAAAAACGGTTTTTATCCTTGAGAAAGTAAGTGTTTATTTTTCTCGAAAAAAAAATTCATTTTGTTCGTTTCAGGTCAAATTTTCATTTATCCGCTAATGGATCAAGTGTCTTAAGTGAAGAAAAAAAATTATCAGAATCCGATCTTCATGTGGGAGATGCTGTATATGTAATCAATGAAACGATGTCTTCATTATCAATGGACCAACCGTTGACATTAGATGAAGTGCGAGATATACACACGTATCCCGTTATAATGCATCGCTTGGTTGAATGTTCACATCCCGAAAATGACTTTGATTTCATTGTTTTGGCGTTGCACGCACTGATGTTGGAAAGTGGATTTCAAACGGTAGGAAAAACTTGATTTGAAGTTTTGTATGTATTTTATTCGTTGTAGGACACCGACAATGACTACGATTTGACGAAAACAAGAAAATCATCGACATTCTATGTTATTCGCTATCGTCATAAATTATGTGAAGAAGAACGTATTCGATGTTCATTAGCAATCATGAAAACTGATTCATTGGTGACTATTGATGGTAAAAGTTCAACTGATTGCTTGAAATATATTACATTATGTCTGTGATTCGTTTCATTCTAGGAGTTGTTAATTCCATTTCACAAGCATGTGGAAAACTATCATTTAACATTGCGAAATATTTGTATACACAAAAGGAAGGTAAAGAAATAGTTTCGTTACATGGATTATTTATTGATTATTTTTTCTTTTCTTCGTTTCTTAAGCAATGGCTCTCGATGCTGTTCTTCCATACCATGATCTACAACATCTTTCTCGATCATTCAAAGATAATCTAGCGAATCGTTTATTGTGTAAACTACTGGAAGGTAATATTTTGTCTTAACAACATTTCCTTTGACATAATTTCTGCTCTCCAGAGTCAGGCCAGCGGTCTAGTGCGACGCTGATTGGATTGCCCAATGAAATTAAAGTATGTCACTTGAATATTTTGTATCTAGATGTAAAAGAAATTGTTTTGTTTATTCTAGCTTCGCCTAGCAAAGTACCTTCCGATAAAATCGCTACTAGCTCTCCAAGCCACATGTCGCGATATTCACAATACATTAAATGACAATCTTCTTTGGCATGATCTCTGTGTTCGTGATTTTGAAAAAGCGGGTAAGAATGTTCATTGCGAAAGAAAAGCATGCATGTTGTTCATTCATACTTAGCACTAGTGTCAATTCCTCAAACATCGGATAATGCAGCAAATGAAAAAAATTGGCAGAAACTTTATCGAATAATGTATGCTCAAAAACAACCAACGCCTCGTCATCAAATCAAATCATCTCCATTTTTTCATCCGACATTATTCTCATTCTTTCCACCGAATCATCCCACACATCGATTACTCTTTCCAGATACCTCACCTCCGTTTCATCCGTTTTCTCCCGCAATCTACCGGCCGATTCCACCAGGCATTTTTCGTAAGTAGACTTTTGTCAGAAGTAAGACAGCTAATCGACGTTCAATGTTCGAAGGGATCTGTACAGCAAATACTCAACAAGCTCAATCACCTCAACCGCAACAAGCTCAACATCATATCTACTGTCAACCATTTTTTGGCTTAAAATGGGTTGTGATTTTCGCAGGTAAGTCTTCTGTATTTGAGTATAAAAAAGAAAATACCGTTTGTTTTTCATATCAAAGCGGCTACAATGATTCCAATCCCACCATGTTTTCATCCTGTTTGGCTTGGCTAAAAAATTCTTCTTATTCTCATTTAACCACAATCGTTAGATTTTCACATATATACATATATATTTTGTGTTGCAATGTATATAGACATACTACGGTCTCTCTAGTGCATCTCACCCATTATAATCGTTTTCTTCTTCTTTGTTTCGATGTGTAATTACGGTGTGTGTTGTTATTGAACATTTTCTTGTGCGTGTGTGTTATTACTAGTGATCTGCAACTCCTCTACTCTCTCTCTCTCTCTCTTTACTTTTGTTTATTTGTTTGTTTTATCTTTCTCTTAATGAATAAGAGAAGATAGTAGTTGATGTGCTTTTTATTATTGTATCAGTGTGAAATAGTAATTTTTTGGAAAAAGCAAAATTAACAAAAAATAATTCTAGCATGAAGCTCTCATACATTACATATATATCCTTCTCTGCGTCGGGCATCATTTAGCTTCCAAAATCATTTACGGGTGTTGTGTTTCTATCTCTGCCTATCTAGCATTCTGTCGAACATTGATTTGTATTGTTTGTTTTCTCTCTATCTCTTGCACACATTCACTCTCTATGATATTTGTATTAACGTATGCTTAGATAGCAATACTTATCCGAAAAAAAAAACGTTGATTTCGTTTCGTTTTGTAGACGTGCGTGCTATATATTTCTTTCAAACATACATTCAAGCATATAATAACCAACTTGAGCGTTTTCATGTATACCCGTTCGTTTATTATATTAAATAACATATACATATATATATAATCAACGTTGTTTCTTTTTTAGATACGTTCATTCCAAAATGTCATCTTTCGCGCCGAACGATGTACTTTTGGATATTGAAAAATTGGAAACAATGTTAACCAATAGTAGCAGCAGTAGTTGTGATTCGTCATCGTTTAATTGTCCATCGTTGTCGCCAACTTCCCGCTCATTAACTGCAACCGCACGGTTTACCGGTTCATCGAAAGTTTATTTAAGAAATTTAAATAAATTGCTAGCAGATATTGAGCAAAAACAGAAGATTCTATCAGTGGGAGGCGGATCAGTACTTAAACGCTTGCGTCCATTAGATTCGTCGTCATCGGCACGGCCATTGACATTTACCTCGTTATTTTCCCGACCTTCAGTTAAATGTGTGTCCAATAATCGATTGGAGCCTAAAACAATTTCCTTTGCTCAACTTATAACACAAAATTCGTCGTTTTCTATGGCTTATTCCAACCATCAGTCTGAATATGGTTGTGCGAGATTAAACGAAAAGATGTGGGTTGTTCATTGCCGAGAACAATTGACTAAAGCTGTCAATGACGAAATATACGAATCGGGAAGAGCAGAGGTAAGTCACAAAATTCTTAAAAGATATTGTCTAGTTTATTTCCTTTTCTCTCCGCACTGTTAGAATGAAGTCGATTGGAATCATATATCGAATTATCGTCTTGATAATAAATGGTCATCGAAAGTATGTCAAAATGCCTGGATACAACTTTGTAATCCTCGAATAAATCAATCGAAATGGGCAGTTAAAGAAGAACGTCGATTAATATCTATCGTCGAACGTGAACCATTAAGTGCTAATCGGTGGCCATCGATTGCAAAGGAATTAGGAACGGATCGAAGTGCGTATCTCTGTGCAAAACGTTATATGCAGGTAAAAAGATCGAAATCTTTCATACTTCGTTTTCTAGAGTGAGAGCTCGTACAGAACACGTCTTTTCTTACCAATCAAATAGCCACCAAAAAAAAACACTTAAAGTAATTGTATATATATATACACATAACCATATAAATCTCTTGGTTGATGAGAAAGAAGAACAAGTAGGCTATATATATACACCAATATATATGCATATATGTGTCATCATTTGTTTTCTTCAGCTTGTCCGTGTGGGAAAAGAAAGTAGGTAGAGAAATATTTTCATTCCTGTCCATAAGTAAGTTGGATTCGTAAGACAAACACAAAAGTATATTCAACTGAGCTTTTCTCGGTAGTCTTCGCGTTTCGATTGGTTCTACAAAGCGCTTTTAAACAGACATGTCGATTTTAAAAGGAGTCCATGTCTCGAATCGAATTTGAAAGATCGATTACAACTGACAAGTTCATCCTTACGAAAAACAGTAACGTCTCTTTTGAATGCGCACAGTTCGCGTACGTGTTTTTGATAATATCCGAGATAATCCATTTCCAAGACAAGATTCTAAGTAAAACAATGATCGTGCCTTCTAACTACTAACAGCGTTCTTCCTTTTCTTTCTCGTTCAGATAACCAACGAACAATATGCGAAACGACCGTTAGAATCAACTGAGCGTCATCAAATCATATCGACAATTAAAGATGATAAGCAAGGACATTACACGAAATATAATAAACTGGCTTATGAACTCGGTGATCGTACACGAGAATTTATCTACAATCAATGGTTACATATTGATCCATCATGTAAACGCGGCCGTTGGTCAGATGATGAACATGCGCAATTACTAACACGTATTAATCAACAAACAGGCACCATCACAAATTGGCCGTTAGTTTCAGCTCCTGTTCGAACACGTTCGTCTCGACAATGTCGAGAACGTGCCCTAGATGCATTAAAGACTGGAAATCGTGCAGTCAAGGAAAAACATCGTCTATTCACAGCTGATGAAGATCGTCTTCTCCTCGAGCAATACGCCATTCATGGTTCCAAATGGTCATTAATAGCAAAAGAATTTTCCTCTCGTACTGATAATTCTCTACTTGTTCGTTACCGTATGTTGATCAAAGCGCAAAAGCAATGGAATTGGTTCTGCCAAATGAATTCACAAATGAAATCTTTTCTTTTATTTCTTTATGATAATCAAAATAATCTTCATGGTAAAACAGTTATAGACAATATCTACTCAATTTACGAAAGTGACATTCGTCAAGATATCGAACAGTTTGGATTTTATCGACGCGGCCTGCCGTTTCCATTAACAGACGAAGAATTTCAATGGTTCAATGACAAACCAAATCTAATCGAGAATATCGCGCAAATTGTCCTAGAAGAATTTTCACAGCAACGTTTATGTTTCCGAAAATTTAAGGTAAGTCAGCAATCTCTCATTACACTCTTGTTCATCTCATTTCTTCTAGGCGGAAATTAAACCATGGTTTACCTCAACAACAGAAGGGAACATATCCGATGATAGTATTCGACAAATGCTCTATCGGACGATCCCAAACTGTCGAAAGCGTAAATCATTAATGTCGTCAACACCGGATAAACGATCAAGAATCGATCATGATCATGATGATGAAACCATCGATTGTAAACAAGAACCTATAGTTCCTCCATTGACATCCATACTTTCCACAACATCTCGTCATATTTTACGACCGGTACCGAATCAGTTTTTTACTTCACAATCGACGACAAAACTATCTGTGACCAATAGTAGCACACATTTTTGTCCATATCTCATTTTAATTCGTGAGAATTCATGAAAGAAAAAAAAAGGTAGCATCAGACGATAACAATTGTTGTATTTGTTTTATTATTGTATAAAAAAAAACGATTATAAAGAAACAAACATATTCTCTAGTAGATATGCATACTGAATACTGACTGAGTGAATCCACTGTAACCTAGAGGCGCTTGCAGCAAATCTCTAAAAATCACTCGCCGGATCATAGATGTTACCATTTGGATACATTCACTAAACATCCGTTGACTGTCTCTACCAATATTTGATTGATTATTTTCTTGATAGTCACGAAAGACTTAGAAAGATGAAAACCAGCATCGGAATTAATCCAAACATTGCCTACAACAAACAATACACGTATAGTCTTTATCATGATGGATCAAACCTTAAATTATCGTCTGTCTAACGCAAAACTTCATACGTGTTAGTGTCCCGCAGCTTGGAAGAAGTCTTTCGCATATCATGGAGATGAATCGATCGATAAAAACACGAGTGTTGCTTTCAAGGATAGATTTTTCTTGGTCAGACTCGATTTTAATAGGATAGCAAATAACATCTCGATGTGTACAAAAAGAAAAAGAAAAAGATTAGTAACTGAAAAAATACATGATTTTCAAACAAGTGTTTCAAGTTGTGTGGTCATCTTTTGATGTAGCATTGTCATTGAATGATGATTACTATCTTCGCTGGTTAAAGAATTGATTCCTGAGTCCTCGTCGATTTCTTTCATTGACGAAAAAGCCAATTCAATTGTATCGTACGACGTTGGTTGTTGAAGACGATGTTCTTCGTTCGGTATTTGTGCTGTTAGATGAAAATTCGGCGTGATGGATCGTGATCGAATCATTGAGTTTGATGAAGTTTCGTATTCTAGGTATTTCAATTCATCGTACTTGATTCCAAGCATAATTTCTGCTTCGCGTAATGATAAATCCAAATCGTGCATTTCTTTTGATTGAATTCGAGATAATTCTCTACTGCGATAAATTGAATTCTTCAACGAAATCAAATCGTTAGGTGAATTCATCGCCGAATCGGATATATTCAATGGTAATGCGTCATACTGTTGTTGTTGGTGTAAAACATGATTCAATTCATTGGAAATAGCCTGTTCAACATTATAGAGAACATTGGTTTTCTCGTTGATGTGTTCTTGAAGGTTAAAAATTGAATTACACAATTGTGTCGCTAGAACTAAATGCTCCTGTTGAGCGGGTTTGTTTGCTAGGAGTTGTGAAACGTCGTTTAGAGTCACGATTGGATTGGATGCCGGAGAAGTTGAATATTTTTCTGCTTGGTGAATTTTCTCGTCGAGGTAATGGAGTAGACGCTTTTGTCGTTCGAGAATGCTCACGTTTTCTTGATAATTTGTTAGAATTTTCTGCTGATTCAACTCGTCTTGATTAGGAGTTTTTGAGGAGAGGAAACGACGAAAAAGTTTCGAACGAATTTTCGTTGTCGAAGTATTGCTATTATTATTAGTAGTAGTAGTCAGTGGGGACGTTCGAATCAGTTGAAGGACTGTCAATGGTAATTTATCAAATTGCCACGTTTTATGCACTTTGATGACTTTTGTTCGACCTTTGAAGATGCGCTGAGTAGCAACTGATTCGGTCGAGGAAGGAATTGATTGAATACACTCAACGATGGCATAACCTGTGATACTTGTCGATGATGAATTTGCTTGATCGTTTGCTTTGAGTAAATCAGATTGTGCCAGGAGAGCGTAGATAAGATCGTCGAAGGTAGTCTTTTTTGTTATGCCAGTTACCCATTTACGTTTGCCGTATACCCATACAGGTATCTCGAGTGTTAATTCATTAACATCCGATACATTTGATGGATTATTCGGTATCGACATGTTCACTGCGTGTTCTTCTAGAAAGAAAAATTATTGATTAGAGATATCGATTGATTCTTTCTTTCTTTCTTTCTTCTGCTTTTTCCAATTAGATCCGGTCGGGTGATTATCTCAGGAGAAGAATGATCCTTGATAACAAGGTACAATAGACAAAACGAACACTTCGGGGAATATGACTTCGATAGCACGGAACAATAGCAGAAGAATGTTGGAACAACATCTAACCAAGAGACTGACATTCAAAAAATCATTGATGAACAAAAGGATATCGGACAAGGACGAACCGATCGGATCTCATCCTTGTTTATTCATTCAATTTGAGTCATCTTTATCATATTTACATAGAAGAACATTGACACGATAATAAACAAGTAGCTGTGTCAAAGAAAAAGATCGCTAATATAAACTTCTTCGCATTACTTACGATGCTTATTTTCTTTCCCTTATAAAAACCAGCTGCTTGAATACGATGGTGTAATCGTGTGTCACTATTCTTGTTCTCATCAAATCTCTCTAATATAACCTACCTCTCTCTTGTTCTTCTTCTTCAGAGGATGATGAGGGTAGCCATTAGAGCTCCACATTATTCTTGTTTACACTCACTATTATGATGTAATCCCCATCTTTTCTATTTCGCATACAATAACCTACCTCGTCTGTTGATGATGACTAGTAGTCTGTTACTGAATTACTGCAGACAGACATACTTCGTTTTTTCTTCTATTTCGACCAATACAACTCCTCTTTCGCCAATATCGCTCATTCATACGAACTGTATGTATGTACGAACGAGTGAATGAATGAATGAGACTAACAGTCATGTACGTACATATCGTACTCATTTTCTCTTCTTCTTCATCTTACGTCCGTTCGTATACATATTATGAACATGTCCCGCTTGCTGCTCGCCGGTTAGACAGAGAGGTGAACAAATGCATACATTTCTTCTCCCGTTTTTTTTTTTGGTCTTTCTAGGTCACTCTCTTTTTACTATGCTTCAATGAATCGTTATGTCAAAATTTGAAAAAATGAATAAAATTGCATTTATATACAGTCCGAAGTGATGCATTTTCAAGTGTTGAGAAAAAGGGACGAGAGCAGAGAGAATTTTTTATTCATGTCATTCACCTAATCATCGTCTGATGCACTTGAATATAATTGCTAACGTTTGCGTAATACGTGCAGGCCTGAGACGCGATTAAAAGCCAATGCATACTCAAGATCGAGGAATAAATGACTTTATAGATGAGTTGAATCCACAAAAGCGCACGGAATCTATTCGATATTAAAATGATAATCAAACCGAAAGAGAATCGATGTAATCAGCGCATGTGTCCAACTGATGATAAAAGAAATGAATACATATGTTCCTATTCAATCATTAATTTTAACATCTCGGAATTGTTTATCTTACTAACATGTACGTGTGCGCCAAGAATAACGAAGAGAGCTGCTCAGAAACAACAACAAAAAAAACGACACGACTTGACGAATGGAAGGTTCATGGCTATCAGAGATGAATAATTGAAACTGTCAAACATATAAAAAGATAATTACTTCTTATATATCTATCATGGATGATACAGAGTATTCTTTACATTTGATGTCTAGTAATCTCTTCTGTTGCTCAAAGATAGAATAGATATGTCTTCATTGAATATCAATGGTTTCTTTCTTCTCTCGTTCACAAACACATGTAGACAGTAGATCGATATTCAATTACATCATCAAAAGAAAAACGGCCTTGGACTCCCTACACTTCAGTATTCTTTAACAAGATTATATCTTCTATAACAATAAAAAATTGTTTCTACTCTCGAAGGAGATCAATGAAATAGTGTATGCAAGTAAATCAGGTGATGGTCATAGCAGTCGAATGAGAAGAGAAAAAAGAACGAACGAAATATCAATCAGATGTCCTCGATCGAACTATACTTTTACATCATCATCACATGCATACAAAAGACAAACTCGAAAAACTTACCGTATCCGCGTACGCATTGCCTGATCATACTGGTTACTCAAATCTAACGAATATCAAGTTCTACAGATATCTACTTCTCTTCTTTCGATGAGCAGATGGAATAGTCAGTAAATAATAACAAATGCCGGCATCTCCTTTTCCTTACATTTACGTGATAATTATACAGAAATATCACAGGAATGGACTAAATTTAAGAGGGAGAGAAAGAAATAGTTATCTCTACCCAGCATGCTTTGTCAAGTACATTTAATGTGTTGATTAGCCTGATAGACGTGTAAACATATGTACGATCCTCACAGTGCTACCTCGATGACCATGAACTTATTGTGCGCTGGAATTATTCTGATCTGCGATAATGGGGGAAGAAGCTGCTTGAAAAGATTTCTATTTTTCAGTATTTCAATGAGTAAAACAATGTGGAAATTTTACGTACGTTGACACGCTTTTTGTCTAGACGATCGATCGAAAAGTTAAACAACGACACTTGCATAAGGATTATTAACAACGAAAAAAGTAAAATTGAACTAGAAAACTTACATTCAGTTGCTGCTCGTTGATCGAAACTGTTATTGATAGTGAAGATATAGTTACACTGCTTTTCTTTTCTCTCGTCTTTTGTCCTGGCAACTGTTATCCGATTCTTTATACCAGAGGGAAAGAAGATCATTCGTTGTCCATAAATAGTGGCAGTAGTGATACAGATAATGATCAAGAGTGTATTTCTATCTCTCGTATTCACTTTCTGTGCATTCTCGAGGGAGATCAAAAGAGAGAAAGAAAAGCAGAACTCTCACCTTGACGTTAAAAGGTCTAAACACGCGAGGATGATGACGAAGAAGAATGGCTAGTTGTATATGGTACAACACGTCTTTTGATGCTAAACAATTATCTTATTGTCATTTGTGTTTCTCTACTGGACTTCCTCTCTCCTATCTTTCATTGATCGATTGCAGACATGCTTGCTTTTCTTCTTCTACTTTATTCACTATTTCATTTTAGTAAAATAGGTGTACAGAGAAAAGACATGACCGCAGAGCGCGACAAAGCGCGCATATATCGGCGCTCTTTTCTTTCTTTTTTTTACACCCGCCCACTTCTTTCTTTCTCTATTTCTCTCCATGTTTTGTGCGGTGGTGAACTTGGCAGATGACTATGAAAATTGAAATTGTTTTTCTTTAGAGAAGAACGAGAAATGACCGTTTCATTGACCAACGGTTAAACTTGACAAGTGATCGTAGACAGGAAAGACTACTTGTTGTTTTTTTTTTGGATATGAAGAAAAAGGTGAAAGCTTACCATTTGATAATTGAAAACTAATCAATAATGTTCTAAGCGTAGATGAAAAGACGAGATTGTACTGTATCGATCAGTGAATATACGATGTTATTGATTAGAATAAGTCACGAAAAGATGATCATTGCCGATAAAGATTAACAATGCAATATCTATAGGGGACACATTATGTACGTATGAGAACGAGTTTTCTTTTTCTTCTTATTAGTACATAAGACTGAAGGGAATGTTTATGGATGTTTTTCTCTCATTCAATGCTCTAATGCAAAGAGGAAGGTCAACCTAACGTTGGTAATAATACACTTGGACATCAAGTGGAGATTAAGCGCTTCTTCGGGAGTACCTGACTTCGAGCATCTGCTTAGATAATTGAAGATGACTAATTTGATTCCGGCGTGAAGGCATCCTTCATGGTTTACTATACATGTAAATCACAAGTATCAGATGAGAACATTGACGTCGAGCGAATAAACATATGGAAAAATAGAGAAATCTGTCTGTTCACCTTGAATTAGATTGCTGTCGCTAACTGGAAGAATATCACTCCAGTACTTTCGTCTTGATATTTAGTTCTTGGAAAATAGGCATCATTTGATTATGTCATCTACACTTGCTCTTTCTAGTAATTAGACAATCGTATATAGAGCAGCTGATGCATTTCACGGCTCTCCTTTTTGACATGCTTATGTGGCATCTTCTTTTTTGTTCAATGAACTCATTATAAAATGTGATTACAAATTCCTTTTTTTCATAGAGAGAGAAAAGAATTATGGATATGTCACTCTTCTCGATAGAACGTTTCTACGATTCATTTCCATTACACAATGAAGTCGTTGTACACCTGTTGAATGATTTGTGTTATATTAATGAGTTAAATAAAAAGAAGTAGCTGGAATATTATTCGGACAAAATCGAAAAGATTCGATTGTTTACTGCAGTGATGTCTACATAAAACAGAGAGTTCGAAACGTTCGTTTTTGTCAATTGTCTGCGGTGTTAACAATGATCTCGAAGCAATCACAAGATTTCAAGACTGGAAGGTGCGAATGATTTCATCGCTAAAACATTCTATTTACAGTACACCATTTCGATTTCATTCTCCTTCGAGAAAAACGTGTGGACCACCAAGTGCACAAATCTTCTGCTTATACACTCCGCTTGTTGACCGTGTACATTGATTTTGAAAGGTAAATAGAGCACTTATTCAAGACGAGAAAGCGCACTTATTCGCTCAGGGATATTTCTACTATATTGGCTTCGATTGAAATACATTCTTATCAATCGTTCATAAATATAGCCGTGTAAGACAAAACAACCTTTAAGGTCTTTTTTTCTGAGGAAACTTCTCGATTGGGGTTGACGCGTGATTTTTCTATAATTGTAACTTTTCCGTAGTATAGTGATCGATTGCTGAGCGGAGATCTTTTCATGGAAAGTTTTCTTATTAATTTTCTGGCAGATATATTAAATTCGCGTGTCGAACAAAAAGAGAGGAAAATAGGGAGAAGTTTTTTCTTCGTGATTAAAATCTGTCGGACAAATCGATGTGTAAAGAGAAACAAGAAGAATGTTCGAAATCTTTTTTTCCTTCTTCAGCATCCATTTTCTTTCTGCTATCACCATAATATTGACATTGAAACAAAAATGCCTACTAAACAAGTGTGAATTTGATGTCCGAAAGAATGAGAAAGATGAAGGTGTTTGTTATTCTTGTCAACACAAATACATATAAGAGGTAGAAGAGGAAAGAAAATGCAAATAGACGTTAGTTTTTCTCTCATATGTAAAAACATTTGACAATTGATCAATTCAGTTGGATTCGTTTGCTATTTTTCTTCTCTATCTTAAGACTGCAAATAATATTGTACACCTTACACGCGTACTTTATTATCGATCGGCTGCAAATATTTCTATGGCGATAAACGACGATCTACCTTCTGCCAAGCCAGTAACGACGGTCAATGTTTCATCATCTTCCTCAACATCATCATCATCTCCCTCGTTATATCGCCGTCGATGCTCACTGCAAGTGGCAACAAGTAATAGTGCGACCTTCATTCAATTTCCTAACAGTGCGCGTCAGTCGCTATCATTCATTCCGGTCTGTCGACCACGAACAAGTCACTCTTCGATGCGTGTACCCTCGCAAACAACGGACACTCAATCGCTATCAAATCAATCGAAATTATCAGCTAATGCCCCATCGTCTAGTAATATTAGCGATGAACATAAACGTAGTCATTCACATCATCGTATCAATCCAATTCTGAACAACCCTCTTCTAAATCACCGCAAAGAACAACCTAAAACACCGCCGATTAAATCTCAAGAATATTCCCGCACAACGAGATTATGTCTCTCGTCCAGACCGATGAAGCAAACATCGAATGAAAACTATTTATCAACAGCTCGCGCGCGTACGGCTCCACTTCTCGCTCATGAAAATGCACCAGTTTCGGACATTTCCGATGGGTTTCTTGCACCGATTGAAAAGAAAACTCCCGACGACCAGTTTCCATATGTAGATACAGTCAAATACGATTACATCACTCGGTGGCTAAATGAAATCCGCGCGGCGACCTATTCAACTGAACCCAACCGCGGCAAGTCCAAACGAACGAAACGACGTCTGACACCAACCTCATAACTCGTTCATACCTATGTTTTTTACCTTTGTTTACATATAGAATTAAAATTCTAATTTATTCACAGTATGGTATTCATTTTCTTTCCTTTAATTGATTCTTCTAACGAGACAAGAAAACTAAAAAAAGTTTGTCCTTTATTTTCACGAGCGAGTACGTCAGTTCGAGGTAGTGCATTTCACTAACTCATGTTGTTGTTCAATTGAAATTTATAAAGAATATTTTTCAGAAACTACAGGCAAACATATAATAAAATGTAAATATGTAGTTGTCGAACTTTATAATACTGATCAAGGCCTTTCATGTTTACCTTCTGACTATCGTTTTTCTGTAATTAACACGACTTCAAAGATGTCATGTCTTTTTGTACTAGGCAATCGATGTCTTTTTTACTTTATTGCTATCGATGTCTACAAGGAGAATTCTCTCCGGCCTTGACGATTACTTCTATATATCAATATTTTCAATGCAATAAATGTAAGACAGACAACGGATATTTGTGTGCGAACGCGATTGTTGTCAGAAAGAATGAGGCTAATAAAGTCTTATACGTAGACGTCAATAAGCAAAGTCAATTCATGGAAGAGTAGAAAATGGTTTCAACAAACAACACAATCGCTAATGTATAATCAGTTCTATTTACTATACAGATATTGCGTAGTCTCGTCTAGTCAATCATGTGGAAAATGCTATTCTAAGATACATTGACGTCTTATAAGTGCTACTTTGAATGAAAATCATCATTTTAAAGTACTATACTCCAGAAGTTTGAATACTTGTCAAACATTCGCTAATAATCATGTACAAGTTACAGCTTTGCATTGAATTGCTATTCAAAGAATGAGTAATGATTGCGAAACAACATAGGTGTCAGTATATTTCGTTTATCTACGGCGATGATTGGCTAAGAATGTCAAAGTATTTCCTATGATATTTTATTTGTTTATTTATTCTGTCCTTGTCTTTAAAAGTTAGTGCGCAACAGATCGGAAGGACATGCTAATTGAAATCCGACGTAAAACTTTGTTAGACAAACGATTATGACGACATACAATGATGTTTCTTCAACGGTGATATCAAAGATATTCGAAAGATTTCGATATCGATTAGATTTTGTTATTCATTAATAATTTGTTTTCTTTTTCTCTTTAACCGTTTATTTGTTATACATATATCTATACATACGGAAAACTTCCAAAACAGTGAAACATACACTTGTCAATTGTATAATAATTATCAAAAAACTAAACTTGGGTTTTCTCGTCTCTCACTCACGCCATTATTTCTCTTGTGTACAGTTCGTTTTCTTCTTCTATTGTATCAATGATGATGAAGAGCAACGGGAACGGAAATGGCAGTTCAACCACTTTCACAGTTCATGATCGACTTGGTGCTGCAGTTGCTCCAAATCCTAACACTACCAATTGTTCATTAAACCTATCGACATCGTCCAACTGTCAATCAATGTCCACATCAACAACACCGACAGCATCAAACAATTCCAACACAGCTCTAGTGCCTGCCGGAAGTTTATCATCAGCCACGGCAGCATCATGTAATATAGCAACCGGAAATAGTAATAATAGTAGTCCAGTCCCAACGACGACCGCACCAACAGCAGCAGTAGCTCTAAGTGGATCGAATCAGCATCAAGATTTAGTTAATTTGTTCGAATGTCCTGTTTGTTTTGATTACGCTTTACCACCGATTCTTCAATGCCAATCAGGTCATATTGTCTGTTCACAATGTAGACAAAAACTATCATCTTGTCCAACATGCCGTGGACCGTTAGGTAAGCCACTGATCGAATTCCAAAAACGATCCGATCCGAAATGCTATTCTTCTCTCTGTCAAGGCAATATCCGTAATTTGGGTATGGAAAAAGTTGCTGATACGATTTTATTTCCATGTAAATATCAGTCCAATGGATGTACAACAAATCTAATGCATAAGCATAAACTCGAACATGAAGAATCCTGTGATTTTCGTCCAGTAAGTAGCCTACACTCGAGCGCTTCTTTTTCCTAAAAGTTTTTCTTTCACTTTTTCAGTATATGTGTCCATGTCCAGGTGCATCATGCAAATGGCAAGGCAGTCTGGAAAGTGTCATGCAACATCTTTGGCTAGCTCACAAATCAATCACGACCTTACAAGGCGAAGATATTGTCTTTTTAGCCACCGATATCACTCTACCTGGTGCTGTTGATTGGGTAAGATAGCATTTGGAAATTATCGTGAAAAAGAAGACGTTTGTGCATATAGGTGATGATGCAATCATGCTTTGGACATCATTTTATGCTTGTCTTAGAGAAACAAGAGCAACAATTTTTTGCCATTGTGCAACTGATCGGTACTCGACAGCAAGCAGAGAAATTTCTCTATCGTTTGGAGTTAACTGGAAGCAAACGACGATTGACATGGGAAAGCACACCTAAATCGATTCACGAAGGCATTCAACAAGCTATACTTCTTAGTGATTGTCTGGTATTTGATGGAGCGACAGCATTACTGTTTAGTGAAAATGGTAATCTGGCAATTAACGTCACTGTATTTATCGGTTGAATTGATCTTTGATATATCTATGAATATATATTTGTATGTAACTACATTTTGTTTCTCTATTTGAGTTTTATGTTGCTTCTTCGCTTATTTGTCTTTTCTTCATAAAAAAAATTAATATACAATCCTCTCTCTCTCTGCTCGTTTTGATCGATTACAAATTTCGAAGTTATTCGTTTCATATGACAGCGAACAAGATCACAAGTGAGTTTATTACATAGCTCCATCAAACATCTTGAGTCAATTGACGACTCTGGTAGCCTAATTCGATATGACATATTGTCAATATCAATTTTCTTCGTGATTCTCCTGATCAATTTCATTGCACTACATTGAACACCAAAGAAGATTCATTTGATCGCGAGATAATCAATCGACTCAAGCTGTGCGATTGCAATCTGATTCATGATAATTACATCAAACAGCTTCATCTTTCTTCTTTATTTACTAAAACAAAATGCAACTTGCTTTCACGATAGGAAATATGGTGTTGAGAAAACAGAGATGTTGTTTTCTACAATTTATCAAGACAATGACTATTGATGAGCATTTCACGTGTTAGACGCCAACATTGTTTAGCCGCATTATCTAAAGCTTGAAGAGATTTGCCTTTGAATAAATCAACGTTGGGTAGGAAGTAATGCGGACATTTTCGGCATTGTAAACATGATATTAATTGCAAGAGAATTCCATTGAGACGATCGCCTAGAGTGATTTCATCGCTCCATTCATGTTCATTGGGATGCTTTTCACATTCGTATAAAATTAAAGTCTTGAGAACGTAGTTCGTAATTGGAACTAGATCAAAATTGCGATCACGTAAGGTTTTTAATATCGATAGACACTTTCGACGTGTTCCATTTTGTAGAAGTCGATCTTCGGCTTCGGTAAATGACATAGCCCATGCATCACCTTCGGAACTGACCTGTTTATCTCTCATATAGATCGATTCCTTAGATAAAATATTAAATCCTTCATTTTTCACATCGTTAATCTGGTTGGGATTTGGCCAATTCGAAAATTGCGTCGAAGAAAACGGCCAATGTGACGCTGAGCGCGGCCACAGGCCAGCACAACGAAACGCCGGTATAATATGTACAATATACTTGTCATTAATGCGAAGACGAACCTCCGATGTTTCCACTAATAATTGTACTTGATCTCGACATGCAGACTTTTCACAAGCTTGAGCGACGAGTGCTTGGAAACGTGAACGAATCTTTCGGGCCGATAGGTAACCACTGGCAGTTATGAATTCCACCCAGAGCGACATGGAACGCTTGCGACCATCGGACAATTTTAGAACTGCACAGCCGGGTATCGAACCATCATCCACGAAATTAAAAACGCCCATTTGATTCAAGTACAAGACTACCTATGGTCAAAGTTAAGAGAGAAACATGCGTGTTACCCGTGAAAAAATATAAACTTACTTCAAATTCCGTTTGTGAAACAACAGTTAAACCTTCAAAGCGTCCGTTGACTTCATTGAGTGACGATATAAATCTTGGCTCTTGTGATTCAACTTCATGCAAAACATCGGAAACAACTTTCGAAACTTCTTTGACAGTTTTGTAAATGAAATTTTTTCGCGAAATAACTTTTTCCATGTAGTATTTATTCAATTGAAGAGCAAATTTATTCGATGGACAGAGCATGATTTTCGTTGTTTTCGGAGATATATTACCTACTCAATCACGATCGACATGAAGAGAAAAAAAGAGAGGAGAAATATGTGTCTTATCTTTCTCTTTCGTTTTCTTCTCTTCTTTTTTCCTCCTCCGCATTCGCTAAACCAATCATACAGTGTGCTCGCTTCGCCAATAGAACGAACCTGTCTCAAGAGAGCGCATCGGCAAAAGGTTTAGGAGGTAAACGTGATATTGTCAATCTGAAAATCCTCAGTTCGTATGTTTTCCTTAAACTTCACATCTTTTTCTTTCGTTATCTGGCAAAATCTTTGTTCGACTAACACTGGCGTTGATTAATCATTCGTGCGTGAGATGAGACACACAATGAACGAGTAATTAGAAACATCATTCATATTCATCGTATATGTAATTGAACTAAGCGTGAAATATGAGGACGGGTGTTTATCATCGTCGTGTGCGAATAAAAGATGCGCTCACTTGATAAAACAAGAGTCACTCATCACGACAGGAGGTGGAGTAATCAAAACGAACAGTTCGAATTAACTTTCATGCGTCTGGAATGATTGATAAAATCACAGAGTTTGAAACGAATCTAGACACTTTAAGAAGGATCCACGTTCGGGTATCCCGATAGTGATTGATGATGATTGGAAAATGCGAAGGCATGAATATCAGTAAAGTCTGCAAATCAAGATATTGGACGAACGGATGTAGATTGTTTGTGTATATCCTATCAGTCCAAAAAATCGATCCTTTCTTAATATACATTATCCATTGACGACTGATTATATTGATAGAGGTATTTATATACTTCATTTGATTGACATGAGTAAAATATAATAGGTAGAAAAAGACAATAGAGTGACTAAGTGAACGCACAGAATGAGACGAGCAAATGACTTTAGGGTGTCAAGTAGATGTGGAGATCATCGTTGTTATCTTACAGTTAATCATTATTGATTAAACTGAGATATAACATACATGATGGATCATACTAAAAGTTCGTACATAGAGTTAAAGTGTTGACAATGTTTTCAACAATCTAATGTTTATGAGTTGATATTAAACAAGGGAAAATAGGATCAACTTAAATTGAGAATCAGTGAAGGGATTTCTAAAACCGGCTGGGAACATTAAAATTTTCGTAATAAACACTTCCGATAAGATTCTCATGGACTTTTCTGTACATTCTCTCAGTGTAAATGATCAGCCGCATTGCAGGCTGTTGATCCCATCTCTTTCGAGTTCTAGTATTTTCACCGGACTTTGTAATATGTGCAGGATCGGTGTTTTGATAAGTGTACATCCAATCATCCTCAATTCTACTGGTAGGTTGACCTCGTTCCTCTGCCAGGACTTTCCATTTCTTTTTATCTAAAACCAGCTTGCCTTTCTTACTCAATATCTCTGGCTTGAATTAGTAAATCAACATCACGTCGCTGCCTTGACGATTTTTGTTTCTGTGCCTAAATATGGCATAAAAGTCATGGTAATCTGGATTCAAATAGAAAGCACCGTTATAAGCCATATCCAAGGGACATTTGTAGGTCTTCTTCTATCTTTTCTATCGCTACCAATTTGTTTCTTAAGATCATCTTCATGAATACTGGGAAGATTAAAATTTGTTCGAGATTGCTTTCGAGCGAAAAATCTTCCCGTACGATTATACGACTCCGACTGGACGTGTGTTACAAAATCTGAACGAAACCATGAAAACCTTGTTGGCGTTTCTGGTAATGAATAGTTTGCATGACTGCTGTGTGCACTTCTTGCACTTTCATGTTTACAAGCGGAAATAAATTTACATTGTAGAGGAGCAAACTGGAACAGCTGTTTAGTTCATCAAGATACTGGAATCTTATTCCTCATCGTCATCAGCTTTACTGTGCAAATCTCTTTGATTGAAGTTCAACTGTAATGTCTATTTTTTCTGATGAAAAGCTCACAGTCTGCGCGATTGAATAGACTGAAGCTGTTTATGTCCGACCATTATGCTCAGACGCACTCTCAGGTGTATTAGTTTCCATGAAAGATTCATCATCTAGTCGAAAAAATCATGAGCAAGAGATCTCATGTGAGCTTTATAGCTCGAGAGTTTACCGTGTGATTTTGTAGCCACAGATGTTGTACCTTGTTTGCGAATTTCTGCCTTCTGAGGGAGAACTATGTAATTCTCTCGTTATTTAAAGGCGATGTCTCGATTATCATTTTTTTTCTGCTTGTTCGGTACACAGGACTGAGTGAAATAAGGCAACAAACAAACTTAGAAATTCTTGAGATTCATCAAATTTTGCCTTTGTTTTCTCCTTCATAATTCGTCAGTGATTGTTCGATAGCATACCAGCACATACTTGCGGATGTCTCTCTGTAGAAGATTCAATTTATACATGTTGTAGCTGAAAGCCTAGTATGGTATATATTATGTTTTTAGCTAAAGGTGCTGAAGTAAAAAAAAAGTTGATTCGATTAATAATAACAAAGAAAAAAATAGAATATTCGATAGCACAGGTTTGTCCATGTGTAGATACATTCAGTAAACAGAAAGTTTTATTTTGTACATTATTAATCATTTCAAGGAGTTATTTTCGATTTTTCAAATCTTCGAATCGACGAGCTAAATCATCAAAACCGGGATCGTCGGAGTTACCATGAGCAGCTGGTGGCGGTGTTGGTGCTGATCGATCGTTGGGAACTTGTGGAAATGGGTCATGAAATGGACTTTTTGCACCGTTATCAACATTAAATCCAATATGTGGAGCATTGGATGACGATGGTGGTGGCGGTGGAATGCTTGGTCCAAAATTGATATTTGGATATTGAGGTTGGGCCTAAAACAATGTCGAATAATTAAAGATTCAGCTTCAGAGCGAAGTCAATTTAATCATCACACAAAGCATGCTGAAAAACTTACACCTGGATAACCTGGCGGTGATTTATCAAACTATCAAGTACGAGTATGCATTTTAGATTTTCCCCTTGATGGTCAATAAAATGATAAAAAAGAATAACTTACAGCTGGTGCGCTGGGATGCGCTGATGGCACTGTTGGGAACTCCATACGACCGCCGCCTCCTGCACCAGACGACGCGCCTCCATTCGACGGCGGCGGAGGTGGTCTTTTCTCATCATTGCCGGGTTGTTGTTGTTGTTGAAGATAACCTTGTCCAATTCTCCAGAATTCATCTTGCGCCATGATCGTTGGATCGGGTTCAAATGCGACATTTTGACTTCGACAAATTTCGACTAAATACTTTTCGATCAACAGTTTAGGAATGAGATCGCAACTTAAGCAACGAAGTAGATCAACATCAACCATGCCAAGTTTGTTTTGTTCACACATGGCCACATATCTTCAAAATTTATGCTAAAGAAAAACTCATCGAAGATCTTCAAGCTTACTCTGGCCCAAAATGTTTTTTAAACATTCCTGTCACTTGACCGAGTTCAGGAATATCTTGGGTAAGGAATGGTGCTGCCCAAAGAATGTTTGCTAATGGTTGTTCAATAGCTGGATCAACAGCTCCGTTTTTTCTAGAGATAGAATATTAAACGATTTCGATTGTCGTCCAAACATCTCACTTACGGTCGATCTTTGATCAGCTGTATTCGCATTAAAAGCGTGTCCACATAAGCTTCGACTCGATCCATGGCCTCAATTTTGTAATCTTCACGAACAAGATGTTCTACAGCTAAAATGTGACCAAGTCAAATGAATATTTCGAGTTGTAAGCAAATAGAAAAGATCTGTACCTATTCGAGCTCGAGGAACTTTATTATTGCGAACATAATCAGCAACAGTGTAGCGTTCTTTCGCGACTTGCTCTGTTTTTTTCTTTTCACGCACATCAAGTCGTGCTTTGGCAACTTGAAAAACCGTTTTCAACTCTGCTACCCATTTGTTATCAGGCATAGTTCGTTGTAGGAAAGTAAAATCTAAAAATGAAAACATTCAATGTTCCATGACATCCTTCTGTCTGAAATGAAGAACAAAGCTCGGTCGTGAATTTTGCGCATATCTAAGTATTAGCAAATGAGTAATAAGAAAAAGCGAGATATGATATGAGTCATGTTTTTTCTTTGTTTTCGTGAGTCATAGCACTTAGAAATTAGTAATGGTTGGTATACAGCAACTAAAGGTAATCTGGCAGAGAATACTACTAAACGTAAATATTTTCTTGGGTCTAATCTTCTCAATCATCAATTTAGCGCTACAATCTAGCGCAAGGATTTGATTGGAGAAACGATATTCACCAATGAGAATGGATATGTTACGCCAACCAAACGAAAAACGAATATTAATCAACATAATCGAAAGCAGTGGTTGAGATCATCATTAACCATAGTGTATAAACGTAATTGAATGACACCATCTTACTAAAATTCGAGAAGATCTGTGTAAGTAGACGATCCGCGCATTCCAGATCACCGAATAGTTGCATATTAGATTGTCAAATGATTAAATATATAGGATTTCTGTTCTCTCGCGCTTCATCGATAATTACTTCGTGAAAATACGTCCCACTGTTAGATTTCTTCATCGCATTAGATAACATTGACGCATTCGGTAAACTTTTCGATCATCATTATATTTCACTAAATCTGTTTCTTATTCCACTAAGATTGAATTATTGACAGACTGTTATTATTCCATATGTTAACACTTAAATACAACCTCGATCTGTTCTATGCTCTGTATATTGCGCGCGTCAGAGCAAGGGTAAGATGCCGAACAAAGCTTGGGAGACAACGTGTGAATCTAATGTTATTATTGACACATTTTCGCTTCTTGATCAGTTGTGTTGATGATACTCAGTCTGTTTTTGATTATTCGATTGTGGTTCATTTCTTTTTCTTCTTTGTCGTGTTGTTCAATTTGATACTCAAGTATGCATCTTTCCGTTTTCTTCTACTCTTGGCATAATAACGAAGACATCGATCGAGATAAACAAATACTTAAGATTCGAGATGAATAAGAAAACATCAGCGATTCCCGAGTCAGATGAGAAGCTCGTAGTTTAACAAAGTAAACAAGAGAGTTTAGATCAACAAATCAAACTTTTAGATCTCGGCAGGATGTTTGTCTAAAAAGACAGAAGCTCGATAATTATAAGAAGAAAATGATTTTGTGTGGTTTCTATCATCATTAATACAAAGAAACATCGTCTGATATTACATTTGGCGAGAAGAAATCGAACTAAATCCACATATCTAATTGTCATGATTAGCCTAATCAAGACAGAGGCACGATCAAAATTGATATCGGATTTGATTTGTGGTCGGAAGAATGATATCTTCGAAAGCCTCTAATGTCTCATTACTCTTTGAATGTCACTCGATTTCCGAGTGTAAAAAGCAGAGTTTTCATACAATCGATGATTATCAATCATGTATCAACAAACTTAATCGTGACGTATACCCGTGATAAATTGGAAAGCGAAAAGAAATTAACGAGATTTCTTAAGAAGAACAAAAAAGTATCAATATTATTTCTTCTCTTCTCTTCTCTTAGAAAGCCGACTGGGAGCTCGAGGGGCGAATAGAGAAGAAGACAGACAGACATAGCAAAGAGGAAAAGTACAAACATACAGATATATTTATATTAAATCGTTTGTTAGATAGCCAGGAAAAAATCGTTGACACTCATTCGCAAACAAAGGAAACTAGATTTCTCCCTCTCTCTCTCTCTTTGCACAACTTCTTCAGTCAGAATCTTTTATTTTAAATGAATCTATTTCCATTCGGTCGGGTTATATGTATGCCTTTAACATCACCGTCAACAGCCACACCTTTGCTAAGTCCTATATCGATAGATTTTCCCGCTTCTCCAATCATTTCTCTGTATAATAATAACGTTCTTCTAAACAATCCATTTAACTTGCCTCTAGTTACGAAATGTAAGCTCTCTTGTCGAAATATGAAACGCTGTATGATGTTTAATCACTTTAGTTGATTACCATGCCTGTAAACAAACCATTCCTCATCGATTCAAACGATTGCGTGATGATTCTACTGATGCGCAACATAAAAAACGAGTTCGTTCATCGTCAACAATTCATGAACACGCATCAACACCATCGAAAACGTCGCTGATGCTATTACATGAACTGAAACCTTCGATCGAATATAAACTCGTAGCACAAACAGGTCCATCTCATCGACCTATTTTTACCATGGCAGTGGAAATCAATGGACAGCTATTCGAAGGCACAGCTCAGACGAAGAAAGAAGCTAAACAAGCAGGTAGATCGAGACTTCCGCTCTTATACGATAATCATTTCATACTTTTCATACATAGCGGCAGAAAAAGCTCTTCGGTCATTGAACGAGTTAACTGTTTCTTTATCTGATAGTACCACGAATAAATTAGCACCGATATCTTCCAAAATGATCCGCATTGGTACATCTATGATGAGCGAAGATAATGTACCGGTAGAAAACATTGATCGACTTCTTCAACTTCAGCCAGATGTACAATTCGAAGAAATAACTACTGAACAGTTTGGTCATCAATTTATTGTTCGATTCAGAGATCAATCTTTCGTTGGTACTCATAAAAGCAAAGAGTTAGCGAAAGCAGAAGCGATGCAACTTGCTCTGAACAATGTACTTTCAGCATATCCTGATAGAAAGGGTAAAGCATTATTTGATTACAAATATAGATTTTATTAAACCTACAGCTAGTCATAAATTGCCTGAAGCGTTGTTGCTCTTTATCGTTTATTTCTTCTACTAATCTAGAAAAAAAGTAATTCTTTGTACCGATTTAATTTCACATGCTTGAGAAAGCAAGGAGTTATAGTGGATACTGTTATCGTCTTTAGAAAATGACAATTTACCCTACGCCCGTCGTGAATTTATTGATCATATTGCCACACGTATACAAGAGAAGTTCAATCAATTGACACAGAGTGATTTACGTTTTCGACGTCGTCGGGTGCTAGCTGGAATTGTACTTACACATGATTATAATCTCGAAACGATGACAATCATTGCTATAACAACCGGTACAAAATGTTCACCTGCTGATACTCATCTACGACATACTGGCGAATCACTGAGTGATTGTCATGCGGAAATTCTCGCACGTCGTTGTTTAATTCATTACTGTTATGAACAATTGAACTTGCTAGTGGATGGAAACGTTAGCGAATCAATATTCAAAAGAATCGAACAGACGAATCGATTTCACTTGAAATCTTCAGTTACATTTCATCTGTATATATCCAGTGCTCCTTGTGGTGATGCTCGACTGTTCACGCCGAATGAAAGCTCTTTAGTAGAATCGAAGCATATACTTCGAAAATCATGTGGATTGTTAAGAGAAAAACTTACAACGGGCGAAGGAACGATTCCAGTTTTGACCAAATCTGATAGTGAACACTTTTCAAGTATGTCCTGTTCAGATAAACTATGCCGATGGAATTTCATCGGTTTGCAAGGTAAAACGAACGACATTTAACTGTTTAATGCTGAATTCTTCTTTCCCAAAGGTGCTTTACTCAGCACATTCGTTGAGCCGATTTATTTTACGAGTATTATTATCGGAAGCTTATACAAGAGCGAACCGATACGACGCGCATTATTTGCACGAATAGAACAAGTAAACAGAAAGAATATTTTACAAGAGCGTAGGCGATCGATGGAATGATTCTTTGTAGAAAATTGATCATATGCCAATGCCATATGGACTACATCGACCATTGATCTCCAGTATGAATAATTCTGAAACTCGAAATACGAATCGTGCACCTAGTCATTCATTTCTTTGGAGCTGTATCGATCGGAACTATGAAATTATCGACAATTCTACTAGACTGACGATGCCGCGTAATGTCTCATTCTAATATTGTTGTTAATATATGTACGACTCTATTTTAGAAGAATCATCAACGATATCTAAGGCTGCTCTGTTTGAACAATGGAAAAATCTAATGAAGAAAATTCAACCTGAGACGATCATAACATCGTATTCTGATGCAAAACAGTTAGCAAGAGATTACCAGATGGCTAAACTTGAGGTAGTCTTGACCGCATTTTATTATTAGTGCGTTATGTGAAAGTTGTACATTTTGCAGGTTAACAACGCATTTGAGAAAGCTGGTTTGGGTACGTGGCTCGTATGTATTTAAGTTTAATTGGCAACGAATATGTTTGATTATGTTTTATACTTTTGTTTTTAGAAGAAGTCATCATTACTCTCTCAAACCAATCAATACATTCCGTCGAATCTGTGATCTATTTTGTCATTGAGATAATTTTGATTTAAATAAATTTATAAGCTCATAACAGAATGTTTTCATGCGCTGCCATCTAGTACTAACGATTCCGAATGCTTATAACACACGACTGGTTCATGCAAATGTCTCTTCTGTTTTTTTTCAGAAAGATCATGTCTTTGAGATTAACATCTCGCATCAAGTTAAACGATGGGCACCTCATGCCTATATTTGGTTTAGGTTTATATCAAGCAGCGGCATCATCGAAAACAACGCAGATCATTGCTGATGCTCTTCGTTTAGGCTATCCGTTGATTGATACCGCTGAGTTATACCAAAATGAATCCCAAGTCGGTGATGCTCTGAAGAAAAATTTCGATCGCGAACAAGTATTCATTAGCACAAAGCTTTTTCGAACAAACGATGGCCGCCAAGGTCTTCGTCGATCGTTTCAAAACTCATTACAGCAACTAGTGACTGATTATATCGATCTTTATCTCATTCATGCGCCACAAGGCGGTCACGTACTTGAAGTCTACAGAGAAATGGTAGCATTACAAAAGGAAGGAAAGATTCGTTCGATCGGAGTATCCAATTTTGGTGTACAACACTTAGAATGGTTGAAGCAGGCTGGCTTTGTTCCCGCAGTTAATCAAATCGAACTGCACCCATGGTGGCCTAATGAAGATATTGTAGATTACTGTCGAACGAATAATATTGCCATCATGGGCTATTCACCATTGGGAAAGGGACATTTTCTCAACGATCCGTATTTGATTAAATTGAGTGGAAAGTATGGCAAAACGCCTGCACAAATACTTATTCGTTGGTCGATACAAAACGGTTTTATTACCATTCCGAAGACAACATCTGGCGTCGAAAGACTGAAAGAAAACATGGACGTATTCGACTTTGCATTATCTAACGAAGATATGAAAGGTTTAGCAGATTATGGCAGAAAAAATTTACAAAACACAGGATGGGATCCGACAATGAATAGTAAAGAAAAATTCGGACCGATTTAAATTTTTGTTTTACTTTTACATAATTGCTCTAATTCAGCATATGTGATGTTCTATTAATCCTGCTTCTGGTTATAGTGCAATATTTCACACGAAATTTGCAAATATATATGCATACACATAACAGGCACTATGAAACTTGATGGCTCTTATTATAGATAGTATTCTTAGAACGACAGAAACATCAAGCAATGATTCTGTTTCGTGATCGTTCATCTATCGAACAGTAAGTTGAACTTCAAGTTATCAACGCATGCCTATATCGTTTAGTCGAGCGTAGCCAACAAGTTTTAGATTTAGAAAAGATTCTAATAATGACACATCTCTCAAACAAGAGAATATGATCGATAAATACATATAGAATGTCAGTACATCGTATCAAATGTTAAAGATATTTGAGTGAAACATGAAAATATTTATAGAGAGTGGGTAGAATAAGTGCACATTAATAGAAATAGAACTCGGTATGAAATGCAAGTAAACAATGAATGACGATGTAGAGAATTTATAATTCTATGTGCGTTCGTGTCCATACGCGAAATATATTCTTTTTTCGATATTTAATATGTATACGCCATAAACAAAGAACAATGTATGAATGTTGCACTGTTCTCTACTTTTGACGCTGCGACTAAAGTAATAAAGTAAAAAAAAGATGCTTCTACTGATCGAATATTGGAGTATCCAGTACCAATCAAAATCAGTCGTTTTGTACTTTTACTTTTCTTATCCATCACTGTGCAGTAAATGAATACATACATCTAGTCAAGCGTATTATTTTGATATAACACACAACTGATCTGTACTAAAACATTTAGTCAATAGCAAGAGCAAATGAGTTCTTCATCTATAGTAAATTCGTGGACCGAATGGGGGCAATTAGAAACTATTTGTATCGGTACTGCTCAAGGCATGTGCTATCCTGATGAAACGCCAACGTATTCATGGCATACGCCACGTTCGAATATCCGACGATATATCAATTCAGTCATTGGCCCACGACCGCGTCATCGCATTGAACAAGCCCAACAACAGCTGGACAATCTTGCTGATTTACTTCGAGCAGAAACAGTTCGAGTTTGTAACTCCGTTGATGAAATCTTCAATGAAGATATCGAACAAAGCCTTAAGCGAAAACGAACAGTCATTACCGATAAGTCAGTAGCATCGCCTGACGGACTTGATGTAAAGAAAGGTAAAATCGAGGTCTATCGGCCAGATCAATTCTCAGACGAGAAGCTACGGTTTAATTATCACATCTCGACACCTCATTTCAAATCACAATATCAATATGGACTTTCGTGTCCACGAGATGTACTGATCACTATGGGTGACACCGTTTTGGAAGCACCAGTTTGCACTCACACACGTTATTTTGAAACGGAATATTACAAACCCCTTCTATATTCGCTATGGAATCGTGATTCACGCATGAAATGGTTACAACCACCGAAACCAACTTGTTCACCAGAACTCATGTTCAATGATACCGATTATCGGGAATACGCAACTCAAAAGGAAGTCAATAAATCGAACTATGCTGATAGTGGATACAAGACAAATCTGAATGAAAATGAAATTGCCTTTGATGCAGCCGATATGATACGTATGGGAAAAGATGTCTTCTACAAAAAATCTGCTTCTGCAAATAACCAAGGTCTACATTGGCTTCGTCGAGTCTTCCCTCATCTTCGTTTTCATATGATCCATTTTCCAAGCGATGACAGTTCTCATTTGGACTACGGACTGATGCCATTGAGACCGCCGACATCTGGTTCTGAGGGTCTAGTTCTTCTCAACCAAAAATTTCCGCCGTTAGCTAGCGAAACGAAAATCTTCACGGATAACGATTGGCGTCCGATATGGGCACCCCTAGGTTGCACAACTGCGGTTGCGCCCCTATCACTCTGTTCATCTAGCTTCAATACGAATTTCTTATCTCTTAATGATCGCTGTATTGTAATGGAAGAATGTGAATTACCGCTCTACCATTTGCTACATGACGATCTGGGTTTCGATGTCATTACGTGTCCATTTCGAACTCTATTGGAATTTGGCGGTTCGATTCATTGTGGTAGATATTTCTCTTGCTGTTGCTTTTCGTTTTTCGATGCTTTTCATTTTAGTTACATGGGATATACGGCGCGATGACTCTTGTACCGATCATTTTCCGAATCAAGATTATGAAAGTGAATGCAACATGGATCTAAACCATTATTTCGATAGTCAAATTTTATCGCCGGAGAGTAACAAGAAATCTTAGTGGCACACAATAGACTTGTACTTTTCATTAATGGAATTAGAATAAAGGAGAAGTGACCTCCAAAGCAGAGAGGTGGTCATGATGAATGTCTTTTCCTATTCTTCTTCTTTGACGCATATGTAGACGATCAAAAGAGAGAAAGAGGGGTGAAGAAATCAAGCAGACGTGTACGTCTGTACTAGAAATTGTTTGCTCAATCGCACAGAAGATTTTGATTTGAGTGACATCTGTTAAATTGAAGCAAATCCAGTGTAGTTAAATCTTATATCTAGTTAATAATAGGAAGAAAAGATTTTCTCGATGGAAAAAGAGGTAAAAAGGAAAAAATGATGTCGCTTTCATTCAGGTATTGTTCGGATTCGATTGGACGTTCTTTATTTGAAGAATTTTTTCGTCTTCTTCTTTCATTATAGTTCAATTCTTTCTTTTAAGTTCGTCGACATTCATGTATACATATATCATCGTAGTATTTACATTTATTTTCGCTTATTTTTCTTATTGATCTAGGAATTCTTTTTGTTTTAGTTTGAAGAAAAACAGAGACATTTCATTGTACAGAACAAGATATAAAAGAAGAGATAGAAAGAGTAAGAATCAGTCTCACGCGTACAGGTAATGAAATATGTGCGCGCGCGCGCATATGTATTGCATTGTCGATGTTACGATCTCGTTTCTTTACATCGATGTTCGTTCGAAACACTTTGAAAGCAAAGAGAAGCTCGCTGGCGTCGACGTCGAGAATGCGAATAGGAGAAGTAAAAAAAAATTAAGAAAGAAAAAGAAGAACATAGACCAGACGTGAAGTGTTTTGCGTCTACATTATTAACTTAATCATAGACCTTTCTTTTCGTTTTTTGCCTGTGTTTTTTTACCGTTAGTTGACCAAATATCGAACTTTATATTCAGCTGCGATTCGTAACATTCATCTACTTCATGTTAACATTTATTATGTGTTAAACTACTCGATCAAATGTTTTTCTTCTTTCTTCCTCTTTTTTACTATCTCGAGGATGTTTATATTGTGTTGTAAAACAGTGATGGTCAAAAAAATAATAAGTGAAGAGATCGAACGAACGCAAAAGGAGAAGAGTAAAGCTCTTACATGTACATATGTGCATCTAGTTATTTTCGGCTCAGGCAATCATTTATTCTTTCTGTTTGACTTGACCGAAAAAAAAACTCGATTGTGCATGTATTTGTAAAAGAGAGAAA